TCTTCTTCCAGCAAGTCAACGGTGCCTGTAAGGGTCTCATCACCGCGAAGGATGATGGCGGTGTGCCGACAAACTCCAATGGTGACTTGGGTTGGTACTTCCCTTGCACGGCTTTCAACCAGGATGGCTCATCGGAGCCCAACCTTACGACTTCTTACTACGAAGGCTGGGGCTGTCACACGAGCAGCTCTGGTCGTAATTCTTTCTATAATCTCCGCAGCTCGGGCGATGTATATTACACCTGGGAGGACACAAAGAATACCAGTCGCAACTTGGCTATTTATTCCGGAAATGTGCTGGACCTCGACTTGCTGCGTTGGTTCAACACCTCTCAAGTGTCATATCCCAAGAAGTTCGATTCGCTGCGCACCAATCCTGCAGTCCGTGGTGTTGATTTGACCTATTATCTCCAGAGTGGCGGCGAGAAGCAAGTTGGCAAGTGTTTGGAGCAGATCATCAAGGTCGGTAGTATCGATACCGATACGGTCGGCTGCATTGCGTCCAAAGTTGTGTTGTATGTCTCGTTGATCTTCATCTTGTCCATCGTTGTCGTGAAGTTCGCCTTTGCTCTTCTTTTCCAATGGTTTTTGGCGGCCAAGTTCGGGGCGCAGAACACAAGCATCGCTTCGGATGCCAAAACTCGAAACCAACAGATTGAAGACTGGTCCAATGACATCTATCGACCTGGTCCTCGAATCGCCGACCCTCCCGCCCCCGACCATCTGAGCAAACGCGCGAGCTTCCTTCCCACAACCTCCCGCTTTTCCAGCCCTTACGTGGTAAACAGCTCTTCCGGTAGCGGCAAACAACGAAGCCCATATGTCACCATGGCGAGCCAAAACTCCACATCCCGGCTGATGCCCACCTCCACTACGACCGGTACAATGTATAAGTCCAGCCACAATGGCAGTGGTGGGTCATTAAGCGCCGAAAACTCTCGCAACAATGCTGCCGCTAGTCGGACAAGCTTGGTCCCTGGTCAGCAGGATCACGGCTATTCTGAATTCGTTCCCGAGTCTGAAGGTTCCGGGCCAGCGGGATTCATCCACGAAGCAGTCGTTCCCCAGCCTCCGCCCGAATGGCAACCGTTTGGCTACCCATTGGCCCATGCACTGTGCCTGGTGACATGTTACTCGGAAGGTGAAGACGGTATCCGTACGACCCTGGACTCGATTGCCATGACCGATTACCCGAACAGCCATAAGACTCTTCTTGTAATCTGCGATGGTATTATCAAGGGTAAAGGTGAAGAGTTCTCGACCCCTGAGATTGTCATTGGCATGATGAAGGAACATGTGATAGTTCCAGATGAAGTCCAGCCGTTCTCCTATGTAGCCGTGGCTACTGGCTCAAAGCGCCACAACATGGCCAAGGTATACACTGGATTCTATGACTACGGCGAGACATCTGTCATTCCCCCCGAGAGGCAGCAACGCATGCCGATGATGGTCATCGTCAAATGTGGCACCCCGGCAGAGTCGACTGTTTCGAAGCCGGGCAATCGAGGAAAGCGCGACAGCCAGATCGTCCTGATGTCTTTCTTGCAAAAAGTGATGTTTGATGAACGGATGACGGAGCTAGAATTCGAAATCTTCAATGGCTTGTGGAATGTCACGGGAATCCCGCCCGATTTCTACGAGGTTTGTCTGATGGTCGACGCCGACACAAAGGTATTCCCGGACAGTTTGACACACATGGTTTCTGCCATGGTGAAGGATCCCGAGATTATGGGTTTGTGTGGCGAGACGAAGATTGCCAACAAGACTGACAGTTGGGTCACCATGATTCAAGTCTTCGAGTGAGTTCCTCTCTCTGTATGCGGTAGTGCCGAACCAACTAACACAATCAAGGTATTTCATTTCTCACCATCAGGCGAAATCTTTCGAATCCGTCTTCGGTGGTGTCACCTGTCTCCCCGGTTGCTTCACCATGTATCGCATCAAGGCTCCCAAGGGTGGTCAAAACTACTGGGTCCCTATTTTGGCCAACCCGGATATCGTCGAGCACTACTCTGAGAATGTGGTCGACACTCTGCACAAGAAGAACTTATTGCTGCTGGGAGAGGACCGTTACTTGACAACGCTCATGTTGAAGACCTTCCCCAAGCGCAAGCAGGTTTTCGTCCCGCAAGCTGTGTGTAAGACGGTTGTGCCGGATAAGTTCATGGTTCTCCTGTCGCAACGTCGCCGATGGATCAACAGTACTGTGCACAATTTACTCGAACTCGTACTTGTCCGTGACCTCTGTGGTACCTTCTGCTTCAGCATGCAATTTGTCATCTTCATCGAGCTTATTGGTACCCTTGTACTACCTGCTGCCATCTCATTTACCATCTACGTTGTTGTCTCCTCAATTGTCAAGAAACCCGTCCAAGTCATTCCCTTGGTTCTTCTCGCGCTGATTCTCGGTCTCCCCGGTGTACTGATCGTCGTCACCGCACACCGACTTGTCTACGTGTTGTGGATGCTGATTTATCTGCTCTCACTGCCAATTTGGAACTTCGTTCTTCCCACCTACGCATTCTGGAAATTCGACGACTTTAGCTGGGGAGATACGCGAAAGACAGCCGGGGAGAAAGACAAGGGCCATGGAGATGCCGAGGGCGAATTCGACAGTACTCAGATCACCATGAAAAGGTGGCGCGATTTCGAGAAAGGTAAGATCCCACCCCCCCTGCTAGCCTGGACAGGCTCATTGGTAACCCACCCTGGTGGTGGCATTTTGGATTTGGATTTTCTGACATGCATTGCAGAACGACGTCTACGAAACAGCGCCTGGGCGCACCCACATGCGCCGACGAATGGGTACTCACATTACGAGACGTACTCTGATTATTGAGCGGATTCATTTTCTACAACTTTTTGTACTTCTTCTTTTTTTCTGCTTTCGTTTTGGCATATATTCTGTGATTTAATATTCCCATTCACATACCGAATCTCGGAGGCGTTTTTAAACTAATCAGCTGGGACTTTGAAAGAAGACATGGTGCTGCACGATTGACGAGCTATTATTGAACGAGTGTTGTGCATTTATTGTATTTTTCTGGCATTTATTATGTGTATCTTATTATACAGCGAGTCGAGCGTGCTCTGTGGATATGAACTTGAAACACTGAATTATTCCCTCCTTCTACGGTCTCCCCAGTGAAGCTACTATTATTTTACTATTAATAATCGTACTGCATGCTAGCCATTCAGGGTTGGATGTCAACTACATAATGCTTACATTTCTCAACCTGGCCTGCTTCTGCTTTGCCGTAGTTGATACTATCCATGGACTATACCAGTAGTTGATTTGATGTATAGCTTCCCCACTCCGTACTAGTGACAGGGATCCTTTGCAAGGATTATCAGCCCAAGGAGTGCCCAATGGACCCAAGCGCAGGTCACAGGCTCAGCTCACGGATCTGCGGTGCGTCACTCCCTGCAGCGATGATTTACATCCGCACCCTTTTTCCGATATTGAGTTATGCGTGTTGAGTGCTTACCTAGGTATAGTACTGTCTGCTCTATTATCTCAATGTTAGATGAGTTTGTAGTATAACTGCAACTTATAACTAACATAACTCATAGTACTTGTACGGTCTATACTTTGTAGTGCTGACTAACGCCAAGACTTCGTGATCGACTCGTCCAATTCGACTTCGACTTCACCTCAACTTCTCTCCCCCCTCATCCTTTTTCCGCCCTAATTCCATACTCCTCATCTCCTGAACTGCTTCTTTGCTTCTTTTCTATATTGCGCAATTACCTGTCCAGCTAACACATCACCAATTCGTCTCGGCTGCCTACACTAACTGCGCCCAGCATTGGCCATCGCTCGACTCCAGCTGCACCCCACTTCTCTCCTCCTTTCGTCATCCTGCATCCCGCTATCAGCCTCTTACTGTCATCCTTGGATCTGATCACCACTCGGCGTTGAGCACTGCCATCGCCCTTTACTCAATGATCCGCTGAACCCTCGCTGATACTACTCCACCTGGCTCCTTTTTCCACCTGTCATGTCCTGCCAGCCCTCGCCGTGTTAAATTACGCTCAGACAACGTGGATCAGTGCCCCCCCATCTCCTTATTTGCACCTTCGACTTGGCGTTGGACGGGAAGAACGGCCCACGCTCAGTCCTCTCACTCTCACTTCTCCAATTTTCCTTTTTCGGTCCCTTTCAGGCTTGGTGATCATAAGTTTGAAACCTCGCCCCGCGAGTGCCGGCTCTACTTCTTACCATCTCGCCTCCACCCTCATCCACACTTATACCTGCCGTGAATTCTTAGCGGTGTTAACCGTGACCACCCCCCCCTGGTCTATAGCAGACCAGTCACAAAAGGAGATACAGAGGGACCCTCGGGTGTCACTGATTATCCAATCATCCCAACTTTCCCACTCATACTCACCCCTACCCTCTCACTTTAACGGTCGGCAGTCCCACATTCCCCTCGTGGGCTTTTTACCTACACTGCCCCTCCTTCTCGGTTGCCTTACCACCGGCGCGATCTTATCATCAAGTCCAACCGTCGCCTCGGCATTTCTGTTTCGCCCGCATCTTGTCTCCCCGTTGTCCGCAATTGGTGACTTGCACCTGCGCCACGCCCCGACCAAAGTCACCTGGAATACCGCATATCCCAGGAACCAGCGTCCTAAATATACCACACTTTAGCTCAGCAATAACTCGTGTAACTTTTGCTGCCAATCATTCTTGCACCGGCTGCCTATTCGAGACCTGATCATCCGCCCTCCTTCTCGTGCCTGACATTCTTTTGACATCCCATCGGCGGATCCGACTTGCGCGGCTTTTCGCTCCCCCCATCCCCGCCATTTCCATTCGATATTCCCCGGACCGACCTGCGGATACTGTTGCACCCCCCTCCATGACGGGCAATGCTTGATGGGACCCACGCCGCACATACGCCATCACCCACCTTTCCCCGTCATTCAACGTCTTCTCTGACGACTCCTCGCCATGAGTCATGTGATGCTGCCTGCGTATCAGCTCATCCACGAGTAATGAATAACGCTGCATCTTCCTTGCATTTCCCCAGCGACGGGGACAGACCTCCCGCGCCGCAGAATGCCGGCGCTACATTGACGACGCAAAACCTTGCACCCACACCTGCACTTTCACATGCACCAGCGACAGCTACAGACATGGCGTCCGAAGAGGATCAAAGGTTGCACAATGTCGGAGTCGCGGCTCTCGCTGCCATCGCGCAATACCCGCATGCCGTGGATGAGGAGAGCAATTCGCTCTTAGTGTCGGAGGTGGTGCACGCGATGACAGGCAGGTCCATTCCGCGATACCATCACCACCATCCCCATTCAACCCTCAGCGACCAAGTGCACTCATCTCTGAATCCTGGAAATCATTTTTCGCCACTATCATTTGACGCACTATCTGACGGGGATAGTGTGCCGACTGGGTCGAATACTCTCTCACCACACTCGTCGGACGATACCGATATCGACATGGAAGGCATTGTGCAAGACTTGATCGAGCGCACCGCAACATGGCCCAGTATTGCGACAATTGTCAACGAGAGCGATATTGAGAAGGACATGGTGATGGATTACGATCCCGAATTCGAGGACCACACATCGCCGTCGACTACCCCGGATGATGAATTTGAAGATTTTCTCCGTTTTTACCCCGACGAGGAGGAATATTACCGAGAGGAAAATGAGCCGCGGTCTCCAGAGGCTGCTACGCATGAAGTGGACCTGGACGAGTTTTATCACACCATCAACTATGATATCCAAGATGTGGATATTCCTCAGGTGCCGGGCACCCCGCCTACAGGTCCTTTCCCGGGAGTCGATGAGCTTGATGCTCACCCTCCTTCCATCATCCACACTACAACCCATGAGCGAAACCTTACTATCGACGAATTCATCCAGCGGTGGGTTCTCCAAACAAACATTATACCACACGGGTTCCATTCGGAGCACAGGATCCCTCCGCAGCTACGCCCGTTATCGAAAATGATGAGCTGGACTCCTCCGCGTGATGTGTACCGGCCACATACATATGAAGATGACATTTATGATCTCCAACAAATCCCTTGGGCCGAGACATTGAAAGTCAAACGCAGTGAGGCGCGCGCCCTTCGCGATGCATGGTATACATCATACCACAATATTCCCAAGAACTCCCACAGCCGCGGCCTCAACCATCTCTCCCCCAAGATGAATTATTCTTCCAGGAGACATCAATGCACAGCGCCCACAAAGCCACGATCGAACACTTCCAACTACGAAATCTCATGTCGGTTCCGGCCTACAACACCATCAACTTCGCCAGCCGCTCCAAAGTATACTCATGGGCCCCATCGTTCGACGAGAACCGAGTCCTCATCGACCTATCACGAGCATATCCAGAAAGCGGCTTCCTAGGCCCAGTCAAAATCTCCAGCATGAAAACCGCGCACGGCCTCACAATCGCAGGCGGTTTCTGCGGCGAATACGCCCTTCAAGCGTCCGACGGCGCAGGATCCGGCGTCAAGGGCCTAGTCACGCCCGACCCGAGCGACGGCATCACAAACCACGTGGATCTCGTTCCAAACCGAACCGGCCCTGCTCCAATCTGCGTCTTCTCCTCCAACGACCGCCACCTTCGAATTCTAGACTGCGAAACAAACGTCTTCCTCTCCGACCAAGAACTCTCCCGCCCCATCAACTGCACCGCCACATCTCCAGACAGCCGGCTCCGTGTCGTCATCGGCGACTCTCCCGATGCATGGGTCATCGAAGCCGACACCGGAAAACCAGTCCACCCTCTACGCGGACACGAAGACTTTGGCTTCGCCTGCGCCTGGTCCCCAGATATGCGACACATAGCCACAAGCAACCAAGACAAAAAAGTAATAATCTGGGACGCGCGCACATGGCGAATCCTCGAAACCATCGACTCCGACGTCGCAGGCTACCGATCCCTACACTTCTCCCCCGTAGGCGGCGGTCCCCGAACCCTCCTCTGCGCCGAACCCGCAGACCGAATATCCATCATCGACGCCCAGCTCTACCAATCACGGCAGGTGCACGATTTCTTCGGCGAGATCGGCGGCGCGGATTTCTCGCCGGATGGCGGGACGGTCTGGGTCGCGAATACGGATCCGCATTTTGGCGGGTTTATGCAGTATCAGCGGCGGGAGTGGGGGCGGGAATTTGGGGTCGTGGATTTGGCTAATGAGTTTGTCGGTGAGGAGGGGCTTGATGGGGATGAGAGGTGTGTTTTAGGAAGGAGGGAGCGTGGGTTGAGGTTTTTGAGGAATTTTAGTGATGAGGAGCATGATTTGTTTGTTCTTTAGGTCGGTGGGATCTTTCGCTGATTTGTTAGATCTGCGTTTTCCCTTTTACTGTCACAATCTGGCTCGATTGGCAGTTCTCTTTTGCTTTTTGCTTTCTTTTTTGTCTTTGTTTTGTTCTCCTTGTTCCTGCTTTGCGGCATTTGATACCCTGGGTTCTGGTGTTGTTGGCTATCTGTACTTTGCATAGAGTGTATCACATATATCGAAGAATGACTATGTCTTGCCGTTTTTGTGAATGATACTACCATGAGATCTTGTGGAATTGATTCAAGTTCCAAAGTGATGTACTACTAGTAGTTAACTAGTGTAAGACTATTTCAATCGATCCACTAGAACTTCCTCGATCATTCGACTCCACAGCCCCACCAAGTTCCAACTCAGTCCAGCTCAGCTCAGCCCAAATACCCCTCCTTTTGCTTTTGCTTGTTCCTCCTACTCTCATCCATCCATCCATCCACATCTCTCATCCACATCCCCCATATCCATCTCTCCATCATGTCCTACAACAACGAATACGGCCGCAGCAACGAGTACAACTCCAACTCCGGCGCCGGCGCCAGCGCCAACTACTACGACCAAAACGCCGACTTCCGCGACACACGCTACAACGGACCGCCCTCCTACAACAACGAGTCCCAACACGACGACTTCAGCAGCGCAGCCCACCACGCCACCCAAGAACACAGCAGCGAAGACCGCTCATTCTTCGACAGCGCGCTATCCTTCATCAAAGAGCGCAAGAGCGAGTACGCCGATACCTCCAAGTACGAGGTTGACGAGGCGCACGCCATGAACGCGCACCAGGCTATGTACGGCGGCGGAAGCGATGAGCGAAGCCACGATTCTGGTACCGTTGGTGCGGGCGCGGCGATGCAGGCGCTGAAGATGTTTACCGGTGGTGGTGGGTCGTCGGACGGGGGTATGGATAAGAACAAGTTGATGGGTCTTGCTATGGCGCAGGCTAGTAAGCTCTGGGATGAGAAGAATTCTACCGGGAATGTGGTGAGTTGATGATCCCCCGGGGTGGGTGTTTATATCTAAAGGATGTGGTGCTAACTGTAGCTATACAGTCTGGTGACAAGCAGTCTGCCGTTAACTCTGCTGCCGAGATGGCGCTGAAGATGTACATGAAGGGTGGCAATGGTGGTATTAGCGGAACAGGTGGTGCTAGCGGCTTGATGAGCCTGGCTAGCAAGTTCCTGTAAAGGGGATTTTGTCTGCTGGCTTTTACTTAGTAGCGCTAGTTTCTCGCTGTGTCTTCGGAATGTCAACCTGGATGCTATGAAATCGATGAATACGAATTAAATTGCATAGTTCGATGGTATGAACTTATTGCCATGCAAATGGAGCGCTATACAAGTAGGAGTAGTATCGCGATAGCTGTAGTTCAATGAGTTCGAGCACGAAGCTAGCTAGATCCGCGCTAAACTAGCGTTACTTCTAACTTGAACAGAGTTCAAGTTTGATCCGAGTCTTATAGAGCGGCAGTCCATGAGTATTAGAAGGAAAGCCTAAGAAGATTAACTGACATCCCTTCACCTAATCATAACGAGGAGCATAAATGATTTCATCTTCTACTAAAATATTTGAGATAATCACGTTGATTTTATGTGTGGGTGAGTGAAGACAACATCCGGGCTGAAGAGGGCCCAAGATTAATATTCTCTTAATATCACTCAGGTTGTGTGGCTTGATGCTAATAAAGAAAAGGTCATAAAATCCCCGCGGCCCTGTAACTGACGTCCTTTCCGCCATGAACCTTGGAAGACAAATCGGAGGCTAAAAAGGCAAGGGAAAGCCACATGAGGCACCATGATAAACAATTGAATTTATGTCATAAAGTTATAGATACCTACCTAGGCAGGTATCCTCCTTTGAAATTCTGTTTTCATTAATCGTTCGTTAAGCCACCTGGGCAAGTCAAACTAATTATGTAAGTCTACTAGATGGTAGGAGAGGTGGGAGGTGATCACCACACTGTTATAGAAGAAGATTAATTCTGTATGTCCTCCCTCAAGTCTGATAGCTAGTAGAATTGAAAACCCTTTCCCCATCGGGCGATTTTGAGCGTTTTTTTTCAGAGCGTTTTCGGGGGCATAGTGGGTGATGAAAAATATGAGTTACCAGTTAAGACAGTGCCCTTGCCTTGAACCTGATCTCTGTAGTTTTCTAGAATGTTGACCCTATGGGTACAATACGGAGTTGTGGAGCCCGAATTGCGGAGATTCGGAAATTTTAATAGGTGGACCGGGAATGACTGACATGCAGAATTCCCCCACGTGGGTTGAAGCAGTGGTCATGTCAAGATGCAAGGGCTCAGATCGCTCGTGATATTTGTGTGGCCTGGACGAAATAGGGAAGTTTCCAATCAAATCCCCGCCATTGTTTGGAACCTCGTTTGTGGACATGAGCATAAAAGGGCAAGCCATCTTCCTGGTCATCTATGTGCCTTCTTGTTTTGGACCGGTGTTTATCGAAACTAGTATCAGAATCAGTTTGCAACGGGTTTGATCCCATTCTCAAAGGAATAATTCTCGTAGAGCTGTATTACGGCCGCATCGTGCAGTATTCGGTCTTCTCGCCATGGGCAACAGGCCATCGATGATAAGATGCCCAAGTAGAGGCACCACGACGCCCTTTAGGTAAAACATTTCTGATTAAGGCCTCTCACGGACCCTGAACATCTTTTATATCTTTGACCCCTCCAAAGTTCGGTAAAACCGGTAAAACCGGTTAAGCTTCAAGTTTTAATTGCGATCGGCAAGGTCGTATCTCGGCAATCGACAACTAAAAACCCACGTGGGATGTCATCTACTATGATAACTTGTCAAACATGTATAGGCATACTAATAGTACTACCTAGGTAGTAACACTCTTATATGTCTCATCGCGGAGATATCCCATATCCGTGTACTCCGTAATTCTATAAGAGAGGAAGCCTCCCCCCTTCACAGTTTACAGCTAGACACATCTCAACTTTATCCTCCATCTTGCTTCTCTGTGAGAAACCCATCAAAGATGAAGGCTATCACAATTCTTTCTTTGATGACCGCCCTCGGGGCTAGTGTCTCTGCTCGGGCTCCTGTCACTCTCAACTTGACGGGCCATATCGATGCCTCGCAGGTCATGTCCTTTGTCTATGTTCCGTTCCAAGTCGAGCCTGAGACCACCTCGGTCTATGTCCTTCAGAACTACTCTCTCCATGGCCAGGGTAATTCTTTGGACCTGGGTGTTTTCGACCAGCGCGGTCATCAGCTGATGAATGGTGTCAACGACACTTTCGGATCTCGCGGATGGTCCGGTGGTTTCCGTAATAACTTCACCATCACGCCCTCCTGGGCCACTCCCGGCTATAACCCAGGTGCCATCGAGCCCGGTACCTGGAATGTCGCTCTGGGTCCCTACAACTCCATTCCCGAGGGAATTGACTGGCAATTGCAGATTGTCATGAGCTTTGATCCCGTCGACACCTACTTCTCTCCTACATTTGCCCAGGTTGACTTTGACACTATTGGTCAGTTCGAGCAGCAGGAGTGGCTCAGGGGTGATTTCCATATGCACACTGTTTATTCCGATGGCAAGTATACTCCAGATGAGCAAATCCAACACGCTCTAGCCCAGAATCTCAACTTTATCTTCTTCTCCGACCACAACACCGACTCTAGCAACAACATCATCGGCGCTCACCAGCAGGCCTTGGCCCCGGATCTCCTAATCTGCCGCGCTATCGAGGTCACCACCCGACACGGCCATTGGCAAGCCGCCGGTCTCGACCGAGAGCAGCGCATCGATTGGCGTTACCAAGACGTCGCCGGCTTCGCCGATGCTACCAAACAAGTTCACCGCGCCGGTGGCTTTGTTTCCGTCAACCCCCCCTTCGCCGCCTGCGCGGCCTGCAACTGGGGCTTCAATGACTGGGACCACAACGATGCTATCGAAGTCTGGAATGCCGACTTTGATTCAACAGACCAGCAGGCTGTCCAGAAATGGCACGATCTCCTCGTCGCTGGAAAATACACCGCTGCTATCGGTGGCAGTGACTCTCACTCCCCGCCATCCATGAACGGTGTCCCCACCACCGTCGTCAGCACTCGCGGCCGCAAGCAATCCGCCATCGTCGCGGCTGTCAAGAATGCCCGTGCTTATATCGTCGACGGTCCTGGGAAGTCGATGTCGTTTAACATCAACGTGCATAATACCGTTGCTCAGATCGGTGACAAGGTTCATGGAGCCTCAGCTGGTGACCAAGCTTCCCTGACAGTTGAGGGTATGAGTGGTCAGAAGGCTTGTTTCATATCTGATAAGGGTTATTTCTATAATACCACTATCACGGATCATCATGCCCTCCGACACCAGCTCCCCGCTGGCTTGAAGTTTGTGAGAGTGGAGGTCCGCAATGTTACTGATGATTCCGCGCTTGGTCTAACCAACCCTATCTGGTTCTTGTGAAGAGATATGGATTCCAAGATTCGGAGGAATTACAAGACCGGAAAAAATTGTACACGCATGACGGGATACGTTAGACGATGAGCTGTTATGTTCATGATCTTTGTTTTAGAAATTACCAATGTAAATTTTATTTTGATCCATTTTATGACTACTTTCATACATGAATAGCAGGGTTGTTGATGGCGGGAGGCTGGCACAGTGCTTTCCATTGCTTTTGATGGAACTGGAAAGTACAGCTCATGGGAATCGCTACCAGGCTACTGATTTGCTAGATTCTAACTTTTATGGTTTCTGTTCTTCTTCTTCTTTAAGCCCAAGTAGCTATCAGCAATCAGTCAACTTCTAACCCGTGATTACCTACTTGATTGTTAAATTTTGAAATTTCATGCAATCATCTCAATTTAACTTGAGCCAATTACTATTGTCTCAATGTCAAGCCTTAAAGATGCGTTTACTAGAAAGCCAATACCTAGTTGGTAACATATTATATCCGCAGTTGAGTTTCCGAAATTATCGCCTAGTTCCACCTGAAGAACCAGTGGCATCGGAATCATCGGAATTGGAATCGAAAGAGTGTACAGGGTATCGACAATCTCTCTATCCAACGTAGATGGATACCTGAACATGTTTCTAGTCCCAGCCTTTATCAATCGGACTGACATCTATGAACATTCGATCTAGTAAAATAGGATCGGGATCGGATCGATCGGCCGATAATGCCTTGGTCTAATTGTGAGTTACTGCCAATGCCCCACATGCTTTCGGGTTGAAACGAAAGCGAGACCGAGACCGAGAGCTTGCAACTTATGCATACCATAACAATTCCGTAGTTAGTGGAAATTTTGAGACCTGCTTAATCTTGCGTTTGTGAAATGATTGCCTATAAGGCTATTGTTAATACACGTGCCTAGATAAGCGTTCCAAAAATGAACACTATGATGTACATGTGCTTCTTGGCCCATTGTGGAGTCGCCTTGTGGAGATGTTCGTCTCTCCTGAACTAGTGTATTCAGATTTAGCTCTTTCGTTACATTTATAGTTTTCCTTCAGCTATTTGCGATCGCAATTTCCACTGTTTATTACGGGGTTCATAACACTAAAGCTAATCAAGGCTCGCTCTCGCTCCTGACTTTCCTCGCTCCACTCAACAACACAAGTGGAACCTTTCCACTTGTTTGAGTATTAGGAATACTCAAACTTTCCAAGGTTATCGGTCGTTCTGAATAATATTACTAATATACCATATTCAAGGTGAAAGAAATTCCGTAGGTAAGCCATATTCAAAGAAATGTGTCGGTCACCAATGAATCGGTCATCCTTCACACGAATCCACAGAGTACATATCATTGACGGCTATTTTGCTTCAACTCCATCTGCCCGTACACTTCATACTAGTAGTATTCTGCATGAAAATAATAAAAAATAGCAGGTTCTGTCTGATCAAAGGTTCCACTTCTGTAGATCCTACCTGAAGCGGGCTCTAGTGACCTTGCAGATCAGGGACAGGAAAAATGTACATATATAAGCTATTGCCTCTCGTAAAAGCTGATGGGCAAACTCATTAAAGCTTCAATAAGACGAGGTTTTTGCGACAAATTCCACCGCAATGGTTTACGTGTCCTACCTGGCGGCCCTGGCGGCTCTGTGCCATCTCACCAGTGCGCAGGCTGGCCCAAACACACTCGCACAATATAACCCATCTAAAAGAACCATGTCGGTGAATGCGAGTTCGTTTTCCCTAGGTCCTACCATGTGTACCATAGCTAACAATTTCTAGCGTTCTGCATTCTCCCCATCAGCAAAGCGGACGCCCGGACCATTTCCGGCCATGAACCTCTCGACATCCCTAAGAGTGTCCTTCCATCTTTCCCTGACGGCATGCACCCACTTATTGTGCAAGCTGGCATCAACAATGACATCCGCATGACGGCCTTGGACCTTGTTCCGCTGCAGATTCCCACTCTTATGCAAGGTTCTCTCATCCTTCCATACGTCGACGTAACAAAAGACGGAAAAACACCCATTAATGCTCCAATCAACAACTATATCGGAGGAACTGACGGCCATGATCTGCAAGCGCTCGTTCCTGCCATTGCTGCTGGTGTCTCGCCTTTCGAGGGTACAAATACATTCCCCGCAACCTTTACACCGGATGATGCCGCAGTCGAGAGCTTGCCAGGCGGCATCTACAGCATTAACGTGAAGCCATACCTACTGCCTAATACCATTTCTGGACCCGGTGTCTACGCCGAAGCATTTGATATGCTGTATACACTCACGCAAGCCTCGCCGTATACGGATCACACCTTTCACAACCTACTCAACCATCCACAGCTGCTGAACAATGGCAAGTGCCAGCGCAACCAGCTGTATTTCAATGAGACGTTCGCAGAGCCTAAGATGGCCGTGGCAAATGTGACGCTATACCACCAGATCTTGTCCACGCCACCAGCACTAATTGAAGGGCAATACACGGATGTTCACTGCTATGTGGCGAATGCAGAGCAAGTTGGAGATGTCGGCGAGTCTTGTGCCTCTGCGGCAGCGAAGGTGGATCCTATGGCGCTCCAGTAAAGTCTTGGGCGAATACTCACAAACTATTACGATGAGCCACCCCTGCGAGGCCTAACAGTTACTGAACTTATCCAATATAATCAGATGAATCACATATAAATATACTGCTCCTATGCACTCCTCACTGCAATATAACCCAGCAAGAGGCTCCCCAAAGTGAGCCAAAAACTCGAGATCGCAAACGCGCCTTGGATGTCACTTCCTGAGATTGACCATAAGATACCGAATATCAGACTGAATGAAGCCTCAATCTGTCCTTATAGTATACGGGGTCGGTCCTTCGCAAATCTTCGAGACACGTAGAGACCCCCTCGGGGTGGTCTTGGATTGTTCTTGGGCCGTTCACAGTTTAGTACACGTTTATAGAATATAATTTTTACCTACCACTGACAATAGTGAAATTCCCAGGTGCCGCTCCTGCCGATAATCCATCGTTTTTCCCGAGGTCTTTCCGTGGAAAAGAGTAGATATTGTGGCTGTTGTGCAAGAGTTTCGAGGAGGCTCAAATCGACATTTGGACCTTTCAGCCCCAGTCTACCCCACTATCAGGTGATCATATTGGATGCAGAAGAAAGCGACCGCCTCGATCTTATATTGTTCAGTGAGTCTACATCGTACTAGTAGTGCTCGAGATTAGTCAACCTCTGTAGGTCGTTCTGAATATGGGCCTTGCGGTGGCTGCGGCAATGGGCGTGCCCAGGTGGTTCCATCAACCAACGGGCCCACATTCCAAGGTTTCCCGTCAACCTTTAGTTCTGAGGTCAGGAAGTATCACCAGAACTACCAATAGTAAAAAAAACTGCACCTTTGCATAAAGAAACAATCTGAACTTGAATACTTGTAGCGGTATATATTCAATCACAACAATTTTCTACGGTATGAACACCTCGTCATCCCACGCACACCATGCCAGTAACTAGTAGTCCCCATACAATCCATACCAAGCCAGCAGCACCTGAGTACCTGAGTAATGAATCCTCATCCAGGGAACTGTAAAAAGCAGATCGAAACCAAAGTCATGCACAAATGCCGGGGTTCTCGTGAATACATAGCTGAAACGGGGGGGAGGAACACAGTTCAATAGAAAGAAAAAGGGAAAAGAGAAAGAAGAGAGCAGAAAACAAAAGGTCAAACGCTAAGCGCAGAAAAACAATTCCATCACCTTGAACACGTAGACCAGTAACAGAATCAACAGCAACAGCGATATCAACAGCAATAGCTGCCTACCACTCATCATCATCGTCATGCTTTCCCTGCATGGCACTCTGTCTCGCTCTAAGCGCCTCGGCAAGACCACCCGCTAGGCTAGCATTGGATGCACTATTCGGCGTGCCACGACCACTAGCACCAGATGAGTCGCCGGAATTCATGCTCACGGCGCTGTCACGGGGGGGCTGGGGGTGGGGCTGGCTTGCGGCCGGCCATGGTGGGACGTTTTGCGGGGGGTGCAGGTGGAGCGGGCTTTGTCTTTGCAGCAGCTGCTGCGCCGACGCCGCCGCCGTTGGGGACGGGAGAGGGGGTTGCGCGGGGTGCAGTGGGTGGCGGTGGGGGTGGAGTTGGTTTGGGTGGTGGTGCGGACTTTTGTTCTTCTAAGTATGCTTCGGGTGTCCAGCCTTGAGCTGAGGTTGTGGTGTTCATGCATAGCCACCAGCCTGTCGTGATGTTAGAAAGGGATTTCTTCAAGTGGGGAAAACAGGGGATATACGTACCATTTCCTTCCTTCGAGACGATTTGCACGATCTCGCCTGTGCGGATGGATAGCTCGTTCGCGCGGTCGCTGTTGAAATCGTATAGAACCTTGGCGGTTGGCTTTCGAGAGGCGGCGGGGGGTGCGGAGGGTGGAGGTGGTGGGGGCGCTTTCATGGAGCCGCTTGAGTCGGTGCGTATGTGAGAAGCAACTGCGGCAGCAACGGCCGCTGGTTGGGGGACGACTCGGGACTGAGCAACTGGTGTCGGGGCCGCTGGCACAGCAGTCGTTTGATGCGATACAGGCAAAGGCTGCGCGGCAGGCGGCGCTTTGCGAGCAGCACTGGAAAGCTTTCCTGCATTTCCACCGGGGCCTCCCTGGCGGAGAAGTCGGCCCTTGGTGATTGGTCGTGCAGCGACGGGCTTCGCTCGTGGGGTGGGCTTCGATACGGAGCTGGGAGGTTCACCGGCGCTGGTGTGGATCGTGCTACTCTTGTAGCTGTCAACGGCTCCAGCTTGTGGGTCCTTAACAGACTTGACATAGGCGAGCTTTCCTGGCTTCTTGTTGTATTCAATGCTCTCCCCGATCTTCAAGTTCAGGGAGCCACGAAGAGTGGTGTTCAGGTGGGTAAAGAATTCGGTCTTAAAGACACAGGTGAGAAGGGGGTCGGGTTCCTGGGCACCAACAACCAGTGAGAACCAATCATCCTTCAGGTTTGAGGTGCTCACGGCCTTGATGGCACCAACTGGGATAGTTCGCTCGGATGCAATGACAAGCTGGTTGTTGACAATGCTCTGAGCCACAATGTATACATGGCGGCCAGTCAGAACTAAGATGCGAGGCATGAGCTTGCTGGAACGACCAAACTTGGAAATAAGCACTTCCGATCGACAAGAGAATAGGATGTCTTCGGAGCTGCTAATGTTCGCACCATTCCGGATCATCTCACCAGGTCCACCCTTATTGCCCACACCAAGGTAGTCACCAAGGAAACGACGCGAGCCGAGCAAACTCATTCTCCGACGTTCCTTGCGGCCTTGCAGGACTTGGTGGCCTGAATCACGGACCTTGATCAACTCAAGGCCTCCAGTCGTACGGCGCCAGAATCGCTGAATACGAATGGCACATTCGATGCGGTAGCGGAGGTAGTTGCGCCAAGCACGTTGGATGCGGATGGCCATGTTGTGCCAGTAGCGGTCACGCATGGCTTCCAACGCGAAGAGAGTCTCAGGTGTCTTGACAAACACCTTGGTGATACCCATCTGGTACTCCTCTGCGGGGATTCGGGTGTCCTTCAAGATTTGTTTCGCGCCGGACTCAACATCGCCCGACCAGGTATAGTCACCGGCGTAGGATGTCTTCGGTGAAAGGAGGTAGAATCGCTCGACGAACTTGTCGAATGTTTGACGGTACGCAAAACCGGCACGGCGAATGCGAACGTTCTCCTGCAGACCAAGATACTTGATCTGGTGCAGCACGTTCCCTTCATTATACTCCTTGGGCGCCTTGTTGTCGTTAGGCTTGATGGTACGGATATATGAGGGCTGCGCCTTCATCAGCGTCGCGACCAGGTCATTGGCCGAGGCCTTGATCTTATCACTGGCAGTCGGCGGACGACGCTTGTCATCCTGGTTGACTTGGTTGGGGAAGAGGGTATGCACGAATTGGTTGCCGCTAGATCCAGCCAGATTCAACAGATCCTTCAACAATTGATCCTTGTTCTTGTCCGTCATTCCCTCAATTGCGTAGCTGACATCACCAGCGTAATGCTTGACGATAAACTGACCCTGGCGACCTTCGAAGTTGGGGTTTTGGCTAAGGAAGTTCAGACGACCAACAAAGGTGTTATCGGCAGCACCAGAGTCGGCGTGGGCAGTCGCGCAAGCATCGTTCAAAGCAGCGAACACACCCGGGGGCCGCTTGTCTTCGATCAAGGAACATACGACCTTGTTGTCAAAGTACTTGATCGGCGTCCACTGAATCTGCTCACGAGCATATTCATCCTGCTCCGCCTTCAAGGTCAACTGAATAAAAATCTGTTGTAACTTCTCGTTGACGTAGTTGATACACAGTTGCTCAAATGAGTTCTTTTCGAAGATTTCGAATCCGTAAATATCTAAGATACCAATCGAGTTGCTGATCGCTCCTCGGGCAGTTAAAGATTGGTTGATGCGCTCCACGATCCAGTCGAAGAGGTTGAAGTAGATGGCCTTGGCCAAAGCGTCCCGCACGGCCGAAGCCTGTGTCCGGTTCAGCGGCACCTCGTAAACGGAGCCTCTGCGTCCTCCGCGGGCAGTCTCCATCAGGCGGATCGTCAAGGCCTTGTTCACCTGGGCGGCATCCACCTCCATCAGGTAAGCCACGAAGTCCACTGTCGACTGATCTGAGATAATCGCATTGCCTGAGTCGTCCTCGGAGAATTGAATGTTACCGATCCACAAAATTGCGGATAACATGCGGAAGACATTATCCTGCTCCGGCTCGGTCATACCGATCACCCGCATCGCATCCAGGGTATCCTTAAACTCGGCAACATCGTCGATTCCAGGCACATCGTAACACTTGGAACGGCTGGTATAGAGGTAGGACTGCGGTTGTTGGACACCGAAGGTATCCCGGTACTTCTGCGGCGCGCCCTTGGTAAATTGGTAAAATATATGGAAGTTTCGCTCGTTTTGAATCTGGCCAACAACGCGAGTCTTCTCCAATAGGTAGTTGGTGATGTTAGCACCGACCGGCTCGCCTTGGGCGTTGAACTCGAGTTCCAGGTACTTTCCGAATCGGGAGGAGTTGTTGTTGCGCAGGGTTTTGGCATTACCAAAGGATTCTAGCAGAGGGTTTGTGGCCAGCACCATCTCCTTGGTCTGCTGAATTGATGAATCGCTACCGCCCGAGACACTGGCAATATATTGCATAATGCGCTTGGCGGCCTCGGTCTTTCCGGCACCTGATTCACCAGAGATAATCACACACTGGTTGTCCTTGTAGGACTTCATGTTATAGTATGCTGATTCGGCGACTCCGAATACATGGGGAGGGACTTCGAGTCGGTTCTTGCCGCGGTAGGAATCTAGCACTTTATCGGTGTAAATGCCGACTATGTGAGAGAGATCATCGGTTAGTCATGATATAATGGGGGCGCCTCGCGCGCGCGATAACGTCGCAGCGCCAGCGCAGCGCATGTTGTGGGAAGTCCGCTGGTGACTTACGGTCTTGAAAGGGGTTGACGGAGACCAACACATGTCCGATGTAGGTCTAGTAATGACATCGTTAGCCTATACCCCGAGGTCTCTTGAAGCACGAGGGGGGAGGGTGGAGAGTGTCGCGGGCATGGAAAATGGGGTCCCTTACATAAATTTCGCCATGCTCAAATCGTAGTTTCAGGTTATCGTTGATCGCCTCGTTGGAGATCTTGCTAAGGAGAGTCAAGTCGGAGACACCAATCTCCTTCTTCTTGGAGGATTCGAAGGCGGCCTTCTTGACCTGTCCTTTTCCTGATTGACGACCATCGCCGACATCAGCGACAGCTTTGGAACGACCAAAGCGACTCTTCTTTTCCCCGCCTTGGGGACGTCGTGATTGACCCTAGATAGAGCGCGGGGTCAGCGGCAGTCGCGGGGAGGAGGAAGTGGATAGCAGATCTAAGTGAAGATACTCACCATATTACCAAATGATCCAGGGAGTATTGCCCAGGATCAGAAGTACCAGAAGTCAGGAATTGAAGGAGAGAGAAGAGAAGGCCTCCGAGTACAGAGAGTAGCCCAGAGTGCCTAGAGAGTCCACAGAGTCCAGAGTGTCGGGAAGGCGGACAAAAGACAAACAAACGGGGCAAACACACTGCGCCACTTTCCCAACTCCACCATTCCATTTCCACTGCTGCCTTTCAGGGGCAAATCCGTTGGGCCTCCACTGACGCGTTACTGACAGGGACCAAGGGTCGGGCATAGAGGGTACGAGTACGAGTTATTACCATCTAACTAACTACCATCTCCAGTGTGGTTGTCCGAGTATCCGTACTGTACTCCATACTGACAGCCGCAATGTGGCGCGTGCATATAAGAATAGCAGCACCGACGTCATTGGGCATGCACTGCGTAAGCCCTGTCAATCAAACTTTTCTTCCTTTCCTTTCTTTTTTCGCTATTGCCTAATCTACAAAAACTATTCCTCATTTAGACTGACAGGGTCACACATTATTGTATTAGCAACCACTTTTTAGTAGTACCCGACGAGTACTACCTAGTACTACCAGCAGTTACTAGTAGTATTAGTAAGTAACTAACTACCTAGGTATATATCTACGAGTACTTCATCTTGAATTTAAAAGTCACTGTGACCCTTCAAGTTCAACTTGAAGCTTTAGATTCGGGATCATGATATGCGAAGCAGTCTTGAACTTGAAGTTCAAGTTGTTGAAGCCCTAAGATCCATGGATTGTGCAACCACCTGGGCATCTACTAGTTAGTAGTACGACTTGAGCTCTTCAACTTGAAGTTCTTTTTGAGAGAAACTTTTGAATCTGGTTCAAGTTGGCAATTTGGTTTCACACCGCACAAGAAAATGATGCTTTTTTGAGATCCAAGGTCACCGGCGGAATTGTTTAATGTGACCTTTGATTTTATGTTTCTGTTGTGAGTATTCTATAGTTGCTACTACTAGTAGAAAGGGGCTCTCAAGCTCCGAGAAAGTTCCGAGGGCTCCGAGCTTATCTGTTATCGCATAAGTTTTATGGACCCCGGACTTCGGCTTCGACTTCAACTCCAACTTCATCCAGCACTTATATTTACTAGTACAATGGCAGCCAGGATTTCGCGTCAACTGCCACTACTCAGCCGACGTGGCTGGGCTAGCTTGCCTTCCCACGCGACTTCTCGTCTTGTGAATACCAGTGCTCGAAGCGGCTTGGTGACGTCGCGCAACACCCGGAACATCGCGCCCTGGACATGCCGCGCAACACAAGCCAGCGTGGCCGTGCCATTGCGATATGCGCATACCGATGCTAGCTCGTCGGGCAAGCCCAAAGCTGTCATTGCGGATGCGACCACCTTTAAAGGGTCCAATGTCACCGAGAAGCATTGGACAAGCCAGAATCTGCCAGTTGGTATGTACGCAGGCCCAGGCTCGGCTCTCCTCGATTTGATACCCCGGTTCTTCACTATAGTCACCTAGCTAACATTGGGATGTATTAGCGGACCCTCTAATTGAACCGCAAGCCGTCTTGCATTTTCTTGAATTTATCACGTCGGGTATTCTACCCAATGGCAAGAAAACCGATCTGCCTTTACTTAACCCCGAAGAATTCCCACTATTCTTGACCCCGAGCTCGCAATGGGCGCCGGCGCCTTTCAACAAAGATGATACCCTATCATCGGTACAGAAAGCTATGAAACGCATCACAGACGCAGAGGAATTGACCGGACTGTGCCTTGTTGGCCAGAACATTCAGTTCATCAAAAATCGTCTCTGGGGGGGGGTCTCGCCCCGGTACCCGCATCACGATGGCACGAAAAGGATCTCAACAACCCGGACAATTTCACCATCGCCCACGAGTACCTGACCTCCGTCATTGCCGTCTTTGAGTATCTCAACAATCCTCAGATCAAGACTAACATGCGCGACACCTTCAACAAGATATCCCGTGACTTCGGAGAAATGCAGGATGCCCTCAACGCCCAGCGCAAGGCAGCAGGCAGCGTTTCTCCCGACCTCAACTTAACCGCCCTGTGGGAAGAATACATCCGCTCTGTCTACGAAGTAATGACCAGCACCGCCCACAACTGGATCCTATCCCGAGTCACCGAACTCCGCGCCCGCACCCTGGACAGCTTCTCCGAAATAACAGCCAAGCCCAACGCCGAAGAATCGCCCGAAATGGCCATCTTCTCGCAGCGCTGGAGCGAGCTTCTCTCCGTGACCTCGGGGGCCGATTTCAACATCTGGATTTCCATGGAAGGATACGACGGCTTCAAAACACCCACCTCGATCGTCGCCGGCCTCCACAATCCCAACCTGCAGAACCAAAGCACCAACTACCCCTTTTCAGAACTCTTGCTCGAGCGTCTTGGCCGGTGTATCCAGCGCCAGAATAAGGAGGCTGGCGTCTCGGGCGAAGGCGCGATCGATACGGATGCCGCGCGCCGTGAACGTCTTTCCATTAGTACGCTCGTCCAGGATGAACTGCGCGAGAAGATTCGCGGCACAAACCCCTCGCCCAAGCCACCCGTGCAGCCCTGGATCCAGCAACATCTCCGGGCCTACGAGGCGCTCTCGAGGAACTTGCAGCCTGGACAGGAAGTCGACTTTGGCTTTGGATTGGCGATTTACCGCGCCGCGTACAGGAACGTCTCGGACGAACAGTGGGCAAAATTGAAGCAAGATTTGGAGAGTCATCTTTCAGCCTGGGGCGAGGAAGTCGAGCGCGCCGATGAGCTCAAGCCACTCCTCAAATTGCACTGGTTTGACTGCAAGGAATTAGGCTTCGATGCGGCCAACTCTATCACCGAAGCGAGAAGGTTCGTCGGATAAAATTTACCCCCGAGTAGCAAAGGACAAATAACTAATACTTCTCCTGATAGCCACTTCCAAAAAATCCGAACCTCTGAGGAATGGAGCCGCAAGATCGCCCCATCCTTCTTCCTCGCCATCGACCCCATGAGCAAGGGCTCATACATCGACGAGGCCTTCCACCCAACCCCAGCACCAAATGAAAACCTCCTTCAAGGTGATTTCCAGGGCCACGTGCTAGCCGTTGACGCAGACTTCGAAGCACCCGCACCTACGCCCACGCCCGCCAACGACGCAACCAAAGACGCCGAGCCCGCGAAATATAACGGCCAGCTGCGCGTTTTGGGCAATCTAGTCTGGAGTGAGGTCTACCCTATGCTAATGCTTCAATCTGCGAATCTCGAGACTCTCAGTATGCGGGCTCGCGATCATCCGATGAAGGTATATACGGGTCCGACGGTGCCGAGTCAGGTTGTGCCTTGGAAGGAGCGGAATGAGATGAAGGGGTGGATGATGGATAGTTTTGTGGATTATTTGAAGGAGAAGAATCCTGATCTTGCTGGGAAGGTTGAGGGATTCCGGGGGCAGGGGATTCTTTGATTGGATGTTGAATGTTAGATGAGGATGAGGATGGAAAGTTGTGATCTATAGAGTGTATTATAATGTATCATTGGTCTATCTTGTATTTGGTTTGGAACATACTACTAATATACCTTCAAGTTGGTGCTCCCGGCCCATGTCTGTCTATACTAGGTATATCTGTGGAAAGAGACTTGGGTACACATAAGTACAGATAGTTAGTTACTATAGCTATATCTACATTAAGTATGGATCAAGTTCACCAAGTTCAATCATAGTACCGTCACAGTGACTACTAACTAGTAGAAGCATGTATAAAAATTCAGATTACCACCTACCTACCTAGGTAGGTAGGTGCCAGCCGGCAACTTTGACTCCGAGTCCAATTCCTCCGAGTCCGAGTCGATACCCGTTACTACTACTAGTACCGTGACCACTTCCTTCCTCCTCTCTCCCGCTATCATACTATCATCACCATCCTTCACTCTCAAAGTGTCCTCAATTCCACCATCTTTCAAATTATCTTCCAAGCTTGTCATCTACGAACTTGGTACTGCCTCGATACTACTAGGTCTTTCCTTGGTGGGCTATCAAAAGGCTATTTGACTATTTCTTCGGCCCTGGGATCTTGGATCTTTGACACGATACTTCGCCAAAATACCGACTTAGTATTCAAACACCTATGGACCAGGATCTGTCTCTAGGTCAGCCCCAGGCTGGGTCCCAGGAATTGCCTATGCTGGACGAGCTTCAGCACCCGGTACTTCAAAACTACCTCCCTGCAGATAGTATTCAAGGTCGAAACGACGGTGAGCATACTAAACAAGAAGTACACCATTCGCTTTCACTTCACCAAAACTAACTTCTCTATTAGCGGAGGGACATCTCGTAGAACCGTTTGAGTTTCGGTTCAATGCCTATGTGCCACCCAGGGCAGACTTGTCAGCGGTTCCAGGCCAGGGAGAGACCCAAAGAATACATGTCAGCCTTGATGTCTTTCTGGTCACCCCTCACTGTCTGTTCCCAGAAAAATTTCTCTATACAAGGAGCATGATGCAAGATTTCATAGTGCGGAGCAATGCCTACGACACCCGTGGCGAGGTTATTGAGAAAGCCATCGTGTTCTTCATGATCGAGCACCCTACCGAAGGAATACATGGAACAGGTCTTCTCAATAACTTTGCAACTTTGGAAGAAATGTAGGTTCCTTCTCTACCTTCTCTACCTTCTCCTCCCTCCCTCCACACCTTTACTAACTTACCCCTCGATACAGACGAATCAGAATGCTTCCAGAATACGTCCCAATCCTCCCGATCAAAAATCCAACAGATTTCTACCAAGAACTGATCGGATACCTCCACCGCGCCTCCCAGATCGGCGAGCTGCACCCACCACGTCCAGATCTAGCCACCAGTCCGCCCGACTCGACTGAACAGGGGAACAGAGGAGAGAGCTCAGACGTGGATGTTATCAACGAGGACGATTCATTCCGGAATAACTTCTATGCAGCCATTGAATTCCTCGATCGGTCACTCGATGATCCTGGAGGCCTGGCTGTGGCTCAACAAATCATGGGTCGCTCTACGGCTAATCGTCTTGGTCAACTTATTCATACTGTGGCGCCTATCATTTAGGGGAGTAGCGGTCTGTTCCTGATCTATCTGTTATGTGAGCTAGATATGTCGGCGTTTATGTCTGGTGGGATATGGATTGAGAATTTGTTTTAAGCTTGATGTTCTAGGGGTGGCTTTTAGACCGTGTATTCTTTTAGATTCTCTTACATCTTTCATCTGGGCTCGTTATGGTTATGTTCAAGGGACCTCGGGAGTAGGAGGCCTCCGATCGCAGCTTGTCTTTTTTTCTTCTTCTTCTCTTCGAATTAAAATTTTATTCTTACTTATGAAAGAATTCCCACTAGTAATAATAGATAGCATAAATTGTATAGTATACTAGTATCACATAATCTATCTTAGATGTAGACTCAAAGATGATCATTTTCAGCAGAATATAATTAGGGTCCAGAGCTTGGAGAGGGTTGAAAAATCAATCAGGTAACCTATACCACTCAAGTATGCAGAGTCCAATCCCGGTAACTAGTACAAAAGAAAAACAACAAAAATTAATCTATTGACAAATCAGACAGGACTATGTATAATCCATAGCAAAATATCTCAAATGTATGAGTGGAGGGGGGGTATCAACACAAAATCACAGGTCTATCCACCAAACAAAGTAACTCAAAAAAAACGCCCGGCGTGCTATGTATGTATCGAAGGAGAGCAGAGCTGGTAGTTACTCCTTGATTGTCAATGCGGGAGAAGATCATTAGTTCTGGGCAGAGATAGTAGACGAGGCAGTAGAAGGCGCTGCCGATTTCGAGACCTCAGTCTTAGACTCAGCCGTCTCGGGCTTCGCCACGGTGGCGGGTGTTTGCTGGGAGATTTTCGGTTCCTGACCGAAAGAAATGTACGACGTAAGTCGGGTCCACAAGCTATCTTCAGTCCGAGGCTTTGGCATATCATCCGGGACATCCAGTTTTCCGTGTTTTTCTTCGTACAGGGAGAGTTTTTTCTCCAGCGCATTAAGGCGATCTTCAACGCCTTCGCGGCGCGTACTCTCTTTATTCCGCGACCGCCAGGATTCAAACACGATCAGCCCGCCCGCCACGAGGAACAGGAAACTTTCGCTAATAAAGTTGGCACCGGACTCGATGGCTTTGGACTCGGAGAGGGGTCGGATTCGGTAGTGGTGGGGTTTGGCGGCCTCTTCGGCCGCTGCTTTGGCCTTGTCTAGTGCGTCTTGCTCGGCTTTTGTGGCGGCTTCGGTCTTAACTGTTGGGTTTTTGGCGAGGTGTTTCTTGGCTTCGGCTTCGGCGGCGGCTTGTTTTCTGGAGGCGGTGGTGTCGCGGATGGAGCCTAGACGAAGTCGCATGTCGAAGCGGTGGAGAGCTTGGGCCATTGAGACGCAGATGTTTCGGAAGCGCTCATGTTCGCGTGCTTGGGCTTTGATTTGATTCTGTCGGTAAAGTTTGTGTTAGCTTGAGGGTTCGGCGGGGGAGGGTTCGAGGGACTGGCTTACGGCGATGGGTTTGGAGAGGGTACGGATGACTAGCGAGGAGATTTTGAGAGTGAGTGACATGGTGAGTCCACGGGTGTTATGTCTGGAGCCTGGTGCCCTTTCTATCCCTCAGAGACGGTAGGTAGGTAAGAGTAAAACTTGAATCTGAAGCTGACAGCTTAATTACGGCTGTGACGTTGCTATTTCAGGAACGGGTGAGTCAGCAGTTCCTCTCCACTATCGGGAATTCATGGTAGTTAATTCTATTTTTTATGTCAATTAGTATAAAATACAGAATATAGGTAGCTTTGGTGATATATAAATATAAAGGATAATTATACATCAAGTAAAATACTAGTAGGAGTTGAATAACAATACTTTGAAGTAACTACTATCCTAATAAATAGTAGTATACTTCATATCATAAGTATGACCACCAGGAAGCTGGCACACCCACTAGTCTAACCCTTCGACCTCCCAATCGCAATCCGGATCTCAGTTTAAGTTCCAAGGTTTACCTCCTTATTTTTCGTGACTAAGTCTGCACCTCGTAGGTGGTGGCTGGGTTGGAATCCATTCAAATGGCCAAAGATCATACGGACCTAGTATTGCTTTTTTCTCGACTCCTACCGGGCAACCGAGCTTATCCCAGCGTAAGCTGGAGCTCCCTGGTAGATTTCAGTAGCCCTAATTTTTGCCTAATGGTTGGAACGCGTAGAATTTCGTGGAGATTAGACGCTAGTGAGGTCCAGCAAACTCATCAAGAAAACCTTGAAAGCGAACATCGGAACTTGAAGTTCAAACCTTGGAATTGACTCGGAAGTTGATGATACTAATATCACAAATAGATGTATATAAAGATACATTGCCCGGGTGTTCTTGCGATCCGCTAAGCCGTTTTTCTTTTGAAGTCATTCTCCTAGTCATCACTACTAGTAGTACCCTTTTAAAAATTTACGTATAGTTTCAAGGGTAAGAGTAGTAATATTTCCCTGGAATAGGTCTGAAAAGCCTTGAAACCCGACATACTAATAACACTGGCAGGTACCTAACTACCCCAGAGCGAGTGTGGGGATAGTAAGATCTACACCTTAGTTGGTATTGGAATTCGATATAGAAGAGAATTTCTTTTTCTGCCTTCTGACTGCTCGACAAGAAGAAAACAACACTTTTCCTTCATTCACTCGAGTTTGAGTAAATAAACACAATAAATTCTACGCAGGTGCTAGTAATGTTCTTTGTTGTAACTAGGGGGCTGTTGACAATATCACGTGACGGTTACTGTTTATCGATTGCCGAAAGGGGAAATCTATTTGGGCCCGGGTTTCTTCGTTTCCAACTTCACTCCCCGCTTTCACCTCCTCGGCTTTGCGCTGTCTGGCTTCGCAGCAGCTTTGTACAGTTTTTGTTTTATTTAGCGCTTTGCATTCTGGTACCTCAGATTCCCCTTCTCACCATCCCTCTTCTCCGGTCTCACTCGGCCTCGGTTTGCCGACCGGATTTAGCTGCTCATCACTAACGGATCGTTGCAGGGATACCAATCTGCACCACCAAATACTGATACCCCCTTTGCGGCTCCGCCTAATACCCCGATTCTTTTCATGACTTTGACGCTTGATATCTATTTTATTAAACCAAAAGTTCTATTGCCTCCGCGGACCCGTTTGTGACGTCCCTAATATCGTCGCGTGACGCTGGCCAACCCGACGCAAGTTTCATAATGGAGGCTCTTTCCCCACGCTCGACAAACCAGATGATCCGGCCCAAACCTATTCCCGAGCGCAAAATGACCGATAAGAATGCCGCGGCTGGTCCCGTGCAGAAATCCTCGTCTTCCAAGAACCATGCCGACCCACCTCCATCTTTCGTACCGGAGCCAGAGGAGGGTGGAGAGCGATACTCGATCGGCGGATTTTTGGGTAAAGGAGGGTTTGCTGTTTGCTACGAAGGGACACTCGCTCGGAATGGTCGACTGTTCGCTATGAAAGTAGTCAAGTCACAAATGCCCCAGAAAAAGATGGAGGAGAAGGTACACAACCGTTCGCACAGCGTTGGCGTTTATGAACGATTTGCGCTAACAATACCCAGTTCCGAACAGAACTTCAAATTCATTCCAAAATGCGCCATCCCTTCATCGTCCAATTCTACCGAGCCTTCGCATTCGAGCAAAGCACCTATGTCGTTCTAGAGCTATGTCCGAACGGATCAGTAATGGATATGGTAAAGAAACGACGGTCCCTTACCCTACCCGAAGTACGACGATTCATGATTCAGCTTTGCGCTGCCGTCAAATACCTCCACAAAAGATTTGTCGCTCACCGTGACTTGAAAATGGGGAACCTGTTCCTTGACCACAACATGAACATCAAAGTTGGAGATTTCGGACTAGCGGCAATGATTCTGTCAGATAAAGACGCAAAGCGTCGAAACACACTATGCGGTACACCCAACTATATTGCACCGGAGATCCTCGATAAGAGCAAAGGTGGACATACCCAGAAAGTCGACATTTGGTCCTTGGGTGTCATCTTGTAAGAAAATCCCTCCATGCTACGCGTTGGAATATACTAATTCGTTGTTCCTCAGTTTTGCTATGTTGACTGGATACCCCCCCCTTTCAATCGAAAACACAGGAGGAGATCTATAAGAAAGTGCGGAGTTTGGCATACGTCTGGCCAAAGGAATCAGACCATTCGAACTTTATCCCCGAGGAGGCCAAGGACTTGGTTAGCGCTTGCTTGAACCTGGTGGACGAGGAACGCCCCGACCCCGACGATATTGTCGAGCATCCATTCTTCGATATGTATGACGGTTGCATTCCCCGCCAACTTGACCCGTCATGCCGTTTCAACAAGCCGGTCTGGCTTAAGGACCAAGCGCCGCTTGGAGACTCTATGATGAATGGATATGGCTTGGACTCCGATGAGAAGCTACGATCATATGTATACCAAGTTGATGATCCCACTCAAAGATACCATTCTTGCAAGGCGGCTTTCTACTCACTATGTGGAGTCGGGCGAAAGCCTGACGGAACACCGCGCAAGTCTGTTGGTCGCAACTGCTCGAAATCAGCGTATTCCGAATGTGAGGCTGAGGACGCCCGCGGCTTACGACCAGCCGTTCCCTTGCCAATGGACTTTGTATACCAGTGGCCACATGACTTGGAAGGGGATTGGTGTCTAGTGGAAGCCGCTCGGAGACCAATCCGTGCGGAGAACCCCGGCCTTGACAACAGTACTCTATCTCAGCGCAGTACGGCCTCAATTCGCAGCAACAGTACTGTCGCAACATCGAGAACCAATGTGGCACTCGCTGCCGCGCATCAGCGCAGACTGGAAACCCAAAATCACGCCGCTACGCTTCGCCAACAAATTCGACCTGGGAATCGAACCGTTAGACATATCCCATCGGTCGATGTACTTTCTGAGGCAGCAAGTAGACCTTACCGTGACATGGAGGCCGAGCCAGTACCAGCACCGGCACCGGCACCGGTACCAGCATTAGAAAATGTGCCGGTTCTTGAAAAGGAGCCATCTGCTGGTGGACTAGCAGAGCGTCCGATTCGTACGCGGAGGATGGCCTCGGCGTCTAACGCCCCGACCTTGCGTGAGACGGAAAGGGGTGCGGCTGTTCCCCAACTTTCCAAGTCTACCAGTATGCCATCTGGACTGACTATCGGTAAAACCCGATCCCAGTCGCGCCGGATGGCCACTGGAGAGGCGGTTAATTACCCCCCCCGCGCCGACAACACAACAAAAACTGGCGGCACTACCGGAAGAGCGTCGAGCTGTCAGTCGCTCGACGACGTTGAGATCCACATCTAGACCAGATCTCAAGCTCATGGCGGAAAGACAAAGGCCTGCGCCGGAGCTCATTGCAATGTCCTCTCAGCCGCCTCAACAAATCCAACCTACATCGAATGGAGTCAGCCGGTCCAACAGCAAGACATCATCGGGCACTAGAGCTCGCTCGAGTTTGGGACTCAGCCCCTTGTTCCATCAAGATGACCTATACGACATGATCCCCGGAACGTCGCTCTCTGAAGTCAACACTGATTTGCGACTGATGTTGTCAAATCTTATCAGCCACGCGCCCGCTCGTCGTCGCGGCGGGTCTCGGAAGCAGCCTCATGCCTACGTGATTAAGTGGGTAGACTACACCAACCGTTATGGAATCGGCTATGTTTTAGATGATGGCAGTGTGGGGTGTGTATTTAAAGGAGAAAACGGCCAACCTGCTAGCAGCGTCGTGGTGAGAGATGGCGAGAGGCATATTCGTCGCAAAGCTCGAAGTGTCGATACCCCCGAGGTTAAAGGAATTCCTTACTCCGAGTCTGAGCAGCTTGTCCCTCGCCACGGTAACGCCATCGAATTTTACGAAAACAGAGATGATGATTTACTCGGCTGCCGCGGCATTCGAAGAGGCATGGTATCGCCTTCCTTGTTTGACGCCAGAAGCTCCAAGGTCATGAAGATCCGAGTCAACTCCGGATCCGATGCCGACAGATGCGATGCAGAGAAGATCAAGCGTGTCAAACTCGTTGACCAATTTGGAAAGTATATGATCGGGTCGTTGGGTCGCCATGGCGACGACGGTCTTGCAGATGCGCCCGCGCCCCGGCAGACAAGTGGGCAGTTTATAAAATTCTACCAGCGACTGGGCAATGTGGGAATTTGGGGCTTCGGCGACGGTGCTTTCCAGTTCAACTTCCCCGACCACACCAAACTTGTCATCTCCCCTGGTCGTACGCGCAGCTCTTCCCCATGGATCGATTTTTATCACCTTTCGCCCTCGGCAGCGCGGTATTTCGCGGCCAAGGGAAAAATGCATCCGTCCGGTTTCGATACACGTGCTATTGCATCCGACGAAGCTGCTACCTTCATCAGCATTGCAAATGGCAGCTCCAGCAATTCAGTCGAGGAGCGCATCCGTGAGATCCTGGATGCCAACTCATTCATGGAGAAAATTGGGTTCATGAAGGAAGTTCTGAAAGGCTGGATTAAATACGGTCGACTTGGTGGTCGTCCATCCACCAATAAGACTCCTTCCGGGGTCGACTCCGTGGCCCCTGAGTTATTCTGGCAAGGAACCCAGGAACGCACACCAACCGGAGGCCATGGAACCAAATTCGTTTGGGTAACTGTTGGCGCGCCGGACGGCGATGGCGAGTATCGCTCTGTGATGCTGAAAGATAGTGACCGCGAGAAATTGGAGAAAAGAGGAGGACTGAGCGGTGGAGTGGACCATGAAAAGGAGATGGATGTGCTCCGGGAGCGATTGCGGATGATGGGCCGCGAGTAATGATGATTATCCAAACTGTGATTTATGCCATTTCGTGCTCTGTCTTCTTTTAACGACGTTATGACCTTTTGCTTTTTTTTCCTCTCCTTTTTTCTAATTCTCTCTCACTTTGTTCAATTTTTGTTTGGCTCGGGATTTCCTGGCCTGGGTTTCATGATGGCCTAACGGACAAGGATATTTGCGGGAAAATACGGCTCTTTTGCTGTTGTTTTGGGCTGCCAGACTCCATTAGCCTGGTGTTTGAATCGAGTTTATTATTTTTCCCTTCCTTTGCTTCCTTTTTGCATTGGCCCTGCCCATCCCTTGCTTCGCCTAGGCTTAGATAGTAGGTATAACACGAAGTATTATACACAAACGCACTGCGATCGGAGCTCTTTGTTTGCTGTTGGTCTTGATCTGTCCAGTGGGGGCTGTCCCCACCTCCAGGAAACATTATTCTATCTTCCCCGACTGCTTTGTCCTCCTCCAAACCACTTTCTTTCTCTCAATGGTGGTCTCAAGACTAAAGGGGACCACGCCTCCTGTTAGACAAAGGTCCCATCATTCACCAGCGACCCGCAGTACAATACACCCCACCAGTCAGCTGAAGTATATGCAACAGCAACAAGATCAGCATCGCGCTCCACTCTCAACGGTCAGCATGCAGAACCCCTCATGTTTGCTATATGGGCCTGGAGACGCTCGTTTCGAAAATATCTCCCTCCCAACCATCGAAGACCCCTACGATGTAATAATTCGCATCGCGTACGTCGGCGTCTGTGAAAGCGATGTATGCTGCTATTTTTTCTTCATTTTCCTCCCTTTCCTTTCCCTTCCCCTCTCCTCCCTTATCCACTGGAATATGCCCGTGCGAAGTACATCGAGAGAGAAGCGGAAAAGTCCAAACTAACAATAACCCCAGGTCCAATTATGGCTCCACGGCGGCATAAACAAATGCGTTTCCCCAGAACGCCCTCTAGTGATGGGCCACGAAGCCTCAGGAATTGTCTACGCCGTCGGCCCCTCAGTCACAAACCTCCAACCAGGCGATCCAATTGCCATAGAACCAGGCTATCCCTGCCGTCGCTGTCGGCACTGTAAATCAGGCAAATATAATCTTTGCCCGGACATGCGGTTCGCAGCCGCTCCGAGTCCACCGTTCCATGGGACTTTATCAAAGTACTACAAACTCCCCGCGGACTGCTGCTACAAGCTCCCGACTAATACGGCCCCTCTAACGCCACTCGGCTTGGACGAAGCCGTTCTCATCGAGCCGCTGGCCGTGGCCGTGCATTCTGTCCGAGCCGTTGGTGTGCAGCCTGGCGATAAAGTCGTTGTCTTTGGGGCTGGGGCGGTAGGCCTACTTTGCGCGGCTGTGGCGCGGGAGTTCGGGGCACGAATGATTACATCTGTGGATTTGAGCCGGGAGAGGCTTGATTTTGCGCACTCGTTTGTTCCGGGAAGCAGTAGTCAAGGTCAAGGTCAAGGTCAAGGTTACAGGGTAGGATTTTCCACGGCGATTCCGAACCCCGCGCTCTCGGCGGAGGAGAATGCGCAATGTTTACGTGTGCATCGGTCATCTGTACTGGATGATGAGCCGGGCTTTGACGTCGCGATTGAAGCAACGGGGTCCGAGTCGTGTATTCAAATGGCGATTTATGCGCTCCGGGTTGGGGGCTCGTTTGTGCAGACGGGGATGGGAAGGGACAGGGTTGTTGAGTTTCCGATTTCGGTGGTTGCGGAGAATGAGATTTGCGTTAAGGGGTGTTTTCGGTATGGGGCTGGTGATTATCGAATGGCGGTTGAGTTGGCGATTTTGAAGAAGATTGAGCTTAGGCCGTTTATTACGAAGGTTGTGCCGTTTGAGAAGGCTGTTGAGGCCTGGGAGACGACGAGGCGCGGGGAGGGGATCAAGACGCTTATTCGTGGGGTCGGGTTTTCGGATGCGAGTGAGTGTCAACGGGGTGGTTCGCCTGTTTCTGTGAGGAGGGAGGTGAGTTCGAGGGGGGGAAGTGATTATAGTAGTATTATTATTGAGCCGGAATGAATGGCTGTAAGTTATAAGGAGGGAAGTGTCATATATGAAGTTAAGAAGCTTTAATAATTATTATACAGGTAGATCTGTGCTTGGTGAGGTCAGGGTCTTCAATATTCTCACCATGAAACCGCTACCCAAAAGCTTGGAATGTACTATTAAATTTAGAATATGGTGTCGTTAATCGTCGAAATGATCCAAGTTGCCATATTTACCACGCCATGGGTGCAGCTTGGCTGATAGCCCTGTCAGTATTAAGCTCCAAATCCTTCTCTGATTCCAACCGGGCCTTCTTGTCCAGTCCCTGATCAGTCTCAAGAGCCCGGTCAAGGTCATATTCTTCAGTAAGCAAACTGAAAGCCAATGCCACAGCAGAAATAGCGCAGCAGACAATCCACACAATTCGCAGACTATCTGTGTATGCATCCTTTAGGTTGTTCTTGTCCATGCCATCCGGCATAGCCTTGATAACTTGAACGAGACCAGCCGCATCCTTACTATATGCGCTAGCCATTGGAGCCAGGGAATCATATTTGAGAAGGTTCTTGTGCATTTGGTTCTGGAAAACCACGCCGCCAACTGCGACGCCGATAGCCTGTCCCAAGGCACGGAAGAAACTGAACATGGCAACTGCAATGGAAAGATTGCGGGGATCGGCCGATGCTTGAACTGCGTATCCGATAGAAGGGAATAAAGATCCCAGGCCGAGTCCAGGGACAATGTTAAGGAAGACCCATCCAACGACACTAGTGTCTCTTTTGATGATGCACATCAGACCCAGTCCAATGGTAGACAGAACCCATCCCATCCACACTGCCCAGCGGTATTTACCAGTCGCAGTAATCAAAATACCGATGACAACTGAAGAAGGGGCAACCGTGAATGTTTGTGGGAATAGGGCCACACCAGAGAGAATAGGAGAATACTCCCTGACGGCTTCGTAGTAAAGTGGTAGGTAGTACAGGGCGCACCACATGATCAAGCCTTGAAGAACACTTCCTAGGAATGAGACACTTGCAGTTCGATTGACAAAAATGGCCGGAGGGATAATCGGTTCGACGGCGTAGCGGTACTCGTAGAATATGAATGCGGCCAGTCCGGCGACACCGACCAGCAAGGGAACGAGTGTGTGCCAGGAATCCCAATCGTAGGAAACACCGCCCCATGTGAGCGGGATCAGGAATGAGGAAAGACTGCCGACAAATAGGATGGTGCCAGTGTAATCGATGCGACGGAGTTTGTCGAGAAGAGAGCTAGGAGCAAGTTTCAGAGTCAAGAATAGAATGACGAATAAGGTTCCAATTCCGATGAATGGGAAGTTGATATAGAAGATCCATCGCTAAAAAGGCTGGTTAGATGCTTTGAGAGAAATTTACCCTTCAGCTGAAGTGTACTCACCCAAGTGACATTCTGGGCGAATCCCCCACCGAGGATAGGTCCTGTGACGGATCCGATACTCCACATTGCACTGAATATTCCGAAATACTGTCCTCGGTATCGTAAGGGAACAAGGTCTGTGATGATGACTTCGGTCAAGGCAATCACGCCACCTCCGCCAATACCCTGAATCGATCGACCGACCAGCATCTGCGTGAAGTTGTTTGCAACGGCAGAAACAATGGCGCCAACGCAGAAGAATAAAATGGACGTCAATACCGCTGGACGGCGACCGAAAATATTCGATAATGATGCGAAACTGGGTTGGAAGACTATCAAATATCTTAGCTTTTTATTACTGGGCTCTAGAGTATGCTATATCGCACCTGTAGAGCAGAGCAGGAACGAAGTCCCTGCCCAGAAAGCTTCGATGGCGGTGCCGTTGAGTTCTTCGGCCATGATCTACAATGTGTTAGCTCAAATCCACAGCAAGTGTTCCACATGGTGATCCGCTATTTGTTACCGGTAATGCGACAGAAATGGAGGTTCCATCAAGTGCGGCCATTAGAGTCAGCACACAGAGAGTGAACACTACCAGAATACCCTTCCGGCCCAGGGCAAACTTCTCATCTGGGTTGATCTGTGTATCATCACTTTCAGCAGATGCATGCCGACGGAGGGAATTTGTGTGAGGAGGTGATTCTGGCTTTTCAGCAGCAGGATTGGGCGGCTCCGAAGCCATCACGATGTTGAGTATAATCCAATGGATAGTTGGAGAGAACAAGATATGGAGGTGAATGAAGATAGTCAAGTAGAACAAAGCGTCAACCTTGGTGGAATGAGAACAAAAAAACAACGCGAGGCCAGGAATTACAAATCAGATCTTCCTGCTGTGCAATCTTATTGTTTCTTTGGCATTGGATTCAAGTTTGGAAAACCGCGTTGCAGGGCAGCATATAAACAAATTTAAGTCTTAAATCCAACGACCCTGTGGGTCCCCGACACAACTGAAAGGCTGCCCAGGTCACGGCGTCTAGCTTTCCAACAGGGCAAAATATTACGCCGTCGCGAGCCCGCAGTAATCATATTAGGTTCATTACGATATCTGATCCATTCCACGCTTGACAACTGCCGCACGAGTACGAAGTAGTCAAAGTGGGCTCATTCTGGATGATATCGCCAAGTCGGCCCAATTCCAGGCCGATTCATCAATGCGCCACTCAGCCCGGGGTCGGCCCAACCCTACATCTTTCGGTGGAGATCATGATATTGCAGCGGCCGCCCGAATTTCCACGTCTGATTGCGATAAGTCTCGTGGCATGCTGTGGATGACTCGATGAGCTCGTGTTTGAGGCCGGATTTTAAGGTCCTGCTGAACCCCGTGGATCCCTCCGGGGCTCTCGGGGATATTTTGTTGACCTTATCAGCCCGGGGAGGTTTAGCTTGCGAGCTAATCGAACTAACTACATTTGTCATACAAGCAACGGACACGGAGTGGAGTCCATTATTTGAAGGGTCCGCGGACCTGGACCGCGGACGAGCACCGCGGACATGGACTGTTGCTCTGCAGCTAGAATTTTTAAAATGTCTGCCCAGGTGTACCTTGGATTGGTGTTTCATTGGATGTAATCAAATACCGGTCGCATTGGAAATATCAACTGCCATCTCCGGGATTACTGGACCGGGTCAGAGTCTTGCTTTGGGAGTATAAGACTGCGAAACTCGCAGGATACAAACGAGTTCACACTGCAGGTTCCAATTCGATCAAAGAGGCGACTGATTTCTATGAATTTTTTTTTCTATCAAGTCTTCCAAGCAGAGTAAGTGAAAGGTTAATTCGAGGGCGCCTTCTCTTGATGGTGCAAATATCGTAGCAAACCAGGACTACCATCTGCCCCAAAAAAGCAGCCAACCCATTTCACCCTTATGCACCCCTTGCCTATTTCTGCAACCGCTCCCACTCACTCCGAACAATCTTCGGTAATTCAGCCAACAGACTAGGTCGCGATGGTTTCCACCCTAGAACCTCGCGCGCACGTCGAGCACGCCCACGAGAATTCAGGCCCCAACTGACAGACTCGAACCCCGCATATTCCTTTGCGCTTTCGAGGTCAATTGGCTCGGCCTTCCCCTCGGGGATGTACCCCAGTTTTGCAGCAACTTCTGCCGTGGATTGCGCCAGATCTCCCCAGACGTGCTCCCCGTTCTCTGTGAGATAGTAGACATCGGCACCCCAAAGCCCCGGATCAGTTCGACCTGCAACTGCAGCATCCACGAGTGACGCATATATATCACTCAGATCATGAACGTGCACATTGTTCCAGATGGACTGCCCAGCCCCAATTATCGGTCCCTTCTTCAATTGGAGCGTCACTTTCGCTAGCTCGTAGACTTGTCGTCCGCGCTGGGATACAGGACCTCTTCCTTTGCCTGATTGAATGATAAGTCAGTGCCATGTAGTGTATAGTAATCGGTTGGAATGTGACCTACCGTAGATCGTTGGAGGGCAGACCAGAGCAAGTTTGAGCACATCTGCGTGCTTGGCACCGGCTTCAAGGACGAGGTGGTCGACATTGCGATGGAATGCATAGTCGGGGAGATTCAGCAGTTCATTTACTCCCTCCCAATCATTGTAAATCTTGTCACTCCTGTTACCGTACTCTTTCTTGTCGGTATCTTCGAAGGTAAGGATTCCAGTTCCGCCCGTGTGTAGCCAGTACCCCGGCTTTTCTTTCGAGTGGCCCGCGACCAGACCAGCTGCGATTGCCTTTGCTGCACCTACGTGATCAGATGCGTCGGCAGTATCTGCTCCAACTCTCAGTTAGATAAGAGAAGAGATGTCATTACAATCGATGCTTGTAGGATTCATACTTACGCAGGACAATATCCGCAGCCGCACTCTCTCGCTCTAGTATCGAGGAGTCGTCAAGATTTCCCAGAACAATCCGAGCGTTGGGGTATTGGGCTTTGACCTGGGCTGCCTTGTCGGAATCGCGCACGAGAACGGAGTAGGTGAACTCGGGGTGTTGTGCGACAAGCGTAGCCAGGGCGTCGCCGCCGATGTAGCCCGTTGCACCAGTCCTGTTGAGACTTTAGATCTTGCCTTGCTGTTTTCGATAATAACACTCAATCTTACAGGAAGACTTTCGTCATTTTCTGGTCTCTCGCTAAATGGTGTTGGAAAGTGTTGTTGCGAGCGAAGAGCGTTGACGTCAGAGAGACTATCCGAGCGCGCAGTTGAGTGTTCTTTGCGAAGGAACTCGGAGGGGTGATATCTCTGATGGGACCAAGAGTCTCGGGAAGAAATAACTAGGTCAATTGAATTCTTGTCAATTCACATAATGGTAGTGTTCAATTATACTTGATTTATACCCCGCGATCGCAACGACCCCCTTGGTGACATTTGTAAGCAGTTCGTGGGGCAATTCGTCATGATCTTCGGGACCCTACGGCGTTTTTGCGAGATTGAAGAGGTCTATACCATTGAAACTTGAATTAGGATTCTTTTTGGGCCATTCATATTTTTCGAGAACTTCATCCATTGCTTTTCAGGTGGTCTGATCCCATAGCTAAGTCTACTACTAGTGCGGAACTTCGACCACCACCTAGGTAGGCATTGGACATCAAGTTTAAGACTACGGCGCTCCATAGCGGCAAATGACCCAGTGGTTCTGGCAGGGGTTATCAAAGATGATTAAATCCTTGGCAGAACTATTCTACGTATACAAATTATCTGACCTTACTTGGTTAGGGTGCTGAGTATATCGCTTAGTAGGATACTGAGTGGGATACTGAGAAGATGATACTGCACAACCCCAAAAATCAAGAATCGCTTATGCATTACGACTAGTACCGCCTGTCAAACCTAAATCTAGAATATCTTTTCAACATCAAAATTGGAATATTTACAAAATTTCTCATTTTTGCAACAAATTCGCGAAAGCCACGACCAGCAATTCATTGCCGAGCAGGACGGATCATGTTGACCTGCTCATATCCAGGCCAAGGAGAGAAAGTGTCCTTTGTCTCTTGAAACCCATTTTTGTCATATAGAGGTTTGCCCTCAGGCGAGCTAGAAAGATAAACCTCGACCCCCTCCTCATCTGCGCGCGCTAGCCCCCACTTCAACAACTTGGACGCAAGCCCCCGGCCCTGGTAAGACGGATGCACGCCCAGAAGCTCAAGATCTATCACACGTCAGTTCTGCAGCTCGGTCTATGATGGAAGTCCAGAATCTCCAGCCTCTGGGCATAAAGCAATGATGTAAAGGGGGAAAGAGAGCAAAAAAAAACGTACAGTAGTGTGGTCGACCTTCCATGAGTTCTTCATGGTGCTTTGCCATCGTGCCGAAAAACATTTCGCACAGCTTCTCATCACTACTGGCGGGCCACCTCGTAGATACAGGGTTCTCGTGCCGATCCTTGTGGGCATTTGCACCTGCAGCACTATCTGTAGACGCAATTGGGCGTATCCATTTCGCGAACGCAGCCACCGCGTCGGCATTGGAAGGATCCGTTACTTTGAGCAGAATCTCATGCTTGTGTTCGGAGTTTACCTGCAGCATTGTGCTCTCGAGAAAGGCGCGCACTTCCGGATTGTCGGGGAACATTGTTCTGTTGAAGTCGTCAGAGAATGTGGAGAGGAATGCCTCTGTGAATCTGGGCGAATCGCCCGGCGAAGCGGTTTGGACTTCGAAAGCCATTATCACTGGCGATGTCCGAGTGTTTGTAAATGAATTTAATAGCGTCGCGCGGTTATTATCCTTTGTTTGGCGGACTGTAAAAATCTCTGGTTGCGGATGATTGCCGCCTACGGGTTGCCGAGTTCGGTTCGGGGTGGGTCTCCATCACCAACTGCGGCCTGAGTTGGTGATATGTATGTACAAACGGAGTAGATAAACAAAACATTTGAATAGAAACTTGAAGCTTGTTTTTTGAAAGTGAGCTTAGGCTTGATTTGTTCCTGCTCTGCTTCTAGCGTTGTTTAGGTAAGATCCACTTGGGTTGAAAATTGGTATCTGGCGATCAGTGCTGAATTTAGAATGTCCTGCAGCTGCTAGTTTAATCTATTTCCAGGTTGAGCAAGATAAAATTTCCGTTTTTGAATAAGAATTTGTAAACATTAGATGACATAAGTGATCATGAGATTATAGTACTGTATCATGACATGCCTGGTATGAACGCCGTCAACATGTATGCGTCCGGTGGTATAAGTAAAGACATTAAGCAAAACCGACCTTCTTGCCGACAAATGACAGAAAGGTAGTATAGCTATGATTTATGGTCCATGGGGAGAGTATCTTGTGATTATCCTCAATGGCGTCTGGTGTAGCTTCTGTCCAATCTGATCAAATTTTGGACTGGCTCAGATGAAACCCACACTTGTTCAAACAGAGTCGGTATGTTGTTGAATGGGATGTATGGTGGGTCTGAAACCCATTTGAGGCAAAGAGATGAAAGATCAAATCTTCTCATGCACAGGAGCTGGAGAGCTGATCGGGCTCACAGGCTCATGATCTTCGGAAGAGTCAAACCGATGCGCATCCGCGCGGGTGGCGGGAGTTGTGGAATTTCGGTGACCGCTGAGATTATTCGAGTTGGGTAGAAGAGAGCGACGAATTCGGGGATCATCGGGCTGAGATCCTCTATTGTCACCGCCACTCGTTTTTGATTCCATCTCCGACTTGATGCTCTGGTACATGCTTTCCACGATGAAGACCTCTTCTTGAACATCAAGGGTACAGCCAACCAAACAGAATTCTCGTTCACGTTGCTCTATGTACTCTCGAATATTCTTCCACTTGTTTTGGTAGCCCTTCAGGCGATCGGGAAGACCAGAGCCCCGAAGGTAAGTGAGAATACCTGCCATGATGGTGTTGATTGCACCGAATGCAGTGATGGCAGAATGAGGTCCGCTGGCCGCGCCAGTAGCTGTAATTGCAGCAGCGACGACAATCTGAATACCCAGACATGTGTTGATGAGGAGGTTGAAGATTTTGTAGGCGCGAGCAGCTTTGGTTTCATTTCGGATGACACGCGTGTAGATACCGACATTTGGTGCGCTTCGAAGAAGATGTCCACCAGAAGTGAGGGCCGGGACACTGTCGATACCGGTCAACGCACGGAAGATCAGCAGCTTATCGTTGGGTGGAATAAGACTATCAGGGTCGTTTGGTGACACTGCGAGACCAGTTGCACGCTTAGAAGGTCCACGCTCTAGATCAGGAAGATCGTTTCCATTCCCACGCGAGGCAGCGAGGTGGGCTGCCATCGGAGGATAGGAATTCTCCTCGCGATCTAGAGCGGCTGTAACTACTCGCCGCAACAGGCTATTGGATCTGGGATTAGACTGGGCAGCCATTGTGGGAAGGACCTGGTGATGAGGAGAGGGGGGGGAGAGAGTAGAAAAACAACGCGTTACGCCCAGAGGAGGGGGGGAAGTCTCCATTTGTAGCGATGGGGATCAACACTCGGCGACGGTATCCGTCTGTTTTTTTTCTTGCTTTTTACACCCATTGAGTAGTACCCGTACATGTGCATATGTCAGTAGATTGGGGCACACGGCTAGGCCAGAGCTAAGTGCAGTTTCAGCAGCTCTCGAGTCATGATGATCATGGCTCCTACTCAAAATGGCAAGCCTGGCGGGCGAAACCTGCAGGGTTTATCGACCGGTGGATGCTGATGATCCAATCTGAATCGTGACAGGAGCGATAGCTTTAGGGAGCGGGTGTTGACGGCTGTCCCGCGAGCGCGGGCTGAAGTTTGCGAATGGACAGAACGAACAATAATGACCCTGAATGGGGTTTGAAGTGGCCGTGGCGTCAATTTGGCGTCGAATTGAGTGGGGATCGCACGGAACATTCTCGCGAAGAAGTCAAGAACGGTGGGGAAGGGTTTGATGATTGGGGGAATCACGGCCCAGGATCGTGATAGGGGCCTCTAAGAAGTGTGTCGATCGATGACACTTGATCCAGCTGACAGAAGACCTCCGAATGGGGGATCCCACATGGAGATCCTCTCCACGCCATTGCTTCAAATGGCTATGGGGCCTGGCCTGCATGATAGGCGAGGAAACCATGGGGTCCAGTAGGATGGTTGAGATTGGTGCTCTGCAGATGCCTCAAGATTGAGTGGGTGAACTGCTCCTGGGTGGATCTGCTTTGCACGGGCTGGCAGCTCCACACAAACTTACAAACACACGGCTCCAGTGCGATGGGGTGAAATGCCGATTTTCCCTCGAGTGTTCCCGTAAAGAAAAACGATCAGTGCGCGTGCGCGATCGGAGTGTCCGAGCGATCTAGGTCGCTCCTTAAGCTATCGGCCGGGCGAGCAAGGGAATAATATTGAGCGAACTTTGAAAGGTTGATGCATCACGTCGAGACAGCGGTAGCTGCAGGAGGCGGCGTTGTTGACAGTGCAAGGTAGATCTTCCCCTGAAGAATGCGATGGAGACAGCGGCACTCATTTCCGGGTCATAGCGGCCCCGGTCTTTCATTTATGCTCGTGTGCGACATGCTTCAATGCCATTTGTGTTGATTGGTTATGAGATAGTGTGAGAACCTCATCCACATCTCAGGGGGGTTTGGTGGCGAGCTGAATACGTTGCATTCTGCTGGGCTTGAGTTTATCCTGTCGTGCATCATTCTTAAAAAAACATCATGATCGCGATTGGTCCCCTAGAAGCTGTGGAAGTTGCGGAAGAGCAGCGTTGAAACATCTATAACAGCTTGGCTTCACGATTCCAAAATATTTTCATAAGGTATCTTGCAACATGTGATTATCAGCCCATTTTTGGGATTTCTTGTGCTTTGGAGACCCATCGACAGTTTTCTCGCTAAAGGCTCACTGAAGTGGACAGCATTTTTAAAAATTCTGCTTCCGAATTTCGAGCTGAATTGGGCGTAAATGATGATTGGGATTCACGTGCATCTTGAGATCGGCAGCGTGGTCCAGACTGAATAAAGTGATCGACTGGTTCGTGCCTTTCATCTCCGCTAATTCTGCTCGAGAACTTTCTCCCGCGTGGAGCACCAAACGCTCGATGATCCTAGTACTCACAATGTTACTTAAACAATCCATTCCCAGCCTGAAACGATTCAATATAGCTCTGGTCGAGCAGACGTTTGAATCGGAAAGAAATGAAAGAAAAGAAAGAAAAGAAAAGAAAAGAAATTTAGTCATAGAAGCACGCAAGTGGGGTTGCCAACGTGCAAGGATGCAGGTGCGAGGAATTGCATGAAACAGAGTTTGAAGTATTCGTTTCTATTTCTTCATCTCCCAAGGTTCCTGTTACACTGTCAATCACCTGGGCACCATAACGTTTCTAGAGGTTGACTTCAAGCCAACTTGAAAATGGGCTACCTACAACGTTGGAAAACATATGGCGGCATGCACTCATCGGATGAATTTCTGTCGTCATCCTACGCCATTTAGAACTAACTAAATATGTCTAAATTTGATATTATAAATTCTCCCATTTTCACCTTGCTGAAAATACTCTCTTCTACTCAACGGTCTGCAAACATCTTATCGTCAACTACTCTTCGGTAACCACTCAAATTGCCTCGGCCTTCGTCTTTCCGACCGATGTGGGGAAACCAGCGCCCTACGCCCTATCGTTAACATCCAGCGACTTCCCAAATCTCGGACCGTTTTTTCATCTGCAACTGCAAGCATTGAATATCCAACCATCAAAGGAGCCAGATTGGTAATTTGTGTTATCGAAAATGGGATCAGTCGAGGTTTCCAGGGAACACCTGCTCGTGATATTTTATCAAGTCTTCTCACCCGAAGTGGAGGGGGGACTTCGAGAGAAGTTCGCCGACGCGGAACTCACTCTCTACCAGTCTAAGTCAGGAGAACCAGTACCCCGTGGTATGTATCTCGTCTTGATAGGAGATTTCCTCATGGAAAAATACTAAAAGTGAGGTTCTCCAGAGCTGTATCGCAATGCGACCATTCTAGTGACATTCACGGATCTGCCGGAACTTGAAGATTCGCTAAAGTAGCCAAACCAAATATCTTTGATATCGCAGTGGCTAATAAACTTCTCACAGCCTGAAGCTTATTCATACATTTTCTGCCGGACTTGATCACCTCATGAATCATCCTATCCTGAAGGAGGGTAGGATTCCAATTGCGACCAGCTCCGGGATCCACGGTCCACCGATAGCCGAGTGGACCATCATGAATTGGATTCTCGCAGCACGGAAGCACTTCCAGGTGTATGAGGCTCAAAAGGCTCATCGCTGGGACGATAAGACACAATATATGCAGGGTAACCACGACCAGGTCGGCAAGAAGGTTGGAATTTTGGGTTATGGTAGCATTGGACGACAGAGTATGTACTACTCGTGATATGAATTCACCTTGCAAAACGCCAAAAAATTGCATTTAACGAGGTCCACAAGACTAACGAGATATAGTTGGTCGTGTTTCCCAAGCAATGGGAATGTCTGTTTATGCATACACCGCTTCTCCCCGCAAGACCCCCGAATCAAAAAGGGATACTGGTTACATCGTTCCAGGAACAGGTGATGCAGACGGCTCCATCCCAGTCTCATGGCATCATGGTACAGACAAGGAATCGGTTCGGTCATTCCTTTCCTTGGGCCTGGACCATCTGGTCATTTCACTCCCCTTGACACCTCAGACCACCAAGTTCCTTGGTGCCGAAGAATTCGCTCTACTTTCCGATAGTAGCACTAGCCCATTTGCTAAGCCTTACATTACTAATATTTCCCGAGGAAAGGTCCTCGATCAAGACGCTTTGATTGACGCATTGAATGCCGGGCAGCTCAGCGGAGCGGCATTGGATGTTACGGACCCTGAACCACTTCCAGAAGACCACCCTCTCTGGGATACTCCAAATGTGCAAATTAGTCCTCATCTGAGTGGGAACGGCAGAGAATATCTTCCCCGGTCGCTTGACATCTTGAGGTTGAACCTGGATCGACTGGCTAAGGGGGAGCCATTGATCAATGTTTATGCAGGCAGAGGCTACTAGTAATAACAAACATTGACTGAGGTTCAGTGCGAATTGACGTTATGGAAATAAATAAGCAGGGAAATGTCTAGAAAATAGAGAGACTTCCAAGTTTGGAGGAGGGAGGATATCATACTCCACGTGAACTTCTTCTTTCTCCTGCGCGTTCAGAGGTTAACATATTGGAAAGGTTCCAAGGTTTAAATTTCGCCTAGATATTGCAACGCAGAATATTCTATCGCATTCTCTAGGCACATAATCTTCCAATTCCTGCTCAACTCACAGATTTCTCAAAAATGCAAGCGCATCTCCGGCCTTTACAGTATCACCCGGCTGAACAAGCACTTTCTCCACTCTGAAGGACTGATCAAAACCATCTTTCTTATCCCCATTATAGGAAACAGAGACTTCCATCTTCATTGCCTCGAGGACAATAACAGGATGACTAGAGGAAACGACATTACCATCCTCTGTATCAACTTTCCAAACATTTGCATCGAGAGGAGCAAATAGCGTTAAAATATCAGGGTCTTGCGATATTCTGTCAGTATATTGAACTTGTGAAGTGTTCGCGATACTTCAGCTTACCTTGTCTCAGAAGTTCGATTTCATCGGCAGGAACGTTGTTTTTCGTTTTTTCCTCCATCCACTTGTCCATCGACTCCTTTTCTAGGGCCAGCATTTTTACCTGTGCCTTGGCTTGGCGAGACTTGAATTCCGCTGTTTCTTCACTGGTTTCATTGAGAAGACGGTTGTGGGCGCTCATATCAAATATGACATCTTCGTACTGGAATCTGTAACTACCGGCCCGGAAACGGGCCATCTCACGCGCCAACTCTTCCTTCTCTACCCGGTAGAAGGTGATCTGATCGAAGTCGCGGAAAAGCCCTGGCTGATCTGCCGAGAAGTCGGGTTTTAGTCCCAATTGGTCGAAACAAGGAATAGTCTGTCCTGTCATCTGATAACCACCTGGAGAGTCAACCGGGTAGATGCTGTCACGATTAGTATTTGAATCTTGCCTTCAATGCCCGCAGTTTGGGAAAAGCTTACTTCATGCACGATCCACCCCAGCTAACACTTCCTTCTGGGGTGTACACACGACTGGGGTTCTGCTTGGGGCATTTTAACCGGTAGCGGGGATCAATTGGGAGACAGATAGTATCGCCACAGAAGAATCCGACACATATAGCCATGAACTCAACCGAGAGGAAAATATCGACTAATTCATCATGTGTAATGCCGTTAATCCCAGCAACGAATTCCATGTTACTGGGTAAAAATGGAGCATATGGTCTTTGCGTCTCCATATAGCGCTGGATAGCTTCCTGCTGGGCTGGGCTTTCGAAGCAGATGGGAAGACGGAACTTTCGACTTGGAACATGCGACCTACTGAGATCGCCATCCGTTTCTTGCAACGATACCAGAATCCCGACAAGCTTATCCTGGGCAAGCTTCAGACCATTATAATGAATGAGAAGCGCTTGGATCAGCCACTTGTTAGCCGAAGTCGCATATTACTGAGATGAGAGAGAATACTCACAATTGCAACATCCTGTGGTCTTGAGCACAGCTTGCCGCACAGCTTCATGAGACTCTTGAAACTTATTGAAGGCTTGGTCTAATGCTGTTACCCTGCACCGGTGATTCAAATCGAACTTCCCATCACCAAATTCGACTAATAAAAAGTCATCACCACCCTGCCACCGACGGTTAGAATTGGATGGGCAAAGGAAGATAGAATACTTCTTACCTGTCTGAATGTCATGAATATTCCAGATTCACCCAAAACAGTGCTATGAATCAACGCCTTCCCCCAGTTGCCAGAAATAGTGGACTCTGGCAATTTGGAATTGGAGATCGGCTCTATGTTGTTGACATCGCAGTGGCCAGCTACCAGTGACGCCACATTTTCCAAAAACCTTTCTAATTTTCCGCGAGCCAGAAGAGCATCCTTCAACGATATTCTGCGATATCGAATAGTATCACCGGATTTAAGCTGGCCCATACGCCAGAGGCTGGCGTTCACAATTGTCGTCGAGGATATGAAGCCACCAAGATCAGGGGCATCCACTGGAAATATGCAAGGACTGAAAAGGGCAGTGGAGTCAGCATGATGCACATGAATGCCATTTTCTACCGTCGCTTACCTGTCTCCTGTCCAGTTCAAAGTTCCGTTCGGGTATCCATATTCAATTACGTTGCTAGGGTGTTGCCCACCATCGCCCCCATCTTCTCTTGCCCATCTAGGAGCAGGGCCAACAAGGCGAATTCCGCCCCGGGTGGCATTATGGGAGACATCCCTGGGGGACAGCAATTAGAAGTGTTTCAAGATATCTTTCTAGGCCTTGCCATGTGCAGAACATACCAAACTGTGTCGTATATCATGTCAATATCTTCGGATACAATGTAACCTTCGTCGTAAGGCCCAACCATGGAATCAATGTCCCAGTGAGAGGAGTATTCAGGCCGCAAATGGGCTGGCAATGAGAGTTCAGGCTCGGGTTTCATGTCATCGAGCTTCGAAATAGCCAACATATCACCTGGAGCGAGCGCTCTGCCTTGATACCCGCCAATTGAAAGTAGCGGGGATGTCGACTTTGATCCACAGTACTGAGCACTGTGTATGTGATTAGTTCGGGAGTCGCGAAAACTTAAGGATGAGTAGTAGCGGCTTACATTCCTGGGAATCCTCCTCGAATAGCGAGGTATGCTGTGGCAAGTTAGTAGGTCAGGCGTCGATGGTGGAGATTACTCTACCTCGACAGCCCCCAGATCCATTAAGCTTTCCAATTGATAAAATTTGACCAGACTTGATGTATAGTCGTGTCCACATTCTCACGTTGGTCCCATCGATTGAAATTTCCATAGGGGCTCCACAAACTGATATCACCGCCGGAGCGAGAAATCGTATCTCTGGTCCTTTCAATGTGATCTCTAGGCCTTCAGTACCGACGGGATTGCCAGTCAAAATATTTGCAACTGCAAACAAGGGATTCCGTCAGCATATTTCGCTTCATCTCAAAGTGTACAACACGTAGTAGGAACTAATAACTGCATACCTTGAAATGCCAAAGGGTCCTAATATCTAGTTGTCAGTACATGTTTATCTTAAAGACAAATAGAGTACGACTAACCATGGGCCCTGCTTGTGGAATTCCTCGCCCAGTCGTGGGGCGGCCTGGATAGTCCTGCACTGTCGTATATACACCTGGGGATATGACATCGATCGCAGCAGGTGTGAACTCGAAATTAGCCAAGAAGTTGGTGAGGGTATGACCCGAGCGGAATTCACTAGAGTCAACGATTGCGTGCAAGAAGTCCAAATTTGTGGGTGGTCCACAGAGGGTAGAGTGCGACAAGACATCGCCTAACTTATCAATGGCTGCTGTTCTGCTAATATCATGTACCATCAACTTTGCAATCATTGGATCTGAGATTTTCGAGTCAGCTTTTTCTTTCGAATCATAGTTCGAGTGTGGCGACCCACCATAATATGTGGAAATTCGAGTTCCGGTAGCGACCCACGTATCGATTCGAGTGCCGCTCAACTCCCTCCATTTAACATGCTGAAGCAATCCAGGAGAAGGGGAATAGTTTCGTGCAGGATTTTCTGCGTACACACGAACTTCGATTGCGCATCCCGAAGGCTTGTCTGGTTGTAAAGCTTCAATATAGCTTTTTTCTAGACCACCGAGACCGCAAAGCTCTCGGTCGGCTTGTTGAAGCATAAGCTTCACAATATCAACTCCATAACAGAGCTCGGTAATGCCGTGTTCAACTTGGAGACGCGTGTTCATTTCCAGGAAGAAGAAATCGCCCGATACATCATCAACTAGGTATTCCACCGTGCCTGCAGATCCATAGTGAATGGACTTTGTCAAAGCGACCGCTGCGGAGGTGAGTTTTTCACGAAGACCTATTCACTGTCAGCTGGTGATGAATAAAAGAGGTAGTAGACAGGTGGAAACTGACCTGGGTGCCTTTCCACAAATAGGCTGGGGCACTCTTCAACAACCTTTTGATGGCGCCGTTGGATTGAGCACTCGCGCTCACCGATATGAATGGCGTCTCCAAGACCATTGCCGAAGACTTGAACCTCAATATGGTGGCTCTCGGGGTAGTAACGCTCCATAAACACGCCAGCATTCTTGAACAAGGTTTCTCCCCTGGACCTAACTTGTATCAGGGACTCTCGGACCTCTTCAACGGATTTGCATATCGTTAATCCCATACCACCACCCCCACCGGTTGCTTTGAGCATCACCTGTAGGATAATATCGTCAGCAAAGGTTGACAGCCATAAACGGGCAAGGTCTCGCACCGGATATCCCAGTTCATTTGCCGCATCTACCGCCTCCTCTTCTGTAACAAGGAGCCCCTTTGTCCCGGGGACTATTGGAACCCCGGCTGCCACAGCAATATCTCGAGCCCGATGCTTCAACCCGAATGATTCAATCGCTTCGGAGCGAGGCCCCACAAACACCATACCCGCATTGGTGACAGCTTGGGCAAATTCTACGTTCTCAGACAGGAATCCGTAGCCAGGAATAATGGCATCAACATTATATGAATGTGCGATCTCTATGATTGCATCTCTGGGTGTATCATGGTCTCAGTTTCGGAGAGCTTGCGTTTGGGAATGGCAGTGAACTGACCCGTTGATGTATGCGGTAGAATCATCACCAGATAGTAGGACTGCCTCATCAGCCACTCGGAGGTGTTGTGATGTCGCGTCGGCGGCAGTGTAGATTGCGATCGTGCGGACACCTAGCTCTCTATCAAGTCAAAGTGTCAGTCGGGGTGTTACTAACATGCTGGGCACGGTTTATCTAATTACTTGGCGGTTTTGGCAATTCGGACAGCGATTTCACCCCGATTCGCGATCAGTAACGTTTTCAATTTCTCCATTGTGGCTCTCTTGATTGTATCAAGTCCCAGGAAGTCATGCAGTACCTGCTGTATTAGTATTCCGCTATGTAACCCCAGTTCCATTTAGCCGAGGCCAATAGATAAGCTTATCAGTACTCCAACGTCGGATGCGGGGAAATTTCACGGGTGTTGGGGTAATTCAGTGCATCCGACTGGCTGGAAATCACCGCTTACCTCGGAGATCTCATATAGAGTCTGGATACCCCCGGCTCGGATTTTTCGTACAACTGATTCATCATGTCGCATGCGAGGGAACACAGACGAGTCTACCAGGTAGGTGGCCCATCAGCTTTTGACCCCCCGCACTTCCTCTCTGTCGATCTTCTGACTGTGTAACCAGGCTTGCGAGCCTTGCAGGGAGAAGAAAGTGCGCTGCGAGCTAGGATCGGCCGATTCGCCCAACAAGCCGCCCTGTGCACGATGCCGCAGAGAGAGCAAACACTGTTTCTTTGCCGCGTTACGGTCAAGAAAAATCGCTCATCGGAAATCGCAACCCTCTTCTCAAAATCCTCGGACCCAACATGCTACTTTTTCTCCCAATTCGATATCATCATCCGGAAATGCAACTCTCGGGCAGGGAGAAAGGGAAATATTACCGGGAGATGGGAGAGCTGCAGCTGCTTTGCTGGAAGGTCACCCCCGAACCTACCATGAAGCATTGACACTGCTCTCGGAAGCTTGCGAGCACAGTGAGGCTCGAAAGAATTCCGCTGATAGCTTACTGGCAAATGATCCACATATCACCGAAAATGACACCAAATCTCCCATCGGCCTTCAAGCTCATCCAACTGCTACCCAACACACTAATGAGGCATTACGCGCCTGGTCCAATCTACGATTTGTCCGTGGCGGGCTTTTCACAGCAGAGGAAGCACTCGATATGGTCGACCATTTCTACACCTTCCATGCTGAATTTTCACCTGTTGTCCCGGAACACTTTCGATGTCATTCTCAACACGCAATTTTGATTGAAGAGGAGCCCGTTTTGACAATCACTTTATTGATGATCGGGTCGAGATACAGAAAATGGACAGGACCAGCTGCAGTCGCGCGTTCTTATATTGTTCATGATCGGATTTGGAGATATCTACAGGGAATGATTTCACGATTAACTTGGTCGGAAGACTTGTTTGTTGGTGAATTCCGTTCGCTCAACGGGCCTCGTCCAGCATACACAGACAGTTGGTCCCATGGGTTCCGCACATTGGGAACGTGCGAGGCATTGTTGTTATTACTAGATTGGCATCCACGGGCGCTTCACTTCCCCCGCCCGATGAAGATACTTCTTCAATAACGATTCCGGAGTTGAAAAAAACGCAGAAAGGTGCTGGTAGCCGTTATTACGGGCCTGGGTCCGGACATGACTGGCTCGCTCGATCGGATCGCTTATGCCAATCTATGCTTTCTACTGTTTTCATGCTGGCGGCTGAGATGGGTATTTTCTCAGATCATGATATCTTCTGGCAAGGTGATGCTGCACATGATGATATCTGTGCTGGTCGGGAACAGGAGAGATTCTACCGTATTAGGTGCTTGATATGGGTTTACGCGACTCAGCAGCCGGGTCGACCAGGTATGTAATTCTTCCACAAGTACATCATAGACGCCCATTTTGGAAGGATTCAAGCTGACGAAAGACATAAATCATTTCAGGACGAAGGAATCCGACACAGTGTACTCCCACTACGAGTCCCTGGATTAAGAATGACGATGCGACGGAATGCTGGATGCGCGTCGCGACTATTATGAAAAATGCGAACGACCTTCTCTTTGTCTCGCCCCAATTTACCAGTGAAATAATTCTCAGTGGAAATTATCTTGAGATTGTTCGGGGCCTCGAACCATCACTGACCGAATCGCTCATTGAGTTCGACCATGCAAAGTGTATGTATCAGCTTCTCCGCCGTGTCAATTTAAACTAAACCGACCTCGGGAGTTTAGTGGCCAAGCAAACCCGAAATATCTTGAACATCGAATACGACTATACCCAGCTCTGTATTTTCAGTCTTGCTTTACAAGCCGCGATTGATCGAAACTCCTGCGATAGTAGAAATGACACACCAGGAGGTTTTTCACAATGCGCGTCAGCGAACTCGGAAGAAGAGAAGCATCTTAGGAGAACGGTCAAAGCTTCCCGCAGTATCCTGAGAACAGTTCTTGACGATCTACTTCCTCATGGAAGTCTGAAGTATATTCCCGTGCGATCATACTCCAGATTACTCGGTGCGACTTTGATTCTTCTCAAGGTTAGTCGTCCTCGTCCTCTTCTTTCTATGCTCCTGTGCCTGGGTGCTAAATCGAACAATCAGTGCTGCGCCGCCGGAATAAATGAGATTGATATACCCACATCTCTCGATCTTGTTCGTCAAGTCGCTGCTGGTCTTCGCACCTCTGTAGTAGATGATACCCACTTGAGCAGTCGATGGGGCGACCTGCTCGAAAGCCTCGCTAATAGACTGGAGTCGCGCCTAGCCCAACCAGCCACGTCTAGAATTTCTGGTATGAAATTTACACCCGAAGCCTCTCGGGCCACTCGTGAAATACGACCATCGAGAGTACATCATACCCTTAGAGATCTACAGAATCATGCCTACCTTCCACTGAACGATCGCTCAGATGTCAACGCTTCAAATTCGGGAGATGCCAAGCGTGATACACAGTTTGATGCCTGGTCAACGTGGTGGGATGATCAATTCTCCGAGGTGAACCTCAATTACATGCCATGGTTTCCTACTCTGGGGCTTTTGAGTGGGAGTGATATTCAGTTCTCAAACGATGCGGCTGGTGGTGCTTTTGACTCGGAACATACCAGTATAGGTCATCCGTGTTGAAGATTAATTTCAAAGGGCAATGTTTGAAGCGAATTTATAGAGTTTCTTGTACAATAATATCATAATATCTTAGCAGTCCCATTTAATATATAAATCCAATCTGAAGGAACAGTTCATTTTCGTGGAAGAGACCCCTCAGGTCTAGGATCAGCCGGGAGGTTGAATTTCCACATTTTTTTAGATATTTATCAAAAGCGCATGAAACCTTCCTTCATTTACGTCGCATACTCCCCCGGGCGCTTTGATGACGTTTCTTCAATGGCGAACGCAGATCTGTGGATCCCAGTAAACCGAGAGAAAATATCTTGAAGTAAGTGTCGGATGAATGGAGTCGGTGAGCCCCGGGTAGTGCAGGGAAGCGGTTTGATTCCGAACCGAACCAGCTCCGCATGAGCGGGGTCATTTAAATGCCCGAGCGAAGCAAGTAATTGGACTCTGGGGACAAGACCCCAAAGGTGTATGTTTGACCGATTGATCAATTTATTATTCTTTTGCTCGCTATCTTTCAAATAACTTTAAACAACATTCTCTCGGGCCGGTTATCAAGTCAAGGAACGGCAAGTCTTCAAGATCTCGAGCCATTCCTGGCGTTATTGTGACCGCCAGTATCAGCGACCATTAATTCGGCGACGGCTTCAAAGTGCTATCATGGGACCTATCAAGCACAAAGCCCTCATCAATGTGGATCTGGGAGAAGGGTTTGGGAATTGGACTATCACTTCAGATGAAGATTTGCTTCCGTTCATTGATCATGCCAATATCGCCTGTGGCTTCCATGCCTCGTATGTCTTTACTATATTTCCCCTCTTTGCGACCGTCACAATCATGACGGCCTGTCGGTTACCAGTCATATCATAAAAAACAATCCGGCCAGCATCATAGCTTCAAGTTTCACGATTAGCACTAACTAATATGTTTCTTCTACTAGTGACCCCCTCATCATGATGGACACCGTTCGCAGCTGCAAGCAACACGGAGTCAAAATCGGAGCCCACCCCGGCTTGCCAGATCTTCAGGGCTTCGGCCGTCGCGAAATGAAACTTTCACAAGAAGAACTCACTGCGATTACTATTTATCAAATTGGTGCTCTTCAGGGGTTCTTGGACAGGGAGGAAGTTCCCCTTCATCACGTCAAGCCTCATGGATCGCTTTATGGAATGTGCTGCCGAGACTACGATACTTCGGTCGCTGTATTCAAGGCTGTACCCAAGGGTGTCAAAGTATTTGGGCTTCCGGGAACTTGCATGGAACAAGCGGCCAAGGATTTGGGGCTCGAGTTTATTGCAGAGTTTTATGCGGATGTTAAGTATAATGCGGACGCTTCTCTGCTGATTGAGCGGAAAAAGAAGTAAGTGGCCTAATCTGTCTTTTTCGTCTTGCTCTTTCTAAAATGGAGTTCACAGGGCTTGGGATCTCGCCGAAGTCCGAAGACGCGTTTCACAGCAGATGGAAACATGCACTGCTGTTGCGATCGATGGATCGACTTGCGAATTGCCTGTCAAAGATCATCCAATCTCCATTTGCTGTCATTCGGACGTTCCAGGATGTTTGGAGCTGGTCAAAGAGACAAGAGCCGTTGTTGACATATTCAACAAGACTTATTTCCCCGACCTCTCGATGGTATAAACCTTGGAATATACTACTAGTATTAGTTATACAACGATGATGGGTTCGTCTTATAATTCAACATGGACTTCTCGAGGTCCAAGGTTGGAGTTCATTCCAAGGTTCCCTTGGAGATTGCCACCTGGGCAAATTCGTGTTTGAAAATCATGAGTTCAATCAGCCAGCTTCGTACGATAACTCAATTCACACTCTCAACGTTTCGTTGAACTATGTCCGTCGGTATCTAATTTAATCCGTCTTTCGTCCTGTTTGTTAATGAGGAGAACGGAATGTTCCCCAATACACTAGTAGTACCCCAACCGCAGTTACCCCAAGTGGGGGCTACCCCAACCACCTGGGCAATTTACCGCGTGGGCAGGACCTGGTTGTATAATATGTTTAATCCAAACCATCCATATATATCTCTACCTAACTTTCATCAACCTTGAAAGGCCATGATGAGTCGGGCATAAATCTCGTAGGCAATTTCAAGTTCACCCGTGGATGCCCACCGCCGCTAGATGTTTAACAGTAATGGGTAGCCCGGAAAGTACTATTTGGAGTCGAGCCGAAGATTGGTGCAATCCGGTTGGACAGCTCTGTCTTCACTCGTATCTTATCAACTGATCAATGGCTATCAAATTGACTCCAACTCACTACCCCAACTTCATTTTTAGCCAATGGCACCCATATTTATGGTGATAACATGAATTGGGAAGGAATGAGATCGACTACGAATTGCGGGGTATCACTTGGCAGCGTGCACTGGTATCAATATGGCCAGGGCTCTGGTTATTTGTTACCCCAAAACCTGTATTCAAGTTGGGTAGTTTTTGTTTATCCCCGGACTCGAGCCGTGTCTGATAAGACATTTCGAGTGAAGGTCTGCCCGAAGCTTTATAACTATTCTGGAGCACCTGGGGGCTGGCATGCACGGATATTATATAACTCTTGTCCGCAATTCACACAATTCCTGCAATAAAGAGAAATTTACCTGCCAGCCGGTTCCGGTTTGACCACGGTACGTACTAGCTATTCAGCGTTGAAATTGAAACAAACCTTCAGCGACAGACATACTGAAAACGGAACCAGCTGTATCTGCTAGTACACGACCTAATAAGAAATATGAATGATCCTCTTCCCATTCCCGGAACGGTCCAGCAGGTGGATGTTGACCACAACCTCAACCCGAGGCACAACAAAGAGCAACAAGATATCGTCTTGATTCCTCGCCCGAGCTCTCATCCAGACGACCCTCTCAATTGGTCCCGCAGCCGCAAGTCTTTGAGCAGTACCTGCCAAATGGCTTGGTGTTTCTTTGCCGCCGCCCTCATCAGTGGCCTGTCGTCATCATACCTCCTTATCTCAGAAGACACGGGTATTTCCGTAGCAGACCTCAGCACAGGAAACGGCCTCATGTATCTCTTCATGGGGTGGGGAACCCTTTTGACCCAGAACTTAGCGCAGGACTTTGGACGTCGGCCAGTTTTCCTAGTTGGTATGCTAGGGGCATCACTGTTGCAGGTCTGGTCTGCTTATATCTCGTCGGTGGGCGAATGGTACGCCAATCGAATCCTTCTTGGAATTTTCGTTTCACCTCAAGAAGCCTTGATCGAGCTTTGTATTGCGGATATTCACTTTGCTCATGACCGGGGCTTTCATATGGGCATTTATAATTGGACTTTGTGGTGTGGTGCTTTCTTGTCACCTATCGCTGGTGGATTCGTTGCTGAGAGGTTCGGGTGGAGATGGATCCAATACATCCTGGCGATTATTTGCCTTTGCTTCACAATTACGACTTTCTTCACCTTTGAAGAAACAATGTTCTTCCGCCAAGTGAACATTCAAGAACCAATATTTTCTAACCCCAAAGATGCCAGCAGCCTTGAGACTGCGCATAACGCTTGCGAGAAGATTGTCGGCGAATCCAAAGATCCAGAGGGCTCCAATACTCCCCCTGCGGTTGCTGAGCAGATGTACGAAGTCAAAACATACGTCCAAAAACTGAAATTCTGGGGATTCAGACACCCCTCTCAGCCATTCAATTTCTTTCGGTCAATCACACTGTCCTTCCGACTTTTACTATTCCCCACACTCATCTTCTCCGGTCTTCTGGTTGGAAGTATTCTCGCTTGGTACAATGTCTTGGGCGGCTCCTTGGCGGAAGTTCTGGGTGGTGCGCCCTATAATTTTAGCACAGAGGCGATCGGCCTTAGCTACTTCGCGAGTGTGATAGGAGTGTCGATTGGGTGCTACTTCAGCGGCTGGCTCAGTGACATTCTTGCGATAAAGCTGGCCAGAAGGAGACATGGTATCAAGGAGCCCGAGGACCGTCTCTGGATGTTCTTGATTCCTATTCTCGCCCATCCTGTGGGTTGCCTTCTTTATGGAGTGGGAGCAAGTCACCATATTCCATGGATTGGAGTTGTCATTGGAATGGCACTCATCTGCGTTACATTGCCGATGGGATCTGGCTTAGCTATTACCTACATCATTGACAGTCAAAAGGAGTTGGCGGGAGAGTCTATTGTGACTGTTATCCTGATCCGTAACACAATCGGTAAGTTTTGATCTGTCCGGGGACTCGATTGAACGTTGGGACTTGAACACCCTGACAAGGTATAACTAGGCTTTGCTTTCGCATATGCGGTCAACCCCATGATAACAAACATGGGACTTGAGAATACATTCATTCTGATAGCAGTGCTGGGAATACTTTTCTGGAGTGGTTGTTTCCTGTGGATCAAAATTGGCAAAGCTGCTCGAAGATCTATTGCCAAACCCTACTGGAATCTGGTTGAGAGTCATGGACTTGCCGCCCACTGAAAGTTTATTTACAAAGTGGTGAGGAGCTGGTGGCAGACAAAGTGGTATGTCATCTCTTGATAGTTACTTTGTACAACGTGCCGGTGATATCATGTACTAGTACTATTATATGTAAATTTAATTGAACTCTACGACGAATATTATAGGCAGTAATTCAGTGCAAGGAACTTGAAGCTATTACTTTGTACTACTTGATGCCACCGGAATCAAGATGCACTTGGTGTTGAATAAAACTGGTAGCGCTAGGAAAATCTTTCTTCACCTTTCTTGACGCTAGGATTTTGCAGCACTGTCATATCACAACACCTAGTACAATTCTACGCATTGAGAATTATCTAGAAGGCTAGTATTTACACTCTCATTGCAGAGAGCAAGTTTGGGATAAGAAAAATAGGTCTTTGGATCTCTATACCACCAGCAGGATTATCATTGAACCACCACTTGGTGGGAACAAGATAATCAGGCACGATTCCATTCTCTGCCCAGTCCATGATTGCCAGGGCAATATTGTGTTTAGAATAATTGAACCCAGGAACACCCCAGTAGGTATCGGCTAATACGTCACTCTGGTCATCGCCGTTTACGTGGAACGGGGTGTTTTGTGGAGTCTTCTTTAAAAACGCAACCGAGCATTGCTGTTGTTTTGTGTGCCTGGGTGGCCAAGCACCCACATGACTGAGTCAGCCTACACCACTGTATGTAGATAACCTCAGGTCATACCTCCCATAGTCATCTATCTATCTATCTACCGATCCATCGTCCTGTAGTAGCTGTCTTTGCGGAATACACATTGTATAGACGTATGGGGCTCACGATCGGATTTTATGCTTATTTGGTAGGATTTCCAAGGGCCCGAGTAAGCCACGGGTACTATCGTGGGCTATTCTTTGTCACTAGGACGGACAGTCCGTGATCACTTACGAGGCTTGGAAATATGCAGTGGTAAATCTGATAGAATAAGACACCATGTTTTTAAGTTCACTAGTAGCATGCAAAAGTAATCGATGATTTAATCTACGGCGATTGGCTAGGCCACACAGCTAGTATACTCGTGCACTCCCGACCCTACCACGACAGGCTTCCTCTCAGAGCCGGAGGAGGGCATCTGAATGGTAGCCTGACTATTGGGAGGCACCTGAACAACCAAACGAAAGATCTTTTCTTTCTTCGAACATTTGTCACTTTCTTTGCTCATTTTGACTGTCCAATGCGTGGATATGAGGCCATATGCACTTGTGAACTTGGTTGTGGCCTCACTCAATCCACCCCCAGGTCGTACCTCGACATTAAACTTCTTCCAGCCAGGCTCGGAAGGAGTTAGCCCACCAATATTTTCGTGGATCCAGCTTCCCACCGATCCGACGGCGTAATGATTGAAAGAGGTCATCGACCCTGAGTTGACACTTCCATTTGCCAGCATGCTGTCCCAACGTTCCCATGTGGTGGTTCCATTCATCACGACTTGGAAGAGCCAGCCCGGGTCTTCTTCTTGCATCAACATACCATAGAAAGAATCCGCCGCGCCGTATTCGGATAGTGTATGCCCGAGGATATGAGTCCCGGCAAATCCTGTTCCAACTTTGTATTCGTTTCCCTTCACGAGATTGACAAGTCGCTCCGTAGCAGAGGTATAATGCGCTGGATCAGAAAACAATCGGAAATACAACGGTAATGTGAGACCTGTCTGTGTCTCATTTGCGACAGTTCCATTCTGGGAGACCCAGGCATCTTGGAAGGCTTTGGTCAACTTAGAGCGAGCACTGGAGTATTTCTCGGCATTTTCGGTAAGCGAAAGGCGATTGGACATATTGGCCACAAGTTCAGTGCTGTGGATCAGATATGCATCGGAAACCAAATACTTGTCCGTTGTCGCATCGCCTGGATTGTCCGGGGGTGCCTTAGGGTCCAGCCAATCAGCGTACTGGAAGGTCGAGCGATTCCACAACCCGACCTCGTTTCTAAGGACTCCCTTATCAATCCAATCTTTGGCTCCTGCATACTGCTCTTCAAGCATCTTTTTATCACCAAAAGATTGGAAAAGTTGCCAAGGTACGGCCACAATCGAATCTCCCCAGATTGATGTAGCCGACGACTCTCCCAAAACATTTGGAATAACATATGGCGGGGCATCTGGAGTTTTGATTAGTGAGAATCAGCGTTTGTAGAGACGGAAATTCCCTCACAGTTGTTCTCTTCTTGCTCCGAGCGCGCATCACGTAGCCACCCGCGGAGAAAGCCAGCCGTGTCATAAACAAAATTTGCAGTTCGACTAAATGCATGAATGTCACCTGTCCAGCCAAGGCGTTCATCACGCTGAGGACAATCTGTAGGGATACTTAGAAAGTTGCCACGCATACTCCAAAGGATATTTTTGTGGAGCCGGTTTAGGAGGGAGTCAGAGCAATCAAAGAATGCAGTTTGCTCCATGTCCGTGTGAACAACGATCGCAGTGACTGAATCTGCGTCAAGCTTAGTCTCATTTGGCCATCCTTCGACCTGAACATATCGGAAGCCGTGAAATGTGAATGACGGTTCCCACTCATCATCCCCGCCTGAAAGTGTGAAGTTGTCTGTTGCTTTGGCGGTACGAAGAGGGCGTGTTGCGACCTCTCCATTTTCCATAACTAGTGGAAGTTAGCAGGTGGTTAATAGGCAACTAGTTGTCATAGGATTATACCTTCAGTGTGAACAAAACTGATGTTTTGCCCTCGAGGCCCTTTGACGCGGATACGCAGCCAGCCAACCAAGTTCTGCCCAAAATCCAACACTGTCTTTCCCGAAGCGCTAGAAAAAACATTCTCAAGTTTGTGCTCATCGACGCGTCTCACTGGTGGTGCATCCGGGGCAGCGAGAACATCTTTAGAAAATTTGAGCTCACGGACACCCAGCCAGCTTGACTGATCAAAGCCCGGAGAATCCCATCCCTTTTGCTCCAGCCTAGAATTATACGTCTCCCCATCATAAATCTCGGAAGACAATATGGGGCCCGTGCTAGACTTCCAGGTTGTGTCACTAGAGATGTATGTCTTTGTGCCGTTGGAATTCGTTACTGAGAGTAGACAAAGCGCGCCTAGCGTATCGCCGTATATATTCCGATTGTTCTCCCACGCCAGTCGTCCTGAGTACCAGCCTTCACCTACAGTCACACCGATAGTATTCTCTCCATCTCTGAGAAGATCGGTCACATCGTAAGTATTGTACTCATGGCGATGCATGTACGACTGCCATCCTGGAGCGAGAAAATGATCACCAACACGCTGGCCGTTCAGACGAGCCTCATATAGTCCTAACGCGGTGATGTACAATCTTGCCGAAGTAATATCACCTCCCAATTCAAAGTCCTTTCGAAAATAGATTGGTCGATGGGTGGCGTTAACCTCAGTAGCTCGTTCAGATGCCAAAACAACCGCATCTTGCCAATCTTCGGGACTGAGAAGCCCCGGTTCAACAGACACAGGATGCGACCATGATGTAGATGGGTTGCCTCTGCCCCCAGACGATTTAACCCGAACGGTCGCTTCTTCTCCTGACTCTAGAGGATCACTGGGCCATGGAACAAGAACAGACTCCGCAGAATCTACGTGGAAAGTCTCTGCATGCTTTCCTGGCTTTTGAATTTCAATATCATATGATGCTTGATTCCAATCTGAGACTTGCCCATCAAATCGCCAGGAAATCCGGGGAGAAGTCTCCCCTATGCCTAAGGCTGTTCGATGGTGCTCAAATGAGACCTGAGAAATTGAAAGAGCCATGTTGTTTTGGTATTCATCTGTAGCTGCTTGAAGCCATTTTATATGGAAACTTCTCAGGGTATCTCTATCTCATTGGTTGAAACACTGGGAAGGCCGTCCAACCCCGCATTAAAAGATCCGGGCAAATTGACCAAAGCAAGATGTGATTTCCCGCACAACGTCGGTCCCAACTATACCGAAAATCATGACGATCCCACAATCGCCAAGACTCCAATGAGAAAATCGTTTCCTAAAGTAATATCTCGCTGGGAGGCTTTTGGAGCTGAAGAGCCGGGGTGTAACTTCACCCCGCATTTTGTCACGGTCGACCTCTTGGCAAAATATTTGGCGTATCATCACGGCGTAACTCTAACCCGAGGCTTCAGAGCAACCTGAAAAAGTTGAACCCCATTTTCTTTTTGATTTAATCATGTTTCTATCGAGGCTGAGGTTGCCCAGGTTCTCGAAGAAAGGGTACCTACTGGAGGACCGATAACTGTTGTACAGATCAGGAATAGGATGAGTGCCGGGGTGGCTGATACTACTAGTAGTATAATAGATACTATAAATCAAATAGATTTAGTATCTATTAGTTTATAGAACTTCATGGTAGTGTGATGGAATCCTGGTTATAGAAACCTTGGAGATAAGTGCAATGCACACGCGATACGTAGTCTGGAGAGAGGATAAAGTCACGGAAAGACAGCCCTGGAGGGCAGCACCAGGAAAGGTGCGAGATAGTTAACGTCACGGTCGTGGTGTTTCAATAGTACCGAGTCGGTCGCCCTATTTTTGAACACATAAGAATATGATAGTCTTGAAAATTATAACTCCAAGTACGAACTAATTAAATAATAACTAACTAGTGCTTACTCAACAACCAACCTTGAAACTTGAGATACTCAATTATTTCCAATTCCAAGCTTGTAACTAATAATACCGTAGCTAGAATACACTTTGATTACTCGCTATATAAAATAATATACTAGCTGAAGCTTCCAAGGCCCCGGGGTCGTTACTAGTACGATTCAAGCCCTGGGTTCGAATATTGCAAAAGGTCCAGGGGTGGCCCACTCGGTAGTGAAACACGTTAACTAATATGCGTCTTCAAGATTTACTACCATTTGACGGAAGGATGTATCTATCTCAACCATCATAGCATTGGTCAATTCTATTGGATCCTCAACATGCCCATAAGTTACTTTCCTGCATTCTAATTTATAAACTTGGAATTTTTTTCATACATTTAAAGCATCACTCTAGACGTCTTCCGCAAACATCAACATCTACCTTGAAATGCTTGAACTTGCGACTTGGGATGTTCCGATCAAACAAGATATCCAGTTCCTCAAATGTACGATCTTTTGTCTCGGGTATACACCAGAAGCAATAGAGCGCACTTAGAAAACTGAGGCCCGAAAACAAAAATCCAATCTTGCCACGCCAATTACCCTCGTCCTCATTCATGGCGTATGGTATGACAACGGCAAATACAATCGACCAGATAAAGCAAGTCACCGTTGAGAGTGCGATTGTAAGTCCGCGAAGTTTCGCCGAGGATACCTCGGCCAATAACACGTAGCAGAATGGTCCCAAGCTCATATCATACACAAAAGTACAAAGTAGCATCAAGCCGCACTGCGCCCACGTGGTAGATAATTGCCGCGGGGCAAGATCCACCGCACCAATGGCGAATAGCACAACAGCCAGGGTGGAACATCCAAAAATATACACGGTTCGCCGGCCGACGTAGGAGAGTAGAAACCATGCTATGCAAGTGCCTAACAGTCCCAGTGCGGTGAGACCAATATTCATGGAGAATGCATCCGACGCATCGAGTCCGGCCAGTTCCATGAAATGCACGGCATAACTAAGAAAGAAGACATTGCCAGTAAACGCTTGCATATCGTATGCCATAACACAAATCATAAGGCGACGGAGATTAGAGCCTCGAAAACAATCAATGTAATTGGACCGCTCGCCCGGGTGACTTTTTTCCAAGCGAAGCGTCTCCTTTATGTGTGCTAGCTTCTTAGGCGTATCCAAAGCTGAGGTCCCAAGGCGGCGCAGCGAGGCTGTAGCGTCTTCATAACGACCCTTGCGACACAACCAGTACGGTGGATCCGGACACAGAGGCACCAGTAAGAGCATGATACATGGAAGGGCCCATTGGGTCGCGATAGGAATTTTGAACGACCACTTGCTGTCCATGGACTCCGTGCCCTTGAGGATACCACTAGCGAGTAGGGAGCCAATTGAGAAGGCAAGGTTAGTCATAGTGGCAGCAAATCCGCGAAGTACGAGAGGGGTGACTTCGCCGACATATGCTGATGCACAAATGGGATAAAATGCAATAATACAGCCGTTGATCAGCTCCCCAATGAAAAGTTGAGCTGGTGAGTGGCTAAAGAACTGCAAGAAGATGAACGCAATTGAGAGCACACAGCAGCTTGCCGTCACCCATCGGGGCCCGAAGCGGTCATACGCCATTCCAGACAAAACAGCACCGACAATAGCACCTAGAAGATTGGCATAATTGAAGGCCGATAACCACTGCGCGGCAATTATGTATTTCCCATTGTTGTTGTATCCGTATGTCTCCTTGAAGACGGGAAGTCCAACAAGGCTGCGAACGATTCCTCCGTCAATCCCCTTGAGAACAGTTGCCTAGAATCATAAGTACTGAATATTTCTGTGAGCAATGGACTGACTGACCAGGTTCATGAAAATTCCCCAGCCAATGGCGGGGTAATGCAAACGCATGGCATCCCACCAGCCAAGAGCATGTTCCTGTTTGCTGAACTCAAATGATAACTCCGCATCCTCCCTATCACTGGACGAAATGTATTCAACTACGGTTGTCTGCTTTTCAGATACCATAATCCCAATCAAATTTCATTTGAATCTCATGAAAGAAAAATCCAAGTGAAAAAGCAAATTGATATATGCCGATGCCAAGCCTTGGCAGCGGGCTGCAGCGTTGACGGACAAATGATTCAATCGCGATGGAGAACAGCGGAGAGGGCCGAAGATAGCAGGACCGAGTCTAGCCTGAGGACCTTGGAGGCTAGGTGAAGAACTGGCATTCGAACGGAACGAAAAGTTTCTGACTCGTGCCTGTGATTCTCAGTGAATTTTCGGCACGCCACGGTCGGCCCATTGTGTATATAAGTTTTTTTTCTTTCAAAATTGTGTTATTTTTAAATTTGGTATGCAAAATCTCAGGCTGCTGTAGCTCACGGGCTCGCGTTGCTGTCAAGGCGCTGCGGGGGCAAGCCCCCCCAAGGCTGGAGCTTGAACTTGAAATCCCTCCGAGTCTATCTCCAGGGCTCTGTTTGACTGCCTACCATTCTCGGTAATATCAGGCCAATGTGGCAATACCTCATGTCCCTAGAAGTGCTTGAAAATCAACTCCAGTCTTTCACCTCCTTTGCCAGTTACGAATCCAGATGCGTCCATGAAACGAGTATCATCATGGATTGATACTTCAAAGTTGCTAAATATTGCTGCCATCGAGAAGCGTAGCACTATTTGATAAAAAATGTCAGCGGCTACGGGGTTTGAAATTTCAGATGATCGACTTACTTTCAAGAGCCAGGTTCTGACCCAAGCACCGTCGGCTGCCAGTTCCAAATGCCCAAAACCATCGATCCTGCTCTTGATGTGCAAACTGCTGATCGTCATCGAGCCATCGATTGGGTAGCCAAGCCTCTGCATCTGGAAATACTTCTTCATTTCTATGTAGACACCAGGCAAATGCACTGACCCTAACACCCGGTGGGATGTTTCCGTAAGGGCCCAATTTTGTTGATGTACCAGCCGGAGTAACGCGTGGGTTTGAGGTGGGGACATTTCCACGTAGACGGATGGACTCTTTGAGCACGGCGTTGAAGTAAGGGAGAGACTCTAGTGACTTTGCAGATGGAAGTGCGGTTTCTGTGCCACCGAGAAAGCAAAATGACTCCTTCATCGGATGAAGCTCTTCCCGAAGCCTTGCTTGGGCTTTGGGCTTGCGGGAGAGATACAACAGGACGAATGAGAAAACGATACCTAATATGTAATAATGAGAAAAGTGTGACCATTATGTCGTATAACAGATGGACAGGGAGAAACTTGCCAAATGTATCTCAGGTCGAAACTTTTTCCAGTCAATTTGGATTTTTCACAATGAAATAAAGATCAAAGGGCAACGAGACTGACCGAAATGATCCAAAAACTCACTGGCCAAATCTAGGCGTTTTTTTGATGAAGGTCTATGGGATATCTTTTCGTCCCCGGCAAGTTGGTCCAGCATACTTGATCGCAGTTTGTGATACATTTCCGGGAAATTACCAGGCTTGGCATTGTCCATCTCAGGCTGGAGCGGTTAATATAGAGCCCATTACCAACGGTCATTAAAATTAGGCCGATCCAGATCAGATGTAGATAGTGACCTGTGCGATCTATTATTATGCCAGTGAGCACGCCGGACACTGCTTCCATAATGACTAGTGGAAGGACGAGGATACCCGATCTCATTGGTGAGGATCCATGAACCGATTGTAGGTAGAGGGGTATGTAGTATTCTCCCGCGATAAACACCTGCATGTCTATCAGTAAAGTATAGCTGAGGATTTCAAGTTTGAAAGCACTGACAACCCCGTGTGCAAATGTCACCAACAACGTAGCAGTGTTTGAAATTCGAGTGAAGATATAAAGAGGCATCAAGGGGTACTTTGCGATCTTTTTCTCGCTGTAAATGAACAGCAAAAAACATAGAATCCCAAAAACAAGCAAGCAAATGACTTGTGGTGATCCCCAGGCAAGCGTCACACCACCAAAATTTAGCGCTAACAAAAGCATAAGGGTCAAGCCAAGGAAGAAGAGACTACCAAACCAGTCAATTGCTCGTATGCCGTCTAGAAGATTCATTTTTAGATTGTGAACATCCAAGGAGAAGAAAATCAGAACAAATGCAATACCTGAGACCGGCAAATTGATCCAAAATGTCCATCTCCAGGTGACATATTGGGAGAAGGCACCACCGAGCAAAGGCCCAACCCCGGCAGCAAAGGCCCACATGAGCTTCATCAGGCCGAGGTGTAGGCTCCGTTTCCTATTACAACGATCAATTATAAATTTCAATGCAGCCTATGGTAGTATCATACCTGACACTGAACAAATCGGAGATGATAATTGTGACAATTTGGAGCAAGCCGCCACCTGCTACGCCTTGCAAAGAGCGACCGAGAATGAGAATATCTATTCCCATCGCCGTCGCGCATACAATTGAGCTCACAAAGAAAAGTCCGACTGCTAGGAGTAAGAGGGGTTTTCGACCCCAAATATCAGAAAGCTTAGCCCAAATACATGCTGATGCTGCATTTGCCAGAAGATATGCGCCTATAACATGAGTGAGCTATGACCATCCTAGCAAGGTGAATAGAGTCCCCACCTACCACCTATCCAAATATACCCGGAAGCGCTGCCAGACCGTGCAGCAATTGTTGGAATCGCAGTGGCCATGATACTTTGATCTAGTGCAGCAATAAACATCGATAACTGGATCATGGGATTAGTAGAAGATAAACACTTCTCTTGCAGGGCGATATCTCACCGAAAGCGCTATCATAATAATGCAAAGGCGGAATTTGCTTCGCCCGGGTGGGCTGGCCTCGTTCAACTCCATTGTGGCACCCGTAGGAACTGATGGTAGTGTGGAGTGGGTGTAAATATGGAATAATCGAAAGATGCAGAAAGACGGGCCTGGTGTTAGAGATTTACCCGAGAGTGCCTAGGTAGAGGACTGGTATATCAGCCACCTGGGCAAAACAGAAGAGAATGAATCTTGAAGTATTTTGACCAGAAGATTTACCGGGAGGTAATGAATGGAGAAAGTTATGGCATTGGTGGTGGAGAGGAACACTGTGACGGCAACCTACCTACTAACTACCTGACCCACAACACCCCAGGCACCAAGTCCTCAAGAAGATACCAACAGGCGCGGGAAAAGAAAAACAAAACAAGATATCAACTATATAGGTATGTAGATTGCTGGGATAAGTTGCTCGGATGAATAGTTGAGTAAATCAGTAAACAAAGAGCCTCGGAAATCTATCAGGCCACCCGGGTACTACCAGCTATAGCACAACGTTAGTCCTAATGTATTGCAGTATTGATGAAGCCCGAAAAACATTTGTTTTAGTTGAGTGGTCTTTGGGTACATCCATGCACAAGATATCACATTACAGCAATTTAGCTAGTACAGAGAATGTAAATTACTGGCAGGCAGGAAACCGTTTCTCTGCTGATAATCTCACTTGTGAAACTTGGGGTTCTCATAGCACTGCAGGCCTTGGTCTTGATCATAATACTCGTACGAGACGACTTAAATTTATTGTCTTACAATTGCCAATTTACGAAAGTCTGCGATTCCCAAGGTCGACTTGAACAAAAGATAGCTTTTTTATAGTCGGTCGCCTTGAAATTTGCAACTCCCCACTCAGAAGGTCCTTCCCAGGTGGCAACTCATCACTCAGTATAACAATGTCTATGGATTCGGAAAATGACCAACGGTAAGGGTGATGAGCCATCTTGAATTTCAAACTTGAATTTCCTCTAGGGATGTTAGTACATTCCTTAGTCACACCGTTCTTCGAGTCAGGCGTACTGATTTTATTCTAAGATTTCTTTTTTGGATAACACCAGGCTACCGGTCGGTACCTTGTAACATTTGAAGATTCTCAGCCAGGTGTTCATACTACCTTCAACGTGAACTTGAGTCGCATCTTCGAAGCTTCAAAATCCAAAACGCAAGACCAGATTTCTGTCATCTTGGGTGTTGTCGGCTGCCACAATGCTGGAACTAGTAGGTTGTATTGTTTGCATTTCCTCAGCGCTCCCAGAATTCTTATCCGTCATAAGCACTGGGTAGAACATATCAGAACAGTCAAGGATAGCTACGGTAGTCCAATGATCACTTGGCTAATTCATTATCCAGCCCCGTAGAAACTGGACAAAATGATGTCGTAGTTACTAGTAACATAGACCATGGGCACGAAAGACTTTGCCGATGCTTGAGGCAAACAACGAGCAGGGTCTAACTCCACGTGCCGGAGCACTCCCTGATTATTGTCTGTCTCCGGTCGCATATGGCCAGCAGATCCATGTAATCTGCACAGCTCGGCGTCTGTTACTTGTTCTAGTCGTCAGCCAATAGTAAATTTTAATTTTTGGATAATATTGTGGACGACATTCAAAATCTGTTGGAGTTTTTTTCGAAGCACCCCAATCTACCAGTGGACCAATCATCAGCAGCGCATCCAATCAAAACTCTAATCTTGAGCTAATCTTGAGCTAATCTTGAGCTGATCTTGAAAGGCAGCAAGTGAAGTGACAAAGAGAGCTTACACTCATGTGGTACCTGTTTGGAAGGATAAATTTCATGAGTCCGAATGGACATCATAAATCGCGACGGGACTGCGGTGGAGCCCTACGAATAATATGACATCATAACCATAAAACCACAGGCCAAGACGTCCTCAGCAAGACTTGGAAGCGTACCTAGGTGGGTCGGCTATGATTATCGAGACTCATGACATTATCTTACTACCAAAAACCAACTGCCGAGCCACTTGGCATTAGCATTGGCAAGAAGCAGACATGACGTTTGATTGTTGCCTTCCTCCATCAGTCCCATTTCACTGAGTCCACCCTCCACTCGCCATCACAATTCTCTATATTTCCCTTCCCTGCGCAAAGAAAACAGGCATTCAAAATGGATCAGACCTACAAACCCACTCCCTCGGCGCCTGTTATACGTCTGATGGTCCTCGAGACCGACAAACCTCATCCAGACACATATTCTGCGCGAGGATCCTTTGGCCGAATCATCCATGAACACTTTTCCAAAGCCGGTGGCGCTCATCACCCACCTCTGGGCGTGGAAACAGACCAAGTTTTCGTCGTTTCCGACTATGGGGGTCGGGTTCCAACAGTAAAGGATTTTGACCGTTTTGACGGGCTGTTGATAACGGGCAGTGTGTATGATGCGCACGGAAACAATCAATGGATACTCGACCTTCTAGAGCTTCTCAGAAATCTCTGGATCCAGCGTCCTGATTTTCATTTCCTGGGTGTCTGCTTTGGCCACCAGCTACTCGCTCGTCTTCTTGGCGGCTCCGTCGGGCCGGCTCCTTCACAAGATTGGGAACTAGGTCACTGCCGAATCACCCTGACGCCTGTTGGACAACGGCTGTTCCGCACACGCGAAGACCATGTACATTTACACCAGATGCATCAGGACCAAGTTGTCTTGCCGCCAACTGCCGAATCCGCAGGTCCCAAAATGCTATCTCCGGGGTCCGAAATCACATGCTGGGGACGCACTGAGCACACACCTATTCAAGGCCTATACATCGCAAATCGGTTGTTCACCTCTCAGGCACATTTGGCATTTGACGAGGACATGGTGAAAAGACAGATCCAAATCCGAGTCGATGGTGGTGGGATCCAAGACTTCGATCATGCGAATCGCGCAGCCGAGACAGCCCATCTAGAGCATGATGGCGTGGAGGTTGCCAAGGCTATTTTGAGGCTGTTCGTATACGACGATGATGATATGGGATTTGAAAAAAGTTGAAGTTGGGAAAATTATCATCAACATAAATGAATCAAACCTGCATTAACTCGCGAAGTCTTTTAAGGGACAAAGGTTTGACCAAAAAGTCATCGACCCCAGCCTTGAAGGCTGCCACTCGAGTATCATTAGATGCAACCGCCGTGACAGCCATAATGCAAGCTGACTTGAGTCCATTGCCCATTTCGTATTCCCGTATCTTTCTTGTAGCGACCAATCCATCCATCACGGGCATAGAGATATCTGGCATTGTCAATAGACCAACCTCAAAGGAGCTTTGTGTATGGAATCCGGGCTTACCCATCAAAACGAAGGTATATCGTAGTTTAGAAGTTTCATACTTCTCAAGGGCTATGCGTCCATTCGAGGCCGTATCGTAGTGGAAGCCAATTTTGCGCATGAATGTAGACATAATCTTATCGTATCACAGTTAGCTTCTAGCTTGAAAAATCCAGACAACGGGACAAGGCGGATTTCACTACACAGAATCTTTGTTGAGTGCATACTAACCTTCAGATTGATGTCGTTATCATCCACAATCAGTACACGTATGTGGTTTCCTGAAGAGTTTGTTGTTGGGGCGGGAAGTTCAAGGGTATCGAGAGGTGGGGATTGGATATGGTTGTGCTCGGTTAAAGAACAATCAACAGTTTTCGTGGGAATTTGGTCTGTGGCTGAAGTTGATATTTGCGGATGATTTACTGATAAGGCGGAAATGGGAGCCACGTCTGTCGGGTCCAAATGTATCGGTGCCTTGAAGACTTTCAGGAATCTTTCGGCGGCGTCAAAGAGGCTCCTTGGACCAAACCTTCATAGATGGTCAGTTAATTCAACCATGCCTAGAGAAAGGTATCATTATAACTCACGGCGGAGACACGCGGATTATGTGTGCGGGGAGATCATCAGTCAGTAACGATGTATTATCGCCGAGAACGATAAAGAACTCTCGAACGTGCTGAGGGTCAGTTATAAGAAGTGGGCTTTCGATTAACATCTCGCTCAGGTCAGTTTCCTCGATAATCGTCACATCGCCATGCATTCTGTCGGGAAATTTCCGTGGTGACAGTTGCCAGCCCAATTGTGTCATGAACACGCCCATGAGGGCGTTGCGGATGGATAACTTCCGTTTTGCATTGGCGCTTAGAATTCCCGTCGGAACTTCGTCCTCCTCTGGATGAAGCTGAAGTCCGACAATAGATGCGTTAATCAACGCTGGTGTAACGGAAGAGTTTGTGATCGAGGAGCGAGGATGAATTGTTTCGACACATTGAGCAGCTGTGATGGGTATCAGAATATCCACTTGGGTGCCTGCACCCAGTTCGCTTTTGACGTCAATGGTACCTCCAAGGGACGTGGTCAATTTGCGTGCGATGTTGAAGCCAAGGCCAATACCGGACGAAAGTGGGTCCTCCTGCGAAAAGGGAGAAAATAGCATGTCCTTAAGAAAGTCGCGTGAGATCCCACACCCTGTATCTCTGACACATACATGGGCGGAAAAATGGCCGTGGCGACCTTCTGGCCTCACTTTTGATAGTGACACCTCAATGAGGCCATTCTTAGTCCATTTCATTGCGTTACTGATAATATTCATCAGTATTCTTTTCCACGCACCGGCAGCGGATTGCACCATCCACGAATCGAGCTGCTCAATTTGGACTGTCACCGAGACTTCATCACTGCGGCCAGGGCGTTGGCAATGGGCTTCTGCGCTAGGACCAGAGGCAGAGAGTGCAACCGGGATATGGGTAACATGTTGCGTCTTTTGGTCAGCGCAAAGAACGGCGGCTACGTCTTCGACTAGTATGCCAAGGTCGAAGTCGGTGTCTCGATTCTCTATGCCGCTCTGGTCTTTGGTATCACCTGAATCTTGAGTCGCCAGGTCGTTTATCTTGCTATACTCTAGTCTATAAACAGATCAGTTAGAAAGCAACGCCGCGATATGAATGAGTCAAACTTACAGCTGATCAATCGTGTCCAGCAAGGTCAGGCCCGATCTCTCTATCATCTTCATCATATCACGCTGGGGAGACGGTAGTGGCAAGGATTGCACCAATTCCGTGCTTCCAAGTATGCCGTGCAGCGGGGACCGAAGCTCGTGGCTTATAGATGATACGAAATCAAATTTGGATCTCTCATTTGCGTTCCAATGCACCCGTGAGACCTCAGAAATAATGGAATCACCAAAAACTTTGAAGTAATGTAGTTCTTCAATACCCAACGGGCGGCGATGATCATTCGTCCATACTAACGTTCCGGCTAACCAACATGCTTTATTCCAGTCCCACAGTGGAATGAAAAGTACTGACTTCGCATCTGGTAGGATATCGGCAAGCCGGTCAGAAGCCTTCTCTTGCAAGGTGTCGGTCTTCCCACGTGTCATGTCAAATGTGTGCCCGTCCGGGAAATTTTTGATCAACATTTGCAGAAATTCTTCGGATAGAGCGAGTTCCGGCTCTGGACAAGGTTTATCAATGGGTGGTATGCCTGTATAATGGTTCAAAGGGCGACATAATGTTTCCGAGTCATCTGGCGGGTGTTCGGAAGATTGACAGTCTTCAAGACAGTCCCGAGGATCTTCCTGAGAATCCAAACACCCGGATGTGGAGGGAAAACTTTGGTTCACAGAAATTTCGGAGAGGTCACTATATGGCGTTAGGGGTTGTTTCGGTAGAGGAAAGGCTGAGAACTAACAATTGCGAATCACTTTGACGAGCATCCAGAAAGGTTACACCGTCCAGGTTCATCGATGATTTGAGGAGGATGGCGGCGCGAGAGAAGATCGCAGCCAAACGTTCAGTGACAGACACGTTGTCCATCGCTGTATCAGGAAAGTACTCGTCAGATGCTAACAGTTCTGTCGATTCCGGTGATCCTGGCGCAAGTGATGACGGTTGAGTAGTTGGTTGTGTCATCCCCGAGTCTTTTGCATTTGAGAAAAGGGAAAGGGCCCCATCTTCTTGGGTCATTGAAGATGATTGATCCACGGTTGATTCATCACTGCTATATTTACTCGTTACAAAGGATGCGTCTGGTTCACTTGCTTGGAAGCCGCTATCCCAGGGGTTCAAATTGTGAAAGTTCAGTTTCTCCCGTGACTCTGGCAGTCTGTTGGAATTATCAGCGCGGTCGGATTTCGCGTGCCCTTTGATGAAACTGGTTAGGCCTTTGACCAGATTTTCCCCCCGTTTGTTATAATGAACAATCCGAATATTCTCAAGATGCTGGGAGATGGCATCTGCAATCTCCTGGAGAGCGGCAACTTCTTCATCTCCAAACTCCGTGCGTGTCTTATTGTCCACAACACAATATGAGCCTAGCACATACCCGGCTGGACTGTATAAGGGCACTTCGGCGTAAAAGCGAAAATATGGCCAATTTTGCACATAAGGACGATCTTTATAGAAGTCTTCCGAGGTAAAATCACGGATTATGTTTCGGGTTCGATTGGCAGTGATGTTTTGAGTGTTCATTATCTTCGATGAGTCCTGTCCTGTGAAAAGGCGGATAGCATGAGGACAGACCCCCCCATTCTAGATCCAGTGTCCGGACGCCGAGGTAGATTCCGTCATTATCAAGGTGTTTGTCTCCATTGCGCAACGAGACCGAGGCAGTTGCTTCGGCGATGAGATGTTGCTGTTCGCCATCAATTATGGAAACGAAAGAACGGTTACATCCAAAACGATAGACTCCAAGTTTTGTGAGTGCAGTGAGCGTAGGATCGGGAGAAAGGCGGGGGCTGCTTGTCGATTCAGGATCTTGTTCGAATGTACAGTAGTATCTAGCATGGAAGATGTCAAAATCAGCATGCGCCATCGGCAAAATCGGAGGAAAGTCTACCTTGAAAGGTCGCGAATTCTGTCCTGTTCCGTATCACACCTGGTCTCACGAGGACACATCGACCTCGAGTCTATTGTCATTATAGTTTAGTCACGTAGAAATTACTACTAGACGATAAGTGTTGAGTTAACAACAACGGGAAACTTGACTCCATGGGGTGGGGGAACTGCCAGATGAAATCCGATAACCTGTTTTCCTTATCACCCTTCGAGACTAGGGCGTCTAGACTGTTCACCGCTTTTTCCGGGTATCGCATTTGATCATCTGACCTACTTTCTGCCCATGCCAATCAAATTTCATGCGTTTGATCTCAAGATTTTTATCTTCAACTTGCCAAAAGTTCCTCATTTCAATAATTATTCATTATTGGAAAGATTTTCCGATACCTTTAGCCTCAGGTGTACCTAAAAAAAAAAAAAATTCTGATTTCTTGATTTCTTTCTTCCAAAACAACATTGTGGGCTCATTATTCATGGGGCGCGGATACGCCAAGCCCCCTTCTTGCCGAGTCACGACAAAGAACTATTCAAATCTCGGTCATTTCGAGCAGCAAACTTTTATAAATAAAATCATAGAATAGCCACTAGATTACTAGTAGTCCATTAATATATGATTCATCTACAAAAATTTCTAATCCATTTTTTATTTGACATGGCCAAGATAGAAGTCTACAACCTTGGAACTTGAAGAATTCCGGCTTAGGAAGTCCACTAAACTTAAATACTACGAAAGGAAAACAAAATCCCTTATATTGTCCTTCATAAATTGCAGCACAAAGTCCCGAGGTCCCGAAGATCTTGTGTCGCAACGATCTAGGGTGGCGTCAAAAGAAATTACTTGCCCTGTTCTCCACGCCCTACTATGGTCGTACATGTTCGAGTTAGCCCTGGAGCCGGATATAGTTACTACCTACCTGGGTAGATAGTAGTACTACCTAGGTAGTGATATACTTGTGTGAAGAGCTAGTATTCATGCACCACTACTACTAGTATTCCCTGTATAATGTATGAACAATGCCGGTACTTAAAGCTTAGCTGACCCAGGAGATGTCCTTGGACTAGCCACCTCCGCATCGCGAACGAGCACTTCCGTCGCATATTTCACACGATCAGCCAAATCGATAGCAACCAGGCACAGTGTTTGATATACCCTCTCTCTAACATCCGCCCGAGTTTGAGCTAAAGACTCGGACATATTGACCACGATACTGTTCTGAAACTTGGCACCTCGTAGCTCCGGCAGAACATTCCAGAAATCCCTCGGGTACTTGTAGTCCTGCCCATTTGGCTCAGACCAAGACCGAGAAGAGGTTTCGGCCAGCCACGCTTGATGTTTGGTGTCTGAATATAAATCGGCTTGAGCCGTAGTATTAGGACTGTGATCTATGTTTGCTGTGCTCGCTTTGGGCTGGTTTGCCGGTAGTTGATTGTGGTTCGCCCCTAGCCGGTGACGTTGGGCGTCAGGGTACGCGAACAAACGCGCTTGCAGAATTGGATCCTCCGACGGTTCAACTCCAGGAACGAGGTTCGAAGGAGAGAACGCCAGTTGTTCAATCTCCGTGAAAAAGTCTTTGGGATTTCGCGTCAAGGTCAACTTCCCGAATGGTCGAGACGGGATAATTGGGATATTTTCGGGGTAACCTGGGGAATTCCCCAAGTTCCAATGCTTGGTCAGATCGAGAATATTGAATGGTAGTCTTTGGGCGTCTTTGGGGGCCACAACCTGCACATGCGCTGTCCAGCTGGGATATTCACCCCGTTCAATAGCATCATGTAGATCCTCAGTTGCCGAATCTGTATCTCCCACATTGACGTCCTTAGTCTTTCCGCCACTTTGTAAGCTAGGCCCCTGATCAGACGAGAGGAAAAAGTGAACATAATTCCAAGATCCATCCCGCTTCACCCATTTAAACGCGTGACCCACAAACCCGCTCATATTGCGATAATTGAACATATCACCAAACTCACTATACTGGAGCAAAACCATGTGTAGGGCCTCATGGTTTTTACAGACCCAGTCCCACCAGAGATTTGGATTAACAAGGTTTGTGCGCGGGTCCCGCCTTTGCGCGTGCATCATGGCTGGGAATTTGATGGGATCTCGTATGAAAAACATGGGAACGTTAAGGCAAACCCAATCCCAATTGCCTTTCTCTGTGAAGAACTTCACAGCCATTCCCTTGGGATCGCGGATCATGTCTGCGGAACCACGTTCAAAGGTTGTTGTAGAGAATCGAGCGGTGCAAGGTGTTTTCTTCCCTACACCGAGTAGCATGTCGATGTCACAAATATCCGAAATGTCGTCTGTTATCTAGAATATTCATCATCCCTCTTTAGAATGTCGAAGATTGCATGCTTGGTGAAAGTTTTGAGATACCTCGAATACTCCATGTGCGCCGGCACCCTTTGCATGAACCGCTCGCTCTGAGATCTTCTCTCTGTTGAATGACGACAGTGTGTCTATCAATCGGTAATCGGTATATGGGGGATACTTCTTTTCCGTTCGTGGCCCCTCTCGCTGCATGAGGGGGCAGGGTTTGAAACTGAGAGAAGGTTTCGGATCCATGGCGAAGGAACTACAGAATTGATTTCAAAAAAAGAACAGTATGACCCTTAGTAAGTGAGGTACCAGCTCTACTATATATTATTTCGCGTTAGATCTCCGTGCGGGAATCCTAGACTTTTGGTTGGGAGAATGTTCAAGCTTACTCCCAATTGGTTATCCTAATTTCTACCCTAAGCCGCTTAAGCCATCGTATTAACTAGCCGTAATTTGAAATTATTTCCTGCAGTGTCAGCAACCGATGTGGCGTTTTAGTGATTGATCTTTGGTCCACTCATCTCTTTACTGTCGATACCATGGCGCATCAGCAATGTAAGAAATTGTTAGATTGTACAGTTGTAATCAATCAAGATCTTTGCGCTTGCTCGATATTTTAGAAATTTTAATTTACAAAAAGAACAATTCAGAGAAGTAGCCATCGTTGATTTGTGTGTTTTACTTGGTCCAAAGCCATTCAGATAAGATATTTTCTTCATATTACTGATCACCTTTACTTATGCAAGATATTACATCACGAAGCTGTGATTAATCGATTACTCACTCTAGATTATGAGGTTTTCCTTTCTATAATAGACTTATTCTATTGTAGCTCACGGGAGGTTCACCAATAACTCATAGCTTGGACCGTATCTGTCCACTTGTTGGGGAATGAAGCTGTGCCGATTCATCTAAAGCATGAACAACATCCTTGATATCCTCATCTGTTGTTTCCGGGTTGATCGTGCACATTCGCAAACATATCACACCAGTTAACCTACTGGTAAGAATGAGGGCAATATTTTTATCGGTCAGATCTTTCGATATTCGGCTGTTGACAATATCCAAGTATGTATCTGGTTTGCCTTCCGGCATGAATCGGAAATTGACAATACCCATGGTGGAAGGCGATATGATTTCCCACCCATGAAGCTTGCGGATTTCTCTCTCAACCAGCTGTGATAGATGGAACCCGCGAGAAATCATCTGGTCAATGCGTTTCATTCCCAAGACCTGCAGTGAAAACCATAACCTCATATGTCGTGCTGGTCGGGTCAACTCGATTCCAAAATTCCACACCTCCGGTGAGCTATCTGCCTTGTCGATATCCACCAGGAAATGTGTCGTCGGTGTTGAAAAACTTGTTAGTGCGGTTGTCACGTCGCGAAAGATCACAGCGCCACATCCATGTGTCTGAAAGAGCCATTTGTGCGCATCCCAGGCTATACTATCTGCGTTACTCAACCCACTTACAAGCGACCGATGGGTGGATGAGAAAGCGACGGATCCACCATATGCTGCGTCAACATGAAACCAGATGTTGTGTAGGCGAGTGATCTCCCCAATCTCATGTAAGGGGTCGATGGCGCCACTCCCCGTTGTGCCACATGTTCCAACCACGAGGAACGGTATTTTCCCTTCCTGTTTATCCTCGAGGATTTTCTGACCAAGCTTATAGGAGTTCATTCGGAACTTCGCTTCGGATGGGATCACACGGATATTTTCTGGCGGGATCCCAATGATTCGCAACGCTTTGGGAACGGAGAAGTGAGTTTGGTCGGAGATGTATGCAACTCCCTTAGAACGCTCTGCCTGGCACTCCCCAAGTATATGGTCTCGTGCTACAATTGTGGCCGTGAGGGTTGCCATTGATGACCCGGAGACAAAGTGTCCACCGGCGGAAGCTGGAAGACCAAATAGCTGCGCAATCCACTCTATCAACGATTGTTCCACAGTACAGACACCCGTTCCAGCCTCCAAACTTCCCCCGAATGGGTTGAATAGAGATGTCATTGCATCTCCAAGACAGGAGACTTTGGACGCTGGTGAGGGAACACATGAGAAGAAGCGAGGGTGGCCAACGTTGAACCCGAAGGAAAATACATCCTGGGCCTCTTCTATGACATCTTCAATTGGCCTCGGATTGAGAGAAGGTTGGGTGCGTTTTCTCAGTTGCGAAAGCTGCTCTGAGCAGGGCCGTCTAGAGATTACACTCTTCGAGGGGAACACTTTCGCTGGTTTTTTGCATGCATTGGGATCCATTGCTGCTCAAATTCCTCCGTGGTTTTGGGGACAACAAAGATCCCCACTTGGTAAAGAGGCAGAGAGATGGCGTGAACACCGATCACTTTATAGCCCCGGAAAGAATCGCTTATGCCTGCCTGGGCCTACAGCAAATAATACTAGTATTTACCAGTGGACATCCACCAATCCTTTCCATATTGAATTATTCACACCTCATGTTCAGATTTTTCAGTGTCTCGATTTAAATTACAGATCAAAGGAAATTAACTCTGCAAAAATCATAAACAAATAACACTGAATCAGCAGCCACTTGCATCCGGATTCTCCTCTTCGAGCTAGCCAGCCTCGGGCTTTACTAGTACATCCTGATCACCGATCAACTCCGGTGCATACTAGGTCAATAGAATTGCCCAAACACAGGATGAGATCTTAGTATGCTGACGATCACCCCCTCAGTTTACCCGAGCCGTCAATTTTATCCGAGCCATTAGTTAGTATGTCACGTACTAGGCTAAAGTTGTTACGCCACTGGCATTCCATATTTCATCATGTTCCAAGGTTATTATTACTAGCTTCAAGTTCTGCACCTAGGAAGAGGCGTATATCTGCCAGGCTGTCTACTATGTATAGTAACGCTTTAATCAGCTTGAATGCCTGGGTATGAAAGGTACCTAGGTACCTACCAATGTATCTACTAAGAATACTACTAGCAACTAGTAGTACATACTAACTAGTATTTTAACAAAAAACCTTGGAACCTTGGAAGTTGCGGGTAGGTGGGGACTACCGAGGTCAGACCCCGGGATTCTCCAGTACTACTACTACTAACTAGTTAGTAACTAGTGGGTAATAGTTAGTTCATACAAGTGCCTAGTAAGCCTGCGGAAAAAGTTATAGATAACTGGAATGATACTACGTTAAAAGGAATATATTAAGAATTAAGGGTTTTTGAGACGGTGAGTTGTAATTGTTTGCTTAAATATGGTGCTTGGTGCCGACCGGCTGCAGCGCCAAGTTACAAAACAAGGTATCTCACGTCAGACAAAATATGCACCCCTCTCTCAGGGTACACAATATATGTCCGCGTATTTTATTTCGAACAATGCTCAATCACTGGAATCAGGACATGAAGATACCCGGCTGCGAGAGTGTAAGATAAATAGTACGTTTCGGGATTGATTATTGGGGCTTCTCTAATAAAAGCCTCTCCACGGTTTGGCTTTGTTCGTTATTCCTTAATTGATTGACAGATCTTCTATCCGTTATAGTAGAAATTTCATCTCAACGCAAACCAGGGTTAAATAGCTTTTCAGCTGGGACTTGGTCTTTCGACAAATTCCTTCGCTCCAACAACTCATGAGAGCAGCTCCCGTGAAAAGAATAATGCACGACGTTCAAAAATCAAACGTAACCATTTCCCTTTTTCGTCCTTTCGATAATTACAAGAATTGTTATCGCTGACTGAAACAACATCATAGGAGGTACCAGATGCTGGAGCGGACTGCCTGTGGGGGAGGCTCACCCGTTGGCATCAAAATCAAGCAGGAAATGCTGACTTTTGGGGGGCATTATGCGGACCCCCACTCGCATTACTCCTCAGGGAAGCCGGATATTCCATTCCCCAGCAAGTCGAAATTCTACAATTCCATCAGAATTGGGTTGTAAGTGCATTTATTTCGTGAAATAGCATCAATAACAATTCAAAAAGATAAAACGTTGATCCCAGTTCTCTAGGTCCCAGCCCTAGGCCCCGCGCCAGATTCCGATTCTTACAAGTGGCAGACGATTCTCAATCCCAATGGATTTCCTCTCGAGTACGCATGGAATTGGAATAATTCGACTGGCAAGCCCCAAATTCGTACTTCATGGGAGTCTATTGGCCCGGAAGCTGGAACCAAACTTGATCCTCTCAACCAATCGTTGTTTAGAGAATACCTCGATCGACTTGCGAAAGTGATTCCGAACACAGACTTGAGTTGGTCCGATTCGCTGCTAGCCTCGCTATTTGATCCAGACGCCGACGCATATACAAAAGACGGAGGACCGGATAAATTGGGATCGACGTCTGTCGTCGCTGGTATGGAGTTTACTCACCCCGGCGCATTTCGTGCAAAGGGCTATTTTGTGCCTCGACTGCCGGGTCAAAAGCCGCCACTACCTCTCTCACATTGGACTCAGGCACTTGGTGCTCTCAGTCCAAATATCAAGTTGACTGTGCTCGAAGATTTTCTCACCACAAGCTCAGAGGGCAAGCAATTGCGGCCCTATATGGTCGCAATAGATCACCATGCGGGTCCCTCCGGCTCGAGACTCAAGTGGTACATGAAGACCGCTAGTACCAGCTTCCACTCCATACGAGAAATTATGACACTGGGCGGGTTAATCTCTAATATCGGTAGCGAACTCGACAGTCTTTGCGATTTGATAAGGAGACTCGGTAACTTGCCAGACGATCACCCAGAGGAGAGCGAAACAGTGATCCCAACTAGCGATAAGAAGAACTTCTTGGGTCTTCCAGCGACTGCACATTACTTTTACTATTTTGATATCGCTCCTTACGACGAGCTCCCATACGCTAAGATCTACCTTCCAATGCAGAACTACCACAAGGACGATCTTGACTTAGCCCACACGATCATAGATTGGATGGAGACCCAGGGGAGGGGTTCCTATGGTGCGAATTATCTGCGTGTGTTGCAAGGGTTGGCGAAAGGGAAACTGGATTGTCGGGGTTATCATACCTTTCTTAGTTTCGCGGTCAAGGGAGATGGGAAGATAGACGTCACATCATATCTCGCGCCATCACTAGACATCAACGCGCGCGGATCGTGACTCTGAGTTTTTTTTTCCGTTCTTGATTTTTCAATTCGTGGATGGATTCTCTTTATGGTCAATAGTATGCTTTTACTGCTGGTGGCGCATTCAATACACCGGACACAGGGCATGTGCTTCCCATTATCTACGGCACTCTATCCGCAATCGACCCAATGTTCCTACTGGAATCAACAGTGATCTCTGCAAGGCTTTGCCACCCTCTCGATAGAGCCATTCTACTAGTATTCATACGTATAGTACAACTCGAACTTCCTCAACTAGTAGTCCTAATAGGAAGTTCAGGGTACTGACTCGAAGTAGTATAATGGTGTTATGGGGAACCAATTTCAAGTTAAAGCTTGGAAGTTAGCTAGTGACTACCAGTACCAGTACTTAATATTACTAGGGAATCAGGTAACATACTTCCTATATCATATCTTAACACACTCTAGACTGGGTTATATGACTCAAGTTAAGTTTTCATGATTACCCAGTTAAACTAGTCAATTCCCGAGGTCCTATTCAGTAAGAGACCCAAAAACTCAAAAAAGCACAATTCTGGGTGGTGAAACAAAATTTGATATCTAGGCACTAGAGCTATAAGGATTACATTGTCCCACATGCTTCTCTGGATTGAGAAGAGAGATTTCAGGAACTTCGAGTCCTTTTTCTGATGGCGGATCTCCCAAATTTATTCATGTCCTCCGCTGTGATCAGGACGTCGTTCTCCCTGAGCGAATCTGGCTTGCAAAGAAATGGGCCTTCACACGAGAATCGCAGGGGGCAGTTGTCGGTGAACGCCAAATGGTCTGTGGCTCTGGCGATCCAAATCACCTGCTTCCAACGAAATTTCCCCTGGCTGACCGGTCAATCTACAAGTAGGCCAGCGTTGAGCCAAATCACCCTCCCCGTAATTTCGGTATTCGTGAACGTCTCGAGCAGAGCTTGAACCTCTGCATCGCTGGGAGTCCAGAAAATGAGATTGTGCGAGTCAGGCTCAGGTCGTTTGAAAATAACCATAACCCCGGGGCTACCATCAAGATTCTTGGCATAGCCCAGCCCAACCGAGAAATCGGGTGTTGTGTATATCCCGGGTCCGAATTCATTGGCAGCTTGAAGGTTTGTCGGGGTGATCAGAGGATTGAAAGCAATCATCATGAGGTCGCTGTATCGTGGGTCCGATTGGCCCAATCGAACTTCTTGAAGAAGCAGAACTACATACATCCGACAATTATCCCAGACGGTTCGGGCAACTTCTCTCAAGTCTTCCGGGGTGACCTCAAAGTCACCTTCTCGGGGGCAATCTGCCCTGCGGTTGAATAAGTCTTCGAAGAATATTTGGATAGGGTAGTGATTGTCGACGACTAGACGGTCCGCGGTCTTCGTTATCCAAACTACCCCCTTACGGCAAATTCTGCCTTGGTCATCTCGGTGCCATTGCTCGACTGGAATACGTGGTTGTAGCTGCTCAGTACGGACTGTAAGGCAAGAATCGCATTGCAGGATCCACTTGATTCGGAATGAGCTAACTCAACGGCGCTGGGGCCCTTGGGACCAGGAGAGGCACCAGCACAAACTCTGCGGAAAAGGTATCGGATGTAGTTTCGTGGGTCGGACCGGGGAGTGTGATCAGAATGGTGTGTGTTGAAGTATGGAAGAGCTGTCCGGTACACTTTACCTTTTTCTGCGAAGCAATCTCCTAGCGGCCGGACAAAAAACGTAGATATCGTGTTCCTTCAAGGGGGTTTTCGAATATCTGGATGGCTCAGCCAAAATCTCATATCCGACTGTAGCTGTTTATCTACCTCTGAGCACGCCACCTCTGGCGATTGTACGTCGATCAGGCTAACCAGGCGCTCTGCGTTTCGGGCCCCATCCGAAATCTGGCTTTTTTACTCGTTGTTCCTTGTTGACCCCTGAACATTTGAAACAATCGAGGATGTATCCAAAAAGCCTGTTAGAGATTGCCCGATACTTTTCCCGTTCTAATAGAATTTGCTTACCGGTCCTATTGGGGTTTTAATCCGCTCAGCGGTCCTGTAGTTGCTGTTTGAGCCTCGTTTTGCCTCTCCCCCTGGAGTTGGAGGGCCGCAGGCACTCCCAGCTGTCGGCAGCTGAAACACACAAAACGGTGGAGAACTGTTCCCCAAACTGGGCCGTCGCTCCATGATATAGCTTAAGGAATGTTCAAGGCCTATACGCCGAAATGCATTGGCTGATCTGTAGCCGATCTGAGTGATAGAGTCATGATGCGGGACAGGCATTTTGGAGAGAAGTCACGTCAAATTCTTTCCCACCACATTTTGATATCCTTGGCCGAAAATTCAAGTCAAGAACGGTATAAATAGTCTCACCGCTTATATAGAAGAACAGAAAGTCGCTTGGGGTCTCGCATACCAAAAACAGTGGCTTTTGGAATGGGTGATGTTGTTGCACAAATTGGGATATACTGGAAAGAGTGCAGGGGGTATGTTTTGATCCACTAACCGTACGAGTTGATAGGGAAGCTACTACCCAAATGATCGAAGAGCAGTAGCAGTCATCATGTGTCGTCATTCATGATTCTACATGGAAGGTACGGCAACTGGGTGCCGTATATGCCGGACTCGCCCTCGTCTTCACAACGATTGTTCAAGCAGCGAAGGACCAATTTATAATTATTTTACAGTGACTGATAGGAGAGTGCAATTAGGTAGACCTATAATGGGCGGTTAACGCCGACAAAGTGCCACAATATCCGTTCATTACCTACTAGCTATCGTCAATATAATATTATGATGAGGGTGGGGGACGATGGATATAAAGATCATAAATTCGTGATATTTCAAAGACGGAGACGACAAAGAAGAAGGTATTTAAGCAAGCAAAGATCAAAGGCAACCTGAATAGCCTGAGGCATAACTACCTACATCAACATGTTATTTCTTCCTTGTGAGTCTACAATTTACGAGCCGAAGGGATTGCGTGTACCAGCACATGATCCAGCATTATTCGTAGACTTGAACATGCTCCTCAAATAGCGCGGGGCGGGGTAGTAACCCTCCAGGCACGTTCAATGTCCAGCACATTCGCCATGGCCACTTCGCAGGCTGGCTTCAAGGTGCATCACTTCCACACCCGAGCTCCAGGGAGAAATGAAACTCGCAACTTTGATCTTTTCTGATGGAGTGGCATCCGTTTCCCTGGAAGTGAGCCATAGCAGTCGCGAAATGCATGGTCGCCTTTGGACCGTTTGGATGGTCAATGTCTGGGGCGTGGCTTGTCAATACAGACTTGCTGGGATAGCCCTCTGGGGACAATGTGCTATCAAGATATCAGCTTGAAATTTCCAACAGAATATAATGAAGTTCGTGGATGAAGAAAGCCGTTCAGAGAGAAGATTATAGTCGTCAACGCCTCACACTTCGGGAGAAGCTTGAAGGTGTGGCATTCCGTCTAAGGATGACAAAAATAGTTTCATCATATCGGCGGTGGGGGGGAGGGAGGGAGGGGGCAAAGGGAAAAGAACGGATTGGCCTTACTATTACTGGAATTTTCTTGGGGCAGCTGAGCTTGGTTTGGGCATTACCTATCACCAGTTCTGCCCGTCAAGCTGATTCGAAGTTTGAAACCACTGCAAGCCCTTAATCCTCAATCATCATAAGAAACGACTTTCCGTCGCGGGTGAGTATTCTGGAGCTGTTGATTCTGCCCTTTATCCGTCAAACCTTGGTCGGTTTCCTCGTAGTTGAGATACTCGGATTCCGCAGCAGTCGGCACCGGCCTGGTCAGCGCCTTAGGTGGTTGCCGCGAGGATGGCTGCGCATTCATCGCAGAGTCTTGCGGAGATGGATTCTTTGCTGCGGCGTTCATTGCGTTCTCCTCGGCTCCGATTGCTTGACCCGGTTGGTCCTCGCTCTTCTCCCGCCTCGCCTCGTAGTCAGCTTCATCCTGCTGGAGCTGTCGCTCGCGAAGTAAAGCGTGAATTTCGCTGTGTCTGAATATCCGGATTTGCTCATCCGTGAGGGTGCGTTTCACACCGTCAGGATAGTATCCTAGATCTTCCTCTCCATCTTCATAAGGGTCCTCGTAGGCAGGTTCGGCGGCGGGCAGGTTTATTGTTTGAGGATGGCCTGGGAAATGCGAAGCTTGGAAAGCTTGTAAATCTTCCTGGGTGAGACACGGAGATTAGCCTGGACAATATCGAGAGACGGGGGCATTTCTCACAAGAGTGACGGTCGGGACTTGCATGCTGGTGAGGAGTGGAGGAGGATGAGTTGAATTGCGGCGACGCGGACGCGTTGGTCAAAAAATACCAATTACGGTACGAAGTACTGAAACCTGATAAATCAGGCGACAACCTTACTATATCTTCATTTTTGGTCGAATTTAGCAAGATACATCTCTCATGATATCCCATTTCCAAGATAGGAAAACCCAGCAGTTCATTCGATCTATGGTCGCTCAAAATGTTGACACTAATATGGCTGGACATGTATCTTAAGCTTTTTTCAGCTGAACTGCGAATACGAAGGGACTGTAGATGCGATTGGGTATAGATCCATATCAGTATTGTGACTTTCGAATACTAACTCGCACATGGTTTGGCCGTCACACTTACATGGAAATATAGAGCGACTTCCCTCGAGTACGCGTTTCGAAGAAATCCTTTCTCGCCTGCTGGCACTGTTCTCCTACCACCCGATCAAGACTCGCCGCCATATTCTCCTCAGTCGGCAAGGCGTGCGGTAGACAATATTACCAAAGCTTGTCCAGGTGGCCATTTGCTTCCAAGTTTCTTCTTGCATATCTTTCTACCATGTCCTTCAACTCGACATGTCAGTCAGTCCTTTCATGCGGTGACAGCGAGCTCTCACCACAGCAAGTGTTACGGGAATATTTACATTTTTCTACGCGATCATCATCACTCTAGTATACCGTACGAGGAAGCTAGGAAATGCGAAAGAAGATATCGGACGCTTCCTAAAAGAAATAGAGAGAGAATACCGCGCGGCCGATTCTCTACGCCAGAGAGTAAGAAATTTACACGAAACGTACGGCGTGGCCCCCAATTATGAAGACAGGATCAATGATCTATTCCTCGAGGCGGACCGTATATTCAACAGCTCCGTGCGGTTAGTGGAGCTCTTTGCTCGCGTGGGCTCGCGCAGATGGCAACTTATGCTTGCCAGGGGCCGCTTTATAGCTCGGAGGGCAGAAATTCAACACAATCTGGATGAGCTTCTTCAAATAAGATCGAGACTGGAGACTATTCTCGGAGGTTGGGAGAGCAGGTAAGGACCTAGAACTCCACCCTCGAGATCGGTTACAGTTAGGCTCACATTTTTCGAGCATTCTCCTAGAGAATGTTTATAAACAGTCTCGGGTGCTTGACAATTATTGCACAATTATCGAGAGTCAAAGGATGATGCTGATTATTGCACAATTATCGAGAGTCAAAGGATGATGCTGAGGAGGATCATGAATACTCTCCACTTGGATAATATGGAAGGCCCATCAGCAAGACCATTGAAAGATGCACCGGAGGAACCAGGAGGAGATCTATCGCAAGAATCACTGGCGGAAGAATCCCAAGATAAATTGGCCTCTGATCCTGGCAGGAGCTCTGAGAACTTAGTAATACGTCCACCGACTCGCTGGGATCCTCCCGGTCCGCAGAACTCCTAGAAGCCTTTTCAAAAGACCTCGTAAGGCTATATGAATTATCGAGCCCGTCTCAGGGCGTGAGAGTACCACCAGGTTGTCATTGTCAAGAGGAATAAGCCCAATGATCACCTGAACAATCATACATCCGCGTGAATTTCTGATCATAAAACACCAAAACATGTGTATCGGTATTATCTCCACGCCAACTATAAAGCCCCGTTTAGCTCCGTACTATGAACTGGAATAATAAAGAGCCCTCCAAATAGCACCAAGCGGGCGTTGTAAATCATCAGTGGTTTGCAATGCCGTTCGTTCCATCCACTTATTCGGAGCGAGCATCACCACAGTATCTCGAATGCGGCAGAATCAGCCACATCACGATCGTAGCGGAAGCTCAAAGTTCTCAACATAATTCCCAATCTTAGCCTTCACGCACGGAAACTGAACATCAATGGCCTGTACTTTATCCAACTTCACTGCATTTACACGCTCCAGCTCTGCAGACTCCGGCGCATCCAAGCGCCAGGCAATCGAAATATGAAAGCATCCAGAGAAATCACCATCGTCTGTTGACGCAGATCCCGACGCAGATCCAGAATCCGGACTCCTCTCTGACATAGGATCGGCCCTAGCGTATAGAGGCGGTTGGCCGAAGCGATGTAAGGTCGAATTGCAGAGTCCGAGTAAACGGTTCAGGTTATCGGCCTTTGGTTTAGCGACGCGTAGGACGAGGAACCAACGCGTTTTCTCGTAGTTGGAGACCCATTTTAGTGTTTCGGGGCGGACATGAAAACTATTATATCGGATTAACTGTTAGTGACGCGTTGTGATGGTTGGAGTAGTTGCTTTCGCTGTCACTATTACTGCCACTGCCAACATAGGGGAGGAGGCAAGGGAGGGGGCGACGGGGTGTGAAGGTCGAACGTACGAAGAAATACCAGATGAGCGCACACCCTTCGACAATGCCTCCGTAAAGGATGCACGCTGCTCTGTGCGCAGGACCACGGGCCTCGACAAACTGATGTGAAGGGGTAATTGCGCGCCCAGATCGGAGTGGAGAAGACTGTGCACAGTCGAGCCGGAGCCATCCTGGGTTACTTCTGCGGCATCATCGCTTCGAGTCGAGGGAAAGATAGCGGGTTTTCTGGTATTGGCGTCGGCTGCCTGAATCAAGTCGGCAAGGAGGTGAACCTCCTCCTTACCCGGAACCCCTGCGATCGAACCCCAATTAGCGAAGCTTGACAATGAGCTGAGGCCGAAGCGCACATTCTAGGTATAGGTGTGTCGGCCAGTTCCCTTCGACGTGGGGAATGGCGCGTTTTCGACCGGCGTGGAGGGATGGGTCGTCTTTGGTGCTCACGCGTGTGGAGGAGGCGTAGAGCGAGTGGAAAGATGCGGGGAGTGGGGGGAGTGATGTTGGATTTGTTGGAGCTGTTCGGGCTACTTTCTTGCGGGGTGGGGAGGAGGATTCTGATTCCGAGTCGCTGTCAGAATATTGTACCAGGGACATGAGATAGGCTGAAGGGGTTGTGAAATTGTGAAATGTGGTGAGGTGTGGAGGTTGAAGTTATGCGGGGCGGAAGAGTTCCGCCTCCACCTGGACACTAAGTTCCATGATGCTGGTATGATATACGAAATTGTAATTTTCTCTTATCATTATTTGATTGAATCTCTTCGATTGGGTATATGTATCATTATTTGCCAGTGAGCAACTGGCAATTTCCTGTTTTTTAGGGGAAATCTCAGGTCATCCTGATAATGGATCCGAGTACATAGTACAGTACCTAAATTTATATAAATGGATGCAGCTATCGATATCAATACCTAGGTACCTAGTACTTTGAAAAAAAAAATCGTGTTTCTGTCGTATTCGCTTCCAACATGCATATTTTGTGTCCAAGTTAGCGAAGGGATATAGGCGGTGCAATGAAGAGCAAACGACAAACGACACATGTGGAAAGAGGAAATCCAATGGATAATGTCGGCAACGAAAGCCAACAAAAGGTGAGATACTGAATAAAGAAGTACTAGTAATAACCCAGGGAGGTTTTAATATTTCGTTCTGCTCGAAAACCGAAATATTTCAAGCTCGAACTACTATAATCTATTCTAGAAACTTATCGCGATGCCCCCGCACAAGCCAAACTAAACCCTTAATATGGCAGGTACTTCTGGTCCATAGCATTGGTAATTCATATTTTACCACCAGATAATGTCATCCTACCTATTGGACACTAAATTTCTCGACATTCTAAAGTTAGAAGCAGCGGGTAGGCGATTCTGTCAAGGCCATACTTTTTATCAATCACCGGGCACCAGCAAGATGACCTTCAAAGCCACTCACCTCTTTGCCCACAGCCATAAAAGGACAATTTGCCCTCCAAATCTTCAGAATCAGAAATACATCATCGGTTAAAACCAGGGATATCCATGCCTTCTCAAAAGACCCAGCACGGCCGCTCGCTGGTCCCCGGAACAGCAACCGGCAACATTCTCTGGACCGACACCCCAATAAGCTTCTACGGCGGCGTCAACCCAGCAACAGGAATAATCATTGACAGGCACCACCAAATTCACGGCCAGAGTCTGAAAAGATGAATCCTCGCTATCCCAGCCGGCCGCGGCTCTTGTGCCGGAAGTGCCGGGATATTAGAACTACTCCATGCCGGATACGCACCAGCCGCACTAGTATTTTTCCAACCAGAGCACCTCGTCACCCTTGGTGTCTGGGTCGCGCAGGAAATATTCGACAGATCGATCCCCGTACTGGTCCTGAGTGCGTCCGCGTTTCTGACACTCCAGAAAAATGACGGCAGGCGGGCTGTCATTACCGAGTCGAGTCTTTCAGTTGGTGAGGGAGTCGATATTTCGCTTTCCCCATTCCTTGCGGAAAATATCCATGCGGGGGGCCTTCCTACTCAGCTCCAAGGATATGTTTCATATTCAAGGTGTAACGACTGAGTCTCGGGACGTTGAGCGTTTGGTTTCGTCTCTACCGCATATTCGGGTCACGTTGTGTGATCTTCAGATGTGTTGGGAAAAGCTGAATACCGGTGTAGACGACTCGGTGGCGGTTGCGTCGCTTGGAAACCCCCGTTTTGCATATGAGGAGTTTGAAAAACTGTCCAGAATTTGCCGGGGCTGCAAAAGATGTCCGCAAACGAGGATGATTATTATAACTAGCCGGGAGGTATATGTACGATCTGCTCAGGCAGGCTTCATCGACATCTTGACTTAGTTTGGCGCGGAGTTTATCAGAGATACATGCTGGTGTTTGGTCGAGGAACCAGTGATCCCGCTCCACGCAAAGAACCTGATGAAATATTCCGCAAAGTATGCCCACTATGGGCCAGTTACAACGAAGCGGGGGATTCACTTTGATAGCTTGAAAGCTTATGTGGATACGGCTGTAGGTGGAACTATCGAGCAGGTGATGCCAGAATGGCTCATCGTGAGATGAGGTGCAGTGAGTAATAAGCAATATAATGAATGAAGCAAATATACGAATAGTACAGAGTGGTACAACCCAATGCGCGCAAATGAATATATCACCCAATACGCCTTGATAAAATCCGCCAGAGCTCTGAGTTGCCTGTCTACCTACCGCTCCCTTATGCCTCTTTCCAATAAGTCTATATTTAACCGCCAAATAATCAGGTCTCCAGACGGTGATAATTCCGATGCCCCGCAGCCAGGTATCTGACTCATCTAGCACGACAGCTCGCAAATCCAGCTGCAGGGTCCATGTGAGATGGCGATCAGGACAGGGTAAGATCGACGGAGCGGCGGTGATTGGAGGAGCTAGTTAGCGATCGTGGGACGGACACTCGAGAATTTAGAACGGAATGCGAACGATCTGACAATGTCCCGTTTAGTCCGTACTCATCGGAATGAAATGACGCGGGGATCCTTAGATCGGGTCAGCTAGGTTAGGCCACTTGGGTAGATGGATTAATGTAAGGGTGAGCTGAGTCGAACTGGCGACAGTTGTTGACTCCAGTACATAGCTAGTACATTAGTTCAAACCCCCTGTCATGAACTCAATCGTTCCCGGACCGCTTCCAAGAATAGATAGAGTGTTACGAATCCGAGCCTGTACTCGTGTGAAAATGTCAATCGTGTAATTTTTGCTGTATTCAAATACAGACACACAGTTCATAGTTCAGGGCAAGTGAACGCCCACGGGCCTTGGCTCATGGAAGAGTGAAGTATACTCGATGCTTTCTGAACGATATTATGCTTGCCATGGATGGAAAGCCTGATAGATGACTCAATGGAAAAGGGAAATCAAGAGGGGAGAGACTACAGAGTACTCCGTGTTAATACCTGTCGAAGAGAACTACTTCGATAAGCATGAGCAGTGACTTTAATTGATATTTGATAAATTCGGCCCAACCCTGAGGAATAATTGAGTCTGCGGCCTTTGGGTATGACGCGATACATCCATTTCGCCTCGCGGATAATCAGTAGGAATGCCAATAGCGAAATATTAACATGGCGGATGGACAAACCACGCGCGGCAATGCCACATTCCACATGGTCTTGGCACTTCGAGGCGGTGTTAGGCTGTCATCTGGAGGGGGTGGTGATGGGTAAGACACGAGATTACAGCAGACAGGCAGCAAGGGAACTGGCGAAATGAATGCATTTTTAGAAGCCTAGAAGTATGCCCAAGCAGGTGTCCCATGTCAAGGTAAAGATGGTCCGATGAATACGGTAACTTTACACCTCTACGCTGGTCATACAAGGCGGTGAACCACTGACAGGGAGGGCTCAAGGATCAGATCGGATCAATTTGTGACAGTTGACAGGGAAGTGATGATGTGAGAAGTATTGTACGCCATGAGATAAAAAATAAGGAGAGAGGCAGCTGGAGTCATGACAGGTGAGACAGTATTGGCTTGAGGGGAAGGTCTAGACTGCAGTATAGGTGCAGGTGCATAACGAGGGGATACCTCCTTGCGTCATGGGGAAGAGAGGCATACTAAAATATTAGTATTTGGCTAGTCGGTGAGCTTAAATGATGTGGGAATAAGGAACAGAGTTTGCGGGTGTAAGGGGAATGAATCATTAGCCCGGAAGGGAGTGGAAGGGGACTCGGAGTGGAAGTCTCGGAAATACTGGATGTGGTGGATGCAACGGCAGAAATTGAATTTAGTGCAGGGTATTCAGCTTGAGACTGGGTCATAGTAAGCTATAGTGATATCTGTACCCTTATTTGAAGTCATCTACTATACCCAGACACTGCTCTGTTTAATTGTGTATAGATCTTTCAAATCTTCTACTCTACACTACTGCCTAGACAATTGACATCATCTGATTGCCCCGATGATATCACTTGACGATCCCTCGCGGGGCAGAGTGGAGTCAACTCGAGTCAAAGTGGATCCATCGAGGTCGATGTCGTACTAACGAGCACTTCGGTACAGTACCGAGTATACGAAATCTAGAAAATTGTGGAGCATGCAGGGCCTGACCTGACAGGCCGGGACTACCGGGGTCGCTAGGAACGCCTTACGCGCGGCAGTGGCAGTAATAGTGTAATAGTGGTACACTAGCAGTGCCACATGAAAGTAGAGTTATACAGTGCTCGGTACGGAGTACTCGGTAGTACCCATGTGTAGGTGTTCTCTGGGTGTAGTATAGAAGTCACGTCATGCCGTCCCCTGCCGATTATTTGACTTCCTTCCTCTTTAACACTTACACTTCACTATATCCCCTTCTCCGTCCCTACACCTCCTCTCCCTCTCATCCCTCGAATCTATCCTAGTACCTCTCATCCCATGGCAGTCGACTGCATCCCCATGGCCTCGCGCCACCACCCCCACCACCCCTCCAACTATACCTACAACTGCACCTACACCTATACCCCATCAACCCGACGCTCCAGCTCCTCCAACTCCTCCACCTCCCATTCCAACTTCAGCAGCAACAACCCCTACGCTCGCCTGACCACTTCCTCACCTCACTACACAACATTTTACAACCGGCGCTCCACGCCTATCTCCCTCGCAGACTGGACACCTGACAACCACCACCAAGCCGAGCGCGAGCGCAAGCGAAACAGCACAAGCTCTATCCCGCGCCGCCGCACCCACCGCTACCCACGAACCTCCCAGCTCGTCAACCCAGACATAATCGACCAACTCGACGACGTGACAAATTACTCCTACCACCACGAGGGACCCTACGACGCCGTCTGTCCTGAGCGCAACCGGGTTAGCCAGCGTAGTCCACTCGAGGCAGTCCGCGAGTCAAACGAGGAAGCCCTCCGCGCAACACCGCGGGACAAAATCATCGACTGTTTAAATTCGCACCGGCCGCTGGATGGTGTGGCATTTTTCCCGCCAGGTGAAACGGATCGAAATGGGCAGACTTATTTGTATGAGGAGGGGGCGAATATGATGAATGATTATGGCAATTTTATGAGGACTCCTGGCCAGGTTTGTTTTTTCGTCCCTTGTCAAAGACTTGCGCTAACTCGCCTATTATAGAAATTCACCGAGGAGGACTTCAAGAATGATCCCTTCTACAATCGCCCGCTGTTAAACCCGTTCGCGACACTTAAGAAGAAACTCAGTCTGAAGCGCAACAAGAATCGTCGGAGTACTGCGTGATCAGTGACAAGTCAGCTTACGATATCACGACACTTCTATTTCTTCTTCTTTTCTCTCTCTCTTTTGGGTGTTGGTTTCTTCCTTTTTTCGGCTACACCTGGATAATGGTTATGCGCGATACTAGGAGTCGGGATGGGGAGTTTTGTTTTCCTAACTTCTCTTCAACTTTAAGTTTATCCTTGTTATTTTTTTTTCCGGCGGGTTTGGTATTTTCTTTCCTGGACTCTTTTTCCTTGGTTTCGTCCCACTCGTGTTGCTCCGTTTATAGGCGAGTGGATTCGTTATGTATTTAGACGGAGATTTCATTTATTTCATCATCACCGGTTATTTCTATACACCTGGTCCGCTTACTGGTAGCGTTCAGAGCTTTTACTAATCTTTTTCAAATCTTCGGCCTCATTATGCTGACGGTAGGCGCCTCAGGCACCCATGGCTTCCAAGGCAGTGCCTGCTCTCATGTAGATAACTTCACTTTCTTCCTCCTTTTCCCATCCCATACCTCGGTAAAGTACTTCATCATCTGATCGTGTGATCCGATCAGCTGAAGAACCCCTCTTCAAACCCCGCACCATCGCCGCGAGAAGATAGTGTTTCCACTAACCTTTTCGGGAAAGGCACGGTTCCGAGCTTATTTTGCCGCGGCTTGAATAATGCACTAGTTATACTAGTATCGTTACTACAACCAAATTTTCGAGGTTTGTACCTGAACCCAGGTTGCACGGCATCACTTCGTGTTTCACTCTAGTCGGGATGAAAATCTTTTCCCTCTTGTCTCGCAGCTCTCATTCTCATCCCACTTGTACCATTCAGTGTTGTGTCTCCGGGCTTTCGATATTCCTCTACACCCACCATGTCCGTCCCTAGTCCGATTTCCGATGAGGAATGGAGCAACTTATCCAATAAATGAGGCAACTATGAAGAACCCGGTGACGACGAGAGCCGCAGCGAGAAGAGCCACGAGGACAAAAGCCACGACGATGAGAGCCACGACGATGAGAGCCATGACGAGGAGAGCCGTGACGACGAGAGCAGTGATGACGAGAACACCTACAGGCACAACACCTATGACATAAATGCAAAAGTCGACCTTCAAAAAACAGGCATAAGTACGTCGAAGATGTTCCGACCCGCCATGTCAAAAAAACAGGCGCCTACGCACATAACTTTACTACGAACTCAATGGGATCGAACTCGAATATCCCGCGAGTCTGATCAGCGAATTTCTAATCAACGAATATCAATTCCGAGAGCGTTGCGAGATGCGTCTGGATGATCCAGTACGTTTTGGAATCATCGGGCACTGCATCCTGGGATGTGCATGCTGTCAACAGATAAATGACTACTACCCTAAAATAACCGCACTCGATGCATCTATCGACCGGGAAAGGCTGGCCCTGGAGAGCGATAACCCGTTTCATCGTCTTCGGATGGCGGACGTCTACTTTCAAAAGCCTTTACTTCCGTAGCCGCAGGTCCAGTCTCAGGTCCAGCTAGTATCGGCTTCCACTGACCGGGAGTTTCCGCCGGGAAAAGCAGTCGACCCCGAGTCAGTCGAAGAGCAGGTGAATTCATGGCATTCGGATTCCACGGTGACAATGACTGAAGACAAGGTTGCCATCGGAGAAGAAGACCTGGTCGGAGAAACATCTGATTCGAACCCGCCCTCGAACGAGGAAGAGGGGAAGTCTGGTCTTGGGGGCTGGTTCTTTCCGGCACGCAAGTAAATGCGATTCTAGTAAGATTCTCTCTTGCTATTTGATCTAAGTACTTTGCTCTTAGTTCTTTATAAGAAATCAAACTGCCGTTTTGCTGGGTGAATTATCAGTTTCGGGAGATTTTGTATATCAATGTAGACCGGCGACATGCGTTTATCAGGGTAAAGTGTCTATCTGACTTCAAGCTCCAAGCTCCAAGGTTCTCGGCAGATCAAAGGATTCAGTCGCTGGTACCTTGGAAAGTATCATGTGCCCGAATTTACGTTCAAGTCACCTGGGCACCTGGATTTCATGAATCTGATATCTGGTTTAGGTTCTACTCGAGAGACTTTAGAGGTCGTCGTATCCCAAGCACCACAGCAACATGGGAATTCATTTACATAGAATTATAGCACTCCAATATATGCCCAGGTGTTTTCACTGCTTTCAAGCTGGCTTCAATATTGACAATCATTTCTCAGTAGGCAAGCGGCAAGTCAATAGTAAGCACTGGTGCAAAATCACACACGCTGTCATGACAATGGTATTCAGATATCCTAAGCCTACTACTAGTAGTAAAAGAGAGGTAATTTAGCGAGTAAACAATGCCCTTTTTATGATTATATCCCTGGGGTACTCTTCCACTTCTAAGTCTAGCCCAGTAAAATATCAGGCTGTTACCAACAAGCTGCCCAGGTGGTTTCTGCGGGACTACCTCGTAGTCTTCGCGCAATTTTGCTGTTTACAGCGCAGTGTATTAAGTGCTAAAATTGACCTCCCAAAGGGTACTCCAGGCTTCTAGGATGACCTTGACTCTCATGTCTGGTTTACTACGAGTCAAGAAGTCCCTCTATAGACGATGGTTTTATTGAACGTCTTTCTCACGGCAGGATATTCCTGGGGCCAAAAGCGTCCCATTCTAAAACATGCATCGTTCCAAAACACTAACCGAACACTGATAGGATACGAGCGAGAAAATCATAGGGTAATATTGCCCAGCTGAAGGGTCTAAGGGACATGCGGCTCTGATAGGAAAGAATCGTCCCGCCTGTGCATATCGAGAATGACCGCCCAATAAAAGTCCAGTTGCAATGGGCACGGGGCGTCTGGCAGCAAACAGAACTTCTCTAAAATAAGACCAAGCACTTCGGTTTTCTCCTTGGCAAAGTGTCCACAGTTCTGGCCCTTTCTTAAATAAATGCAGAACACCCCTCTGCGCCTGGGCAAAGCAATTTACCTACCAACAATGTGACACCCCACGATGGCTTTCCAGAAGATGTCGAATATGTTCAGCGGATTCCTGAAACGAGACTCCTCTGAGATTCCTGGTGTATGTTACGAGGATTGCAGTACGTGGATTCAAATCAATGCAAAGCGATTTTCGCAAGCTAACGAGCATCCTCACAGACGGTGCTTATGCGGCAGCCCAAGCCGCCGGAAAAACCCCAGCTCTGTGCAAGTCAAATTCCGTTTTCATGCTGGATTTACAGAAATGCAATGAATGCGTTGATAACTATTCCCCGACTGGATTTAATTCCACCTTGCTGGGCCAGCTTTCGGAATTCCAACAATTTTTAGACTACTGCAACACGACTCTCACCAGCAGTAGCGAGCAATCACAAGTACAAAGCCTCCTCGCGAAAGAATCGGATTTGCTCGCTTCCGCACAATCCCTAAGTGCGCAGATTGCTTCTCTGGGAATTACGACCTCGGCAAGCGCGACACAATCCAGTACTCTCCTGACAACAAAATCGGGCTCGCAAGGGGTAGTTACTGTTTATGCTACACAAACGGGAACAGGCTCAGGCGGTGGTGCAGGTAGCAGCAGCCACTCTAGTGCTGCTGTTATTGCTCCCGCTGTTGTGGTTCCTGTAGTAGGTGTTGCAGTTATTGTAGTTCTGGGATTCTTCTTTGTGCGTCGCCGACGGCTTCGAAAGGTCAAGGATATTAGTCCTGATAACCAACCACCCATTGATGATAAACCCCAATTACATTCGGATGAATTTCGACCAGAGCTTGAAGGATCAGATCGTGCATTCAAGACACATCATGAGCTTGGACAGTCATCTCCCCCGGCTGAGTTACCTGTACAAGAAGAGGTGGCTCGTGAAATGGATGGACGGGGCTAGATCGGATACCGCTGAGAATCGTTTTCGTATACCTAATCATAATATCGGGCGCTAGCATTCTGAATTGGTATCTCTAAGGTGTAATTAGTTACTACTAAGTGTAACATCTCTCTGAGCGCACTTTGCTCCCCTTCCAGTAGATCATTATGTGAACGCTAGGGTTTGTACAATCACTTCTTGATTTCGAATACGAGTCCAGGTAAAGGCTCAATCTGCTTTGAATAGAGTCCACTCAGCGTCAAATTAATTGATGCGTCCCCAGGAGTTTCTTCCAAAGCGATAGTACCCGCTTGTGGACCCTCGGGCACACTGTAGCCCCAGACTCCACCAGATATTGCTGGACCGCTTAAGGCCTCATAAACCTTTGTCAGACGGTCGATCTCACCCGAATCAACGGCTAGCGCCAGTGAAGCAACACTCCGGACACCAGAAGGGTGTTGAGCCAAATGCGGCGACTCTTTGTACGGAACACGCAGCGATCTGGGTGTTGTATCAAGACACCAAAATGGCAGCTGGCCTGGTGAGATCGGATTATCGGACGGCCCATTCGCCGTGCTAAGTGTCCACTCGAGAATCACGCCATCATCTCTCTCCCGACTCCATTCCGCCGGCTCCTCATATGAAATTTGTGTGTTTGTACTAGCCACGCGATCTCTAATCGCGTTGAAGTCGTTGTTGGGTGGATATGTGAAAGCCCAGTCGATGATGCTGTTCTCGCGGAGGTTTCCCCAGCGATGGCTCCGACGCTTTTCAGGGTCGATATTGTCGTAGAAGGCGATGAATTCGATGTAGACTCCGTCTTGGAAGAGGACCAACTTGTTTGATGTGAGTCCGTTGGAATGTTTACCGCCCGGGGCGACTGTGAATAGATCTTGGAGATGGCTGGAGAGATTCTCCAGGGTGTTGAACGACACGAGGACGACAAGATGGTCCAAGGTAGGAAGATGGCTGGCTTGTGATGTCATTATGTACTAGGGCTGAAGCTTCCACGAGGATGCCGGTATGACTTCGATTAATTGTCGATGGATTGGTTGTTGAAGTGCGGGGCCGATGATTCAATGCGGGGATTGTGCAAGTTCTAGGAAAAGAGTTCGAGCAAACCGGCCGCAGAGAACCATTTATACGATGCTCTCCCCGATCGCATTCCTTTCCTTCATCAGTACTAGTGTTCATCGGAACGAAGCCCGATTTGGCAATTTCATTGCGCAAGATGAGGTGATTCTTGCGTTGAGGGCATTGGCAAGCATTGCTGCTCATTTCTCTTCCTGAAGATGTGAGGCGTGGGGCATTTGCGTGGTCGGAGAACTGAGTCAGGATTCAGAAAACTTTGAATGCTATGTCAGTGGTAGTATATGAGGTGGTAAAAATCATACGATGCAGTATCTTCCCTGTATCCTACCCAGTATCCTAGTTACTGAGTGATATACTCAGTATCTTAAACAATTCAGATCGACCAATTGTATAGGTGGAATAGCTTCTACTAAGGGCAAGCATATCCTTTATAAGCCCTGGCAGAAATACAGGGTCGATTGCCGCTATGGAGCGCCGTGCCTATGCATGGCCGCCAAAAAGGTGAAATACAAGCTATGCCGTTTCAAGGAGTCTTTGCATCCAGCATAAAGACTGAAATTTACCCAACGAACTGGCTTGGCAAAACAAGATAGAGATGTTCAACAGATGAAAAAAAAATCAAATGAAACCAAATTTCTCTTAAAAAGAAATGACAGCTCTTATATACAAAATGTTAAGTTATGCTATCTAAAAGTAACAGTCACCATCGGCAGCATGCAGACTGCAAGCGTCATTTCAGCCGCATTTCGGTCCCTGAATCACAGCAGCTGATAACCACTAATTTTTGCAGTAATTGGTGGTATATATCTTTTTCCAAGCAGAAAGAATGCTAGGATGGAAGGAATCAAAGTTCTGAAGACGAACAGTTTGCACTAGTTACATGAAATTTGGGGTCTACAGGATCTCCCAAGGAACAGGAAATTGAAGAACCGAAATTTTCTCAAGTATCCTTGAGGTGTGCCCATAGAACCCTTCTTCTCTATGGGGGGCGACTAAAAGAGCAAGCCTTGAGCTAAACCAAATCTAATCATTGCTTGAGTTATAACACGTGATTTTATACTAGTATAAATACTAGTACTGACAGAGAGGAGCGGGGAGATGTAAGAGTAAGGATGCACGACTCGGAGTGACCGGCCAATAAGAAACAATTATCTTAACAAAGTTGACTTTCCAGGGGTTTTCCTGAGATTTCATTTGATGGGTCTTGCCGAGCGTGTTCCGGGTTCGAGATGAACTGCCAGTGGATAACCTGTTGAGATTAGCTAGCAAACGTCACTAGGTAGATATTAAATAACTACGCCTCTGCCTGGAGTCAGCCTGACACGAGACGCTGTCTGCTGTCCACCTTCGCCGTACAGCCTTGAGACAACGTAGGTCGCTGGGGGGGCTTCTACAACACATTCTGACAAGTGAGGCTGTAATCACAGTAGCTAGGATATTCTTGGCTGCAGGGGTACGGGATTAGCCGAACTGTGCCACAATACCGAGCTACAAAGTGGGGAATGTTTCTGGCGAATGCTGTTTGTGACAGCAACTTGAGTTTATTATCTTGTGGTTTCAACCGCTATTATTCAAACACGTGGCTACCTTTAGGGTGGAAACATAATGATTGGTTTTAGTCGGCTGTTGTTTCATTTGGACTCTGTGACATACCCAGGTAGGTGTGAGGCGTGATAAATTATTAGTTAGTAGGTAGTATGTACGTCCGATGGTCCCGTTCACCCGGGCGTGTGCCCAGGTGACTACTAGGACTAAGCACAACCCTCGCTTCAGCTAGAATTTACTATATATTGCTACCTATGCTACCTATGTATGATAACATGAAAGCTGCCATCCCCCGTCCTTTCCCTACCCTTCTTTCTCTCAACCTCCAGGGCTCTTCGCCACCGTCCATCCTACCCTCCACTTCCATTTGGGCAACTTTAACAGGGGCCAAACTGAATGATGGCAAATCCAAATGCTGTGAAATGCAGTTTTCATAGCTGCAGCTATCTGCGGGTTCACTATGACACAAAAATATCGCGATGGTGTCAATACCGTAAGTCCTCGCATCCTGGCGGAGGACCCTAACCTCCTAGTGTTGTCTGTGACAGTGGGTTATACTAACCGCGTGCTTGTTCTGTAATACATTAGATACTTGTCCTCATTGCACCAACCGATTTAAAAAGAGTACATCTAATGCGTGCTCGACTTGCAAGGGAACGGATGACTGTACCATGATGTGAGCTCGCAATGCCTTGTAACCAACTTTCATAATGAACCGTCGTTGTCGCGAGTAATATCCACCGGCAGGGAAATCCAGGTGCCGTCGAGGTGAAACTTTTTTTGGAATGCTTTGCTTGTTAAATCCATGGATGCCGATTGAGTATTACGGGTCTTATACCCGAGTATATTTTGGTAATCAAACTTTCCAAGGTTGAACTCTCATGCTCAGGTGATAGCTGAAAATGACTATGATATCAACCACAGGCTATTTCGATGCTCAACTTGAACGTCCTATATGAGGACCTACCTTCAGGTTTCAGGTTTCTCATGCATTTTCCCTACAGGGCTACGACTTGCTTTCTGTAGTAGATGTATAACATCCGGTGAACTTCATATTCACTTAAAGAAATACAGTCTTCTAGAAGACAGGGATCCGGCTAAGTGAAATCCAAGTTACCATCATCATGGTCTGCCAGTGTACTTCAGATTGCCAGCAGCTCCCTGTGATGTGACAAATTCAAGCCAACGATATACATAATTGCCCGGGCAACTTTCCAGAGCGTGTATGAAAAGGCGGCGTGCGGCTGAAATGTCAATGCCAGCAAATGACCTTGGGCTTTTGGCGTCATCTACTTGAGCCGATTGGGTCGCATCGCCGAGGAAATGTTTAGTAGGCTTGGCATTTGCTTTTGGGCCCAAAGCTGCCCAGGTGCATGCATATACGAGCTCTAGGCTAAATGAGTTAAATGGTGTTGAGGGCTCGTGCCTAGGCACGGAGATACTGGTACTAGTCTACACTTCACTTAAATAGTCGATGATTTGTTAGAGTACGGGGGGTATTAATTCATTAGTACGGCCCCGAAACTTGGAAAATGAATCCTTCGAAGTTATAAAAGAAGAACTTTACCAGTAACCCAGCTGCTATGAACTAATTATATCTTAACGTTCGAGCCCTCTAACCGATGACATACCTTTTCTTTATCAATATTTGCTAGGTTTCCCAGAATTGAATTTGATTCAGCAATTAAAATCACAAGGTAAGGTGATTATTACGGTGGTGTCAATAGCCAAGGGTGGCTAATTCGTATATGCTCCAAGCCGGGATTGAGGTAATGCTATCTCGGTACTCCAATTCTTGATAAAATTGATGAAACCGCACTCAACGAATGTCAAGTTGGACCTATGTCAGATTACCGCCCCTTAAAAGCCACAAGCGCTTCGAGTTCGACTCTACTTCTGCATGGCCCCCAAAAAGGGTGACTGTTCACTAGTGTCATTTCAGCCGGATTTGACCTCTTAAAGCCCCGCATCGCCTACTAGTAGGCAGCACAACATATTAAGAGTGATGAAACATCTCTAAGGAATAAGAAACCAAGAGTACCAAGAAAATTATTTTCTCTTCAACATTGAGACAAACAGTCCCTGAATCATATGTCTTAAAATCTTAACCCGCTGCGAGTTCTCCTAAGTCGACACCATGGTGGACGAGAAATGGGTCAGCCAGCTGGTGGAAAAAATGATGTTTCCCCTGCTAGAGCCCATGGCGGAAAAAGTGGGAGTGAAGTTGCCGCGGGATCCCAATGGGGATCTGTTCACTATTCCATTGTCAAGCCTTCCCAGCGAAAGTCCTCCAGAATCTGAGCCCCAGCTGTGCAGATCTTGCGCAGGTATGAATATGGAGGCACTCACAAGTCGCACCGGCTATGAACACTCGGAGGACATCAGGACATTTTTACAGTCCGTACGCACGTGTCCCTTGTGTGATATGATTCAGCGACAGATGCTTTGGGCGATACGTTTTCACGCTAAAGAAGAACATGACGATGACCCCATGAAGGCGCTCGGAATATTCAGCGTTTTCATGGCAAAGGATGACCTTTTCTTGCATTATCCCATTCCACTTGTTTTGAAAATTGACAAAGGGTGGCATGGTAAAGGTATGAATAGATTCATCGTTGCGGGAACCATTGTGTTTTCTGCAAAGGAAGGGGCCGATGCTTGGGCCTGGTATTGGGGAAGGAATTTGCTTCATGATAATGACGAAACAAGCGTACAACCTGTTCGACCGAGAGGGACAGAGCAAGAAGTTCTTGGCCGTCTATCAATCTGGCTGAAAGAGCGAATCAAGGAAATACCTGACTGGAGTGACGCAGGGAGCGAAAAGCCATTACCCACGCGTGTCATCGACTTGGGGGAAGGTCCCTGGGATACGGAGAACCGAGCTTCGATGGAATCAGATGTCCGTCTTATCGAAACAACAGGTCAAGATGGCTACTACGTAGCACTCAGTTACTGTTGCGGCGGCGCTGTCCGTTTCCGAACCTTAAGATCCAACTACCGGGACAGACTTCAGAACATTCGGTTTAAGGATCTCCCAAAAGCTTACGCAGATGCCATCAAAGTGACACGAGGCTTGGGAATCCGTTACCTGTGGATTGATGCGCTTTGCATTATACAGGAAGATACTGAGGACTTTCTTCGTGAGGGTGCTCGGATGTCAGATATCTACTGGAACACGAAATGCAGAATCGCAGTCAACGATAATAAGAGTCCCGAAGCTGGCTTTTTCCCTCCAAAGCAAGCCCCGGTTTCTGTCAGGCTTGCTAATCTCGACTCCGACGAGGATGGTCTTAAAATGTACCTCACGAACATGAGGTCATATGCTATCGAGGTTGATAGAGGTCATCTGAACACGCGCGGTTGGGTCCTACAAGAGCGACTGCTCGCACCTCGAACTATTCACTTTACCGGAGACTACATGTACTGCGAGGATCAAGACGATCTATGTGGCGAAGACTGGATTCGGCGCTACTCAACATGGCTCAGTAGCGTCCATAAGACCTCAGACTTGACCCAGATCGACATTTTCAGCGAGCGAAATTTCAGTTCGAGCAACAACGCGGTCAAGAATATGAAGGAGCAGAATGTTTGGTGGCAACGTTCAGTGGGATATCGGCGATCAGAGAGTCAGATCGTACTGGATCCTTGGCTGCGGGTCGGCGAGATCTTCAGCAGATGCCAGCTGACATTCGATACGGATAGACTGATAGCCATAGCCGGATTGGTCAAAAAGAAACAGGAGCTTGGGCAGGCCTCCGACACCGATACTGAAGATGAAGAGCCATTACCGAACCGGAATTTCCTTGGATTGTGGCAGAATACCTTACACATTGAGCTTTGTTGGGTGGGGACAGGTGACAGCAAGCTCCAATTCTTAGACGCTTTGAACTTGCCCTCCTGGGCCTGGATCGCCCACAAAGGACGCATTGTTTTCACTCGAGATCGTCGAGTATCGCGTGATCCTGGTCCCGTTCGATCGCCCCCTTCTTGTGAGTTTGAGCTCATCAGTAGTGATGTTCCCGACATCGTATCGGCGCTGCCCTTGAAAGAACCAGCATCCCTGAAGATTCGAGCTCGCCTGCGCAAAATTCCTTCAATTTCACAAACGGTCACGACATACTGCACACAGGAGCAGACTCGTGAAGGGCTGGCTGAATCTTCGCCATTCTTCTTCGCGGAGGAAACGGGAACAATACCGATAGCGATAGCAACTCTCAGTGAATGCCAGGAGATATTTGATGACGAGGACAGGCTCATTGGTTTTGTGTCGTTTGACGGGCATACGGTTTTTGAGGAGGATTTGTTCTGTGCTCATATATCGACCTTGAACGAGGACTCGGGCACGCCGATACTTGCATACGCACTCATTTTGACTCGTTTGAAGAATGACGACACAGCTTTTAGACGGGTTGGCCTTGCTGAGCTGAACCATGAATGGACCACAGGGGGAGAAGATATCACGATGAGCTTGATGTGAAATAGTAGCTGCCCCTTTTATGTATAGTATTGCTGTCAATGAATACCATCAAACGAGCCAAGAACATTCATGGATTTCATGAAAGTAAAAGGGAAACAGAATGGATTATTAGGATCACGAATGGATATCAAATATCAGGTACCTCAAATCCGACAACCATGGTGTGTATGTCACTCTTAAATTACAAGCGACGTATTTATTTCTTTTCTGCATTCCCATATTTCTGTTGCCAATCACTTTGTCGCAGAAATCGGGTGGGAAATAATACTAATACTAGTATTGATGTTCCCAGGCTTGAAAACGCTGAGTGCTTCCACTGTGTATACTCCACGTTACGGAGGTGGCTCTGAGAACCAAGGGCAATAGTTGGAAATTGCCATCATATAACAGGTGAATCTGTCGCCGCTGTGTCATTTGATCGATATTCTGACCGATGGCATGACTACTCAGATTTGCTGCTGCGACTCAGAATGAACTTTGCGACCCCTCTACATCAGAAGGGTACAATCCCACAGGCGAAGCGTTAGTACTAGTAGTAGTATAATTGGGCGTTTCCTGCGGTCGTCGATTGTTATGGTGGGACCAGTGCACCGACGATCCAATCGTAAGCCCAAGAGATCGCATCTGTTGCCACCGGCTGGTTGCTGCCGCAGATATTCTTTTTTCCTTGCATTAGTGACTTCGTCCATATGCGTCATGCACCAGAGCGCGATGTGTGGGGTCAAACATTTTCTGGTCCATAGGATAATTAATCATCGCCCCGCTTGGGTAGCCCGAGATGCACGTACAGCTCGCGAATTCCAGTCACTCATTATGCTACTTCCGCTAGTATATTATTGGTCACTTCTTGTTGGGCCGCATTCTAGCTTTGAGGCTTTGTGGCCCCCTTCACCCGGGCAAAGTAACATGACTGGTCAATGTAAAGGCTATGTAAGATTGCCGTCAAGAAACTACGCCAACAACGCATGATTGGGTCCCGATCGACAATTAGTGCAGGATCTGGCAGCCAAAGTCTTGGTTTCCCCTTTCAATCCGCCAAAACATCGTAAGCAACAAGAAGTGTTCTAAGGTAACCTGTAAACCTTAGCTGACCTCAAGGAGATTCCATCTCCGACTGGAAGTATAAGAACGAGGGCTCCTTCAAGAAAAGTAATCAAAAAAAAACCACACATTGACCATTGAGACTTTGGCCATCGATCGCACTCCAAGGTTCTTAAGATTTCCTATTTTCAGCTTGTTCTGCAATAAATTTTCAAGATGGCTTGGACCTTGTTCAATTCACCTTCTACCATCAACCCGATCCCGGCTTCAAATCAATACCTTAGTTATGAACAGACTTCCTCTGGAGAACTTGAACTTGCTGCTCACGACCCTCATCCGACATTTCCATTCTCGAAAATTATTCACATGGGTGGATCTCCTAGATATTACGACCAAGGATATCACTCCAACTCGATGACTGCACATCCATCTTCCCAATTTCTTCTTCACTTGGGCCAAAATCCCTCACAAAATTTCCCAGAGGAAGCCGGGGACTTGGAATACGTCGAGAAAGCCATTTTTTCCAATCCTCGATGTCTGGATTCAAGCCCACCCGCAAGCAGTTCATTATTATCCAAGGAAAACCGAAAGCGACATACTACGAGAGAATTGACCACTCATCGCGTGGAGAAAAAAAAGGTATGAACACTTCAATGAAATATTGATCTATATCATATTTTCAATGTCCCCCCTGACAATAAATCGTTTAATAGCTTGTCTCATGTACCGCTTGAATGTGGCTGGACAGGCTGCGAGAGGCCCCGCCCATTCACAAGCAAAGCGACTCTGTTGCGACACATCAAGACTCAACATGTTGATCCGGGCTCGTTTAAATGTCCGAATCGGGAGTGTGACAGGACGTTTAATCGGAAAGAAAACATGGAAGAACATCTGCACCGCATCCATTAAAACACTGGCACTTCAAGTCTTTGATTGATACGATGTGCTGCCAGTGGGACTGGATACGTTACTAGCAGCATATTCTCTTCCAAGATTCCTCTTGATTGAATCACGGTCTAGATTCATCAATGGATGTTACTAGTGCTGCTGTCTAATTGTAGTACCTGTCGGTAGGCATGTGATTCTAACTCGTTTCCAGAGTTCAAGTTGACGTTCATTTCTAAGGTTGTTCAGCTTGTTTTGGTCTGCTTCAGGGTTAACTTGAGTTTATTTCGGTGCGATATTATGGTTCCATTTCTTTTTTTCGAAAGTTATATGTATACAACCTCCGACGTTGAAGCTTGAAACGTTCACCTACTTAGTAGCTCAATTTTGGATTAACTATCCAACACCCAGGAGTCTGAATAAGAAGACTAGTAGTAGTACCCGCAGTATAATTGAAATAAGAAAAGTGGCCGGAGTAGGCGAATGACAGAGTATGCTCATATAGATACACTTTGTGTACGTTTCGTCCCAAGGTTGTTTTGTTTATCTCCGAGCGATCGTCGTTATATCCGAAGGATCCTGAGGTTGGCCAAGACTACAAACAAGCGTGACTTGAACCACCACTATCCTAGCATTAGAATTAGATACTTCGAGTTACAATAGTATACTTTCAGTACTAGCATATTTATGAAACAATCCTCCCACCTCGTATGACATCTCCTGATCAATTCCGAGTACTCCGTAACTAAAGTAAGGAATCATCGTGTTTGTCAGCCCATGTCTTGGCATCGATCGGCCGATCGCCACCGAGGCCAGACTGTCCTGTCCTGCTTTCTTTATACTTTGGCCTTTCAACTCTGGCTTTTGGCTTTCAAGTTCAAGTCCAAGTCCCATTTGGCTATTTGGGTTGTCGATATTTCAGTACATGCTGTCGCACTAGGTGGTCCCTCCTTTTTCATCTTTCGATCTGTCCTACCAGACAATTGGACATTTCTCCAACTTTTACGCCACCTTGCAATCTTTATCTTTTCTCTGTATTGCACGTCTACCACTGCCAGCACTCCCTTAACAGGCCATATAACTGTCTTCACGGCCTTTACAACCACACACAACATGCGCGGAGCTACCAGGCTGCTCTATGCGGCAGTCTTTGCCCTCGGAAGCCTCGCCAATGCCGACGCCGACAGCCATGACTCCGGCGCGCTGGACACAATGAAATGCGCGGTAAATGCGCCCCAGATTCCTACTCCGAGAGGGCTCAGTGACTGACAATTCTGCTGTTCTAGATTGACCCCTTGGCGATGGTCACCGATGCGTGTGTCTCCTACGGTACCATCAACAAACTCAACGACGAAGTCTACACCCTGCTCCAATCAATCACACAAGAAACCGACTTCTTCTCCTACTACCGTCTCAACCTCTTCAACAAAGAATGCCCTTTCTGGTCCGATGCCAATAGCATGTGCGGTAACATCGCCTGCTCTGTCAACACAATCGAATCCGAAGAAGATATCCCGCTGACGTGGCGAGCCGAGGAACTGAGTAAACTTGAAGGCCCCAAGGCGAAACATCCACCCCGCGAAGTCCAAGCCGAGCGGCCCAAAGAGCGTCCTCTCCAAGGAACTCTCGGCGAGGGTGTCGGGGAAAGTTGCGTGGTCGAGTACGATGATGAATGCGATGAGCGGGACTTCTGCGTCCCCGAGGACGAAGGATCAGCCGGTAAAGGCGACTACGTGAGTCTGGTCGACAACCCGGAGCGATTCACCGGATATTCCGGAGCAGGCGCGCACCAGGTTTGGGACGCGATCTACCGCGAGAACTGCTTCATGAAGCACGACGCCGAGGAATTGGCCGGGCAGCAATCACTCAGCGTGCCAATGGGCGGCGGTGGTCTGCAAGCGTTCTCGGATTTCCGCAACGTGCTACAGAAGGAGTCGGCGCGATTGGACGGACTTCCGCTGGATAATGAGTGCTTGGAGAAGCGTGTCTTCCACCGTCTTATCAGCGGTATGCATGCTTCTATCTCCACGCATCTCTGCTGGGATTACCTCAACCAGACGACTGGCAAGTGGCAGCCCAACATGCAATGCTTCAAGGACCGCCTCCACGCGCACCCGGAGCGTATCTCAAACATGTACTTCAACTACGCCCTGGTCTCTCGCGCCGTCGCCAAGCTCCGCAAGCATCTCCAAAATTACACCTTCTGCACCAGCGACCCGACCCAGCAACTCGACACCAAGGAGCGCGTCAGCCAACTCACCGAGATCCTCTCACGACCCCCTCAGATCTTCGACGAGAACCTCATGTTCCAGGACGCCAACGCCGATGGATTGAAGGAAGACTTCCGCAACCGCTTCCGCAACGTCAGTCGACTGATGGACTGCGTGGGATGCGACAAGTGCCGACTCTGGGGCAAGCTCCAAGTAAACGGCTACGGAACCGCCCTCAAGGTCCTATTCGAGTACGACGAGACCAAGAACGGCGAGAACCCGCCTCTCCGCCGAACCGAGCTCGTCTCCCTCATCAACACCCTCGGCCGCATCTCGCACAGTATCGCCGCGGCGCGCAGTTTCGAAGAAGCCATCGACGCCGGCAACGACCATGCCTTCCCTCAACATTTCGCCGCCCCGTCTACGCCCAAGGCAGCGAAGATGCAACAGATCTCCAATAACCCCCAGGACGTCAAGCTGAAGCACGACGGAAGTGGCGTCTTGATTATGAATCGGAGAATGTGCAATACTACCACGGCGCTGACGAACCGGGGCCCGACCACCGATATCCCTGGGTTCGACCTCCCCGCGAAGAAGGCGCGACGACTATGGACGATGTTGTGACGGAGTGGCAGATGGTGCGGGACACGACGTTGTTCGTGTTGCGCTCGTGGATGGCCCTCCCGCGCACTTTGTAAGTTTCAATTTTTTTACCTCATATTCAGTATCTGTGTCTCGCGCGTAGAAGTGATATCTTTTGACTAATCGTGGTGTTCTAATTGTTTAGGCTTCAAATCGGTGTTATGGAAGCCCAGCGTCTGTGGTACTTCTGGCTAGGCGTGGCTGTTCCTCCTCGTGAATGGAGCTTGCAGGCGCCGCAAGATCCGAATATTGTGTCTAGACCGCATCAACAAGAGCTCTAAGGCATCTACATTGGCATTGACATAGGCGTTGTAATTGACTGCATGATTGTACATAGCACATGGCGTTGGGTGGATCAAGTTGGCTTATTGTATAGAGTTAGATGAGCTGTCTAGAAATGGCTGTTTACTCGATGATGTTACTGAGTTTACTAGTAGTAGTAGAAATAAGTAACTACCTAGGTACTTGGATGTATGACTGAGTCCTCGTAAAAGATACTTGTATACTTCAAGTTACCTCGGAATATTTCCCGACGGCCTCGGAGCGGCGGCCGACGCCGAGATCGGCCACGAGGAGAGGGGGATATAATAGAGACACAATGGGATGAAGGAAGAAGGGAATGTAATTCAATAAATACTTTATACACTTCTCTGAAGTAAATACTAGTTATAAGATAACTAACCTCCCAAGTACAGTGTAAACATCAAACAATTGCCACTCTGCGTATCTTTGAGTACAACGGGCAACGCCGACATCCTCGGCTTCTCCACTGCCGGCCACATGCGACCGATTTGACTCTTCCCCCATCTTTTCTCCAGTCTCCATTCTCCACCTTCCACCTTCCACCTCCCACACGCCCTCCCCTCCACCCTTCTCCATTCCCTAGACCTAATGCAAGGTCGCTAAGTCATATCATGGCGTCGGTGTCGCCACCTAAACCGTGGGAGAGAGCAGGCGCTGCAACCGGTGAGTCTTGATGTCCGTGATGGTGGTGGTGATCGTGACTGTTGTTTCTCTATCTTCACTCTCACTCCAGTCGATCATCCTTCGACTCATCGGCTCATCAACTACTTGACCTCAAACTAACGGCATTCCAGGAAACGCATTAACCACAACCACCACACCCAGTCCAGCGGCCACCGCGATGACTTCCTCGGTCAACCCCGCAACCTCAACCACCTCCGCCCCCGACCTCCCCTCTCGCCCTAACACCCTCAACTCTGTCGTCAACAACACTGCATCCAACTACTCTCCCTATGGCGCTTCCCGCTTAGGATCCACCGGATACGGAGGATATGGCGGTATGGGCGGCATGGGTGGTATGGGCAGTTACTCCTCTCCCTACTCCCGCTTCGGCTCTATGGGAGGCATGGGCTCCATGTATGGCGGCTACGGCGGCATGGGAGGCATGTATGGTGGCATGGGAGGTATGGGAGGGATGTACGGGGGCATGCCTGGGCAGGATCCCAATGACCCCAACAGCTTGACCAACTCCTTCAGCCAAAGCACCCAGGCCACCTTCCACATGATCGAGAGCATCGTCGGTGCCTTTGGCGGATTCGCCCAGATGCTGGAGAGCACCTACATGGCCACACACAGTTCATTCTTTGGTGAGTACCGAACCATCACATTCGTTTTCCGAGACATGATTGTACTAACTTGTCTCAGCAATGGTCTCGGTCGCAGAGCAATTCGGCAACCTGCGTAACACCCTCGGCTCGGCCCTGGGAATCTTCACCATAATCCGCTGGTTCCGCACCCTCATCGCGAAACTCACCGGCCGACCACCCCCAGCCGACGCCACGGCCCTAACCCCCGCGGCATTCGCTGCTTTCATGGGCGGTCGCTCATCCGCCGCCAGCCTCCCCGACGGCTCGCCCGCCCCAGCGAAGCCATCAAAGAAGCCCTTCTTCATGTTCCTCGTAGCCGTCTTCGGCCTCCCCTACCTAATGGGCAAACTCATCAAAGCGCTCGCCCGCTCCCAAGAAGAAGAGGCTCGCCGCCGCCAACAACTCGCGGGACCCAACGACGGCTCCGCAGCTTCGCTCGATCCCACGAAGCTAGACTTCTGCCGCGTTATATATGACTACTCTCCCGAGACGCAGGAGAGCAACGGCATCGATCTCGCTGTGAAGAAGGGCGATATCGTTGCCGTCCTCAGCAAGTCCGATCCCATGGGTAATGCTTCCGAGTGGTGGCGCTGCCGTGCTCGTGACGGTGGCGTCGGATATCTCCCCGGCCCGTACCTGGAGACTATCCAGCGCCGTCCGAACCAGGCAGCCATCGAGGGCCCCGAGGCGGCTGCTCTCGCTGCTCCGGCGAAGGGTGTCCCTGAGCGAACCCAGAGTCTGTCTGCCCTGTCCAAGCCTGACCAGCCTCCTGAGCTGAAGGGCAAGATGGGCGATATCTCGCCTGAGAGCTTCCAAAAGAGCACTTTCTATTCCTGAAATTGAGAGCTTTATAGAATACGGCTAGAACGGACTGTGCTGGACTGACTCGCACTGGGATTGGTTTTTTTTTTTCGACACGACGGAACGCAAAAAAAGCCCGCCGAAATCTTTACGGTCGAACTTTTCTTTCTCCTTTTTGACCACACCCTTCTCACCCTCACAGGGGACCGGACCCTGATTCGGACCCTCTCTCCAAATTCAAACTGAGAACTCACTCAATAATCTGATTTCAATCTGTCTCAACGATTTGCCCCACGTCGCACAAGCGGACGAGGCTCACATTTTCTCCGCATGGAGCACAAATTCCCCGCTCCACATTGCTTTGGGGTGGGGGACTTTGTTATCTCCTCACCTTTTTTTCCTCTTTTCATCTCTTTACCTATTTTTTTTTCTTTCTGATTATCTCCGGATGGGGTTGGATTGGGCTTAGCGATTTCCATGACTGTATTGTATTTAGTATCTATCAGACCAGTGCAATGCACATGCATATTGATTTGATTTATTTGGTTCTTCTTTCCTTCGATTGAGGGTATAGCTGTAGAGCATTTGCGCCTAGATAGAAAGAGTAGGAAGAAGAGTAGTAAGTTCCAGCAATACTGGATACTGACTGCATCATGACTGCATTAGATTGGGGCCAAAAAGGAATTTCCTTCCCAAATTTGCGTATACTCGATTTGCCCCCTCTATGGATACTACCATGGACAAGGATTAACGTACTAGTCCATCCTTATCAACCTTGTTTAATGCAAGCCTTACCTTCCCTGTCCCCGCGACTTTGAAATTGTACTTTCCTTTTAATTCTACTATTTTGTATACTTTTTTGGCCTACTTATCACCTCGCCCTCTCTCTGGCCTGTCACATGCAGGGATCGTTGGGAACATACAGCAATAGAGAAAATTAGAATAGACTCGAAGGAATCGAATGACTCGCCATGACCTCCCCAATCGAGAAAACCAACGCTCCGAAAAAAGTGCTCGATATCGGTATCCAAGACTCTACTTCCGCCACGCAAAAAGAAAGCTCTCAACAAACTCAGCACTCGCAAGATGAACACGGACAAGGTCAAGAACAAGCGAAACAAGAGCCCGAATCTAGCACAGGGGCAAAAGAATTGCGTCTTAATTCCCTACTGTGCAGGATCTGGTCTCTACTCACGTACACACCGCACCGATGTCGGTGGGATCCCGCGAATCCGGTGAAGTTCAGCTGGGCGTTAACTTTTTTGTTTGGATTTGCGACGACTTTTACGGTATGTTCATATTCTATTGTAATAAGCTTGGCCCAGATCTACAATATTTCCTTTTGCTTTCTTTTCCGTTCAAAATGCCCTTCTCGAACCGCATCTGTATTCCAAGGTTTGCATCTGGGTTCGAATTCGCATCCGAACCTGAACTACATCCCACACAAACCCATTCCTCAAATTTCAACTCGAACACAACCTTCCAAGGTTCCTTCCAATGGAACCCACCAATCTCTAATTCTTCGTGAAAAAAAAGGTCGCAAATCTCTACTACAACACCCCCCTCCTAACTCTCCTCGCATCCGACTTCGCCGTCCCCTACGAACGCGTCACGCAAATCCCAACCGTAATGCAAGCAGGCTACGCCGTAGGCCTAGTCTTCCTTTGTCCGTTAGGCGATCTCGTCCGGCGAAGACCATTCACGTTACTCTTGACGAGTTTTACGGCGCTGGTTTGGTTGGGCTTGTGTTTGACTGGAAACTTTGAGTGCTTTGTTGCGCTTAGTTTCGTCGTTGCTGTTTCGACTGTTACGCCGGTATGTATGCATTCATGGATATGTCATACTTTGAGTTCAAGTTTAAGTTCCTCCTTTCTACTTTCAATGATGCTGGGTGCCTAAGTATAGTAGAACAATACTAGTACTATCCCGAGGCACTGTGCAGAGGAAGGACCTAGAGGACTCGGGTCAATTACAATGAAGTCTTGGAATCAACTCAGACCTCACAGACTCGAAGCTTCACCCTAGGCCGCAAACCAGCACTAACCTTGGAAACCATATAGCAAATAATGCTGCCTCTGATCGGCGACATTGCCCCGCCCACCCACCGCGCAACAGCCATATCCCTCGTCTCATCCGGCCTCCTCCTCGGCCTCCTAATCGCCCGCGTGCTAGCAGGAATAGTATCAGAGTACACATCCTGGCGAAATATCTACTGGCTCGCGCTAGGACTGCAGATTAGCATCACGATTGCGTTGTGGGGATTTATGCCGGATTACCCTGCTACTCTGAACAGCACGGCAGCATCAGCGTCATGTTCAGTCTCAGCCCCGACATCAAAAGCCAGCACAAGCATTCAAGAATCTCGCACTCAAACCCCACTCCGAGACAAACTACTCATCTACCCCTCAATACTATGGAGCATAATAACCCTCTTCACAAACAACAAGACCCTAATCCAAGCTTCGCTGATGGGCTTCTGCTTCTCAGTGCCGTACACCTCGTTCTGGACAACGCTGACATTCCTCCTCTCAGCCGAGCCATACTCCTACTCCACGCTCGTCATCGGGTTATTTGCCGTCGTGGGGATCTTACCCATGGCCCTGGGCCCCGTGTACTCGCGTCTTGTGCTGGATAGATCTGTCCCACTTGTTTCGGCGCTGGTCGGGGTGGGATTTTGTTTTGTTGGTGCTCTTGTTGGGATTGTCGGTGGCAGTGGCAGTGGCAGTGGCAGTATTGCTGGCCCGATTGTTCAGTGCGTGTTGCTTGATTTGGGACAACAGGTTGCGCTGACGGCGTGTCGGGTTGCGATTTATGAGTCTGCGCCTGGTGCGAGGAGTAGGGTTAATACGGCGTTTGTGTTGTTTCTTTTTGGCGGGAATATTCTGGGGACGAGTTTGGGGCCGTTGCTTTTTGTTAGATTTGGGTGGGTGGTTACTGAGGGTGTTGCTGGGGGGGTTTGCGGCGTTGGCGATTGTTTTGGGGGTTTTTAGGGGGCCGAGGGAGGGGGGGTTGGGTTGGTTGGGGGGGGGTGGATGGGGGTGGAGGCGGATGCCAGTGGTGAAGGAGGCTGAGATCGAGGGGTGTAGTGGAAGGGTTCAAGGTCAAGTTGGAGTTGCTGGTGTATTGGTACAGAGTGGTGAAGGTGAAGGTGAAGACCGGAGTCAAGTTCATGTTCATGATCGTGAGACTCATAGCCGCGCTGGGGATTGTTGAGATGAGTGATGGTGACAGTGATATTGATAGTCCTGCCCTTTCAAATTCTATGTGACTTTTGCTTTGACATTGGAATGGTGGGTGAAATGTAATATATAAACAATGAAATGAAGGTTAGAAGAACCCTAGGTCATCAGGTCGAAGGCCACGAATACGGACAAGCATGAAATAAGCCCGATCTAAACCGTCCCGAAGGAAACGGAACGAAACGAAACGAAATGAGGTGACCCGTTATGAAGAAACGCCTTGCCATGATTTTTCTCAGTCTCCCTCACTGATGCATGTATACTTGGACGAAGAAAGAGCACGCTTCAAAGAAACCGCGAGATTGAAACCATAGGGAGAGACAGGGAATAGTAGGAGGGAAGAGGGGAGGCAAGAGATGGAAAAAAAGGAGGTGGGTGAAGTAGGTGAAGTAGAGGGAAAAGTGAAGAGGTAATCCAGTTACATAGCACAGAGAGAAGAGAGACGAAATGAAGAGCGGATTGGGAGGAGAGGGCATAAAGAAACCGATTATAGCCCGAGTCCTTCATGGTGAGGGTGATGCGGGACCTCATTGGGATCTTGATCCCGGTTCCACTTTGACATGGACACGTTTAGATGGTCGTTCAGCTCCTCGAGGCGTGATTGGAAATTATTAAGCTGCTCCCACTCGCTGTTGTGGACCATATTCGCAGATGGTGGTATGATACCCGCTGCGTTCATGAAGGCCCGATGTGAAGATGCCGGTCCAGGGGCTGCGACGGGGTGCAGTGGGACCGCGGGCGTCATTGTTTGGATTGGCGGCATAGACCCCGCGCTGGCAGTCATGACGGTGTGCTGAGGATGAGGTAGATGAGGAGGTGGAAGTGAGTGCGGATGCGGATGATGTGCATGTGGGTGTGGTGCGTGCGGGGAGTGTGGGTGTTGAGCGTGTGGATGAGATGAGTGCACTAATGATTCGGGTTGGTGGTGATATCGTCGAGTTGGATTATGATGCATGCTTATTGGGAATGATGAGTCGTCATCTATGATGAGGTCAGGGATGGAGTCGATGTGATTGGGGTCTGCTGACATTAGCGGGGTTCAATATAGACAAGCGAATGCATGCATGAACGTGGCTGCCAGGCTAAGATAGACGAAGAGGCGAAAAAGCATGACACATACTATAGCTGAGAGGGTAAGATGAGGGCTCACGCGATGGAGACTGAATTTCTGGTGGTGATATAGGCGTGGCAGCTTCATCGGCGGGTTCTGGAGTGTAGCAGGTCATGTCGGACGGGGTTGCTGCGATGATATTAGACATCTATACCAAGAGTATTATGATAGAGGTCGGCATACTGGGCTCCGGGCTCATCTGTTGAATATCCTTGTCTTTTTCTTCGTCCCAACTATCGCCGTAGCGACGCTGAAAACGAGCAATACGTTTGTTGTCAACTTCCTGTCCGTTCACCCGGAAAGCTGTCTGTTTGCCCCTCGCTGCACGTTTTTGCTGTTTTCGAATCATAAGGTGGACCTCTTTAGCTTTGATATTCTTGCGAACGTGCCAGGCAGCAAGGCGATCTTTGTATTGCTTTTCTCTATGATTTTGTTAATTTCATGGTTCGACAAAGACACTTGTAGTATGTAGGATCGATCTGCAATTGTTACCCGAGAATATAATCTCGAATTGCATATACGGATCGATGGAAGTGAATGATGGACAGAATCAAAATAATGACGGTAAGAAAATCTGATATTAAACATACGATGCCTGGAATTTATAATCACGCTCCATGATGCGTTTCACATCGCGCAGCTTCAGTTGGTCATTGCGGTAGAGTTGCTCAATAATCTCGCGATACTCGTGCCAATCGTCGGATCGGCGGGGCCGAAAAATACTAGATGAGTTGGTAGGATTGGGAGTGGAATTCGAAGCATTCGGTGTTGGAGTTGGCGATTGGGGCGAGAGCGTCACGGACGATGGCGGGGGGAAATGATCCATCTTGCCATGGGGGAGAGGGGGAAGAGGGAAACAGCCGACGAGAGAGCGAAGTAGACAGAGGGAGAGGGAGAGGAAGAAGAGGGAGAGGAAGAGGAAAAGAGAGAAGAAAGCAAAGCAAAATAATACAAATCGAAACGGCTCCCGAAAACAATTCAAAAACAACAATTAGCTGAGCGAGCAAAAACAGAGAGAGCGAGAGAGGAATAAAAATGTTCTTTTTTCCTTTAAAAAAAAAAAAGGGAAAATAAAAGAAGCCAGTAATGAAGAATGGATCACCAGGCAACTTGAGCATCGGCCAAGGAATCTCTCGATTTCTCTTTGCGGCGAGCTGCGGCGGACGCACGACCCCTGGCTTCCCCGGGCAAATCAACGGGCGCGAAGGATGGAGGCGATGGAGAGGGGGGCTCCAGGTGCACTGTCAGTGTCATGATCGCCAACGGTACGGGATGCTGGGAGAGATCTCCGGCCGGGCCCTAGTCTGGTTGAAAGCAAATGGGCTCATTCGCTGGAGGCTATTGCCTTTCTCGGTGGAGCTGAGGTACTTTTGCACTACTGCGCAGCCTAACCGAACTATTACATGCAGTGCACTGGCCGCAAATGGGATGCATTTTCCGCTGCCTGGCCCACAGGAGACTGGAGGGACTGAAGGGGACTGGCGGGCCAGGGAGTGGGTTGCGGTCGTTGATTGGATATTTTGGATGTGGACAAAGGGGGGTGAAGAGATATGAGCTCTTCTCCTCTGTTGGAGATACCCAAGCCACCCATACCTAGAGCTTCACAAATAAATTCATGCATCTGGGGCTGCCCTAAAGCAATATTGACCAGGATACTCGATACTAGCTCAATACCCCAGACAGTCGACCATGGAACCAGGATGGACCGGGAGCGGCCCGAGACTCGTGACTGCCTTTGTTTGGAGAATCACAACTTCCCGGCATTTTGGTTCGACAAGCCACTCCATTTCACTTCATTCCGTATTGTTACAGCGCAATCAAGCTGTATAATACAGCAAAGAGAGACGTATTAATATATTTGGTGAGTGATTTGGTTGGTTTTGCTGGTCTTGTCGGTCCTTTTGGATCCCCCCCCCCCCCCACCTCCCTTCCCCGAATCTCTCATTTTTGTCATCGTTGTCAAGTTGTCAAGTTGCCTCGTGGATGCAAGGTGTGGGGGGGAAGAAACCGTTAGACATGCCTCACCGTTAGACAGTGTCATCCCCTCCCCAGAATGTTGCAAAATAGGCGCGCAAAAGGCCTAGTGACCCAGGATGTAATGTGTCACTCCCCCCCATTCAAGGGGCGAGTCTCAGTCCTCGCATTCCTTGCGCTTTGGTCTCTCAACCCATTAGGCCCTTGACCATATCCGGCCAAAACTCAGACCTCTCGTGGGTCCTGACTCATGCGTCTGACGTGGGAGAAGTACGGAGTAGTGTAGAATCAAAGGGGAGAGAGAGAGAGAGGGGGGGCGAGAAAATAATGGACGGGAAAAAAAAAGAGAGATGAAACAAAGAGGCGAAGATTACGATCGCATTGGGAATTATTCGTCCTTTTGTGATGGGCACTGTCAGAGGTACGAAGGACATGGGCAGCAGGTCAATGGGTGGTACCAACGTAATTCGGGAATAGTGATCGGAAGAGATCGGTACTTTCGAATGGAAAATCGTCGAGGTATTCCGCCTGGGCACTGAGTACATACAGAGGACAGAGGACAGAGGATACAGAGTACAAAGAAGTGAACAACGTCTCTGGCCCGGATGCCAATGTCTAGAACGCGATCAGTGTGTCAGGTGGCGAGGCATCGATGGCTGCATTGATCGACACGGTCGGGGAGCACAACCCCCCAGTCCCCGAGGTAAAGGAACAAAGTACGGAGGGACTGCGTCAATGGTGTATGTATTACACGAGGGGGAATCAATCGTGTATATACGGAGGTACGGGGATACGTAGGTAGACCTGGCCATGGCGGCCCTGACCCTGACCCTGACCCTGACCCTGACCGTGTACTCCCTCCGTACTGGACGAAGCATCTGGAGGTATTGTCTGAAGAAAAAAGTACGTGGCAAATGAGGAGAGAGTGAGGCACTGAACACAAGTACAAGACTGAACAATCGGGCACCGTCCCTCCTGTGTATGCATGTTCCGAAGCGCCCTTCCTCGAACAGGCATCGATCTGAGGTTCGAGGCGAAATGCGGGGCGCGCAGTCATTGGGGGCTGCTGCCAATGCTCCTTCTCTTCATTTAGTTTGTTTAGTACTTATGCACCCGACAAGAAACGGTATCCGAGTGGATTCAATTGTGGACTCCGGCCCCTCCCAGAGTGGGCTCAAAAGTGGGCTCAAAAGTGGGCTCTTTTACATCCTGGGCAGCATTGACGACGGCTTGCCAGCACGGACTGAGGCAAAAAATATGACGAGGTCCAGGCCGAAGGGGGCAAAGGGCCAGAACGGGAGTCCGAGCGAAACTAAAAAGAAAAAAGAACCATACGGCAGGACAGTTCCGCGTGGAGCTGGCTCGAGCTCAGGCCCACTCTTCAAACGCCGAACCTCGCGCCGGAGATATCTGCCGTGACCGTGACCGTGGCCATAGGCCCCACGGACCACCGTTCACCGGCTCGGATCGCATGCAGGTACTAGGATGTAGCGCGCAGACCGGATCAGAAGAGAGTCGTGGCGGCGCGCAACGAGACTGCAGGACCATATCGGAAGTGGATTCCTTTGACCCGCCGTCAGGAGGAGTTGAGGTGCAGGCCAGATGGGAATAGAACGGCGTCTTCCGCACTCCACGAGCGCTCTCCTGCAACCAGCCGAAGAGATGACAAGGGAGATTGGCGATTCTTAGCTTCTGCCGATCGACACGGAACCCGGGATGACCCAATTAGGCTGGCCTTGTCAATCAAGCCTGGGTTTTGGTGGTGGCATAAAAGAACATCCCCCCGTCATAAGTACGTTCAGCTACTATCTAACAAAAAGTCCCTAGTGAAACACCTCCTAGCAAAGTGGTCATTGAATATCAAAGAGCACCGCCCCCAAATTAATTGACCAGGATGGCATGCGGGAGATGCTCACCGCATGCAAGCACCCCCCTGGCCGAATCCTCCATCCTTAGGTCCTTTCATCCTTGAGCCTTTGATACTGCGTTGTTCAGGGCCGCGACTTGGCGGGGCTTGAGGCGGACGAGGGTCGAGCTGCTGGGTCAGTAGCTGCTACCGCCGCCGCGGCGACGGCCGCCGAATGGGAGCCCGTGCTGGCAACATTGCTCGTGTGCGCAAGAAGAAACTTGCAGCAAGTCAGGGTATACTTGCACGCGCGCGTCCATGTCTCGTCATTTTGGTTAAATCCAAGCTTGATGCTAGCGTCGCCGATGCGGTCTCTTTTGATTTCGTAGGGCAGTCTCACGCCGGGGGTAGTGGTACCAGGCTGACCCCGCCGTGGCGAGGCCATGGATGCTGGGGTCGATTCAACGAACTGACCAAGTTGACGCAAACACTCCAAGAACGCCACCATGCCGCTGTCGAAGCGACGGTGGAGCCAAGGGAGATTGAGCGGGAGATCACCCGAGGAAAAGAGATCTAGTTGGGTGATCTTGGGCGGGCCACGGTCAGTAACAGCTGGTCCAGCAGGCTGAGCAGGATATTCAATTTTGTCAATTCGGGAGGTGGACCCCAGTGGTCGCAGGCGATATCCTTGGAACTGAAAATTGAGCCGGTCTGCAATAGTTGAAAGCAAAAGACAGGTCTGGCCCCAGGCCGCATTAATCTCGGGCCATTCAACCGAGGGATTGGCCAGACGGCCAAGACGCAGGGCATTGATAGTTCCGAAATAGCCGTCATGGCCAATGCAAAACGCGTCATTGTAGACATTTGTCCGTTGTAATCGCTCCAACTGTTGCGAATCATGGTCGTAACGCATGTTCAGTGCATCCCGTTCGGTTTGAAACTCCCCCAGGGTGAGAGAGAAGCCGTTCCGCGCCCGCCAAAAGCTTTCCTCATCCGCATCAAGCTGTCGAGACTCTTCTTCGAGACCAGCGATCTCTTCATCGAGTGAGGCTTTTTCTCGCTCGAGCGCTTGTAGTTCGGCGAAGGCTGCTTCTTCGGCCTGAAGGCTTTCTTTGAGACTATTCTCGGCCACCTCAATATCCTCACCTGACGGGACAGAAGCATTCAAGGTCCGAAGAAACGCAATATACGCATCTCGCTCCTTTGTGGAAGCGTTTAATCGCTTTTGCAACCCATCCACCAGCATATCCGTACATTCTATGCAAATGGGATGATCGATGTCCGATCGGGCAGAGACAATTTCGAAGAGACGAGTGGCTTTCTCAACTTGACTTGAGAAAGATCCGTTCTCATGGCTGGGGTCCTGTGGTTGGGAGCTCCTCCGGTGGAGACGGGAGGGCGAGGACGTGTCTACTGCAGGAGGCCCAAACTGGGACTCTGTGAGCATGACGAAAGACATGCTGCCGCTATCCCCTCGTGTCAGCCCTGGTGCGTGAGGCGGGGCCCCAGCACGCGGGCCTTGTAGAGAACGCCGGTAGTAGGGAGCCGTGGATTGATTTGTATTTCGTTCGTAGTTCTCACGACGTTCCGGAGGATTGGAGGATCGATTCGCCGATGGAGTAACTCCTTGATCAGAGACTGTTTTACCCGTAGAGTCTATTCTTGGAAGAAGCCCGGGTCAGATACACGCCGTTGCGATATGATGGGAATGAGTGGACACTTACTAACGAGCAGCTCGAACGCTGTGGGGTTCAACGAGCCCAGTGACCCATCAAGAGTCAAAGGTGTGCGACACTTTTGGCAATACATAATATGCGAGTGTCAGTGTCAGTGTCAGTTCCAGTTACAGTTCCAGTCCCAGTTCATGATATGCTGTGATATGATGGGGAAATAAGGGGGTGGGAGCAGCAAGAAGGGTGGATGCGGGGAGGAGGTTGAAGTTGCGCGGTTGGCGGAGCTTCTTTGCTTTTGCTTTCCTTCCCGCACGTCACTCTTTTTTTTGTTTTTTGCTTTGCTCACACCTTTACTTTTTCTACTGCTGCGCGCTTAGCGACGCCTTATTTTGGCTACCTCCAATCATTACGAACTACTGCAATGCGCAAATATTATTGATTGTTTGACGTGGCTGTCTCGACCTTCAACCTGACAGCCCCATCGCGAGACACGGACACAGACGCGTTTCAAACGACCGCGACAAATGGCCAACGACGCCTACATTGACGATACAAACACAATGGAGCCCCCTACGAAAAGGCCGCGCCTCTCGGTAACCTCCGATCCTCCCGAGGAAGAAGTCTCAGACGACTGGGATCTACAAACAGCACGCGCCCAAAATGATATGAAGTTGAAGTCTATATTCGAGAACATCTTTGCGAAATACGGCCAGGACTTTACAGAAGTCGGCGATGAGATCGACCTGGAAACAGGGGATATTGTGGTCGACAATGGTCATTTATTGGGCCTGCAAGAAGAGGATCGCAACCATCAGAGCCGAGCATGGCACGCCGAGGAGGGCGCGGAAGGCGAGGAAGACGAGGATCCTGAATCTGAGAATGAAAAGGAGCCTGTCGGATCACTGCCTGATCCCGATAACCTTGTGTTTGAAGATCCAGGAGGGCACCCGGGTGATTCCTTCAAGTTCACGCGACCGGAATCCAAAGGTCCCATGCCCGACGAGGATCATTCCCTTTCAAGAGAGTCTGCATTGACCTCGACCTCTGACAACCCACAACTCAAACCGACCCCAGAACAACTGGACCTGAAACCTTTTCCAGAGGAACTGGGCCCAATAGACCCTGTATGGAAAGTCCCTGAACTTCCCCGCTCCTTCTCGACGCCTAGAACCGAGACTAGGTTCACCAAAGTGCCAATTACTCCACGGCTGCCGACGGTGGACAGAAAATCATCGCCACCAGGATCCAGATCCCTTTGGAGTGTTCCAAGGCAACGTCGGCCGCGCACAGAGGGGAAGCCCAGAGCGACGCCGAGCAAAACCCGACCCCGGGCGAAACGAAAGTATCATTCCAGCCCCGTGGCGCTGGAGGCGCTTGACTGGTCTTTCGCGGATATCGCTGAAGAAGGCGACGAATCGGACGACCCGCTGCAGGAGTATCAGCCATCTCCCACCCCATCCAACGCAGCGAACATTCGCCGGAAGCGAATGCGCATAACGGCCCATGATGGCTCTAACCAAGAAATTCGATTCGCATTAAATCCTGAATTGTTGACACCTGTCGAGCCCACTCCTCACGACCAATCGGCTACAGATACACATCTTGGCGCGAATCATCGCCACGTGGAACAAGGCGATGCACGGGCTACGGTGACAAAATATATCGACGTACAATGCAATTCACCTGCGCTTCCCTCCACAGCGTATGGCGCTGCGCCTGCGTCGAGGCCCGTCTATGTATCCGCCCCTGTATCTGCGCCCGTACCTGCTGCACCGTCATCGAAGTCCATATCACCGCGGACCCGCATTACAATGACGCCCGACGAGATGAAACTGGTGCTTCGCAAGCGCCACGTCGAAGGCAAGAAATGGAAGGAAATACTCCCGTTTCTGCCTTACGCCAGCTATGAAAAACTCAGAGTGTGGAACTCATATCACTGGCATTCTGTTCGTGCTAAACCATCTCCACTCCGGGCTCCGTGGTCACAAAGCGAACTTGAAACCTTCGATCGCTTACAGGGTCAGCCATTCCTTGCCTGGAAGGATTTCCTAGCCCAGTTTCCCAACCGATCCAAGCCTGAGATTGAGTTTGAGCTAATGCGCCGTTGGGTTGGAGATGAGGTGTGGAATCGCGATAGAAGTTCCGTGCCTCGCTTGAAAAATGACGGTGGTGGCTTAAAGAGGCATTGTGTTAACCCACAACGCCGACCATCGAAAGATGATGGTTTAGAAAAGGATGTCCGTGATCAAGAAAGCTCAGTTACTCGCCTCGACACGCCCCGGCTCGTCAGACACCACCAGTTACTAATTTTGACACACCCTCGGCTAGTCAGACACCAACTGTTTACTTGATTAGCGACGGAGAGGATGAATGTGATGAAGAGGATCCAGTGGACACGGAGGACATTGGCGCACTGAGTGATGGAGTAGAGGATCAAATTGGAGAAGTCATTTCAGATCCTCCACTGCCTGACTCGTATACTTCCCATCTGGGAGCTAGGCCTGTGAAAGGTATCAGTTGGCAAATACCCCAGTCCAGCGATTAGGGGAATACCCCCGAATTGGACTATTGATAGAACAAATAAAACATGTATCACCATCAGTTGATTGGATTGGATCTACTCAAAATCTTCATCCCGAGCATTAAGAACGCTTTCAAGCCTCGTGTCAACAGCACCACCAACATCACCAGCTTTTGCCCAGAACCGGGACAAATGTCTTGAACCTGAATCAGACAGCACAGTAACAATCCGGTGTCCAGGGCCTAACTTTTGCGCCGTCTTGACTGCCGCAATACCTATTAGCCATAGTTAGTATACTATATCCAGAAGATCAAGCATCAATTTTATGTCAGAAAACTCACAGTTCACAGCACTACTACTCCCAATAAAAATCCCATCTTTCTCAACCAACCACCTCGCCATGGCCAAAGCCTGCGCATCCGTAACCCTAACCGCATCATCAACAAGCTCCTTCCCGGCCTCAAAATTCGCCGTAACGCGATTAATCCCAATCCCCTCAACAATAGTATCAACCTGCGGTCTCCGCCGCGTACCCTCCCTCTCCTTAAGATCAAACATCACGCCAAACCGCACACGGTTATAAAGCCCACTCCCCTGCGGATCGGCCAACACAATCGTAATCTTAGGAAGCAGCGGTTTCAAATACCGCGCAACGCCAGAGATAGTTCCGCCCGTCCCCGCACCCGCAACAAAAGCATCGATCCTGCCCTCACACTGGGCATAAATCTCCGGTCCACTGCCGCCATAGTGGGCGCGCCAGTTCGCTTCGTTCTCGAACTGGTCAGCGAAGAAACCGCGGCCTTGCGAGGAGGCTGTGTGTGTTTGGGCGAGGGTTCGGGCGCGGTTGACGAAGTTTTCTTTTTCTACGATGGGGGCCGGAGGCACTCTGTCGACTATTGCGCCGAGTTTGAGGAGAAGGTTTGATTTCTCGATTGCTTGGTCTGAGGGCATGCAGATGTGGGCTAGGTAGCCTTTTGCTCGGGCTAGGGTTGCGAGGGAGATTCCGGTTGAGCCGGATGTGCCTTCGTAGATTGTGTCTCCGGAGTGAGGGGTTAAGATCCCTTGTTCTTCTGCCTAGGTTGAGGTTAATATATAGATCGTGTCGTGTTGATACATCTCCGGTATTCAAGTTGGTGATACGTAGACATATGTGCAAGAACTTGAACAGGCCCTAGAGGGTTGGATGGAACCGTGACGACATACAATTTCAATCATGCTCAGGGCTACACGGTCTTTCGAGCTCTGGCCGGCTCCATTGAGAAACTGTGTAACTGAATATTAGCCTCATTCATACATATGAATAGCTTATATCTAGCTCTGTGGGTACCGGTGGGCGGAGAACTGGGTTTTCATACCTCTGCTTTACCTAGAATTTCACATCCCGTCTCGTCAGAGAGGGATTTGATCCGGAAGAGGGGCGTGTTCCCAATACACCCTTCAATGCCCTCGACAATGGCCGGAGGTCCTGGCCTTGCGACAAGACCATCAGGTTCGGACTTGGATGGGGTTGGATTTTCGCGGCGCGGCGTACTCAGTGCCTCTTTGCATATCAAGGCTAGACCGGCACCTGCAACAAAAGCGGTGCCGATATAAACAGCCAAATGATCCGGCATTTTCAGTGCTCAATGCCGTTGTTCAATTCATTGAAATTTGGCGCAATATCGATGCGCAGTCTGATGTCGACGCTCGGACCACTTGCGAGCGTAGATGTAGCTGGGGGTCAATGGGAGTTGGATAGGGGTGAATGTATCTTCAGATCAGGTCAAGGCAATTTTCGAGTAGTTCAATAAGACCAGCTATTGATAAATGCAAATTTATCTGCCAAAACAGAAGAGGAAACAGAATATCAAAGTCGAAAGTAGCAAGTGAAGTGACAAAGCACGTGCCTTCCTGCCTGAGGCTACCAACCATCTTCTTCTCTCCGCAGCTCCTCCAAAGCTCTCAGACTGCTTCAACCCGCGCAAACATGGACTCGCCCGTCCTCAACCAGCTGTTTCGACAGCTTTTTCGGCATCCGGCTTGCCAGTCATTACGGCACTCTCCATCCACTTTTTCCAGGCAAACACAATCGCGTACATTCTTCACCCGCCGCAGTGTCGCCAAGCGCAAGGTTCAGGATGGTGGCACGCTGTGGACGAAACGCGGCGACCAGCCGAAGAATATCGATCAGGAATACCGGACATACCCACTAGTCACAGCAAATGAACTGCGCAATCGCCGCCAACGGCCGAAGCAGGTCAAAATGCTGACGCGCGAATTCATCGATGGTACGTCTCGCATTGAGTCCCAGTCGCGGACTTCCGTGATGCGACATCACTTTCTTTATTGCTGACTTTGGCGATTATAGACAGCCTGTACAATCCGCATTACGGCTACTTCTCGAAACATGCGACTATCTTTACCCCCGGCGAACCATTCGACTTCAATAACATAGAAGATGGTCCGGCCTTCCAATCGCTCGTGGGCGACCGGTACATTGAGTTTGAAGATAAGCTTGATGCCATCAAACCAGATGAATCAAGACAGTTGTGGCATACCCCGACAGAGCTCTTCCGACCATACTACGGCGAGTCGATTGCGCGATACCTCGTCTCGAACTACAAGCTCACCCTGTACCCATATCACGACTTGATCATCTATGAAATGGGTGCCGGTAACGGTACCATGATGTTGAACATCCTGAACTTCATCCGTGATACGGATTATGAAGTGTACCAGCGGACAAAGTACAAGATCATTGAGATTTCCTCGTCCTTGGCCGATATCCAGATGAAGAACTTGATGGACACCCTCGAGACAGCTGGCCACCGGGACCGCGTCGAGATCGTTAACAAGTCCATTTTTGACTGGGATACATACGTGCATTCTCCGTGTTTCTTCCTCGCCCTTGAGGTCTTCGACAACTTCTCCCACGACACCATTCGTTACGACTGGAACACGGGGCTTCCTCAGCAAGGCGGAGTACTCATCGACGCGGACGGCGAGTTCCACGAGTACTACAATACCAAGTTGGACCCCGTGGCGGCTCGATTCATGCGTGTCCGTCAGGCTGCAGCTCGCCGCCCTTTCCCAAGTCCTCTCGGCCACCCATATCTCCGTGGCTTGCGTTCCATGTCACCTTTCCGCGGTGACTACACGCTTCCTGAGTACATTCCTACGCGGATGATGGAGTTCTTTGATGTCCTGAACCAGTATTTCCCTGCACACCGTCTTGTGGCAAGTGATTTCAACGTCCTGCCCGATACCGTGCCAGGTATCAATGCACCAGTCGTTCAGACTCGTTATCAGCGCAAGACGGTGACCGTGTCAACGCCATTTGTGAGTATTCTCGACTTTCCAGCCCTCTTTACTCCACATCTTTCAGTTTGATTCTAACATTTCCCCTTCTAGGTTCACCAAGGATACTTTGACATCTTTTTCCCAACCGATTTCAATGTATTCGAAGATGTTTACCGAGCCGTTACCGGCAAGCTCACTCAAGTCACGACTCATGAAGATTTCATGAATCGCTGGGCGTATATTGAAGATACGGAGACACGGAATGGCGAGAACCCGCTGTTGTTCTGGTACAAGAACGCCAACATGCTGATGACGGTATAAGTATCACCGAGAGAGGCGAAAAACATGTACATTAGTCTCAAGTCGACCAGGAATGTCGAAAATGGTCTCACATCGATACAAATTTCCAGTCTTGAACACCTCCTTCCCCCCTCCCTTCTTCAAATCAAGGCCAGCAATAGTAAGCTGCAGAAAGCTCCAACACGTAGTCGACCCATGTTCATAACAGCTTGTGCTATACCCCACCCCGCCAAATCGCCCCGTTGAGGCTCTCTGACCATTGAGAGAACACCCTGTCGTTCCTCGAGCAATGGTTCGCCGCCATCTGCAGGGCCAGCTCATCCCCGTCAGATCCGTGCGTCCCGACTCGAAAGCCTCAGTCTTCTGGGCAGTCTCGATTTCATTCCCGACTCTAGTACCTACCTAGGTAGGTATATAATAGCACCTACTCTCCTTCAATTTACAATCGTCAGCAATCTACTTTGGAATAAGCACAACCCAGATCTCACCTCACACAAAATGACTACAATGCAGAAACCTCCCCAACCCCCAACCTCCAACCCACGCGGCTTAAAAGGCATAATAAGCCGCGTCTCCAGCATCCGCGACGCATACCCCAATTCCGTCCTCATCTACCGCGACCTAAACACAACCTACCAATCATGCTACGAGATCGCCGTCAATGTCTCAGAACAATATAACAGCTACCGACGCGCGGGCCAACGGATTCCAGGCATTCGATCACTTCTAACGGACTGCGATGCGATTTTGAAGAAAGTCCATGGCTTTTTGCAGCGGTATTCGAGTCTGAGGTCGCAGAGGCCGGCGTCGAAGGAGAAGTTTGCTTTTGTTAGTGAGGATATTGGGTTTCAGAGGAGGAGGGTGGAGGTTTGTAGGGGGAAACTTGGGGAGGTGCAGAGGTTGTTGCAGGGGTATGTAAAGGGTGGTTTTCTTTTCATTCATCCCGAGTCTTTTCTGTTTAAACAAGGATTGTGATTCGAGTTCACTATTTATTTTTTCTGTTTTGGACTGCTGGGGAGGACTGCAGCGTGATTGATACTAAGATCGTTTCTTGATAGGGCTGATTACTCTAGTCAGCAAAATGTGACTGCTGATGAGCCTCGAGGAGATATCCCCGCTGGTGATATTCCTGGAGATACTGACCCAGCTCCTCCTGTCGAAGAAGGTATGTTCTAAAGCTTTTCTTCCTATATCCACTTGAGGGTATTGATAATGTAATCTTCGTCAGTCAACATAGGAAATCTTCCTCCAGACCCTATCGACCAGAAACCACCGCCTAGATCTCGATCACAGAAGCGAAATACTCGTTTGGCAACAGCAGCCTCCGCCTATCGCTGGGACGAAGTTCGCTCCCTGATTGAAAGAGGCGCAGATGTAAATTCATCTGACAGTCGAGGTTTAAGACCCCTGGTGTACGCTTTAAATGGCAGGTACAGAAGCCAATATCGCGATGAAGCCAGAGAAGCTAGTGATATTGTCAGATTGTTGCTCAGTAAGGGTGCCAAGTTCGGTAAGACGGAGCTGAATGAGTTACCCCGTGCAGGGACATATGGGGAAAGGGAATATCGAAAGTGGGTAACGAAGGAGAATCTTGAGTGTGACGTCGAGGATTTACGGTTCGAGGGGTTTAGAGATAGTGGTGTAGGAGTTTAGACTGTTGGAAATTCCAAGTTGATATATATCATTAAGGTAGCCGATAGCGGCCAAGGGGCACGAAATTATGGAATATCAAACGGCCTACATTGCAGTCTCCTAGATCTATATTTGAATTCCCTCTTTCTCTTTCTCGTGGTGCTTTTCTAGTACCAATTACGACTGTTTTTGCTGCTTGAACAAGATCGCTTCTAGTTCAATTCTCGTAGCGATGTGGCTGTGATTCTCCTAAGTGTTTATACTACTAGTACTAACTAATTGGTGGCCATTGCCTACGTGTACTACCTACTAGGTGGTTATTAATTACCAGTAGCTACGTAGTTATCACCTCTTTGCATAGTTATACAAATTAGTACTTGGTAGCCATCAGTCGGTCAATATTTTGCATGATAAAGGTAGGATCAGGATTCTGCCCAGCCAGAATAATTTCGTCCCCCCCTGGCTGCTATCGGCTGCCATAATATCATGCTGCATTGGGTGTAACCCCTCACTCCAGGCCCGAGGATGTCATTAAGAGGGGTTGACCTGCCAAGTTTTAAATCAGGATATCAATGACCTCCTCGATCTCAGAACTCCTGGATTTCACCTTTTCTAAGCTGCTTCACTCATCTCTGCAACCCAAGCCATAATTAGAGTAAAGAATCACAAAGCAATAAGCAACAACCCTGGATAAGAAATAACAAAATGGCATCAAATCCGAGTCTAGACCCCCCGCACTGGAAACCCGCCGTTCTCACCAAACGCAACACCCAGATCAACTCGATCCCCACATCCTGGCAGCTCCCAGAATCAGTGTTGGAAAATCTACCTGCTTCAAGCATACAAGTTATCCGATCCAGCGGCATTTTAACCGCAGATGAACTATCCTGGACCGAGACAACCGATATCCGCGTCCTAGTCTCGCTCATCACCTCACGCCGCGTAAGCAGCGAGCAGCTCACGACAGCATTTTGCAAACGCACCGCGATTGCACAGCAGGTGAATAAATGTCTTACGGAGATATTTTTCGAAAGGGCGCTTGCGAAGGCAAGAGTGTTGGATGAGTATCTGGAAAGAACAGGGAAGGTGATTGGCCCTTTGCATGGAATTCCAGTTTCCGTTAAGGATCGGTTCGATGTTCGAGGGGTTGATACAACAGTCGGTCAGTTACAGTGGAAATCTTCATGTTTCCGTTACCCTTTTCATGGGTATCTTGATCTTTGCTGAGATCTGCAGGTTGGGTCGGTCTCATCAATAAACCGGCTAAAACTTCTAGCTCGATTGTTCAACTTCTCGAGTCGATGGGTGCGGTGATGTACGTCAAGACTAACATTCCGCAATCATTAATGGTAAGCGTGCATGTGGTACATTCTCTTCCGCCACTACTTAGGGTTGCATAAATTCGGACGTTGATAATCCCAGATGTCCGACTCGTATAACCATGTCTTCGGCCAGTCGGTCAACTCTTTCAACCACGCTCTCATCTCCGGTGGGAGCTCAGGTGGCGAAGGTGCCCTTGTCGGGTCTTGCGGTAGTATCCTGGGAATCGGCACTGATATCGGTGGCTCAATTCGAGTACCATCGGACCTGCAAGGTCTGTATTCTATCTGTCCAACGACAGGCCGTGTGCCGTGGGACTGTTCTATGTAAGAAATATTCCAAGTCGGTACCATTTCCCTTGAAAACTCTAGGGAATGGATTTTATCACGTTGTTCATCAGTATCATGCTATTTATCTCCTTTTACTAACTTCAAAAGCCTCCATCAACACTATCTCGTCCCACCAGTAGCAGGACCAATGTCTACCTCCTTATCAACATCAGAATACTTCATGGAAAAACTCCTCGCCTCCGAGCCCTGGACTCTTGACCCGGCCGCAATTCCGATTCCCTGGCGCAAGGAGCTCGCCACGCCTCCAACAGACCGCAAACTCAAGCTTGGTGTCGTATTTGACGACGGCGTCGTCAAGCCGCAACCTCCAATCGCACGAGCTATGCGGGAAACGGCGCAGGCATTACGAGACGCTGGGCACGAAGGTACGTTGTTAAAATCACATATATAACACACAGATTGCGTATCTAGGTAGAAAATGAGATAAGCTAATTACTACCATTGACCAGTCATTGAATGGGACACAACCCTCCACACACCAGCAACGAATCTCTGGACAAAAGCCATCCTCGGCGACGGCGGCGCCCACTGCCGAAAGCTGTGTGCTATAATTGACGAGCCACTCATTGAAGGGATGGTCGTTGGCACGGAGAAAGATATGTTGTCAATTCAAGAACGGGAAAAAGTAGAAGAGCAGAAATATGACCTGCAGACGCGGATGGTGGCTCAGTGGGTCGATGCGGGCATCGATGCCCTCATAATGCCGGTTCTGCCCTGGGTTGGATATAAACCCAAGACCTGGGTGAAAAGTAGCCAGTGGCTGGGGTATACGGCTATGTGGAATTTGCTCGATTATGCGGCTGTGACTGTTCCTGTTGCTAGGGCAGATAAACAGGTTGATGTTGGTGATGCGGAGTGGAAGGCTCATGTTGGAAGGAATGAATCCGATGAGTTTAATTATGCACAGTGTGAGTATGATCTTTCTGCATACATAGGGATAACGGGTGCATATACTGACTAGTTGGATATTTAGATGATATCGACCTGGTAGATGGAATGCCCATTTGTGTGCAGATTGTTGGAGGGCGGTTTGGGGAAGAGAAAGCAGTTGCTGTTGGAAAGGTTGTTGATGAATTGATGAACAAGACTCCATTTCACCCAGTAACCAACAACTGAGAGTCCCAGTATTTTTTATGTTGCTACAGATGTTCATGCCCTATGAAACATGATATAGGTCGTGTGTATTCGTTATGAGATTTCTATTCGAGTATTTCCAATCAACCCGAATGGTTCCAGTAGTACACTTTCGGTACAGATATCAACAATGCAGCCAGACCCTGCTGGCATCCCAGTAAGAAACAATAGAAAAAGATAAAAAAAGAGATAAGCCTTCATATCAAAGGTCCGAGATGCGTTTCCATGCTCATGGGAATATTACTAGAATTCAAATTCCTTGCGGAAGACGTTCACATCCATACCCGCAACAACCTGGTCCGCCAAATCGCGACGGCCCATCTGGCTGAAGACCCGGCGCAGTGTGTCGTAAAGGTTGGTGCTCTGGTTTTGGCTGATGTGGAGCATACGCTCCAGTCGCTCATCGTCCAGACCATCAGGCCCACCGCCGCTAATGATCTCGCGAGCACGCTCGCGACCTTCTTGCTCGACAACGCGGTGCATTGAAAGGGAACCCAGAAGGTGTTGTGCGGCCTCCGGGTAGCAGCCGATGTTGATACAAGAGACTCCGAGGTTGTAGCGAGCGCGGACGAAGTTGGGGTTAATGTTGAGCGCTTGCTCGTAAGCCTCGATAGCCTCCTCCGAGCGACCGGAGTTGGCCAATGTAGCACCGAGACGGTTCCAGAGCAGGTGCAGCTGCTCTTGTTGGTTGGTGCTGCCGGACTCGGTTGAGGCCAGGGCGGCAGAGAAACAGTCCACGGCCTTTTCATACTCTTCGGCACAGTAGAAAAGTACACCCAGACCAACCTGGACGTCAGGGTCCATCTGTGCGCCGGATGGCGAAAGTTGTGCGGCTTGGATAAAGAGTTCTGTCACGCGGTCGTGCAAGAGTTGACGATCTGTGAATCCCAGGTCGGCGTCGCCGGAAACCTCACTTGGGTTGATGATGGAAGGATACTTGTTTGACAGCCAGCGTTCGAGAGTCCGGTAAGCAGTAGAGTCGTAGCCCTCGTTCGTATATGAGACGGCCAGACCCATCAGTGCATCCAGATTACCAGCATCAATCTTCAGTGCTTGCTCCAGGGCGCGGATAGCCGGCAGTTCTTTCTCGTTTTGAGCCTGGGCAGAACCCAGCATCGTCCAGGCTTGCACATGCTGCGGGTCCTTCTGGACAGCAGCCTCGAAAGCCAAAGCTGCGAGAGAAAGGTTACCACCCTCGCGCATAATCTTGACGCCCTCCTCGAAAGGGTTGTTGATCGCCTGGTACACATTATCCTCCTCGAACATGTAATCACCAAGCTGGGGGTCGCGGAAACGGCTATTCAGAGTATCGAATCCCTCCCAATCACCCAGATCACCAACATGCACGTCTTCGGTAACTTCAAAGTCATCTTGCTCGGCCAGTTTTCTGCTCGCAGCTGTCTCAGTCTGAATCCTTTCCCATACAGACTCGAAGGCATCATTGGAGGGCACTGACCTGTCCAGCTCATTCAATTCGGCCTCCATGGCAGCATTTGCCTCCTCGTCCGTGCGCGTCTCATTACCCGCCGTCTCCATTTCGGCAAACTGCGCCTCCCAGTTCTCATCATCGAGTTCAACCATGCGGCCCTTGCCCTTGTCTTGCGTCTGGCCCTCCATCGGTTGCTGTGCCATCGGAGACTGCATACCCATAGGTCGCATACCCATACCCATACCACCCATTCCCATACCCATACCGCCCATATATCCACCACCCATCCCCATAGGTCGTTGGTACCCCGCCATCTGTGGGGGCGTGGCGGTGGTAGCTGGGCTGGAATTCTGGGGCATACCCATGCGACTCTGCTGCTGGAAACGAGCGAATTCAGCAGGTGTGAAACCAGAAGTGTTGTTCATTTGTTGCCCAGGGAAAGCAGCCTCCATACGGGCCTGCTCACCGGGATCGAATTCCGCGGCCCAGCCAGGTGATCCCGTGCGCGGGGGAGCGGTCTGGAAGTTCTCCAGCTCGCGGCGCATGTGTTCCATGGCGAAGGGCTGGGGGGAGGGGCCGTTTATTTGTTGTCCGGGCTGTTGCATGAAATCGTCCATCATCTGTGATAAGGTGGCCGTGTGATGGCCTTCGGTGAGCTTTCCGTTCTTTCTTCAAAGGCGTATATCATGCTATGCGGGGGATTCGACGTGCGTTGCATTGCATTGTCCGATTGGAAATTGGAAATTGTTTACTGACCTGGTCTTGTCCACCCATCATCCCCCGTGACCGCATGCCTTCTTGCATACCTGGGGCCCGGCCGACCAGCCGGTCTCGTTGGAGGGACTTGTCATCTTGGACGTGCTTGGTGAATTGTGTCAGAGGGTTTCCTGCCGTGGAGCACTCCGCGCCACCGAGGAAGGACATGATGACTTTGAAAATGTGAAAGTAATGTTTAAAGTCGAAATCAAAGGTCCAAAAAGCAGTCGGGGAAAGAGAAGAGTAGCGGGCACATGCGAGAGAGGAGAAGCCCCGGATAACTAATCGACGTGGGGCTCGCCCACTTCAGGCGCTTTTCCGCCAGCCGAGGTTCCCCGGGGTCACGTGGTATCAACTGCCGCGGAGCAAACGGAGTAAATAATACAGTTCGTGGTATAGGTTTGGTAGATCTAGTAGGTATAGTACAGAGATTTTGATTTGGTTCAGTTCAATATTATACAATGGACTCCTCCAAAGTCCCTCTTTTCCATAATGTACACCTCTCCTCCTGATTAAATTCGGAAGTCTGTCCGGCTCTGTATATCCCTATCCTCCTCCTGCTGCTCCTGCTGTTCTCTCTCCCATTCCCTCTGCTCCTTGGCCTTAACATTCTCCCCCGCCATAAAGGAAACCCTTTTTCTCTGGGAATACTCGACCTTCAACCTTCTTCCATATGGCCTCTTCACCCTCAACTTCTCCATGGCCTTGTTAGCCGCATCTATTCCCAAAAATTCGGCATGGCAGAATCCACGCGGCGCCCCAGTCCTCCGGTCAACCGCGAACCGGATATCGATGAGGTTTCTGACATCGGCGAAAATAGCCTGGACATCACGGTCCGTACACTCATAAGGAATATTGCCGATAAATAATGTGTTTGACTGATCGTACCGCTGATCATCTAGTCGGAGCTGGGTGTGCGAGAACTGCACGACGATTTGGCGGCCTTCGAAGACTTGGAGGTGCATGTTTTCGATCGCGTTGCGGGCTTCTTCGACGGTGCTGTACTGGACGTAGCCGAATCTGTTACAGCGGAGATAAGAATTAGCTTCCATCGGGATAGAAAAACAGAGCAAGATGCGCGCAGAGTATAATGCGCATCTGATGATCTATCGGGGCTGTCTAGTTAAGACTTACCCTTTACTCAACCCCCGATTATCATGAACAATTGTCGCCTGAAGGACGGTTCCGAATTGCTCCATTTTCGCCCGCAGATCCTCCGCCGCGACGTCGTAGAACAAGTTGGCCACGTAAAGAGTCTCTGACTCCGGCGGCGAGAAACCTTCGGCTTGTTCTTGCATCCGTTTGTTGAGTTTATGCATGCGCTTCTCGCGCTTGCTGGGGCCCGCAGAGGCATGGTTGACGGAATCGGCCTCGGTCTCTTCAACAGTCGTCCCATTTTCCGAGATACCAGACTCCCTCCGTTCTACTGAAATATCAGTATCAGCCTCTACGTCTGTTTTGAGAGGCTGGGCAGGAGTCAGGGACGGGTCATTTTGTGAAGAATTCCATCGGGCTTGGTAGACGGAGAATGGGCGGGGTGTGCGAGATGAGGAAGTGAGGATGTCGGGGCGGATTGATCTGGAAATGGAAATTCTTGGAGAGGATCTCAGTAGCCTTGAGCTGGCTTGACGAAGACAATGCCTGTTGATTGAGTTAGTGGTTTGATCCGGTAAATGCGCAGAGGGTGCTGTGGAGGTATGTATAGATCCAATAGCAAGGCGGGGAGCATACATGTTATCGACAAGTAGCGGGTGTAGTTTGAAGGCAACGCCTGGAAGCAAATTAAGATACGAGATGCAAGGTGTGGGAGAGTTCCATATAGTCAAGCTGGTTCAATGTTCATCTCCGTCGGAGCGCGCGCCGAAAAGTTTCGATAAGGTCACGTGGTGGCCGATACGCATCTTCAGCCTGAAATATAAGGCATCAAGGACATCTAAAGGTAGACGAATGACGACGAAGAATCCAGCGGATAAAAATTTATTAAGCGGGGTAGCAGGTCCTCTTTAGTCCATTCTATCTTTCCTGGAGGTTTTTATTTGACCTGAAAATTTCAAGCATGGATCTCTTCCACGATTCGTGGCCTTCCCCATGGCGATCATCCGAATGCCACGATCTCCCAAGGAAACACTGTCATGATACCTATAAGGTATAGATAGAACCAGAACGCTTGTCGCCCAGTATTTCGATCTGATTATCGTACAAGCCTTCAGCCCAGGCATCTCGTTCTCAACACCTAAGCTTTGAGCTTTCGTGGTGCAGTAGAAAGTACTGAGATAGAACTACCGTATAGAAACAGCACAAGACAGTAGAACCGGAGAGCATCTTCGTCGCGATAGATCTTAGAGGAGATGATGCTGTTGAGATTACCTCGGCCGATAGTGAATGAAGTCTAGCAATTCACCACATTTATAGACACCGAAGTTTAAGTTAGTAATTGAACCGGCAATGGTAAGTGATGATCGTTGGCTAAATATCAACTGCAGCACTAGTAAACTGGGAAGCAATGAATCAAAAGAGCTTTAGACCTACCTAATTCATGGCAATGATATGATTGTATTATCTATTAGGTCACAACCTGGTGAAACAGTAAGCTGGGTGGCCGTTCTCTCCACAATTGACGCACGCGGGATAGAAGCTTGATATTCCTAGCGTGCCCGAATTCCGGGGCTCTAAGTTTGGAAAACTGAATAAACCGGTTTCCATTGGCTCGAACTGCCACGTTGAATTGTCCCTGGGACGCTAAGATTCGTTATGTTACATGCCAGCCTTCTCGCAACAACCTTCCTGGTCCACTCTGAACTTTCCATGATACGAGCGGTGCCTCGAGAAATTGAAGATCTTAGGTAACACTAATCTACAGGTTCGAGGAAGTCCACACTACCCCTTAGAAAATGTTTAAATAGAAAATTGCAAGAACTATACGTGTTGTTTTGCGGGACAAAATGCAACGTCAACGAGTACGAAACTCCACTCCTCTATCAGTTGAAGCTATCTCAAAGTTCAATATTACGGGAAAATATTGTGAAACGCGTCAGAATGTACGTCCTCACTCGATCCTCATGAATCGCTTCGAGAGTACCCCATTCTTGCCAATCATCCCCGGGCAATCGGCTCACTAGACTCCATCGAAAACTCAGCATCGAATTCCGTCGGGCGCATCAAAGCTTAATATTCGCACCCCTGCGGCACGTTCGTGAGAAACATACACTGCGGCTTGAATACAATATTTTCAGCTTCAGTTCTGTAAAATATTTTATTTCGTTGGAAATCACATGAAATTCATAGATATTGGAGGTGTTATTGCCGAGGAAAGATGGCAAGTCACCATATTTCGCCAACGTGCTGCTCCAACGTTTACAACGTTGGCTTTCTCTCATTTTACGCGGGCAAACACCAGTGCTAAATCTTGATGGATTAATCTGTTTCATTTCTAAAGCCTATATAGAAGGGAGTCTTTGAGTGGTCTCCATCAGCCCTCCAGGGCAGTGCTTTTGCCAATGGCGCTGAATACTTTCCCTCTCCAGTTTCAATGTGGGTTTAGCTAAAGACAATTTTGAGAAACATGACTCTCTGACTAGTTTGCATGTAGCTGTTTGTAATCCCACCTAGCCTCGCACCGTTCGGTAATCTTCAAAGTTTGACATCTCGTTCCATGCACGCTCATATTGATAGAAATGAGTGGCGGGATGAGTCTGAGAGCAAACCAATTTATTCAATCCAATAGTTGTAAAGCTTAATCCGGTCTCCACATATAGTGCTTTCTGTCCAAGAGGAGTGTTTGGCCTTGGTAAAGGCCACATGTTTCCAGTGGCTTTAGAGTTCTTTCTGTGCCGGTAATGGTGTCCACCTGAACTTTGACCAGATTCTGCTCTCTGAGCGTCAACAGCGTCATAGTATTCGTAGTGTATATCTAGAAGGTCTCGCCACCCTTTATTTTCGACCCCTCTATTCCCATTCTTGATATCTGCCAGGTTTGAGTTAGTAGGTAGTATCGCAGCCATGTCAAACCTTGTATGCTTCATGGAAATATCAATTTCCTAATACTGGATTCGAGAACGCCATCGCAGTGCCAACAGCCTCATCTCGATGCACCTCAATTGTTTGCCTTCAATCAAAAATCGATACCGAAATATTGCTCAAGGTTCTATAGTTACAAACACAGCTTCGAAAATGTCTGTGGTCACCCTCGTAAGCGAGGTGTCGTCGCCCTCAACAGGCGAACTAATGATTCGCTCGATCAACGACTCAAACTTAGACATCAATCCTTTACCCCTGGAGCAGCGCAGGGGTCTCATTGCCCTCTCACTCATGGCACTTCTTTCATTCATCGCAACATCATCTCTCCTGGCTTTCATCACATATCGACTCATTTTCTGGAAACTACACTTCAAACGATACATCGGCTACAATCAGTACATCATCCTCATCTACAACCTAGTTCTTGCCGACTTCTTACAATCCATCGCCTACCTCATCTGCCTAAAATGGATAATAAACAACGAAATTAAGTCGGGAACCCCTGCATGCTTTCTCCAGGGCCTATGGCTGCAAATGGCCAATCCCGGTAGCGGTCTTTTCGTCCTCGGCATCGCCTTCCACACCTTTCTCCTCATCGTCTGGGGATACAAGATGTCCCATAAAATCTTCATCACATTTGTTTGCAGCATCTGGTCAATAGTCATCATCCTCATGATCATCCCTCTAGCAACCCACGGAGCCGATGCTTTCGTCCCCTCCGGCGCATGGTGTTGGATTAGAGAAGACTACGAATCCCTCCGTCTGTGGACACACTATTTCTGGATTTTTCTCGCTGAATTCGGCACTATCTGTCTATATGCCGTGATGTACACTCAACTTCGGCGGCAGATTTCCGCCTCCTCGATTCTCGGCAATAGCCACCTGGAGGGCCTGAAGCGTTTGCGCCGCGTCGTTGGATACATGACTATCTACCCAATTGTTTACGTCGTGCTATCACTTCCCTTGGCAGCCGGACGTATGGCAAATATGAGCGGTAAAATGCCCTCAGTTGCCTTTTTCTGCAGTGCAGGTGAGTACCTAGAGCTCCGTATTGTTAATTATCTATGAAGACGTCAAGTTGCTAACTACTTTGATCTTGAAGGTGCTATTATTACTAGCTCCGGTCTTGTCGACGTTATTCTCTACACGCTCACGCGCCGAAACCTCATCATCGACTCGGAACCTAGTCAGGATCATTGCTCCTACAGCAGATTCCCAGGAAGTCGTGGCCGTGATGTCAAAACTCACCTCACTACCATCACGGCAGAGCCCAACGGCCGGAAGCAAGATACTGTTAATGGCACAAACACGGAGCGTGGAGGTTCAGAGGATAGAATCATTCAATCCGAGTCGGACCTTGAATTGGCGCCGATTGGAAAGGTGCGTCAGGAGACAACGATTGAAGTCACCAGTGAGCCTGCATACCCGTTGGAAGGGGCGAGTGGGCGCTCTAGCAATGAATATTGCGAAGCTATATCGAGTTCGATGTGGAAATAACCTTTTAGGACTTGAACGCGATGTATTATTAAACAGGATGCCTGGACGCTCCTACTATGTATTTGCTACTAGTAACCTAGGCATCCTAATGCAACTTGCTTGGAACAACTTTGAATAGTAGTAGTATGTGATTCGCTATATCTGCCATCAATTATTATTGTACCAGGTGAACTTGAGCCAAAGGCTGCTACTACCTATGAGCACCTATCTAGGTACTAACTAGTAGGCACTGGTGGTACTAACCTTGGAACTAATAACTCCTCAATGATATGCAACTTGAAACTAAGGTTGAAGGTATACCAATGGATGTAGTACATAGAGAGGAGTCTTGATTGTATACCTAGTTATCCAAACTAATAGATCATAATATGATACAGAGAACGAAAAAAGAAACCAACCCCGCCCATCCAGCAAAAGCATAAACCCAACACGAGGCTTTTATCGCAGCCAAACATCCATCCGTGAAAACAAGGGTTGTGTCCAATCCGTACCCGTGTGTCCATTTCCGTGTCCAGGCCCGTATATCATCAAATCGCTCACGAGAGAAAAAAAGAGATACTAAATAATAACCTCTAGTAGTCTCCTGACACCGAACCAAATCCAATCAAACCAATAAATTTGAAGCGCAGGCATTCGTCGCTCGCAGGTGGAAACGCAGGGCATAGGGGTAATAGTAAAAGGCGGAAGAACGGCAAATGTAAATCCAATCCAATCCATTTCAATCCAAAAAGCATTGTCGTCAATTTCGTGCCTAAAGATCTAGATCATGCTTGCGGGAAACCCGGGCCATCTCTTAGCATTAAATTGATCCTTGACTCCTGCCAGAGGTATTTGTGCTTTGCTGGGACATGGGTGTGAATCCGGGTATTGACCCGCCGCCACCGTCGGAGCTGTTGGAGTTGGGGCTGAACATGTTGGGTACGCGTTGGTTGTTCGGGATCGAAGGAGTCCGGGAGTTGACCATAGGGCTTGGGATGGCTTGTTGCTGTTGCTGCTGTTGCTGCGGTAGGACGCCCATGCCAGGATTTGTCATTGGCCAGAATGGGGTTTGGTTTGTGTCGAAGCCTGGATTTTGAAGGTAGGTGTCCCATGCGTCCTGGTGAGGTACGTTAGCTAGAGCACTCTTTGGCCAAAGATAAGGGATCTATGCTAGCCGGATGGATTCACTTACCCAGTCAAGGTTTACCTGCATGTCCGGCATTTGACCAAACATGCTACTGAACGGCGAAGCGGGGCCCGGCATCTCGGCCGGACCCACAGTCGGCATGGGCGAGTCGGACATTTTGAACATGGGATCTGAGTATGGGGGCGGGCCCGGGTTCATAGGGCTCATTCCGCTACTCAGGAGACCAAGTGTCATGGCGGCATTTTGCTTCTCATCTTGGGGCTCGAACAGGACATTTCCAGTGCCTTTCTCAGGGCCTGGGTTCGTGATCTGCAGCTTTTTCAGCATAACGCCGATAACAGTGCTTGCCTTGAATGACTCCATGTTCTTGTCGCTCGTCTCGTCCCAGATCTCTTTCGAGTGCTTGATCGCGGCCAGCATTTCGTCTTGTCGTTCTCGCCCCCAGGTGTAGGTGTCGCCAGATGGGCGACCGGAGTTCTGGAGGTTGAGGGTGTGGTAGAGATCAAGGCAGGTGATGGTGCCGGCCAGGAGGAAGTCGCCCGCGTTGATGGGAGTGACGGGGGTGCAGCGGCCGCGTAGACGCCCGTTTCCAACTTCTGACTGCAGAGTTGCGTGGAACTCGAGGAGCTCCAATGCGGAGTCAATACATGTGCGTCGAGAGTACGTGAATCGGGGGGTTCTCCCGGGACCGGACCAGATAGGGCCGGTGAAGCACACATTGTGCTTTGAGGTAGATGCTTGCGACCTGGGATTATCAATACATAAATTTCTTTCGGCGGCTCAGAAGAGATACTCACGGAGAATCGCGATGTGATGAGGTTGACCGGATCAAGTGCACACTCTTCGAACGGACGGATGTGTAAGTGGTCAGGAATCAGCTCCCTCGCACGACGCAGATCTGCATCAAGTTCCATCACCTTGTCGTAAGAAGTGGACGAGAGCGAGGACATATGCTCGTTAACTCGCCCGAAAGCGTATACCAGTCGACATTTGGAGATCAAATAGGAAATCGGGGTCGGTTCGCTGAGCTGGCGAGGCGGTGGAAGCTCTAGACAATTTTCATCAAAGTCGTCATCGTAGAGATTGCGAGGTAATTCTGTATCCATATCGGCATCGCGGAGCATACTCGGCATGCCAACCTGGAAAGAAAAGAGTAGGTCTGCAGTTGCGACAAAAGACCAGACGCGTCGTCGCATCTCGCCTTGGAAGGGAGTGATGTTGGGAAACATCTTCGAATCGCGGTGATATCCCATGCGCATAGCCAGCCGGGCGATCACGCCTGTCAGCACCCACACTGAGATATCGGCCTCCCAGGTCTGGGTATAATCAGCGTGAAGATGGAATACCAGCGCTTCGATAAGGAATGGATGGGGTTTGGTATAGTCTGCTAGAGTCAGGCATTGGGCAACAGAATTGCGGAAAGACCCAGCCATGTCCATAGCCTTGCCACGAAACTCCGGAGGCTCGTCACCTTCCCGGTAATAGGAGAGCATTGCGAGTCTCATCATAGCAAACAGCATAGCAATCCAGACTAGCTCTGTCTGTGCCGGGTCCTCCCAGTGCTTATTATATTGCGTTTGGAAGGTCGGACCGTGGAGAATGTGGGTAGCCGGGTCGTACGTGTTGAAATAGCGAGCTACAAGCAGGTCTGCCGTATACTTTGACGGCAATGAGGACATGATTTCGGGTCGACTCAACGGTTTCATAGCTCCGAAGAGCAATGTGGATTCAGGCACATCGGTTCGCGGGCGGGTAGCCTTGACCTTTTCCGCTTGCTCCTCGAACTGCTTCTTATGCGTGGCGAAGTAATTTTTTACTTCGGAAATCTAGTTCATATCATTCGTTAGTCATTGAACAATGGCTAGACGGGGTAGTACGTTCACGCCAAACATGTCCACTCACATCATGCAAAACGGATGCCCAGTGAGCTTCACTGATATAGTAGGACTTGTTGTTGTCCACTTTCATAACACCAAAGGACTTCGTGACCTGTTCAGTATCACTCTCTGGTCCCTCGTCATCGTCTAACTCGATCTCATTGGACAAACCAGTCGATCCCGCCGTGCTCTCGCCCGATATGGCAGCCATAGCAGCGGCCGGGCCGTCCGATTGTGTCCCATTGGTCATCAAGGAGAGAACCAAGCCTTCCAAGCGATCGATTCGATTCTGCATGTCATCCGGTGACGTTGGAGAAGCCTGTTGAGACAAATTCTTCTTTCGGGCACCGGTCTGAGCATAACTACAAGAGGGGCCATCGCCTCGTTTGACGCAGTTTTCGCACGGGTGACCGCGGTTGCATTTCAGCCTGCGGCGTTTGGTTAATCGATGTTTCGGACAACCCAGGAGATTTGCGAACTTACTTCCTGTGTCTGCAAGGGGCGCATGAGAGCGGAACTCGATTTCGTTTCCGGATCACTCTAAACTCTGGGGACTGGCCGCTTGAGGATGTTGTAGAGGGCGGTGTGGGAGTCATGATGGGTGGGTGTAGGCGGGGGTGGTTGCGAATTCGCTTGTCGTTTGAGCAGTGCGGTGGGTGTGGGTGTGGTTTCTCCAAATGCGAGGTTTATGCACTCGTCTCGTTAGTTGAGAAAAAGACAGTCACTCGCACAGTGCGGACTTGATATAGTGGCACACGGCTTCAACCTGAATGGGTCTCCGAATGGCGCACCGAGTCACCGCAGGGCGGGGTGGACCGCTGGAATCTCAATATATATTTTTCTCTGCTGCTCAAACAGCTCCAGTAATCGGTGGATTCGTTGTGCGATGCTCAGGAAGCGATGTTTCACTTCGCCCCTGACCAGAGAAGATGCGCAAGCCTTGCGCCACTAGGAGCCACTTGAATGGGGGCTGTTTCTGGAAATTGGCACTTGGATGCAGCACCAGTAGGGGAGTATCCAGAGATTGAATCGGACAGATCGATTCAAGTCTGAAACAGAAATGCGAAAGTGGGGGAGAGGGATGGTTGCGCCGAGTTGTCTAGGTCGATTCGATTGCGCAGGCTGCTAAACATGTGCGGGAGCTCTCCGTTTGGGTGGGGTGGATTGTATGACGCCGGGCTGAGTTCGAGGGGGGGGTTCCCAAGGGTTGAAGCAAGTCGCAGACCAACAGCAAGATGCGCAGAGTGGGAAGTCCGAGGTTATTCCACTGTTAACCTCTAGGAACAGGAGGGCAGGAAGAAAGAAAGTCTATAGAATGGAGTGGGAGGAGAGGAAGAGAAGGGCCCTCACTGGCTGGGCTGATTAATCACCGCTAATCTCCGTTTTTGGGTTCTTATCGCCATGTGATGATCTCACTAAAAGTACTTAACTACCTATACCCAAGGACACATCTACAGTAGGTACTTCTAGAGTACTGGTAGCTCCAGTCTAGTCTAGCCTAGTCTACTCTGTGCACTAGTAGCTCGTATAATTATGACTCATGCCAGCACGTCCCTACTATAAGTACTAGTACTACTAGTAAGTATAAGCTGCCACTATACACAGTACTCGCATACCTTAGAGAATGAGGCATTTTATACTTTATCATACCACAATGTATTCAGTATCCATAGTCCATTCCATTTCATTTGATTTTACCCAGACTCACCTATTTGATTGAATACTCTATGTATGGGCAGTGCACGGAGTACATGGTGCTATACTAGTAGTAGTCCACAATTACCCCCAGCCACACCGCATCTCAATAACACATCACGTTTCACACGTCAACTCCCGGCGAGTTGCACCAACTCATCGCTGCAGCTTTGATTGCTCCCTTTCACCATATTTATCATAGCTGACCATACAAGCCTCCCCTCCGAGGCAAACAGACCCAATTATAGCCCAGTCCAAGGGCCCACACTCCACGGCGCCAAACAACAACAAAGAGACTGGACAGCGGGGTTTCCCTTTCACCCAATGCCATTCTGTGCCCACTCGATTGCCCCATCATCGAATATATAAAGAGCTTGCTCCACCTCGAACCTTGGCTCTCCTCCTCAGGCATCTCATTCCTTAATTCCATGGAAGTGTGTTGCCATTATGTCTGAAAATCGTGGTCGAGGCCGAGGCCGAGGCCGTGGAGACCGTGGAGACCGCGGAGGAGGAGATCGTGGAGGTCGCGGGCGCGGCGATACTAACATGCCATTCCGCCCAGCAAGAGGTCGAGGAGGTGATAATGGCTATCGAGGCCGGGCAGGAGGTGACCGAGGCGGAAGCGACCGAGGTGGCCGTGGTCGTGGAGGCGACGATGGTTATCGAGGCCGTGGAGGAGGTGATCGAGGAGGTCGAGGCCGTGGAGGAGATGACGGCTATCGCGGTCGTGGAGGCGACCGTGGTGGTCGCGGTGGTGGATTTCGACCTGGACCACAAGGTCCCAGCATCTATCGGTATATCCTTGTCCCACCCGGTGATGATAATGCAGCTAGCTGACAAAAGTTTCATTCCAGTACAGGTCAATCCGTCCCCGCCCCCGATCCCACCGTTCTCAAGACAGAAACTGCCCTTGCCAAATCCCTCGTGGGCTACAAGCAAGCCGACCAGGCATATCCCTTGCGTCCGGGATATGGAACCCTGGGCAAGGAAGTGACTTTATACGCCAACTACCTGTCGCTCACAGGTCTTGCCAAAGGGAAGCCTCTGCACCGATATAATGTCGAAATCGTGGCTGAGAGAGGTCGAGAGGCTCCGGCTGGAAAGAAGGCTCGCCAGATCATTGCTTGCCTCATTGACGAACATTTCGCCGCCCAGAAATCCCATATAGCGGCCGATTTTCGCTCCACAATCATCTCGGCTGTCGACCTCAACCTTACCGAGGGTCAGGTATTCAACGTCAGATACAAGTTCGAAGGCGAAGATGAATATCGTGAGGACCCTCGCGTGTACCAAGTCAAGTGCACCAGTGTCCGCCATCTCAACTCCGCCGACCTCATCAACCACTTAACCTCTACCAACGCTGGGGACATGCTAGCCACCAAGCCAGAGCTGATCGCCGCTCTCAACATCATTATGGGCCACCACCCCAAGACTAGCACGGACGTGGTCTCCGTCGGTGCTAACAAGCATTTTGGCATCTCCAGCCAGCTCATGGACCGTCAGGATCTCTCCGGTGGTCTCGAGGTGCTTCGCGGGTTCTTCATCAGTGTCCGCGCAGCCACCGCACGGGTGCTGCTGAACGTCCAGGTCAAGTATGTCGCCTGCTACAAGGCCGGCTCTCTAGCCCAGACCATGGAGGACTTCAAGTATGGCGCAGAGTTCAGATATGCACATGATGGCAAGAAATCGTATCTTCTTGCCAAATTCTTGACGCGTATGCGCGTCATTCCGAACCATATTAAGCGCAAGTCAAGCAGTGGGAAGCCCCGACCTGCCCAGCCCAAGACCATCTCCGGTCTGGCCAAGAGGGAAGATGGTCGATCATTGGAAAAGCCACCCAAAGTCGCTCGTGATGGCGCTGGTCCCAATGATGTGCAGTTCTTCTTGAGAGCTCCAGGTCAAGCAGTACCTAAGGCTCCCGGGGCTAGCAAGAAGGGCAAGGGCCCAGCTCCTGCTGGTCCTGCTCAGGCAGGCAAATACGTGACTGTTGCGCAATACTTCTTGGATAGTAAGTTGACATGCTTGGCTGATTTCTTTTCCCACATGTTAATGTTATCTTCTTTTAGCATACGGCATGAAGCTTAACGGTAATTTCCCTGTTATCAACGTCGGCACCCGAGCCGACCCTGAGCTATCTGCCCGTTGAAGCTTGTGATGTCCCAGTTGGTCAGCCAGTGGCCAACAAACTGTCGCCGGATCAAACAAAGAACATGCTCAGCTTTGCAGTCAGGGGTCGTAGCCCAGCGCAGAATGCTGAGGCCATCGCGACCAACGGCGTGAAATTGCTAGGAGTTGACCCACTGAACAGCACACTTGTAAGCAATTCCAATAAGGAAAATAACGGCACTAACTCTCAATTACTAGGCGTCATTTGGCGTCGGGTTGAACCCGAATCTGATCACTGTCAAGGGCCGTGTCCTGCCTGCGCCGACGGTCTACTACAAGAACGACAAATCTTTCACTCCTTTCAGAGGCTCCTGGAATATGCAAGATATCAAGTTCTGCAAACCCGGCGCACTGAAGAACTGGACATTCATCTTCTTCCCTGGAAGACAGTACGAGCGCATGAGCAGCGAACAAGTCATGGACCTGCTGTCAACCTTCTGTGGTCATCTCAGAAGAACAGGCATTGCCGTTGAGGCACCAAAGCCCGGCGCCCGGATTCTCCATCCAGGAAATATTCAGAAAGAGGTCAAGGGCCTTCTCGATAAATATGGAAAGCTAGACTTGATCCTCGGTATTATGTCCAACACAGATAGCGGCATTTACAACAGCATCAAGCAAACCTGCGACGTGACCTACGGTGTTAAAAATGTCAACGTCCAAGCAAGCAAGCTCACATCCGACCGAGGTCTCGACCAATACTGCGCCAACGTGGGCCTGAAAATCAATCTCAAACTCGGAGGCGCCAACCAAAGCCTCAAGAACATGGGCCTATTCGGCGATGGCAAGACCATGCTCGTCGGCCTCGACGTCACCCACCCATCCCCCGGCTCCACCGACAGCGCACCCAGCGTCGCAGGAATCGTCGCCTCGGTTGACAAAGACCTCGCCCAATGGCCAGCCGACATCGTCGTGCAAAAGCGCCGCGACGAAATGGTCTCAGACCTGGACCGCCTCCTTCAATCCCGCCTCCGCCTCTGGGCCTCCCGCAACAAGGGCGCTTTCCCAGAAAACATCGTCGTCTACCGCGACGGCGTCAGCGAGGGCCAATACAACCTGGTCATAGACAAGGAACTTCCCTTGCTCAAACAAGCCTGCAATACCCTGTACCCGGCAAAGGATACCGCAAAGGGTCTCCCCAAAATGGCAATCATCATCGTCGGCAAGCGGCACAACACCCGCTTCTACCCAACCAACGCAGGCGATGCGGAGAAATCTAACAACCCCCAGCCCGGCACCGTCGTCGACAGAGGAATCTCCGAGGGCCGCTCCTGGGACTGGTATCAGCAGGCACACTCTTGCTTGCAGGGAACCGCCCGCCCTGCACACTACTTCACGGTCTGGGACGAGATTTTCCACCCCAAGTACCCCAGCAACACAAACGGACCGGGCGCAGCGGACGTCCTGCAAGAGTTGACACACAAGATGTGTTACCTCTTTGGACGGGCGACGAAGGCCGTTTCTGTCTGTCCGCCGGCGTATTACGCTGACCTGGTCTGCACGCGGGCGCGCTGCTACTTGCAGGACGTCTTTGATCCGTCGACGCCGTCTGCCAGTGTCGCTGGTGCGACGGAGAGGAGCGGGAGTAGCGACCCGCTTCCTGATTCAAAGAATTATCGGCCCCACGAACTGGTTAAAGATACCATGTTCTATATCTAGGTGAGGTTTAACATGGTAGCCTGACTAGTCTAGTCTCGTAGATTCGTTACTTGGTTACCTTTTGGCACTTACTTTTGGAATTTCTTGTTAGGGAGAAAAGAGACGCATCCATCAACTGGATCGTCTCCTCAAGATCGATTGAGACATCTATTTCTTGGTCATTGGTCACTTGAGAAATCCAACTGAAGATGATCATGACGAGAGATGCAGAACTGAAACGTAATATTGGCTTTTTTTTGGATTTATGATTTGTTGTTTCGCGGAGCATGCAAGATACTTTGTCTTGGTCTATGATTTGTTAGGTGGATTATCTTTGTCTCTTTGATATGCTGATGAGGCACATTGGAACAGATTGAATGAACCTTTGAAGGAGATCCAGGTATTTTATGAGCATAGTAGAAATGAAATTCCCAGATCTCACTTTTTGAATCTTAGGGCGTATCTGATTTGGGCGTACCTGATTTCTTTCAGATCACTGGGTGTATCAGAGAAGTTCATATCTCACTAGACGTAACGAATCAGAACTCTGCTCATCAGCTAGCGCCCCGATCTCCCCTTCTCCATCAACCATCCACGGATGACGCCCCGCCCAAGGTGGGACCAAGATTCTTTCTCAACATCAATCCAAAAGATTAACAACCCGCGAACTACACCCCCGACAAAATGACCGTCTCTCAAGAAATATCCTCCTTCTTCTCCCCATCGCCCGTGGAAACCTCTCCAGCCCCCGAGATCGGAGCCAAGGCCCCATCATGTCCAGAAATACCCTTCCCAGCAAGTAACGGGAAACCAACCATCATATCATTCCTCCGACATTGCGGGTGTCCAGGTACGTCTCGAGAAAAGAAAAATGTAACTCTCGGAGAGAATAAACTCGAAACTAACTTTCACTCCGATATAAAGTGGCCGAGGCAGCATTCCTAAAGATGCGCAGCGCCTCAGCCCAATACCCGGATATAAACTTCATCGCCGTATCTCACAGCGACCAACAATCAACAGAGAAATGGCTCAACGCCGTAGGTGGATCTTCATCTGGGGATGGATCATCGGTTACCATGGTCGTTGACGCCGACCGTCAGATCTACGCAAAGTGGGGGCTAGGGATCGTTTCCTGGGGCCACCTTTGGAACACCGCGGGCCTTGCATCGATCTGGAGAATGGGGAGAGAGAATGGTATCTGGCAGAGGCCCACTGAGAGCGGGAATAGGTGGCAGTCTGCTGGGAGTTGGGCTGTTGATGCGGAGGGTTATGTGCGGTGGGGACGGCCTGCTGTGAGGGTGGATGATATGGTTGATATTGAGGCTGCTGTTGGCGCGTTGCGGGGGGGATGGGGGGCTTTGATATACCACATGATGGGATTTGGCGTCTACTATGTGAACATGTTATTTATTATCATTATGAGCCCTTATCCATGGTTTGTATAAAGAGGCTTGCATTTAGGGGAGATGTATCCGAACTTGAAAGGTGAAAGATCAAATTTCTCAATCAATATACTAGTGAAGACCCCCCTAGAAATTCCATGGAAGCCGAAGGAACGATAACCTGAGCCTCATGACTCGTCTCTAGCCCCCAAATACCTAGGTAATTCCTGGGCAATCTCGACAATAACACAATTTTCATATCTGATTGGCTAACTTGCGAATCGGGAACGGACTCGGACCAATTCGTCCGAATCCGACAGGCTCCAAAGAGCTTACGACAACCACCTAACAATACTCGTATAAAGCAATCTAAGATCTTGCTTGAAAGCTAAAAGTCTAACCGGGTCCCTACCCCTTCAAAATTCAATCATTCAAGATGACAAGCTCCATCCCGCCAACTATGCGCGCATGGTCCTACAAAACTCGCGGCCAACCAGCCGATGTACTCAACCTCACAACAGACTACACCACGCCCAGCCCATCAAATCTCGGCCCCAACGACGTCCTAGTGAAAATTGAATATGCAGCCCTCACTCCCAGCGCAAGCACTCTGATTTCCGTTCTTCCAAATTGGATACATACACTCCCAGCGGTCCCGGAGCTCATATTCTCCGGCACAATCGCCGCGCTGGGTTCTGATGTTGCAAAAACACGCCCGGAGCTTACTAAAGGTGCCCCAGCGTTCGGTGGAACATCTATCCAGCTTTATTTGAAAGGGCATGGTACCTTGGCGGATTATTCTCTTTGCCCAGCGGAGCAAGTTGTTGTCAAACCCGATGATATCTCGTTTCGAGATGCTGCTGCTCTAGCTGGGAATGGCGTAACAGCTGTCGAGGTACTTAAAACGCTTAAATTGAAGAAAGGTGATAAAGTCTTGATCAATGGTGGTAGTGGTGCAACGGGGACCATGCTTGTTCAGTGTGCTAGGGCTATTGTCGGTGAAAGTGGACGTGTCGTGGCTACTTGCTCGGATGGGAATTCCGAGATGGTGAAGAGAATAGGTGCCGACGAGGTGAGATCAACTGCCTCCCTCCTTGAATCCATAATATAATACGTAACGGCTGGCGCTGGTAAGCTAACACTCGCATTGCACTAATCTAGACAATCGACTATCGGAAACACGACCCCCTGCATGAATATCTTGCAAAAGAGCACAGTGAAACCCGCTTCGATGCCATCGCGGACACAGTTGGTTTACAAGATCTTTATGCTCACTCCCCCAAATATCTTCGTCAGGAAGGCCGATTCGTCAATATTGGAGCTATGCACGTCCAGTCTGGTCTGCAAGGTCTGTTGGGGTACATATGGTCACAGTCCGTCAACTTGCTATGGCCGACGATCCTGGGAGGAACACCGCGATGGTATAAGATGGTTACTGCTACGCCGAATCAGTCTAATTTGTCTCGCTCGGGAGAGTTGGCGAGAAGGGGGCTTTTGACTCCTGTCATAGATTCGGAGTGGGAGATGGACGATGTTTTGGAAGTAGGTTCTTCTGTGGTCGTCTTTGTATAGGATCACTGACCGAATTCTTCTGTCTAGGCATACAAAAGGCTGCATTCTCAACGCGCGAAAGGGACTATCTTGGTTCGAGTTTCGAAATAAATGCGCTAAATTTATGGGCCTGCTTTCTGATGATTTGAACGAGGCGTAGCGTAATAATATTCCACATAACCTTATGGTTGAGCATCTGTTACCATCGGCTTTCTCGATTGGATCTTTCAAGGTTTTAATCATGAGTTCACTCTAGTAAACATTCTGCACGTATAGTTATACTGTAGTCTGACGTTCACATAATTACTTCACATTCTTTGATATTGCTCTATCGGACTCAAGACTAGAAGTTCTCAGCAGTAAAGACAGCATATAAAAGATCAGAGCCCCATATATTTCGCATTTGTTCGATGAAGTTAGACCCAAGTCGGTCATAATCACTTCGAGGTGTTCTCAAGCCGAATCTTTCTTGTTGCCTTGCCAACCCAACGCCGGGCACTTTCTGTATGTTCATAGTCAGGACCAAATAATTTCTCGAATCCTTCTTCACACCGTTCAAAAAGCTCCTTTGCATCCTTGTGGTTCTTTTGGAAATAGAGGGACTTTCCAAGAGATTTTGCAGCATCAAGTGTCTCTTCATCATGAAACCCTAACACCTTCTCTCTCCCTTGTAGAACCCTTCGGAATACTTCCTCCGCCTCCTTATATTTACCTTGATCAAAACAATAACTTCCAAGCCATTGTGCAGCATGAAGTGTCATTGCATGCCCATTGCCATGCAGCTTTTCTATCCCTTGGAGAACCCTTCGGAATACTTCCTCCGCCTCCCTATACTTCTCGCTCAAATGAAGAGATTTTCCAAGCCAGAATGCAGCATCAAGTGTCTTTGTATGCCCATTACCATGCAGCTTCTCTCTCCCTTGGAGAGCCCTTTGGAATATTCCCTCCGCCTCCTTATACTTCTCGCTCAAATGAAGAGATTTTCCAAGCCAGAATGCAGCATCAAGTGTCTTTGTATGCCCATTACCATGCAGCTTCTCTCTCCCTTGGAGAGCCCTTTGGAATATTCCCTCCGCCTCCTTATACTTCTCGCTCAAATGAAGAGATTTTCCAAGCCAGAATGCAGCATCAAGTGTCTTTGTATGCCCATTACCATGCAGCTTCTTTCTCCCTTGGAGAGCCCTTTGGAATAGTCCCTCCGCCTCCTTATACTTCTCTTCAATATGAAGGCATCGTCCAAGCCAGAATACAGTATTCATTGTCTTTTCATGCCTATTACCATGCAGCTTCTCTCTCCCTCGGAGAGCCCTTCGGAGCAGGCTCTCTGCTTCTTCGATTTTTCCTTTGAGATGGTAGGTAGTGACGCCCAGCCAGTGTGTAACATGTATTGTGTCTTCATGATCAGGGCCCAGCAGCACTTCTCGGATTCCAAGAACTTGACGGAAATTCTTCTCCGCATCTTCGAACCTTTTCTCGGCATAGGCAGCACAGCCAGCTTCAGGGAGCAAAATTATTTCGGCATAATTCTGCGCCGGGTCTCCTCGATTGCTGTGCGCAATATGCTTTTCACTAGGAGCTGGCGGTTTTGGCGCCTTGTTTCGATTTGACCTGTTCAAGTCTTTCTTATCGACCCAGTGGCGTGATCCCTCTTCCTCCCAGTCAGCATCTTCGGCATCTTCCTCTTCAAAACGTCGCATGTGCTCTACCCACTCTCCCTCTTCCATTTCTGGATAGAAATCCTTGTCTGTATTTTTGGACCGTGTTTGGGGATAGGGAATACGGTCAGCATCATAGACCGAGGTGATGATGGTATTATTCTGTATCGGATCTTCTCCGTGGCTGTGCTGAATGTTTCTTTCACTGCCCGGGGGCGACGGTTTGGGTGCTTTCTTTCTCTTTGGCTTGTTCAAGCCTTTCTTATCGACCCAGTAGCGTGATCCCTCCCCCTCCCAGTCAGCATCTTCGGCATCTTCCTCTTCAAAACGTCGCACGCGCTCTGTGCGTTTTACTGGCGTATTCTCGGAGACGGGGCTTGAATAGTAAGTCCATTGATTCGTGTCAAAATCGGACGGTCCCTCATCAACAGCAGGGGCGCGGGTCTGCTCCTGGATTGCGCACTCTTGGGCCTGCTGGGGCACTAGAATGGAACGTTCTGTTTCAGTTTGGGCACTCCAACTTGCCGAGGCATCTGTCGAGTTGAGTGTCAGAGACGCTACCTCCGAAGCGATTTCTATGTTTTTCTCATCCACTTTTTCTGTAGCCAGCTCATACTTCTCGTGAGCCACGATCTTTTGTTCGTTCGAGTTGGCTGTATTAAAATCCCTCAGCCATTGATGTTGCAAAGCATTGCTTGAGGACATTCGATTGGCCGCCTTTCTCGTTAAAAGCGCCTTTGTAATAAAGTTGTGGCACTCTTCACTGACTTTGAACGAGGCCAATTTTGTCGAAGGGAAGTGAGAGCTATTCATGTACTCTTTCCATTTGGAGTCAGTGTCAAATGGGAGCGTCTTAGTGATCATATAATGTACCAAGATACCAAGGGACCACATATCCACCTTTTCGTCGTACTGGAAATTGCGTGCATGGCGAGTATCTTCAAGCATCTCAGGTGCCATGTAGCCAGACGAGCCGAACAAGCTGCGAAGAGCTGTGTTTCCTTCATTGACACGCTTGCTGATTCCAAAGTCGCCAATTTTGACCCACCAGTCTGGGGATTTCTGGATCACGAATATGTTCTATTCTTTTTAGTATTCTGTTGATGGTAGTACGCGCATATTCAGAAACCACTTACTTCCGGCTTCAAATCCCGATGAGCGTACCCGTCCAGATGCAACTTCTCGAGGCCCTCCAAGAGTTGATACGTAATCTGTTGGGTCTCTCGTTCCGGTAATGGCTGCAATATACATTTCTGCAGGTCGCCCAATTCAAAGTATTCCATTGCAATATATGTGAGTGAGTCGTCTTCGTACCACCCGAAGGATTTTACAAACAAGCCCTCGTACTGACAAGGGTTCCATGGTTAGCGAGATATTATCTCGCAGCTTCAAGTTCCAACTTGGAGGTTGGTGAAAGCACAATCATACCTTCCAGTGAGAGAACTTTGCAATAGTTTGTAATTCACGCTTAAGGTCTATCCCTTGGGAGGAAGCACTCGATTTTTTGATCGCCTTTACAGCGCGAGTCTTTGGTTGAGAGTTGACTCTCGAGCAACGCTCTAGCCACACACTTCCAAAGCCTCCTCTACCGAGGTGTTTCACTCTTTCCCAACTTTCTTCGATCCGCTGCCGTCGCACCTGCTGCCCCGTTCTGGTGCTCGATTCGAAGATAACATGATGGGTTACAGTGTTGTTGGCGGAGAACCGGACGGGTAATTTTGAGTCGTTTACAAGGTCGGACTCCATGATGGTATACATCGAGTCCTTCAAGTTGCGATATGCTCTCAACCTTCAAACAAGTTGGAAGAAGTCGATTCACCCCCTCTGGATGTCTGTTTTGACGATGAAACCCCCCCCCCTAAGCGCCCTCCAAAAGTGAGGCTAACGCCGACCCCACCGATGCGTTGTCAGCTGACATTTATGAACTAGGCAACCTCTGGCGTTACAGCTTTTACCTCGTCCTGTCTCTACCTGTTCATCCCAAATTTTCCGAGGTTATTCTAATCCGCAAGGAACACGTATATAGAGCAAAATGTCTGGTGCAGAGCTTGGTCTTGCCATTCTGGGCACTCTCGATCTTTGTCTTAAGTATGTATGATAAAATTCATAACAGATCGACCCTCGTTAACCATTGCCCCTTTCAGATACGGAGGAATTATTGTTGGAAAATACAGGGCCTTCAGTGATGCGGAAAATGAAATTCAAGAGCGATTACTTGTCATTGAAGCTACCTGGACGAAGATATCGCAGCAGCTCACCTTTCTCCAACGTATCTGGGCAAGCGTAAGCGAGGAGAACCAGGACTACCTAGACCTTCAAAATCGCATCATCCTTATTCTTCAAAAGAAGCTCGAGGCTGCTACCTTGCAAATTAATAAAATTGAGAAGCAGGGAAGTGGGGACGATACTGGCTCCTTTAGCAAGCGAAAGGCAGCGAAATACGCCTTGGTTGTGAAGGAATCTCTCGAAGCAGCCATTTTGGACCTTCAAACATGGCAAAAGGAGTTTGATACAACTTGGTTCCTGGTTCTGCGAATAGCCAATGGTGTAATTGACACAGAGCTGGTTAAACGTCCTGGAACTGAGAAATTATCTGTTGCCAGAGGTATTCGAGAATCGATGAAAGCGGAAGCGCCCACCTCTGTTTTTCTCCCAGAAGAAAGGCTCGCTTCGGCAATACCTTCTAATATCCTGCACTCGACTTTGCAGACTGTCCAAATTCCAGGCCTGGGTTCTTTTATATTAGATTCCGCAGATTGCTCGGCCATACAAGATACCTCAACCTTTGCCAAATACGCTCGACAATTAGTCTCACGGTTACGAGAAGTGGAAGCAAATACGTTTCATATCCTTAAATGCAAAGGCGTTGTCCGAAAAAAGAACCCGAGTACGAAGCAACTTGTCTCGTTCGATTTCGTATTCAACATGCCCAAAGGATGCTCTCGCCCCCGGAGTCTTCGGAGTATTCTGCTTTCCCAAGTGGATTGTTCCCTCGGTGACAAAATGAGCCTTGCCAAGCAACTAGCGACTTCGATAAATTTCATCCATGTTCTTGATTTCGTCCATAAGAGTGTTCGGCCTGAAACAATCCTGGTCTTCCAAGACGGTCAACACCCAGCCCAGCTCGGCCCATTATTCCTCCTCGGCTTCAAGTCATTCCGCACGGCTGACGGCAGAACACAGCGATTGGGTAGCTCGGCTTCGGAAGAGAATATTTACCAGCACCCGGAGCGGCGAGGAATCCATCCTGAGGCGGATTATATTATGCAGCATGATATATACAGTCTTGGCGTGTGCCTCCTTGAAATTGGGCTTTGGGAATCTTTCGTCGGTAACGAGAAGTATAAACACATTCTTGGTGAAAGGAGGTCCCCTAAAGACCAGTATATGGCATTGGCGAAGGATAAATTGCCAGGGAAAATGGGTGAGAAGTACACGAAAGTTGTCGTCAATTGTCTATCTTGTATAGATACTTCTAACGAGGATTTTGGAGATGAGAGCGAGTTCCAAGATAGTGATGGAATTTTAATCGGGGTCAAATACATTGAAAAGGTATGCATTATATACGAGGAGGAGTATTACGACTTTCACAATCAAAAAGAAATTAATTATTATGCAGATATTTCTTCTCCTTAGTGAGATATCAGTCTAGAAAGTGGGATATTATGGAAGGAGAGAGATATAGTTATTTGTTACCTGTTACATATAGCTATAATTTGAAGTATCTTCTCATTCTGGAATACAGAAGGAGGAGAAAGTGGATATAATCATGACAGCCGTCAAGAGCTAACTCCTAAATCACATAGTGTCCTAACTAAAAGGAAAATAAAAATATGTCCCCCTCGCCATGTGATATGAAAGACAAAACAACTTAAAAGTGAAACCTCCTGTCCGCAAGAATGTTGTCAAATCGTGAAACTAGCTTTGACGAACTTTCCTTCGCGAAATCTTCCCCCATTCCCTCTTTGCGAGCAAAGCTCGGTCACCACCAGAATAAACTACCTGTGTACTACTTCCTCAAGAATCTTTCCAATGTCTAGGTTATCCTTCTTTGGCTCTTGAGTAACCTCGTCACAATCACGAATCGAGTCCTCCAGATCGCTGCTTAGGACGGGAATCGAACGTCAAATAATTTGACTCAAGTCTCTATGGTGTATATGTACATGACTTCCTCATCGACCCAAAACAAAGCACAACAATATCATCCAAGTGAACAGAAGGAATTAATTTACGGGTAGCATTTCCAAACGCTTATCACGAAGCGCTATATAGATGATTGGTAATAGGTAAAAAGGTTATCAAAAGGGAAAACATAGAAAACACTGACCTCTCCTAAATTCCAGCCTTCACATTTATCCTAGTTTCGACACGAAATCGAAATATTCTTGTATGCCAGATTTTAGTGCGACAAATTCTATATCCAGATTCACCACTAACCATCTGAGACGAAACCTGGTGGATGGTTTTTAATGACCGACCATGGATTGGAAGACGGGGGCAAATCTCTCCCCAGTTGGCTTGGCAGCGTCCACGATCCTTCGCATCTCCTTAAGCTCCTCCTCCTGTAGCTCGATGTCACGGGACGCCCAGTTCTCTATCAGACGTGAAGCTTTTGTCGTCCCTGGGATAGAAATCAGCCCTTGAGCCGTAACCCAAGCCAGGGCAATCTGCGCCACTGAACAGCCCTTTTTAGTGGCTAGCTGCTTAATCTCATCAACGATAGCCTTGTTCTTGTAGAAGTTTTCACCCTGGAATTTAGGGACTGAGGTTTGAAGAGGTCAGTTTAACGTGTATCTAAGACATCTCGCGAAGTATGAATTGTGCGACATACCAGTGCGTCGAAAATCAGAAGGAGCGAAGTCATCGGGAGACTTGTACTGGAAGTCATCCACAAGCCAGCCATGTCCTAGGGGGCTGAACGCCACAAAAGCCACGCCCAGTTCCTTTGCCGTTTCAATCAGGCCACTGGTCTCGTGCAATGTCTCGAAGGCAGAGAACTCAGCCTGAACGGCATCAATCTTTGCGACTAGGATACATTAGGGTGCATTCTCACGTGTATTATTGCGGGCAGACGAACTGGAATTGGCCTTGCGCAAAGTGGCAGCAGAGCATTCAGAGAGGCCAATGTACTTTGTTTTTCCGCTGCGGCGGAGTTCATCCAGGGCGCCAATGGATTCCTCGAGGGGAGTGTCTTCAGTTGTATAATTAGAATACCGATACGACTCACTTTCTGGAAGCTTCCTGAGGTTTGTTTAACACGTACTGGGATCAATTCTGTGGAGATAGTAAAGATCAGGAGTGAACCCAAGTCTGTTGATTGTCCCCTCGATGTATTCCTTGATGTGAGCGGCGGAGTTCGTAACCGTCCGCTGGGGTCCGAAGACATCGAATCCACACTTGGAGGCCACTGCACGGCGACACCATGTGAGCCAAGAACAAAATGTAGAAAAATAAAACTTTGATCGTGCTCACCGAAAAGCTTATCGCGGACCTGGTACTTCTTTATGAATTCTCCCAGCAACTTCTCATTTTCACCAGCCTTGTAGGCAACCTTAAAATCGCAAGGAAATTAGAATCAAATATTCTGTGTGCCTCGAAGTCAGCTCACCGCAGTATCCCAGAATGTACAGCCGAGCTCGATAGCTTTCAAAAGGACAGGCTCAGACTGTGCGAGATCGAAATCTGTCCCCATGGCGGAATTAAGTCCCATAGCGCCAAAGCCGGGAACGGGAACCTGCTGGCCGCCAAATGGAAGTGTCGTAACCATCTTGGTGGATTCGAAGACCTAAATTATGGTCAGCGTGATTATATCTTGCCATTGGACACGACTAATAATTTTTGATCCTTGGAAGGTAGTACTAGTAGAGGGCAGATGGGCGGCACATACCTAGGTATAGTTATAAGCTGTGCGGTAGAGTTCTTACAATCGAAAGGGTGATTTTTGAGAGTTGAATTTGCCGTTTCAAAACTTCGAGTGTGAGAGAGAAGAGCAAAAGTCCGAACAGGTGGCATCGCGGTGTTTTATATCGCAGCCGGCCAAAACCTACATCGTGACAATACTAACATCATGACTTGCTGTGTCATCGAACTTGTTACATACCACGGTTCGAGTGGGGCCTCGTGGCAAATTCAATTTAAGCAATGTTCCAATAGAATCCATTTTGTCATACACCTGCATGAAGACTTACTAAAAGAGGAATAGTGTCCGCTGCTGCGTCAAGCCGACCAGGCTAATCTTTGATGCTGAAATTTAACATTACCTCCAGATCTAAGTATACTCAACCTTGGAGTCATCAAAGTTCCGGAGTTAACGGGATTTAAGGTATGCTGCTTACTATAGTATGACCACTTCGGTTATCTTTCCATGGCGGGCCCCCCTTGGGTTTCCACACACCTTGAGGCAGCTGCCGGACGAATTCATACTCCGTGGATATCTCAATGGTAGTTGCCTTCCCCTGCGTTGCAATCCTTGGATGACGTACGTTTCCGACTTCCTAAACATGAAGAAGAAAATAAGTGGAGTCACGAATGCAGAAAACTGAATTTGGATTGTTATCCGGCAACACATACAACGGAACCTATCAGAACTCAGTTCCTGTTACAATGGTCGAGCACGAAGGGATATTTAAGTCCAGAGTATATATCTTTAGTTTCAGATTGTTCACTCATTCTGAAGCTTTGAAAGTCTGTCGATAGCAAAGGCATTCGATTCTTATTTCAATTCGCCTTTCTCGCGGAAATGTCTCTCAACGCAACTATCGCGGCCGCTACCATGCGGTTGGTAGCCTGGGCCGGCCAGGTCAACAACGTGTCTGTTATTGATGTGCCTGTTCCCGCCATCATCAACCAGACCGATGCCATTGTTCGCATTACCAGCTCTGCTATATGTGGCTCCGATATGCACTTCTACCACGGCTACACTGGCGCTGACAATATTCCGTGGGGTCTTGGACACGAGGCCGTTGGTTATGTCGAGTCGGTTGGTAGCTCTGTCTCTTCCCTTACCGTCGGGGAGTACGTGATTATCCCTGATAATGCCCACGACGGTCACTATGGCCAGGAGCACCCTCTCTCATTCGGTTCTGGTAACGAGGATTATGGTGGTCTTCAAGGTATGTTTTAGCTGAATCCCATTCGGTCCCATAGGTACTGACTTTATCAAACCAGCCGAGTATGCCCGTGTCCCCTTTGCCGACATGTCCCTCATTCCAATTCCCTATAACAACCAAACTGGCAACTTCACCAAGGAGATGGACTACTTGATGGTATCCGATGTCTTCACCACCGGCTGGCATGCATTGACGTACAGTGGGTTTGAGCCTGGGGACACCGTCGCCGTCTTCGGTGCCGGACCCGTGGGTCTCCTCGCCGCCTATTCTGCCTTGCTGCGTGGTGCTTCTCGCGTCTACTCCGTGGATCAAGTGCCTGATCGTCTGCACCTCGCTGAGTCCATCGGCGCTATCCCAATCATGTTTAACGCCTCCGATCCCGTCGAGCAGATCTTGGCCCAGGAGCCGAACGGTGTCACACGTGCCCTTGACTGCGTTGGATTTGAGTCTGTGAATGCTACCGGTGCTCGCGTTGATGGGCTTGTCCCTCGCCAAGTCATGGAGGTTGCCGCCCAGCAAGGGGGTATTGCCATCGCTGGTGTCTACACCGGTGGTCAGAACAGCACTAAAGGTGCCCCTAATGCCGGCACTGTGCCTGCCACCGTCCCTATCTCTGTCTTTGAGCTTTGGTCCAAGGCCTTGACCGTTGGCAGCGGAATCGTCCTGCCCCTCGAGCGCGCCCACTCGCTTGTTGATCTGGTCGCCAATGACCGCGCCTCTCCGAGCTTTGTTGTAAGCTCTATCATCGACATCGAACAGGCGCCTGAATACTACCGCCGCTACAGTGACCATCTGGAGAACAAGATTGTCATTCGCTTCCCTTAAATTCTGACCTACTCAAATGTTTGTGAGGGGGTAATGGTGCGGTGTATGTGTATTAGTTATAATATTTGCAAGCCAGTTGTGAAGATGAGAAGAGCTGCAAGTAAGTATTTTCCAGCACATTCTCTCATTGAATCCTTCATCACGGCTCTTTTACACTAGTCAATATGTTATACGACTTTATAGACCCTGCTCGAGATCAGACTTTTTTGAGCTGTGATCCAAATCTCATCAAAGTTTTCTGACTTTCAGTTCGCGATCGACATGGTTTTGAATTTCCTTTTCCATTGTCTGTCATACAATCGAATTCAATCAGGTTAGGACTCGGAGAGGCCGATATCATCAGGCTGATGTGATATTCAGCATACAAAAATTCACCCAAGTTCCAAACCTTAATTAATTCTTCTGTGAGAATTTAAACAATGAAATATTATGTAGTATTGGACGAAAAATAATAAAACTAAGGAAAAAAGAAGGAGAGATTACCTCTTTTTGTAACTACTAGTACTAGTAGTATCAATATACTAGTATATAGTCTACTAGCTAATGTAATTAGATACTAGTGATGCTAGTAGCATTGGCGAAGGACAAATTGCCGAGGAAAATGGGTGACAAGTACACGAAAGTTCAAGTTATCGTCAATTGTCTATCTTGTATAGACACTTCCACCGAGGATTTTGGAGACGAGAGCGAATTCCAAGATAGTGATGGAATTCTGATCGGGGTCAAGTACATTGAAAAGGTATGCATCATATACGAGGAGTATTACGACTTTTACAATCAGAAAGAAACTAATTGTTATACAGATATTTCTTCTCCTCAGCGAGATATCAGTCTAGAAAGTGGGATCTCATGACAGGAGAGAGATATGGTCATTTGTTACCTGTCACCCACGGCTATAAATTGGAGGATCTTCTTATTATGGAATACGAGAGGAGGAGAAACATCATTACTTGGGACCTACTCCCTAGCTCCTACCCTTACCTCCATTCTTCTCCATATCTCCACTGAATACTATCAGTACGTTCTATGTATCCCCTCTGAGTACTTGTCAATAGACATGATCATGATGGCTGTTAAGAGCTAACTCCCAAATCAGATAGCGTCCTAACTAAAAGGAAAAGAAAAATATATCCCCCTCACCATGTTAGGTGAAAGACAAACCAACTTGAAAGTGAATTTTCCTATCCGCAAGAATGCTTTCAGATCATAAAACTAGCGTTGATGTACTTTCTTTGGCAATATCTTCCCCCATCTCCTCTTTACAAGCAAAGCTCAGTCACCACCAGGATAACCTACTTATGTACTACTTCCTCAAGAATTTTTCCAACGTCTAGGTCATTCTCCTTTAGCTCTTGGGTAACCTCGTAACGGAATACAATCCGGTGGTTATATCGCAACGCCTTCTAGAACAGCCAGGGGACACATAAAAGATAACGGAAGTTCAGTTTCAGGTATAATCTGCTGCTAAAATGACCATAGTTGCAGTATCGTACGCTATACCTTAACTATCGACCGGAAATTAAACAAATTGCGGCCCAGGATTTAACATTTGATAGCGGAACGAATCCGACCTGACACTCCCTGGAGCAATTATAGAAAAATTGACAAAATCCCAATGGAAACGTTTTATTCACCTCTATAGTTTTGACCCCTTGACACTCTCAACACCTCTGAACAAAAAATCCAGGAGCTCATCTCAGGTGTGGCCAAGATCCGCTGGTCCCTGACTGGAAACTATCCCTTCGTCGACATTCGTGATCTTGGTCTCGCCCACGTCCTCCTCGTCGAAAGGGGAACGGCGAGAAGACACGAATTTAAGTTATCTCGAGCCAGTCGTAGAAACATAGCGAGAATTCCATATTTATCAGGAAATTTTGCGGGCATAAAATTCTTTAGACACGGAGGAATTTCTCGCAGATGGTGTGCAGGTCATAGGCGCGAGAGATTCTTGGTTTTCAGTCCAATCCTTCGGGGGATACTAGAGAACACAAATGATTACAACATGATTATATTAGACTCGCAGACTATCCGCTACATAGCTAATTTCATGTATCAAACAGGACTCCTCCATGAATTCTGTTGGATAGATTAAAAAGAAGTCGAAGCTGACATAGAAGCACTATAAGAGACTGCTGGCGGACACTAGGAGATGCTAGGTATACAAATTAGACAATAATCAATGGCTATGAGAGGCTGGCAATTAAGGAATTATATCACACGAAGGAACAGTACCTAGGAGGAATCAGGATGTGACTGAGATCATGACCATTATAGCGGGCAGAGGGGAGAATACGGAGATGGGAGGGGCTATATGAGTTGCTGTGGGCTGGCAGCAGCCGATAAAATTAATTCTAGGAGCTTTACTACTGTTCTGGAGGAGTTGACTTATTTTTCTATAACAATACGGCCTATCTCCTTTGTCTTGTGTTACTATGGAGGTGGCGTTAGGATGATTCTGGTTCCCGATGGAGGGAACGCCTCCATAGCTAGTATGTTCGAATGTGTGGCTGAATTTGGTCAATAGAGTCTTGAATTGAATTGAATTGAATACGTCTACAAAAATAGATGGATGCAGTATCAGCAGATGGGTTTGATATTCACTATCCGGGTGGTATGATAATCCGATGCAGAAGAGCAACAGCGCAAACCAACTAACGGGCATAACGTGAAATATAACCCGTTGACCTTTCAGGATCTAACTCACGGCGTCTCCGCATATAATGAGGATTATAAGGAGATGGAAGTGGAGGTACAGGATTTATATAAGGCATCTGAGAAGCCGGCAAATTAGCCATTGGTAATGGCCAGGCCAACCCAGGGAAAGCCCATAATCGCGCCAGGAACAAAACCATTACTGTCAGTGGTATAGCAGCCGCCCAAAATACCCATTGCTTGCTATTCATGTCTCGGATGTCACTTGTGTTCATGCCTAGATAGCTGGAAACTGTAGACAGGGGAAGAAAAATGACCGTCACGACTGTGAAGATGAAGATTGCGGTTTCCTGGCGGTCTTTATTCATCGTGATTGACTCGGAGCTCTGGGTTTGTTCAGAAAAGTCTTCGTCTATAATGGATTTTCAAGAAAGGAGGTAGCAGGGATCATCTTACAGCCTTGATCAGCGATTCTGCTTTGCCCAAGAGCTCATGAAATGACTCGTTCTTTTCCCTTAGTGTCAACATACACTCTTCCAATATAGTCTCCTGAGGACTAGGGTAGACAACACCCTGAGAGTGAGTAATCCGAAGCCGTTCGTATCTAGTGGATGATAGTCTAGCCTCTAGACTCCTCATAACCTTTTTTTGAGACCCAATATGACGCTGAATGATACGTATCTCATCAATGAAAGCGGAAGCTTTCTGTTGATGCGATCGATCCAGTGGGTTGGCTCGGACATTACTTTCCTAGATCAATTTTAGTCAAGGAAGTCTCAGAGCACCACCAAATGAGATCGAATGTCTCTTACAAGTTCACCGTAATATTCCCAATACGCATCTCTTGTTTTAGGATACTCCTCTGTGGCGTCCTTGATCAGAGAATGAGCCATGAAGACTAACAGGCCCGTTGGTAAAAGAACTTCTGATTCGAGAAGGCTAGGTCCGTCGGGCATCTTCAGAATTTTTCTTTGAGCCAAGAGAAGGAATTTCCTACAGCTCCGCGACTGGTGGAATGCTAGTTCCATATTATGTGGCGACCAAGAAATCATGCATAGAAGAAGATGGTACCAGGCTCTGGCAAATTCTCGCGGTATGTCTGTCTGTTTCGGATCTGGACCCTTTCCTGCAGATAACTGGGCTCGGAGTTGTTTTCCCAGACTGCTAATGTCGTTGAGGATATTGAGTGTTCGACGAAGAAAATACTCGGGTTTCTTTGGAGATACCGCCTATACGATAGAATAAAAATCATTAGCGCTTATTCTAGACAGTGTCATAGGTGGAGAGACTCTATACAGTCATTATCGTAATAGCAGCTCCCCAATATCGAGACGAAATGGTAGTTTGCCATTTGGTTGGCAGGAATATTTGAAAAGCTGATTCAGCGGCACTTGCAAAGCGCATTTGCAAAGACTGAGCCTGTTCTGAGTCAAAATTGCTTCCTTTAAGGCCTGTTAGAACACGATTCATGTCCTCAAAGCTCTTTTCGGCGGTGTTTTGGTATCCAATCCGTGTTCTTGTATTCTCGTTTGTTTCCATGTATTCGTGTAGCCTCTTCATATACGACTCGATCTTCTCTTGATGGTCATTCTTCAATCGCTGGGGATCTTCGTTTCTTGCTGTCTCGCGGGTATTGTTTGATGGACCGACTGCTAACCATAAGAGGGCATAGAATTCTTTAGACTTGAAGGGCGGGTTTGATGTCTTCCGCGGCGGCGGAAAGGGTTGACGAAAAGAGGGTTCTCGTTCCTTGAAATAAGTAGAGTCTTTCAAGGGATCTCCTGATTTTTCCTTAGAGTCTGTTGAACCAACACTCGTACCACCTGGGCTTTGACTGCGACTGCAGGTCCCCTTTTCATTTTCGCGTATTACCGCCAGTCGATCACTTGCCGGTTCTGGTGATGTCGAGGCTTCTGGCTCGCAATTGAATGGGGTTGAATTTCCGCCTTCTGCGTCGGCCAATTTTGCGCGCTTGCTGGTTAAATTGATCAGAGACACGTGTTGAGAACTCATAAAAACTTCATATCACTTACCGCCTAATCAGTTGGATCCTCGTTGGGAATCTTTTTGCTTGGGCGATGAGCTTTGGCCATTGTCTTGACTCCAGAACACGCCCTCTCCAACGTATAAAAAACACCTCCTCGAGATTCAGAGTTATGTCGGAAAGTCGACGTATAAATTTCTGGTCTAATGTCAGGACGGGATATTTCTCAGACCTTTCTCAAATACATTAAGACTTACAAACCAGGTGTCGCATTGATCTATTGAGAACAACCACAACCGGGTATCATACTCCACCTGGAGCGTCGATGGCAGAGTGTATGAGCCAATTGACAATGTTTTGGGAGCAGGCGAATGTTGGATCGTGATCGAGTCGGTCAATATGTCCTCAACCGACAGACTTTTGGCGCAAGTGAGAATGTACTCTGACATAAGGATAAGCGACAAAGACACATCGATTCATCATGAGACTTGACACATACTATCAGGAATGAGCAGACACCACAGAGCGGATACATGAAAACAATGGTTCTCGGGTATACCCTGCAAGTTACAGATAACTTGTTGTAGGTCTCGCTGCTTGCCGATCGACGGATAATGGGTTTGGAAAAGCGGCTGTGAAGGGTGCAAATGGCCCCCTTCGGGCAAAGTCATCGAGTTGTGAAGTTCCAGCCTGAAGTACGGCAAGCAAAAAAAGAGGTAGTTCTCATTTCCAGCTGGAACACCATCGACTGCAGGAAAGCGCGCCTGGTCCCTTGACTTGGTAGCAACGGTGGGATCCATATACCAACCATTACGACCGTTTGCTGTTCTAATACGTTTTTGATATTTGTTTCCGACTCGTTTGAGAAACTGAAGAACATCGTCACTCTCACCTCGAGATAAATTGGGAAGAGAAACAGCGATTTCCTTGAACTTGTTAGGCCGTCACTTTTTTACGAATTAGTGTAACCATACCGAGAATTCGCTGAAGCTCATTGTTTCGGGATTTAGATGTCTGTAGCGATTAGTACTGCTTGATGAGTGTTTGGGGAATTATAAATCTCACAGCCAGGAGAACAGCGATGGCACCCGACCGCTTACTCGCATCAGTTCCCCAGAAAACTCAACTGATCCGTTTTCTCTTCTCTCAATATACTTTGAAGAGACAATTTGCGCCATTTCAAGCGATTTTTGCTTCAAAATGTTGGAATCGGCCTTTGATACAGGCTCAGCTAACCCGTTACCTGATGGCACCGCATGTGCCGTTGGCAGCTCGAATGTGTCCAGATGAGGGGCATCGAAGGTAAATTCCGATTCATCAACCTCGTCTGTATCATCAGAATCTAAGTCAGAGTAGGAGTCGACATGCCAGAACTCCGCCTCACTCGATTCGGAAGATCTGCCCTCGAAATCATACAAGGATTCAGATCTATACCTTCTGCTGGTCCCGGCGAGATTCCCACGCGGATCGTTGCTCATACCTCTACCTCGGTCTCGGGTTGGCGAGGTGATAGTCTCTCTCCGACGAAGCGATCGCCGACGAGCTGCTCCCCTATTGTCGTCCAGACTCCTGTGATAAGGTAATTCTATCGGCATTTTGGATATGGTTGGCTGCTGTTGGCTTATCTGGGTTTCAACAATATAAGGAAAAGGCTTAACCTATGTGTCAAGAAGTAGCATATAAGCAAGCTCCAGGGTTCTACTTAAAGGAGGGGTTCACGAACAGGAACTTTGCATAGCAGTACTCCGCATTACCGATAGTGTGTGTGGAGGTCCATTCAGATGTTATCCCCGCATTTGTTTTATTACTAGTGTAGTAATGCCATTGGATATTTATTGGCTCCGCCCCGATATTTGCTTTTTTTTGTATGCAATACCACGTAGCATGCAATGCGTGGGCTCTGACATTGAGGCTGAATACGAGTTCACGGCCATGCTCTGCTACAGCAAGTAATTATGGGCATCATCACTGGCCGACTCGTCAATGGGCTGTTTTTGTCCAAGGTTTTTTGCTTCATCTCCTGATATATTCCTTTTTCTGTCTATGGTACCCATTCATCATCCTTGCGACAAGAGACGGCGTGGAATTGTCACGCGTCGCCATTTAGTGCCCGCAAAGAGACCATTTGGAACTTAAGAACCTTGGAAGTTTGCGCATGAGCGGAGCAAGTGAAGCAAATCAAAGCACTCGTGGCAAAGGCACTGGCAATACCTAGGTGTCTACTAATATAAAACCGGTACTGTTATCCCAGAGGTGGCATGACCGAATACTTAGTACCAGTACTAGTATTTGATACTTTTGCTTGAGTTGCTTGCTCATCTAGGCAGGCAGTGAAGCTCCAGGGCTTCAAGTTGATTTCAAAATTTGAACACATGGTCAAGTCTACTCCCGAGGTCCTTCTATTCATTGAATAATAGTATTTGAGTAGAGCAGTCCACGGGCAGCAGAGTATACATACCTAAGCAGGTATCTAGGTAGTAATCAGTTACTAGTAAGAGATATTAAAAAACAAGTCAATCGGTCAGGCTATATCCAATTCAAAGGGGCTAAAAAGTAAAAATAATAAAAAAGCGATCTATACTGTATTTTTCGCATAACAACCTCGTAATCCGTCAATCCTTCAAGTTTTTTTTTTTCAAAAATGCATTAGTCACAATCAATGCTAAATGCCTAAGAAGACGCCTCAAGGGTACCGGGACGCTCAGTGGCGGCAGCGGGCTTGACGTCGTCCACGCGCTTGTTTTGGATCAGACGCTGCACGAATTAGCAAAACCGAACATTCATAAACGACAAAGAGAGAAGACAAGGAAGTGAAACTCACCAGCAGATTACGGAGAAGGACAACAATGGTGACCTTTCCGATAGAGGGGACGAAGATGGAAGCCTTGTCACGGACCTCGTGGGGGAAGTTCTAGCACAACAGATCAGTATCAAAAGCCCTGCCCAGACGAAAAGAAAGAAGACTGACCTTCTCACTGGAGAAGTTGACGCAAACAGCGCCCTCCCGCAACAAGCTAGTATCAAACTTATACCTATCACCGGGAACACCGGAGATAACAACGTCACAAAGCGGCGCCACGTCCTTAATAGTCGCACCCTCCATCTCATGAATTTCGTGACGCTTCTTCTGTAGTCCCTCGCCACGGGTAAACTTCTGCACGCCGGTGATATCAACGCTGTAAACGCAGGCGCCGTCATTAGCCAGCAGCGCGGCCAGGGGCCGGCCCACGACCTCGGAGCGGTTCACGACGCAAATGGTGTGGCCGAAGAGCCGGTTGCCGTATGGCAGGATGGTGTTGTAGATGTTCAGGTATTCGAGGATCTTGACGATGGCGAGGGGTGTGCAGGGGAGCACGCATTTCTGGCGCTTGGTCTCCTCGTCCAGGAAGCGGATGTTCTGGTACATGTTGAAGATGTAGCGGTGGCTGAGGCCCTCGACATCCTTGTGCACGTCGACGATTTGCTGCAGGTATTGGTCTTGGCGGTTGTTGAAGATGGGGTAGTAGACGATGATGCCGTCGACGGAGTTGTCTTTGTTGGCGGCTAGGATGGCCTCTTCAATGTCGTCGCGGGTTACTTCACGGAGGGAGTAGGCGAAGCCGCTGTTTTAGCATTATTGTTAGTATAGTGCTCGAGCGGGTGGGTTGACTTGTCCTTTTTTGGGTCGAGTCGCGATTGTGATGGAGGGGCACTATGATTCATAGCTGGGGAATCTACCCCACCACAACCACCCTCGAAAAGGCCATTGAGAACCAAAAGGCGAGTTTGGGGTATATCAAAGATACTCACTTTTCCTCGCAGGTCTTTTGTGTCCATTGCGCATACATCAGCGCGGCGGGGTCATCGTTGGCCAGGAAGCCGACCAGGTGCGGCGGCTTGTCGAGGGTCTTGATGCCTTCTTGCACCTCACCAAGCAGGCCATTGGCCACATTCTTGGACAGCATGACCTTGCATGAGGAAGGAGCGGTAGCTTTAGGGGCCGACATGATGATGAGATTGGTATGAGAGTGTCAAATATGGAGGGGAGGCCTTTGAAACGCTGGTAGTTCTCGCGATGAGTCGAGGGGAAAAAGATTGTTCGCTTATCGATAAGAAGGGGCCGTTTTCGGCCCAGCAAAAGTCACTCACTGCCGATGAGTGCCCACAGTAGTAAGTATAGTAGAACTAGTGTAGAAAGTAGTGGGGTGTGTAATACAGAGCAGAGTAGAGTAGAGAAAAGCCAGGTTCAATTGGGGAATACTCGGGGTGGACTGTAGAAACCCCGGGTATACCTATCTACATACATGACTGACATGACCGGTGTCGGGCCACCACCTACGGGGTACCTACCTGGGAAGGTATTAACCACTACACTGTCTACGCATTTTACTACAGTTTAACAAGTGTTGGAACAAATGAAATAAATTGCGGATCCAACATGGAGAGTCGCATGGAGACCAGACAGAAGTAAGACTGGTCCTCCTCCCATCTCGCGCCCCCCGATGCGCGGAAAAAATCTAAACGTACAGGATATAATCACATTTTGGCAGCACACTGAGTCCAGCTCCGTTCGTACCATTGCCGGCTGTGTGCCACGAGAGAAAGAGAAGATCGTCCTCATCCCCGGACCAGTAGGCGCATTACCATCGCTAGTCGATCGCTACATCCAAGGACAAGAGGACAATCAAAACGTATTCGCCAAGGCACTGGCACTGCAATTAGGGAACAGAAAGGAAACAATGGGCTCAAAATTGTACAAACTATCTTGTCTATACACATAGAGTCAGGAAAACAGAACGACCAGCCAGGGATCACTCGCAGTGTTTTCTAGCTCACCTCTATGCGCTGAAGGACTTGTTGAAGGCGACAATAGTCTCCTTCAGCTTGGCCTCAAGCTCCTTGGAGACCTGGCCCTCCTTCTCGATAGTCTGCTGGATCTCGGGGTGGGAGCTCTTCAGGTGAGCGAGGAGGTCAGCCTCCCAGGACAGGATCTTGTTGACGGGGATGGTGTCGAGGAGACCGTTGACACCAGCGAAGATCAGGGGAACCATGTCGGAGACAGCCATGGGGGGAGTACTGCTTCTGCTTGAGCAGCTCAGTGAGACGCTCACCACGGGCAAGGGTCTGCTTGGTGGAGGCATCCAGATCGGAACCGAACTGGGCGAAGGCGGCGACCTCACGGTACTGAGCCAAGAACAGCTTCAGGGAACCGGCGACCTGCTTCATGGCCTTGACCTGGGCAGCGGAACCGACACGGGAGACGGACAGACCGACGTTAATGGCGGGACGGATACCCTTGTAGAACAGCTCGGACTCCAGGAAAATCTGACCATCAGTGATGGAAATGACGTTGGTGGGAATGTAGGCGGACACATCACCACCCTGGGTCTCAATGATGGGCAGGGCAGTCAGGGGAACCACCACCGTGGGTCTTGTTGTTCATCTTGGCGGCACGCTCGAGCAGACGGGAGTGCAGGTAGAAAACGTCACCGGGGTAGGCCTCACGTCCGGGGGGACGACGCAGAAGCAGGGACATCTGACGGTAGGCAACGGCCTGCTTGGACAGATCGTCGTAGATGATAACGGCGTGGCGGCCGTTGTCACGGAACCACTCACCGATGGCGCAACCAGTGAAGGGAGCGATGTACTGCAGAGGGGCGGCCTCGGAGGCGGTGGCAGCGACGACAACGGAGTACTTCATGGCGTCGTTCTCCTCAAGGGTCTTGACGAGCTGAGCGACGGTGGAACGCTTCTGACCGACGGCAACGTAGATACAGTACAGCTTGTTGGACTCGTCGCCGGAGTTGTTCCAGCGCTTCTGGTTGAGCATGGTGTCGAGAGCGACGGCAGTCTTACCGGTCTGACGGTCACCAATGATCAACTCACGCTGACCACGACCAATGGGCACCATGGAGTCGACACACTTCATACCAGTCTGCACGGGCTGGTTGACGGACTGACGGGGCAGAATACCGGGGGCCTTGAGCTGGGCACGGCGCTGCTCAGTGGCGTTGATGGGTCCCTTGCCATCAATGGGGTTACCGAGAGCATCGACGACACGGCCGAGCAGCTCAGGACCAGCGGGAACATCGACCTGTAAGATTATATTAGTATGTGTGACGTGAAGAAAGAAGTGGGAGTATAATGGGAGAGGACCCGATCGGTCCGATCCGGGTTCCCAGGGGTTAAACTCACAATCTCACCGGTACGCTTGACGGTCTCACCCTCCTTGACGAGACGGTCGGAACCGAACAGGACGACACCGACCTGGCCGGCCTCGAGGTTCATGCACATACCCTTGACACCGGAGGCGAACCTAGAGTGTTGTTAGTTTACCGGAAGGGAGGTCGAAAAATGCCAAGACTTTTCGGGAGGGATTGCAACGTACTCGACCAGCTCCTCAGCCTGGACATTGGTCATACCGTGGACACGGGCGATACCATCACTATTCGATATTCAATCAGTTTCATGCTTGCGAGAAGGTTCGTTGGATGGCAGGCGTGGGCGTGTTGAATGAAATGGTAGCCGATGACCGAATTTTTCACGACCCTTTAGCCGCCCCCAGGGTGGAGGTTTTCGACGTACCCGACGGACAGGACACGACCGGTCTCAGCGAGACCAGCCTCCTCCTGGACACCACGGATGCGCTGCTCCAGGATGGAGGAGACCTCAGTGGGCTGGGCCTTGGCCTCAGCAGCGTAGGTACGGACCTGCTTGGAGGCACCGGCGATGGGGCCGGGGACAGCCGCGCGAACCTATAGGGAGGGAAGAAAACCTTGTTAACGACGATGTTCTGAAAGGGCAATGCGATGAAGAGATGTTTCTGATATGGACGAAGGGATTGATGGAGGTCCTTGGACCAATCGAACTTGGAATTCGAGATGGGAAAGGTCGGGGATGGCGATGGGCGACGGGGTTGAATAGGATGGCTGGAAAGGACAGAACTCACAGCGACACGGCCAGTGGCCGAGGCGGCCGCAACAGAGCGGCTGGATTGCCGCAGAGCGTTTCTGAACATTGTGAGAGGGGAGGGGGGGGTTCAGAGGATGGGAGGAAGTGTTCTCTGAAAGAGATGTAGTGAGGGAGGAGTCGGAGAGAGGAGAGAGAAGGTTGTGGACGGGAAGGAGCTTTCGTCGGGGGGGGACGCCAGGATTCTCAGGACTCGCGCTAGTCCAATCCGGGCGAGGCCTCTCCGAGGTGGCCCTAGTGTCTCCACGATGGTAACAGTGTAGCTATGATTTCTATTTACAGGAGTTACTAGAATATAGGATTTATATATAATATTCCAATACATAATAATATCCTTTTTATATACACTCTCTACATACCCAGCTTGCTCAAGTCCCCCCCCCTCCCCATCTGTTGTGTGTGCCAGCCAGTGCTCCGAGGCGGGTCGTTCCTTCCCGTTTTTTCTCTTCGGCTCTCCGGATCCAGGGTCACCTGACGCTTACCTAATGCCTTCGTCACGGCAACGACAACAACAGCTGGGAGTACTACTAAGTATACATATACTCTATATAGTAGACTTACTAGTAGCTAGCATCTGCACATGTCTAGCTCCAGCTGGAGGTGCCTCACATCGTGTACACCTACCTAGGTAGATTATACCTATACTTACAACCCCCTGTACTCACCACCAAGCTATATACTACGTGTCGCATGCTAAGGGAATACCCGAAATCATCACCGCACCCGGCTCAACAATATCAAAATGATAACGAAAGAAAACACGCTAAGATGATCGCCTCATAAGAGCAATAACAACAGCAAGAGCCAGATCCGAAAGAAACTCCTCCATCAACAACCTGACATCCCTCTTCTCTTTCTCTCTCCTGAACCACCCGGCTCCACCCACATCCACATCCACACCCCCATAGGGTCAACCCGAAGAACACGAAGGACACGAAGTCAGACCCTATTTACCACCACCACCACTCTTCTTCGCCTCCTTCTCCCTGCGAAACTTCGCAACCTCCTTCTCAACACTCTTATCAAACCGCTCCTTCAGCTCAGGCCGATACCCAAAGAAGAAAAGAATCTCCATCCATACAAAGAGCGGCGCAAGCAGCACCGCCTGCACAAGATTATCCAGCAGCGCCGGCGCGCGGCCCTCGAACTTTCCATGCCCAACAAACTGCGCCAACCACGAGACGACGTGGATTCCACCAGCCCAGTAGTTCACGACCATGCCGTGCGTTCCGAGGAGATAATTGCCAGCGGCCGCGGAGCCGATCACCAAGGGCGCGACCAGACCACCCGCGACCGGCTCCAGGAGGACGTAGAAGATCGCGTAGATGAATGCACCGATCGTGCCTGCGTTGGCGGGGAGGTATTCGAAGCGGAGGGCGTCGGGGGTGGGCAGGAGGGGTGGGCAGTTACATGCCTGTGTAGTGTAGAGGTGTCAGTTTTCATAGCTGGACGGTGTGAAGAACGCCGGGGTCACGAACCAAGAGTATGCCGGTGAAGAGCAGGATTGGGACACAAATAATGTGAATCGCGACGTTCACCTGAAATATTCATCAGTAAAGTGTCCTTCCACCCCGTGGTTGTTGGGTTTGGATTGAGACATACAGGATTGTTGTGGTAAGCTCCATACTGCGGATAGGATGTCAGCCAGGACCCTTGGGGGTCGGAACGAGGAACGAGGAAACTCACGAAGAGCAGCTGCTTCTCAAGATTGAGCGCCATCCTGGATGGAGGCCGGTGCAGGCGGTTCAAAGCAAGGCTATCAGCCAGAAAGCTGGGGTTGGGGAAGAGAGATGGTTGCCCACTACATCATCAATTATGGGGACGCTAAGTGGTGCAACCGTCCCTGCACTTCCGGGCATGTGTTGGTTGGGCCGAGGGTGGTTTCTGTATGGTATTGGTGGTGCTAGATTATGGGTCGTGCTGGTAATTTACTGTATTACCTTGTATGTATCACCACCACCAGCTGCCAGTGGGCAGAAACGATTGTACAACAGCGAGCTTTAACAAGACCAATCATAATATTCAAGTCGATGTTTATATTAAGATTCGGCATGGGTTCCCTTAAAATGGCTTCTCATCAATGAGCGCGTCAATGTTATGTCTAAACCTTGGAATTTCATTTTTGAGTATTCGACTAGATCTGATAATGGAAGTAGGTGCCACTACATATATTATGTGGCATTCTGCTTAAACCCTTCAATAATACTAAATTTAATAAGCCGTGCCCAACACTGGCGTTGGACGACAGATACGCTACCGCTAGTAATATTAATATATCGAAGTAAGTAATATTCTATTTATATAGCGATTTACTAAACTCAGTTCTAAAACCCCAAGGTTAGTAGCTTAAGTGACAACCCCGGAACATGCCATGTCACATGACCCAAACCTCTCCCGCCGTAAGAGGGACGACAATCTCAAGCAGCTCTAGCAAGCGCGTTCACAGCATCGGTCTATCTGCCTTTACCCTTAATCACAGGCAGATACCGTACCTCCTAACGAGTCTCTGCCGAGTCTCTCACACACTCTTTCATCGCGCAACTCCTAACCCTGCGCCTCGCCAACAGGCCATGAGCTAGCAGCCGACAACATCATTCACACCAATTGAAACCCTCCACCTATCTACCTGCGCAAAGCCTACCCTGCCCGATCTCCGAACTCGAGCGATCTCTGCGATACCCTGCGCCCGTGAATTGAAGCAACTTTGATCGCGACACCGACAGCGCCCGTGTATTTCGGAGCTGCCTTGCCATTGCCAACCCACATTACGAAGTCCCAGACTGATCGCAAACCGCCACAATGTTCTTCCTCAAAGAAGAGACCAAGGTCATTTCCTTGCATCCGTCATTCTTCGGACCCAATATGCGAGAGTACCTGATCACCCGACTAAACGAGGAAGAGGAAGGTCGGTGCACGGGTGACCACTTTGTGATTTGCGTGATGGACATGGTTGATATCGGCGAGGGACGAGTGATTCCCTCTAGCGGAAATGCGGAATACACCATCAAATACCGTGCGATTATCTGGAAGCCATTCCGAGGCGAGACGGTACGTTGGAAGAAGACGAAATACAAGCTCCACGAGACGAGTGCGGAGCTGTTTCTGCTGGGATTGGTCTGACTTGAGATTTCTAGGTCGATGCTATCGTCACATCCGTCAAGCCTACCGGTATCTTTACATTGGCCGGTCCTCTGTCTGTCTTCATTGCGCGAAAGGTATACACTGCTCTCCCATACGAAACTGCAAACTGCAACCCGTGATCTGACCTAATACTGACTGCACTGCTCCCTAGAACATTCCTGGCGACATCAAGTGGGAGCCCAATACCGTGCCTCCGCAGTATACCGATCATGCCGATCAGGTGATTGAGAAGGGAACTAGTTTGCGTCTCAAGATCCTTGGTGTTAAGCCCGATGTGGCGGCGATCAACGCCATCGGCACGATCAAGGAAGATTACCTTGGGTGAGTGAAAAACAACTTGAATGCAACAGCAGCCACATTTACAAAAGTACCATTACTGACAAAGAGATCTCTTCTTCCCCATAGACCCCTATAACCGCGATACGAGCCGCATCACATACCCACACTCACACCAAACCACACTCAACAACACCAAGAATCAGCCTCACCAAACCACCACACCCCTTTCCAACATTTCGATTTTACTGGACATAGCGTTCCTTCGATTGGCAAAGCGAGATCTACCGACACCGACGATTCCCGAGCTTGCTCACAAGCCAACAAAAAGAAAAAAGAGAATATTCTGTCGATTTGGCGCTTCAGGGAGTTTTACAAGGATGGCATTTCATTTCCCCGGACCCTTTGCATGTGATTTGATATTTTGGCTGGGCTCCTTTTTAGGGAATGGAAATAGGGCATGCACATAGACGAAGTGGCTGATTTCAAGACACAGCCAATCCTTTCAAGGCTTTTCTCCATGCTCATGCTCGCATTCATAACATACTTCGCCCCCTTCTCCCTGTTCCTCACTCTCCCCCTCCCCGGAGATGGCTTATTTCCCAGGACCCCAACTGGAGCTGATGTTCGGGCCCGCAGGAGCAAGGATCGACGGTAGTGCGCGCGTGGCAGAATTGCAGATTGGTATTGCGATCGCATTGATTCAAGGGGGGATTCGTGTGGGAGGGAAAGAATATGTACCATATAAATCAGCTATGCCCAGCCAGTCTTGCGCCAAAATATAAACCTCATAGTTGAAGTGGAATGTCTTGAACTCTCGGGGTGAAACATCTGAAGTTGCCGGAGAGACGTAGGAACGGGTTTAGGGCTTCTGGGGCCTCGCGGGTACTGGTGAAACACTGGCGTGTTTTTTGAGGGCCCCTGCGTTATTTACTAAGTTTACTCTTACTCGGATAGCTCAAGCTACTACTCCGTACTAACATTGTATTGTGTACTCCCTACTCCGTGCATTGTAGAAATGGCCCAGCCCCGGCCTCGGCGTGCCCGGTTTGGTTTGCCCGTCGCGTACCACTTCCAGTCATTTCCCTAGAACCAAACAATCAAGTCCTCCCTCCTTCTCTCTCCTTCCCCTTGTATCCTCCAAAAATCACCTTGGATAAACAGCGCCCCAATTCTCTTGGATTACGGCTACCATGACTTATCTCAAGGACGCCTACTCCAAGTTCCGGGCTAACCCCCGCCATGCCCCAGTGGCCGCCAATGTGTCGCTGATCTATGTTCCCTCCACCACGCGCATCGATGGCGCTGACGCCGTTGCGTCGCATACATCGCGCCAATCCGCCCACCTCAGAAAAAAGTCCGAGAAGATCATCAGCGAGATTGAGAGCTCCGACTCTTTGTGTCTAGACATTGAGACGACCATCGAGTTTCTCGAGGGTGGCGGGGCGTATCTCCCCTCGTTCGACGATAACTTCCTGGCGGATCGCGTCGTGACTTTCCCCACGGTAAGTTAAATTCCCCGAAGTATTGATGCATATGACCCAATTGTGAGACGTCACGGGACACAGATTCTAATATCTCTCTTCTTTTCTCCCCCTTTTCTAGCTCCACATCGTTCAATTCAACCCCGAAAATCAGATCCAGCAAGTCCGCATCTACTGGGATCAAGGCTCCCTGCTTAAGGAGCTCGAAGTGATTGGTGCCCGTGGCCGCAATTGGCCTATTCGTCAAGCTCAGGAGCAAACCCGTTTGCTCAAGGCCGCTGCTATTGCAAAGGACGCTGCACCTTCATTGGAACCCTCTCAAGGCGACCTGCCTGCGCGCCCTTCCTCCCCCGGAAAGCGACACATCAGAGACCCCTACTCGGCCGCTTCCTTGACCGACCTCCTCTCGCCTAACAAGGACGGTGCTGTAGAGCAAGAACTCGAGACACGCAGACCTCCTTCTCCCAGCAAGCGACACACCCGTGATCCCTACGGTCAGGGCTCCTTGACCGAGATCCTGTCTCCCAGCAAGCCAGAAACCAATACCGTCATGCGTCCCTACGGAGGATCCAACCAACCCGCGCGCCGCGATCTGGGCGATATCTTCGTGGCAGATGACGGCGAGACTCCCTCCACGCCCTCCAAGGCTGAGAAAGTGATTTCTCCCAAGGGCGGATCCCGACACCAGGTCGGCAACCGACTCTTCGGAGGCGCTGAGGACCACGACGAACACCGTTCCTTCTACAAATCCGATCCTCGCAAGTACGACCACTTCGAGATCGGAGCCAACGAAGGACGCCCCGAAGACCGTTCGTTCTACAAGTCCGATCCCCGCAAGTACGACCACTTCGAGCTGGGAGCCAGCGAAACCCCCCGAGGCGAAGAAGGACTCCAAGCCAAGCAAACCCCGTAACCAATCTCAATGGGACTTTGGCGACTTCTCTACCCCAGCCAAGAGCACCGAACCAGCCGCCAAGGCCCGAGGCTTCGGATACACAGACGAGGAAGTTGATCCCAACTCCCCCCCCACACCGCGAAGCCGTCGTCAAAGCCCGGCCCGACCAAAGCGCCCACTTCGAGATCAGCGACGACGTAAAAGAGGAAGACGGCCGCATCATCAGCTCCTTCGGCAACCGCGGTAAAGGCCTCTACGAGAACCGCCTCTACGACGAAGACGAAGCCGCCGCCAAAAGCCACGAAGGCGAGCGCGAAGAAGCCCTCGGCGTAACCAGCAACAAGGCAAACCTAAATAAGACCTTCAACTCGCAGTGGGAAATGCACGACAACTCGCCCGGACACAAGGCCACCCCCGAGAACCCCAAGACCCTAGCCGCAGACCGCAGCAAGGCCGTCAAGGCTCTCGAGGCGCACTGGGATTACTCCGATTCGCCCCAACCCACGCGGACCGCGACGTCGCTGCACAACCCCAAGACGCACAACCAGCCTAGCTGGAACATGCAGGATGAAGCTTCCCCCATTAAGCCGGCCACTTCGCTCCGTAACCCGCGCACCCATAACCAGCCTAGCTGGAGCATGGGAGGCGAGGAGTAAGGGCGCTGGGACTAGGTGTCTCAATTGATTGCTTCTTATCTATTCTATCCCCTTCCCCCTTCTCCTACGACCATTTTGTACGGCCTCACCTGATCAACGAGCAATGTGTACCGATACCCACCATCAAACGCCCAAAACCCGGGGATGTACGACTACGTACCGGGGGCTGCTTGCTCTGTTCGCTCTACTCTTCTTACAAATCGCTTTTTTGTCTTCCGTGGAGCTTCGGTTGGATTATTCATCTGGCGTCCCTGTCGAGGTGTTTTTCTTCTTTTGTTACTATTTCTCTTTCTTTTCTTTCTATTCTGGGGTGCAGTGCGGGTTCCGTCACGCTTGTCTTAAGACCTGGCGGAGTTGTTACTACCATGTACCGTACGCATTTTTCTTCCTTTCTGTACAAGATTACCTATTACGAGTGCTAGAACTCTTGTTTCTTAGTGTTGATATTTTTCAACTAATTGATCCGTTTATTTGAATTGGTTGTTTTTTTTTTCGTACGGTTGATGGAATCCGAGCTTCTAAAATTGTACCAGTACCAGTATGATAGGGAATCTCCTTGACCTGGGCGTTTTGTTTAGTTCTACTCTGCACGTATGCAAATTTGAAAGTCTTTGATCTGCTGCCGTGCGTTTGCTTGCATTACTTTTGTCTCTCATGATCGACCCATTTACCTACACAGATAGCCAGCGAGCATTCCCTACGAAAGGGGAGGAGCACGAAAGTAAAATAGACATTTCAAGTACTCCGTAGACAGTATGTCGTTAATTGAGGCAGATAAACTTGGTTCATTGTGGCTTATGCCATCGCCTGGTGGTATTAGCTACTAATACTTGTACTACCTGAATACCAGTTGCTCGTCTTCTGGCCTCTGCGTATCACTCTAGAAATTCTAGCTCCAGGGTTCGACAAAGATCTCTTCTTGGAGATTCAGGCGGCGGATTCTCACATCCACACTACCTAGGTAGGCTTCGACATATAGTCACGATGTAAGCCTTTCAGGGCTCTGCCCCGTACACAGTCCGTGGGTACTATCACGATGTTTCGCGATGATGTGCACTTGCAAAGTACCGCTTAGGTACCAGAGGCCGACAGTTTCGACCGGTTTGCCAGTTGTTGAGCGATTTATCTGAGCCACTTCCACGTCATTTCCCAAAGAGCGGAGGATAAATTCGTGTTCTTAGCGTTGTGTCCGTATGCAGCAATTCCATCCGATCTCTATGCGTAATATGCGATCTGCGTTTCCATAAAATATACCCGCGTCGTCACATATCTCCTGCAGATATCTACCAAAGGACCTGACGGCCCAGCAAAGCCTCCTTTTCCCTCCAAGGAGCCACCAAAAATCCTTCACAAGGCATAAAGCGCCTCTGCCATGGCCTTCACCAAGTCATACACTGGGTGAAGCTAGTAGAATAGGCATCGAAATACTGGAGCCCCTCTTACGTAGAAGTAATGCCATCCACACGCGAAGGTGGCTCATTCTGCTCGAGATCCGGTTTCGGGTTACACCAAATCACCCCCTGAAAAGGCCGCTACCTAGAAAGTCCATCTATCCTGAGTATTCACACACTAGGGTGCCACTTGCGCTCCTCCAGTCCTTGGATCAGAGCTGAAGACATCACTTCACGATACCTTATCGATGCAGGGGAACAAGTCGTCCAGAACCCATGGACGACGTGGACAGGGTCAATCTTCCACTTTTTGGCCAGCTTGTTCTGTAAAGCCCGAAGTCGAACTTGTGGTGGGTGACATTATGCCGACCTCCGAAAAAAGCTGGTCCCCATCATTCAATTAAATATAATGGCTCTTGTACGAAGCGATAATTCAAGTTGGAGTTCCAAACACCTCGCGCCAGAGTACGGTCTCTGTGCGGATGTCGACTTGTTTGTCAAATTTGTCTGGGCTCATTTTGCAGCGATCTTTTCACGAAACCTTGGTCATTTGGGGTTACGAGCATCTTTAGGTTTCCCTGCATGCTGTATTCCTTTGGTCTCGGCTTCAGACTGACCGGGCTTGAGGCTGGGTAATGCGGCACGGAAATCGCTCAGATAAATGGCTTTTGATGGCCAAGCATTCACACTTTTCGCGTCCCATGACTTGGCAAGGAGGTAGCTTTGTTGCCAGGTATTCAATTGCGGGCTTAGGGAATTTCTTGTCTGATATTACGCAGTTAGCCTTTGCACACTCCGCTTTAGCCGTATTTAACAGTGAGCCATGCACACCGGCTGGTTGGATGAGGCAAGAGACTCACTTTGCGATCGTAGACCAGCAAATATCTGGTGAGGTTGGTCCATATCATGCCCCGGGTCCACAGAATCATGACAACAAACAGTCCTCTGGGCCTTTGTGGTGTTGGCCAAGGGAAGTTCCGCACAACTTGTCAGGAAGGAGACAGGAAATATGTCCTGTTTCGTTGAAATCGAGGCACTTTCCAGTTACCCGACATACTAGTACTTGATCTGTCGGAGGAAGATGGTTTGCGAAAGCACTCAAAACCCCGGATTTTGAACGAAGGCTTTCCATGCCGGTCAAAGAGGTTGTCTAAGGGAATTCTTGAACTAGCGATTGTCTTTGGAAACGCCGAAAATACGTTGGGATTCAGTCGGTCACGCAATGACCGCGGTATCATGCCGCTATAGCATTCGCTTGGACGAAGCAGTATAGTAAGATTGCTTGAATGAACCTCGTGAATTTCGTATGGGCATGGGTCAATTTGGAGTGTGTCCTGGGCCGGACTTTGTCTCTCGTACAAGGCTGAATATCGGTGGCTCTTTGGAGACTTTCTGAGACCCGAGAAGAGGTTTGGGCCTGCATTGGCGGGAGACGAGGATCACAAGAATGCACAGAGGAGGACGAACAGGATGGTATGTTGCCAGCCGATTTTATTGATCATTTCTGCGAGAATTTTGACGAGGAAAGAGACCCATGTCTTCCAAGAATGTGGAGAGCTACAGGTGAGCTTCATGGTGTACAGAAATACGTGTGATGTTGGACTGGATAGAAGAAAGAATTGATTCGTAGACTTGTTGATGGAGAAAAGAAAATCAAAACAAAACTCGCGAATGTTTACTTTTGTGACCTAGGTGGCTCCTTCCGTTGAGACTCGGGTATTATTAATATAAATAGGTACCTAGGCAGGTAGGTACGGGCAGCAGACCAGAGTATCATGGATGGCTCCTTCCGTTTTATAGCGTAAGCTACTAGTATGGCAGGTAACATACTAGTACCCTACGTCACGGTACTACTAGTACTATCAGTAGTACTAGTAGTATGTCTGAAGACGCGCTGCCGTTACTAGAAAATGATGAAATGGATCCATGGATTACGAGTGGAGGGGAAATCTCTCAGGAAATACGTAGACACCCTAGATATATCTATCTAATGGATGCAAACGATGTGCAAACGACGAAGTAGCACAGTAATGAAAGCCATAAAGCCATACATCAATGAAGTGTGGGGGCTAGCAATCCGCAAGCTTGAGTACTCAGGTCGGTATAAGATATCGGAAATGCTACCACCAAGTCCACTTTGGGGGCGAATCAGCGACCAATGTCTACATCTCGCGCAAGCACCACCTAGACATCCAGCCCGCCCCCGACGCTGAAAAGAAAACTTTCACCTGGAGAGCCTGGGAGAACGTTGTCAAACTTTGGTCTTCTTTTCAAAGATCACCGCTTGAACGTGGTTTGGTTGGTTTCGACTCGTTGTGGGAAAATGAACTGGGGAGTCGCTCAGTCGGAGGCTTCGTGTTCTTTTACAACGACACGCCAGTGTCGCGTAGGAGCAAAAAGCAAATGATCCTGACTATCTCATCCGCAGAAGCAGCGTATCGAGAGTTATCTGACGCTGTTGAAGAGGGCCTTTCCATCGCCGTCTTCGCGATGGAGATGGATCTAATGAAAGGAGTGACTCGTTCGAGCTTCGTTGTGACAGTGACGGAGCAGAGAAGGTAGCAATTGGTGCTGGCTACAAACCATCCATCAAAGCGATGTCTATCGTTTATTCCAGCGCAAGATATCAAGTTCGTGCTGCCAGCGTCAAAATTGAAGCTTTTAGACATGCCGGTGAACACAGCAGCCGGGCTGACGAAGAATCTGGATATTGACGCTTTCGAGCAATTTGACGATAAGCTACACATTGTGTAGCAGTTACGCCTGCGAGTATGCCTGCTGTTTATATTGTTGCTTGTTGTGTAGTTCGTCCTGCAGGGAAATGTTGAGAGATCTGGCACCCAAATGGCTCGTAGATAGCTTCATCTGATCACCATTTATTGTACTATCTACCTTCATCTCATCTCCTATCCGTATAGTTGTATCGGTCCCATAAATCTAGTAGATGGCAAGCAGAATGGTTCAATTACGCTGACACCGTGGACCGGGAATATAATTACAATTTCCCATTTTCCAAGAAGAAGGCAGTGTAACGTAACTTGAGATAATTGGTGAAATTCCAACTCGAAGCCAGATATTTGACGTGATTATAACATTATAGTAGGATACAGGTCATAGTACTAGTACTGATGCTGGTACCTAGTACTTGGTAGCTAATTATCGATAAGTGGGTAGTTAACTAGTAGAATAGGATATTACAGCCTCGCAACCAGGCGCTCATCAATGTACAGAATTATGAAACGTAGCACTCCACATCCAGATATGTACATAAAACCCGTCAGTTCAGCATCAAAGAGGGGAGGAAGAGGGGAAACGTACTCCGTAGATCGTCATCGCTATGGCCTCCCGCACATGAGCTGGGTTCTCATCAGGACTGAATAATGAGACTTCGTCAAGTCACCTTGCCATCCACAAACCTGATTCATGTGCCCTCTAACCGAGGTAGATAATGCCTCCAGCTGCAGCATGGAGAATAGCTCAGGTAAATCTTATCCCGGTAGAGATACGTCTTTTTCTTTGCCCAGACAGCAACACGGCGTGATGATTGGTGGAGCAGTGAATGGGTAGATGCATGCATGGATTGGGCCAATTAGATCAACCGAGGAAAGGGGGGAAGGCAAACACATTTGTCCGCTTACTGGATGTCACTATCCGTGTGAACTCTAGTCTTCACTGGCAGTGCTGTTGAGGGGTGTGCCGAAGACCTCTGTGGGTACTAGACTAGTCATCTTTCATGCATGAAAATGGGAGTGAGAGTGTGAGTGCGAGCGGGGTGCTCTAGGGGATGAAATAAGGCTGCAGAATCGGTCAATTTAATCAATCCCTGAAATATCTCAAACATACGGAGTGACAAATTGACCTTGGGATAGTACTGAGATTTGAAACGTCGATTTTTATTTTCGTACTCCCTTCCTTGGACCCTCGTTTCATCATGGCCGGGGATCCCCTCAACTCAAACCGCCCACTTCGAGTCATTATAATCGGAGCAGGTGCCAGTGGCCTTTTAATGGGCTACAAGCTACAGCGTAACTTCGACGACCTCTCTTTCCAAATATACGAGAAGAACCCCGATGTCGGTGGGACCTGGTACGAGAATAGGTATCCTGGGTGTGCGTGCGATAATCCATCTCACACGTATGTTTGGTCTTTTGATCCAAACCCAACTTGGTCAAGCACGTACGCCCCAAGTACCGAGATATACAATTATTTCAAGGGTTTCCAGTTCCGGAGTAACCTGGGCGAAAAGACCAAAGTTTCGCATGAGGTTGTCGGAGCCAAGTGGGATGACAGGGCCGGTAAATGGAACGTTGAAATCCAGGATCTTGTCAACGGTGTTGTTCTGAATGATTCGTGCGATGTTCTTGTTAATGCAGGTGGTATTTTGAATGCATGGAAATGGCCTGCTATCCCTGGCCTGCACGATTTCAAAGGCAAGCTTGTTCACAGTGCGGCGTGGGATCAAAATCTCGACCTTACAGGCAAGCATGTAGGATTGATAGGGAATGGGTATGTGCAACTCTCTTTTGCCTGTTTGATTGGAAGGTGGAAAAGGAAGACCACTAACTAATTCTCTGGGGTAGATCATCCGGGATCCAGATTCTACCTGCGATTCTTCCACAGGTTTCCAAGGTAACTACCTTTATTCGTGGGCCATCATGGATTGTATCCGGTGTCGCAGGATTTGAGCCAAGGAAATTCGAGGAAGAAGAGAAGGAGGAATTCGCCAGGGATTCAAGCACACTGCTCAAATTCCGTCGAGCGATCGAGCAGAATATGAACAGGATTTTCCCCCTCTTCCTTGCCGATTCTCCGACGCAACAGAGATCGCGTGAAAGCTTCACGGCTTCTATGCAAGGCGTTTTGGAGGACCCTGGGCTTGTAGATCAATTGATACCAAAGTGGGCTGCGGGATGTCGACGAATCACGCCTGGAGTCGGATATCTAGAGTCGCTCAAGGATGAGAAAACCACAGTCATATATGGAGGGATCGCGAAGATTTCGCCGGAGGGTTGTGTCACGGAAGAGGGTAAGGAATACCCAGTTGACATTCTGGTTTGTGCTGTAAGTCATCTATAACTTTGGAAGATTCACACTGATACAGATCATCTAACCTACTCCGCAGACCGGGTTTGATACTACGTTCAAGCCACGATTCCCCTTGGTCGGTTCTCACGGACGTCAACTTGCAGAGGACTGGAAGGATGAGCCTCGGAGCTATCTAGGCGTCGCGGCACCTGGTTATCCGAATTACTACATGTTTCTTGGACCGAATAGTCCAATTGGAAATGGACCTGTTTTAATTGGCATCGAAGGTAAAAAAAGGTTCCTCGCGGGGAGAACGATTGGCTAACCTTTCAAAAGCACAAGCTGACTACATCTGCCAACACATAACAAGAATCCAACAACAAAGCATCAAATCAATCGAAGTGACGAAGGAAGCGGTGGACGATTTCATCGAATTCAAAGATCAGTATATGAAGCAAACGGTCTGGCATCAGGACTGCCGATCCTGGTATAAGGGCAATACAGCCGATGGAAAGATATTGGCTTTATGGCCAGGAAGTACAATTCACTATGTCGAAACCATGAAAACCGTGCGATACGATGACTTCAAAATTCGGTATTTTGGAAACCGCTTTGATTATCTCGGGAATGGGATGACGAAGATTGAAATGACCCCTGATGCGGATTTAGCACAATATGTCCGCAATGAAGATGACGCTCCCATAATCGGGTCAAAGTTCACTTATGTGAAGGCTTCGCCGGAACAACAGACTTCTGGTGATGTCATAACTGCGGATTCTCGAGAAAATGGAAGCACATAATCATGAATTAGTTCTACGCAGACTGACAATTGGAAATTTATTGGGGATAATTTTAAGATATTTCTATTGGCAAGATTTGATTGGAACCGTATTTATAACAAAAGGGTCGCCTTGATGACATGCATATTCAGAAGATGCGTATTCAGAAGATGCGTATTCAGAAGCTGCGTATTCAGAAGATGCGTATTCAGAAGATGTGTATTCAGAAGATGCGTATTCAGAAGATGCGTATTAAAAGCTGCATACGCCCCGGAATACGGCGCTCCATAGCGACAGGCCGCTCAGTACAGTTTCCACTTTTGGAGTAAGTGGATATGTGCACGCGTATATTGTGCTATACAAAAATCATGTCTGAATCATGTTCCCTAGAATTGTAAACCAATGAGTGAAGAAGGATGAAGTGACACCCCCGCTTTGTGTATAGGCAGCCGGCTCCACCTCGGTGATCATACCAGGCTCAGACCAGACTGCGGGGATAAAAGTCTCCGAAAAAGTAGATTGGGCGTCAGGCAGACGATGCTTGAAATGGGAAGTCATGAGCTTTGTCTTAATTGGTGTCATTTTGAAGTTTAGAAATGTCAAGCCCGGACCGCGTTTTTATTCCAACGATCGATATCCTTGTAGAAAGCTAAATGCTAGGCTGACACCACACCTAGTATAAGAGTGGATTTAAGGTCTTAACACCGCTAGGCGCTTTCGATGTGGAGAAAGTTATGAAGCAGGCCCATGCACTCCGTAAGCATGTGCTGTACATTGCATGTCCAGTGGCACATCACCTCGACTGCTGCACCATCCCCTCTTCTTGGCTCACCCAGCCACCCGGAAGAGCAGAAAACACAATTATTATTCATAATGCATCCGCATTTATAATACTGACCTATATAACTGATCTGGTTTGACTTGGAACCTGTCATGATCTCATCTTAGAATTGATTCCAACGTTCGAGACTGCCTCGCTTTCAACATGACTGGAAACAAATATCCACTCTCCACACAGCTGTGCATCAATGGAAAGGTAAAAAAAAAGACTATTGAGGTATCCCGTGGATGCCATAATACTAACAACTGTTTGAAAGTTGGTGGATAGTCACTCATCCGAGAGATACTCTCTTTTCAATCCGGTGGATGACTCGCTGTTCTGCGACCAGGTTCAATATGCAGCAGCCGAGGATGTGGACGCTGCAGTTGAAGCAGCAGAGGCGGCATTCAAGGGACCTTGGCGAAAATTCACAGCTACACAAAGAGGAGAGGCACTTGTAAAGCTATCCGCTTTGATTTTGGAGCACAAAGAGGAGCTGGCATACTTGGACGGGACTCCTACTGGGAAGACTGCAGCCATCACCGAAGCTGAGTTCGCCGCGTCAATTCTCCGCTGTACGTGTCAGATACCGGGTCTTATCTAACAAAACTAATGATTCGCAGACTATGCTGGCTGGGCCGACAAATACCCTGGCGAATCGTACCCAGGTGAAGACGGTATGGTCAAAATTGTGCGACAAGAGCCCCTAGGCGTGTGTGTCGGAATCAATCCCTGGAACGGACCTATTGCAATCATGGCTATGAAACTTGGTCCTGCTTTGGCAATGGGAAATGTCATTATCTTAAAGCCAAGTGAGAAAACGCCGTTGGCTTCAAACAGACTCGCATTTCTGGCCTCCGAGAGTGGTATTCTCCCACCAGGCGTGTTCCAGAGCCTGTCTGGCGCGGGAGCAACCGGGGCTATGCTTGCAAGCCATATGAGAGTAAGAAAAGTTAGTTTCACAGGCTCAATTCCAACAGGAAAAAAGATACAAGAAGCGGCCGCGAAAAGTAATCTGAAGAGAGTGACACTTGAGCTTGGTGGGAAATCCCCATCCGGTATTTTTGAAGACTGCGACTTCGACAATGCGGTCTGGTGGTCTGTATTTGCCATTACGCAGAATACCGGCCAGGCATGCTATGCAGCGAGTCGAGTTTATGTGCAAGAAGGTATCGCAGATAAGTTTGTCGAGGCATTCACAAAGGGGATGTCAGAGAAGATAAACGAGCTTGCCCCTCTTGCAGATAAAACTCAACTATCTCGGGTATCATCGTTCTTCCAACGAGATGCGGGAAAAACTCAGATCTTGGTTGGTGGAAAGCAGCACGGTGACAAAGGATGCTACTGGGAACCAACCGTCTTCTATAACCCGGAGAAAGATGCTCAAGTCTACAACGAGGAGATATTTGGACCAGTGGCATGCATCAGTACATTCAAGGATGAAGAGGAATTTTTGCGTCTTGCCAATGATACTGAATATGGTCTGATGGCCGGTGTTTTCACCCAAGATATCAACCGTGCCATGCGAATTTCCTCGGAATTGGACAGTGGCGTTGTTGGGATTAACTGCGTCAGCACCATCAGCCTGCAGACTCCTTTCGGAGGCTCAAAGCAGTCTGGAATCGGACGGGAGATGAGTCACTATGCTCTCCGAAGCTACAGTGAGCCGAAGACTGTTCTCATAAAGTAAGTTCCATGTCAACCCAGTGATAATAACCTCCATGTACGTCATGCTGATATGATTATAGCATGAATTATTAGCTTCCAACTTGATGATGCTTAGCGCGGATTGATCGTATACATTTGAAAAAATGCAGCTTCATTTTGAATCTTGCATGTTCTGAGTCTAGTATTCTATGGAAGTTAAATACAAAAATGCCTTCGAAAGCGAGGAAAAACAACGTTTCACGTAGAGATAATGAAGGATATCACGCGGAAGAATCAATAAGACGTCTAGATGTCTGAACATCCGGAGAGAGGCCCTTAAGCAAGGCTACAAGCTCATCTGCGGCTTGGATCAAAGTATCGTCCGAAAGTGGGTTCAATGCATCGAGAATGAATAACACCCGCGTAGAGTCATCTGTCAACGCGGTCCGAGGGCCTTGTCGCCAGTTCCAACGTCGGCAAGTGATGCCCGTGTTATCACACCAGATGGGCTCTCCAGCTGTAGCGAGCTCGGTTTGAGGCTCTCCACCCGAGAAAGTTTGGAAGGGCTCTTTGCCAGTGGCGCGTCGCAGGAATGCGGTCCCGTCGTATTTATCTAGATCTTCGCCACCAAAAGGGATCTGATATTTGACAGAAATGCCATTGTAGATATCCGTCAATCGATTGATACGTGGTAATCCATTCTCAGCGCGACGAGTTAAGGCTTCCAGGCTGTTCCGTGTCTTGTTCGGCTTGGCTCCGAAGCCTTTGTAGGCTTCTCTCCACGTTGCGATATGAGGGAATTCGGTGATAGAAGCACTGGCGGCCATTTCCTTGACATGACTCTCTGCTTCTTGGAGAACCTTCTCGCTAGTCTCATCGCTAGGGCCTGGTGGAATCCCCTCCACGATCAGCAAGAGAGCTCGATAGTCTGGTCGTAGCTCGAAGATTTCAGGAGCCACATGCGCTGCTTTGAGCAAATTCTCGGCGACCATTTTGTTTGCCATGGTATGAAGGAAAAGAAAAAAGTTGGCTGATGAGAATGGTCAAACTGTGTAGGAGCGAGGGTATAGTGAAATGTCTTCAACTCAAGCCAAGGGCGAAGCGCTCTTTATATGGTGTTCTTCGGTATTCAGCCTCAAGGGGTAAAGAATTAGAGTATTCAAAAGTGAGTCAACGGCAACTCGGATGCAAAAAATTCTCTTGCCTGACCAATCTCAACTCGAAGTTAGAAAGATTTTGTCTATCAGATCTCGTTTGTACAAAATTCTGCCCCACTCACCACAACTTCCTAAATAGGTAGATAGTGGGTCTATACGCCACCTTAATCGAGTTCGAAGGTTTTCGATCTGTTGACTTCGACTTCAATTCTTTTTGCTGCAAGAAGTTAACTTGATATTTTTTCAGAAAGAGTCCAGAGAATGTCAGGTATTCCGAGTGGCAGGCTGGAGTCTCGAGGCTGTGAGGTGTGCTCTATGCCCAGGTGGCTAAGAGGGGCTTGCGTCACCGGTGCACTGAAGTAAAATAGAATGAATGTGATTTATATTCGATGACAGCATCAAAATCGACCTGAACCTTGGAATATCTACTACCCCAGCTGGCAAGCCAGATACCTCCACCATTGACCGCGCCGAGCGACGCAGGAACTTTCGGTCGTAGACCGATGTAAAGTCCGGCATTACTTTTGCAGATTTGACATAAACCTGCACGACAGAAAGATTAGTCAAAGACGCATGGTACGTGATGAACGCCGCAACTCCGAGTCCTCCCATACTCACCACGAACTTTACCACCCTAGTATCCAATCCCTATCCTGCCCCCTATAGTATAGCTTCAGTATTCTTGATTATCGCCTCTGTTTTTTCCACGGTCGATCCATTGGTGAAATTCCCCTCAATATCAGCAGGTACCAAACCCGAGAGATGAAGACTAGTATTAAGTTAAAGCTGATATTACTTACTAGGAGAGAAGAAATAATCTTCGTAGTAAGAAACCTGGTCCAAGACATCTTGGTGTTTCTGATCCGGATTTTCAATAATCTTTTATCGTTTTCCGTTTTGAGTGTGAGATATTTGGTCTGAAGGGTTGCCATCAAATCCTTAGGGGTAGGGTTTTCTGTTGGTGTTGTTAAAGGATGACCCGTTCGGAATCGTGTCGATCTCTGTGCTGAAGCCTGCCTGTGCGGCCGCGAGTGCAATCTGTGACAAGAGTTTCCGATTGCTTGGACCTTGTCCTAGAAAAATGAGTCAGTAGCGTTCAGTAATCATTCGGAGACCATCAAACAAGTATAGAGAGCCAAATCTACGCTTATAACTTACGATTACTCCTTCTTGAACCTAACCTCCAATTACTTCTGCTTCATCCGCTTGAACAACCTGTTGGTGAGACGATCAGTTTGCGCAGAGGCTTCAACCCACCTCCAGATTAGCCCAGTTGGTGGAGGGGGAAAACCTTGTTCATGTATATGGGCTAGGCTTGTACAATGGGTAATTGGACAAAAGTTGTCTGTCTTGCCATTCTGCTGCGCCCTTCTGGAAATTTTCTTCGCGTTTTGCTGTATTGGACCAAGGAGTAAAGCCCCCAGAGGTCTTGTTGGGAAGAGGGATAAAGTCAGACTTCCCTGGGTCGTTTGAAGGTCTACCACTAGTAGCTCGTACTAGATAAAGTTACTATAGATCCATCTAATAGTATTATAATAATAATAAAATTAGTAGTATACTCACTGGGCTGGAAGAAATTATTGTAGAAATACTGAGCCAGGTCGATAAGCTGATCACAAACTTTCTCGTAAACGTTCTCTGGATCAGTATCCTCTGGAGGAAAACAATATGTGTTTACCGCATCAACCACCTGGTGGAAGCCATGTGCAGAGTCCCAAGAGAACATTGAAGGTGTACTGGTTTTTCCGTTCGTTTGGAGTAGGGTTTGGTTTTGCTGGTTCTTGAATCCCCAGAAAGTGCCTTAGGAGTCGGGAGAATGATCTTCTCCTGCTTCATCAGCCGGTAACCCTTGTTGAATAGAGGGAGGGTCTATGTATCGTCAAACCTAGCGGGTGAAGTTCAACTTGTTTACAATTTGTTTACAACTGCCAGAGGCAGGCACGATTGACCCCTACCTCTTACCTCCCTAATACTCTACCTAATAATATAATATATTATACTCGGTTGCCTAAGCTATTAGAATTGAGTTAGCCGAGAAGAAACAATGGCTTGAATGATATGTTAGTACTTTTTTTGCAAGAGTAGCTTTGACTTTGGCTTATATGTGGTGAAATAAGCAATTGAGTAACTCTCCTTTCTCCGCTAAGCGTCTGGAACGTGAGGAATATTAAAATCTAAAAGAACATCAAAAGAACACTTTGCTAATTTGGGTTTTAACAGATGGTTTCATAATCAATCCAAAGAACTTGGCTTAGTGTGGGGATTTCGTTCAACTCAAGTGGCTTCGCGTGGCAAACCCGCCTGTCTTGAATCCGAGACACTACATAACTATTTGGCAAGTCTTCTGTACGAGTTACAAAATCTAGGCAGCATCGTGTCGCTGGCATAGCAATTCCTCGAAGCTTAGCATACTCTCCGACAAGAACCCCGCAGTTGGATGCTGTTTTGCTAGTCCGAATTAATTAATGTTGCATGGCTTTTCTGGTTTGTTTTAAACTCTGCACTCTTCGCTGCTTGTGATTGGTTGGATTATATTGGATTTGTTTCAGCCTCAGTCCCTGGCCCCTTTGAATCCGATTGGGGGGGCTCCTTTAACGAAGGACTCGGCCCCTAAAACTCGAGTTCAACTGGACCCTGATATTTGATATATCATACGGAGTGTCGATAACATAGGACAAACTCGCTGCAGGCTTTGGTTAATTGCAGTAATCCCATGTGGTCAATTCTTGTTTCGGTGAACTGCTGCTCCTAGCGTCCGATGCATGCCGCCATAACAATATAGTGAATTCGTTGCTGATAATTGAGATACCGCGCAGTAAAACACGAGCGACACAAGGCTGGGGTGAGTAAAAAACCTTGATCGGTGTGTGATCGGGGCTGTCGTCAGCCCATTGCTGCGTAGATCACGAATGGAGGAATTGGCCGATCACAAAAATAGTTGGCGATCCTCCCCCCCCACACTCGCCACCTTGACGAACTGTATCGAAGCGACCGACTCGAGCGCAAGTCTCGAAGAATTTAAGCTCCCCTGGCTCTGATGGGCTTCTACCCGCTTGAAATTAGACCTCAACTGGCCGTCAGTGGCTTTAAGACATCTTGCCGATAGTTTCTGGCCCCCGTAACAGCCGGCGTTCGGGGTATACAGAAGTAATAAGGGGTGGTGCTCATTCTGAAACAAGAACGCGACGCCGAGGGACACTTCGCCCCTAGCAGCCCAACCCCACAGACCAATCAAAATGCAACAAGGAGGCAGAACCGACGCAGCAATAAATGCGACCTTAAAATATAACAAGAGGGCGGCGCTGGGGGCCCGTAATTTCTTCCTTCTCAGACTCGAAGCTCTTTTGCAGTCCATTCTTGAATCGCAGGTCGATTTACACCCACCCTCTTTTTCTTGGTTTCTCACCGATTAACTCTTCGCCTACTACGTTTGATTTCGCTGGTCGACTTTTCTGCACTTTCTTTCATATTCTCCAGATTCGCCGACATCTACTGCTTTCCCCAAGGGACGGGCGCTTCCGTTTCTTAGTTACAAGAGCTCAGCTCAGCACAGCCCCGCCGATCAATCACTCATTCAGCACTCCGACATCATACAAAAAAAAAAAAGCTATTTTCGAAACAAAATACTATGCAATGAAGTTTCTCAATCTTTTCTTGCTCGGTTCTTTCGCTGTCTTGACTTCCGCGGCGCCTATCTCCGAAACTAGCTGCTTTAAACGTACGTCAGAGCTATGATTGTGATTCCATTGGAATCTTTGACCCAAAGACTAATAATGAATGCATGTTATACAGTGGGCAGTGGTTGCGGCATCAGCTCTGACTGCTGTGGTGATCTGACCTGTGGTTATTTTGCGGTGGATGGTGTTCTGGACTGGACGCAGAAAGTGTGTGGGCCGAAATAAGAAGTACTTTTTTGTCTGAGGGAAGAGCTTCGACCCGATAACTTCAAGTTGAACGGTCAATATCTGGCTATATTGTTCGGTCGATCGGATGATTCCCTCGGGTCTATTGGTATTGGATTCTGTATGTAGCAGGGCTGTGTATAGCTGGTCATCCAAATCCCATTTCTCTCAGGCATCCGTTCCCTACTATCTAGGCACTACCACATACTGCTTCTGTTTCAACTAACCGAAAATTGTATGGATCGAATATGGGCGTTTCTATTCTAATCATCATGCTTTGCTAAACTTTATACTACTGGGCGGAACCGCCAAGGCATATATAGAAGGAATCACTTGGCGATGCTTAATCCTCATCCTCCGGCGCATCGTCCACTCCACGGAGCCAAGCACTTGAAGCGTCGACGGCTGCCTTACGGACGTCGCGCTTAGGGTCGTCCAAGACGAAGCGCAAGGATCGCAGAACGTGGGTCTTTTCAGCAAGAAGCGGGGAGATGGATGCTGGAGCACGGGCGTTGGGTGCAGCCTCGGAAACGATTTGCTTCGTGGCGAGCAGGTAGAGACACTTCAGAGCATCCACGCGAAGACGAGGAGTGTTGACTGCTCCAGGTCCCGCCTTGACCTCGGTTGTTTTCAGGAGTCTGAGGACAAGGCTGTGAACGTGTCCGCATTGATCAATGACCGCGACTCCATTGTCACGAATGATTACAGCGAGGGTGTCCAGGGTTGCTGCGCGGACGGCAACCGAGTCGGCTGTCTGGAGATCGAGAGATTGAAGAAGAAGGGGAAGTAGAGTAGGAAGCTCAGGCATGACCAGAGCTGTAGAGATGGTGGAAAGAATGCCGGCAAGAGCAGTCAGATGAGCGGGTTTGATGTGGTCAGATGTCTTCGTAACCTGAGAGGCATCATCGTTACCGGCAACATTGACATCTCGGATACGAGATGAGA